GGGGGGGGGGGGGGGGGCGTCTCTCCCATGTGGCCTTCTAGAATGCAAATGGAAGGAGTCAATCTCGTAGGCGAGGCGTGCGAGGCGTGCGACCCCTGAAGGGAATCGAGCGGTAAGGTAAGGTTAAGTAAGGGTACCAGTACAGTACCGAGCGAGCGAGGGAACGAGCCTGGCAAAATGATGACTGCACGCACAAAAAAGAGAGTGACTTACGGCTGAAAGAAGAATAATTGTGAAAATAATATTCTGAGGGGCCATTTGTTTTCTGTCCTCTTATTATTTTTTTACCGTTCGTTTTCTCTCTCTGTTGATATTCTTTGGATGAGCGACAACGGACGGAAGGACCCTTTCTGACATATCATATCGAATAAAATATCGAAACGAAGGAAAAAAGAAACATGTTCGTCAATCGTCGTCGCGATACACCTTCGTCATTCTAGCGCCTCCCGCAGACTCCACTCTAGTTCCACTGTGCCCTCCCATTTCACCATCCATCAGGCGCTCGGCCAAGTCAAGTCAAGTCAAGTCAAGTCAAGTTCAAGTCAGTCAGCTCAAGTCAAGTCAAGTCAACTCAACTCACGCTCAGGCTCAGGCTTGTTTCGGTCTTGGCCCCAATTGAGGATTCATTCGGCGGTCCGTCGCTCGCGCCCTCGTCTCTCTCACCTCACTAAGGGAAGAAGGGAAAGGGAAGCTCTACAACCAATCTGCGCTCCGTGCATCTCCCCCCAATCCCAATCCCATTCCAGTCAGCATCCGTCCGCTGCTGCTGCTGCACTTTGCCTCGTCCCTGGATGTTTTGCATCGTCGCCTTTCCTCTTCCTGTCCGAACTTCAACTCCTCAACGCCCCGAACCGTGACACTTCGAATTTACCCCTCCGTCGAGCAGTCCCAGGAATGTGACGGTCAAGCAAGTCAGACTTCGACATCGAGCTACCACTCCACTCTACGCTGTAAGTCAGGACCCCCGCAGATGACACAAGAAGGGGAAAATAGAACTAAGAATGTCTTCGCAGACACGTCCCGGCGCACGAGCTTGGAGAACAAAGAAACCTACTCCCCTTCGAATTTTTTGTACATACCTACTTGCGAAATACTGGAGATAGCACCGATTTCTTCTTTCTACTTGCAAATATTCCGCTACTTCCTACTTTCACGTACACACATACACACGCATCATCTATCTGCAGACCTGGCCTCTCACCTGGCACTGACGGCCGATAGGCCGTGCCAATAACGGATGCGATTTGGCAGGCACCATCTCCTCGAACCCAAATTCCTCTTCCCCTCACCCAAATACCCCCAAGAACAAAACCACAAACCATGCGGCGGAACCGCGGCGGGCCCAGCTCGCCCTTCAGAACCAATGGCGCCCCGATCCCAGACTCCCTCTCCCTGATCCGCTCCTTCAACATCGAGACCAATCCCACCCGCCCCGTGCGTCCCTCCCCGCTGACAGCCTCCACCATCCCCGACATGCCGCTCGACCTCGTGGACCGCATTCGCTCGTTCCCGCTGTTCCTCTCAGCGCCCGACTCGTTCCTGGCTGCCATTGGCAAGCACTTGAGACCGCAGGTGCACTCCCCGCACGATCATATCTTGACGGAGGGCGATGAGGCCAAGGCGATGTACTGGCTGGTGCGGGGCGCGGTGGCAGTCACGTCGCGGGATGGCGAGGCTACGTATGCGGAGTTGAGGCCAGGCGCGTTCTTTGGGGAGATTGGCATCCTGATGGACGTCCCGCGGACGGCGACCATCATCGCGCGGACGAAGTGTCTGCTGGTGGTGCTGAAGAAGGAGGATCTGCGGACCGAGCTGCCGAATTTTCCAGAGATGGAACAAGCGATTATGGAGGAGGCTCAAGAGCGCTTGACGATCTTGAATAAGAAGCGGAAGGAGAGTGGGTTTGGGCCGAAATTGGTTTCGACTTCTTTGCCGTCGAGAGGAGGGAAACTGCTTGCGCGGGAGGCGGCGCCGGGAGAGGTTTCGATGGGTGATGTGGGGAAGATTGAGAAGGGGACGGTGATCAATACCAAGAAGCGGAAATCGCCAAGTCCGCAAGGGATTGAGGATCCTGCGGCTGGAAGCGCGTTAGGAAGTGGGTTTGTGAATGTGAGGAGAACGTTGAAGGAGTTACCACTTTTCTCAACGCTTCCTCCTGAAATTCTTCATTTTCTGGGCTTGAGTGCACAGCCGAAGACGTATCCTCCGTTCACGGATATTATTCTCCAAGGGTCGCCTGGAAGCGAGATTTACTTTATTGTAAGAGGAGAGGTGGAAATCATACATGAGACGACAAATGGCCAATCTTTCAGTCACGCGAATCATGGACATCCTTCTTACATTCGGCCGAGATTGAAGCAAGGGCAGTATTTTGGTGAAGTCGCTAGTCTGGCTCTAGCACCCAGGAGAACAGCTACTGTTCGATCAATTACAACAGTAGAGTGTCTGTTGATCAGTGGAGAGGTTCTGGAAGAGCTATGGCGAAGATGTCCTCCGGATATCAAGAAACAGGTGGAGCGAACTGCCAAAACTCGAATGGAGCACCAGGATGAAGATGTGCATATGATCGATGTTGATGCACCTTCAATCAACGATTTGGAACTTGAAGATCGTGTCACGACACCTATACGGACCAGTCTTCCACAAGTCACGTTCACCCCGTCGAAACCTGCCAGTCCGCACAAGCCAAGTAGAGCAGAGGATAAGGAGGTTTTGGAACCTCTGGATCCTGATCCTTTCTTGAGTGTCGATATGGATAATATGAGAGCGAGATCAAGGAGAGGTTCTTATGCTCCACCTGTTCCTGACACTCCACCACCAGAAGAGCAGAAAGTGCAATCAGGTCCAAAAACGAGGTCGAGAACTCAAACTCCAACTCCGACAAAATCACCACTAGCTATGACACCGCCAGATTCGAGCTTCCGTCCAAAGAGACCAAGGACGCAACGGAGGCCGAGTCAATATAATAGAGGTGTTCTTCCGGATCCAATACTTATTCTGATATTTTCGTATCTCGACATTTATCAGCTTATGCGGCTCCGAAGTGTGTCACTTCATTGGTCAAAACTTCTCACTACATCTCCGAAAATCTGCAAAACCCTTGATCTCTCTCTCTATAATCGCCAAGTTACCAACAAAGTACTAACTGACATCATCTGCCCATTTGTTGGGAAACGACCAGAAACCATCGATATCAGTAATTGTTTCCACATCACAGACGAAGGCTTCTCCGCCCTCTCCCAACAATCCGGCTCCAACGTGCACGCCTGGAAAATGAAAAGCGTCTGGGACATAACCGCCAACGCCGTCCTAGAAATGGCCAACAACGCCAAACAACTCGAAGAAATCGACCTCTCCAACTGCCGCAAAGTCAGCGACAACCTCCTCGCCCGCATCGTTGGCTGGGTCGTCACCGAACCCGCCCCTCCTCAACAAAACACCCGTTCCAAAGCCCTCCAACAACCCAACCCCGCCGCTCCTCCCGTCGGCACCGTAGTCGGCTGTCCAAACCTCAAACGCTTGACGCTGAGTTACTGCAAACACGTCACGGATCGCTCCATGGCTCATCTAGCCGTCCACGCTCATTCGAGGCTCCAGAGCATCGATCTCACGCGCTGTACGACGATCACGGATGGTGGGTTCCAACATTGGAGTATCTATAAGTTTTCGAGGCTCGAGAGGCTCATTTTGGCGGATTGCACGTATTTGACTGATAATGCGATTGTGTATCTAACGAATGCTGCGAAGGGGTTGAGGGAGTTGGATTTGGTTTGTCTTCCCCTCCTTCCCTTCTTATTGAAAGAATGAAGTTAACAAAAAAAACAGTCATTCTGCTGCGCCCTCTCCGACACCGCAACCGAAGTCCTCTCCCTCGGCTGTCCGCGCCTCCGCTCCCTCAAACTCTCCTTCTGCGGCAGCGCCGTCTCCGACTCCTCCCTCCGCGGCATCGGGCTGCACCTGCTCGAGCTCAGGGAACTGAGTGTGAGAGGCTGTGTGAGGGTCACGGGCACGGGCGTCGAGGCTGTGGTTGAGGGCTGTAGTATGTTGGAGAGTATGGATGTGTCTCAGTGTAAGAATCTGGGGAGGTGGTTGGAGGGGGGTGGGGAGGAGAGGTGTAGGAGGGTTTTTAGACGGGGGGGATTGAGGTTTGAGACTAGGAAGGGGAGTGAGGGGGGGTGGGGGTTGAGGTAGTGAGGGGCTGGGCGAGCGTTGAGAGCTAGAGAGCTTACCACCGGGATTTAAGACCTTGAAAATAGAGAGGAGGATATGCAGATATGCAGATATGCAGATAGAGGGAGACAGATATCATGATATGATTGTATGAATGGGCGGCTGGCATTGGCTTGGCTTCAATCATGGCATTTTTTGCGGCGCTGGTAGGATAGGTATGATAGCTGGATATATGGATTTGGTTTATGATGAAGGTTTTTTTTTTTTTGGACTATGATTGATGAGTGTTGACTATCAATTAATCGGGGATGAGTGATTGATTTAAATAAGGAGGAGGTGACTGGGCTCATTCCTACTACCTATCTAGCAGAAACTGCACTTCAGATTCACTAGGAATCAAGTAAGAAGACTATTAACATAACCCGAAAAATCTCCACTCAATTATAAATACTACCCATCAAGCCCACACACATCCACGCATCCTCCCAATCCCTCCCCCAAAGCTTTTCTCCCAAAGTTTCCCCCCTAAGTAAGCAAGCTCTACTTTCCCCTCTACGAGCTTGAACGGACGGAAAATTACTTCCCTCGCTCCGAGACCCAAAAAAAAAGGAAAAAAAGAAATGAGGTTCAGAGAGGAACGGGTGCTGGAAATTTGGATGTGGGGAGGTTGAGATGATGGAGGAGGGGAGGGAATAGATGGGATGGGATGGAATTGCGAGTAGTCGTGGGGTGTGTGGTTCTGAGTTTTTTTGAGCGTGGAAGGGGAATGAATGAATATGTATGTATGTAGCTAGAGGGTGCGGTGGTGTTTCGAAACCCGATGGATGGATCGGCTGAGATAAATAAATAAATACCCCGAGCAAAATTAAATCAATCCCCATCTCCAGCTATACACAGGAATGCATTAGATTATTATTCATCGAGAGGAGAGGAGAGGAGGTGTTATGAAAAGCAGGATATTCTTGAGTCGAAGACTTCAAGAGAGAGTTGGACATGAGATAGATAAAAGAGATGTGAATGTCTGTCTTTGCAACCATCTGGAGGGCTGCTCCGAAGTCGTGGGGAGAGGCCAGACAATTAAGTTGAGTGAGTAATTGTAAGGGTGGTATGTCCCTAGTTTGTAGATTTTCAAACTTCGATATCATGGACGATCAAAATTCAGTTGAGTGAGTGTAATGGTGGTAAGTTCCTACTTTATAAGAACTAAAAGTGCGATGGATGACACGGACGAGCAAGCCAAGTAAGTATCTATTGGTAAGTCCTTATTTTTTTTTTTTTTTTGAGATTTTAAAGTGTGGTACCATGGATGAGTAAGTAGAGTAAATAAATATCTAGTAGTCTTTAACTCGTATCCCCTTCAGGTGTAATGATCACCTAGAAGGATCACGAGGGCAGGGAAGCAGGCAGGTTGAATCAGTGTTGATTGACTAAAGAGCTAAGAAGACTAGGAGCTTGAGGATATACTCGAGCTTGAATGGAGCTAATCCCCATTCAGTCTAGTGTCACGCGAGATCTCGTGACATCAGACTCACCTAATATGGACCGTATTTCCAACAAGTAGTGTATATTTGCTTTGTTAAATTTTAAAGTAGGATGCCCACGGACGAGCAAAGCAGAGTGAGTTAATATCTAGTGGTATGTGTCTACTTTGTTAGATTTTAAAATAGGATGCCACGGACGAGGAAATCGAGGAAATATCTATTAGTAAGTCCCTACTTTTTAAGATTTTAAAGTGCAGTGCTATGGACGAGGAAGCAGAGTGAGTAAATATGTAAATATCTGGTGGTTAATCCCTACTTTATAAGATTGCAAAGCGGGATACCATGGACAATCAAGCAGAGTAAGTAAATATCTAGTAGTATGTCGCTATTTTATACTTTTAAAAGCGGGATACCAAAGACCATCAGGTAAAGTAAGTATCTGGCGTTATGTCCCTACTTATCAAATCGCAAAGCACGACGCTGCGGCCAAACAAGCCAAGATTTGGTGGTATCATCACAATTGTCCCGACTTTGTAAACCTCACAGTGCGATAGCACAGACAACCAAGCCAAATACCTGGTGGTATCATGGTCACTGTCTCTACTTTATAAGCTTTCAAAGTGCGACCTCACAACCAAACAATAGCCTAGCCACGAAGTACGGAAAGCAACGTTATATTTCGAATGATCTGCAAAGTGAATCGGGTATCTAGTCATGGTAAGAAATCGTCGCAAATGCACCCCCCTTTCCATCCATCCAGACGCCTTGCTGAGATTCATGATATGGTAAACAAGTAAAGAAGAAAAGGAACGCCATCGCTGTACTCCAAAGCAACGCAGGTAAGAAAAACAGAAAAAGTGAAATTCGAGATCAATCAATCATCGGTAAGATCAACGACCACCTGGCCCGTAGCGGTCCATGATGTCTTGTAGGCTCTGCCGCTGCTCCCAGCTGCACCGGTTCGTCTGCGTTTGCTTCCGCTGGGTTGGCTATCTTCTTCTTCGGCTTTGATTTCTTCGATTTCCCGCTACAAATTGTTAGCTACATCTTCCTGAGTCAGAGGATAATTTACCTTGAGGTTGGCTAGACGTTCTCGTCGAGCTGCGGGTAGATTTCCCCTGAGATTGAGAGGTGCGATGGCTGGCTGTGGAGATGGCGAACGTGGGATGATCAACTCGATTTTTAGGTCCTCTGTCGATTATTGTTAGTTAATGAAAGTTTTTGGAATTAAAGGGAGGTTCGTACCCATCGATCGGTATTTGAATATAAATACACCCAGAGGGTTGTTATATCCATCCACATCAACTGTCTCCTTGATATGTCGAGTCACAATCTGTTGCTCTCCATATGCGACTCCATGTGATATAGCTTTGCCTTTCAAAGCTTTCTCTGCGACTTCTTCGATTGGGTTGTATACTGTGGATCTATAGAGTGGTGGTGGTAGGATAGGATCTCTTTGAAGAGTTCGGAACACAGAAATAACAATCTCTCCAATACCGATGACCGCTCTCGAATCTTGCCTCACTCGTGTAGAGTCGGTATCGTCGACTGCGAAATTGTTAGTGAAATGTGATTCCAGTAGTAATGACGAGGCTACCTTTCTTCAAGTTGTTGAATTTCAACGGCCGACTGGTAATCTCAGTCCCACTGATCCTATCGAGTCTCGCCGTAATCAACTCCATATAGTACCCCGAAGCACGATAGAAATAGTCGGCAGTGCACGAGGCTTGGGCAATTCCGTGACCGTCAACACTCGCTTTGAAGGTAACGCTTTGGCTTGTCAACCTGAAAGGATTCTTCAAGATGATTCGAATGCGAAACTGTGCGCCGGCCTTGCTTTCCACGTATTTCGAGATGCGCTGCCCTTCAGGCAGATGGCTGTATTTTCGATATGTCCAGCCTCCATCATCGTCATACTCTTGCAAATCTTGGGCTCCTCCATCGTCGACTGACTGTACGCAGACCTCTACACCTGGGCATCCGGAAAGAATAGCCATGGTTTCGGAGTGTTCAAAGGCGGTGTATGAAAGGCGGTGTATGGAAGGCGGTGTATCAAAGGCGGTGTATAAAATACTGTCGTCGTTAAAGTAAGCGGATATGAAGAAGTGGTGAGTGAGCAGAAGTGGTGCCTCGAAATAAACGTGGGGCTGAAGCGACAGCCTCGTCTGAGGGACCACTTCGATTGGTGATCGTCTCGAGACGCTAAAAATGCCCCGCTTAACCTTATCCAGCCAGCTCTAAATTATGTCGGAAAAGTTGACAAGACTTCTCGATATCTACCTAGGTACTTTGCGACAGCAACATTGTCGAACAGAGTCACCATGGATCCTGGAAGGAAAGCAATGATAGCAGGTCGCGGATCACCTGCAAGAGACATTACAGCGCCTCGACGAGATCAAAACAATCGCATATCGAAATCTTCAAGACCAACAGGTTCAGGCAGCAGAACTCCCGACTTTCGACCTCCACGAAACAATGACGCTTTCGAAGATGAACAAACACGGAAATGGGTTTCTGAGGAAGATAGTTTCGTTCTAAAGCAGGCAAAGAAGAAGGCAGACATACGCGTACGGGAAGGGAGAGCAAAGCCGATAGATTGGCTCGCGGTCATTCTGAGAGTAATCGACCCAGACAGAGATTTACTCGATGACGATGAAGAGGAGGTTCAGCATGAGGTCGTAGATCCAGAAGGAGTTTTTGAAGGTCTCAATGACGCTCAATTCATCGAGCTGGAGAATGACATCAACTCTTACCTTGCTTTGGAAAAGAACAAGAAGAATCAGGATTATTGGAAGACAATGCAGATCATCTGCAATGACCGTCGTCAAAAATTGAAGCCAATGGGTCCAGAAGGTCGTGCTGTCAACTCTGTTTCTGCGGATATCGATAAGCTGCTAGGCCCAAAGACATATGAGCAGCTGGAGGCTTTGGAGAAGTCAATCAGAGCGAAACTGCGGTCAAACGAAAATATCGACTTCGACTACTGGGAACAATTACTGCGAAGTCTCCTGATATGGAAAGCCAAGGCAAAGCTCAAGAAGGTGTATCAGTCGGTTCTTGATAGTCGATTAGATACATTGCGCAAGCAACAAGAGGAAGATGCACAAGGTGTGCGAGAGAAGATGCAGGAACTGTTAGGTGGCCCACTTCGAGTTTCCGAGGAAGGTGCCGAACAATCGACGGATGTCTCAGAAGTTTTCCGACCTCAATCCGATTTCAAATACTCTCAGATCTACGATCCAGAGCCTTTATTGAAGCTGCATGCTGAAGACAAGTCGAGTGAGGTGATTGACGAATCGGTGTTTCTTCAGAAAGTTGTAGCAGAACGTCGAAAAGTTTTGAAGTTGGGCTATATTCCACTGAAACAACAAGCTGCAGAGAAGGGTGCAAGTTCGACCAGCAAGGTTGTCAGTATCGCAACTACTTCAGCTGCACCTCCAGGAACTCAACGATTCTCCACTGCCCCCAACGAAGATTTCTCTCAGGCAACAAAAGCATTATATGAGCGAGAAGTTGCTCGGGGTGTTGACGAGGACGAAGAAATCTTCACTGGAGAGGAAGCAGTTGCAACGGCAGATCAACCACAATGGGCAGACAAATACCGACCAAGAAAACCAAGGTACTTCAATCGTGTACAGATGGGATATGAATGGAACAAGTACAACCAGACTCACTACGACCATGATAATCCTCCGCCAAAAGTTGTGCAAGGTTACAAGTTCAACATTTTCTATCCGGATCTCATCGACAAGAGCAAAGCACCGACATTTAAGATTATAAGGGAGCATGGCCGCAAGAGAGGCGAATCCTTCGCACCCGCCGGAGAGGAAGATACTTGCCTAATCCGCTTCATTGCAGGACCCCCGTACGAAGACATCGCTTTCCGCATTATAGACAAGGAATGGGACTATAGTGCGAAGCGGGATCGTGGGTTCAAAAGCAGCTTTGACAAGGTACGCATGCTTACCTTACCGCGAGCAAGCATCAGGCGCGCGTTAGATGGTTTCCCATGCAACCCCTGAGCAGAAAACTGACTCTCCACATAGGGCATACTTCAGCTCCACTTCCAGTACAAGAAGGTAAGGAACAATCAATTGTGCGCGTGTATTTATTATTTGCTGACTTGTCATTTAGATATACTACAGGAAGTGATTGTTTCGATTCTGCTTGTGGGGAATACTTGAGACAATTGACCTGGGAAGTAGAAATCCATAGCAGCAAAGAAGTGCAAATTCTCACAAGCACTATTCCAGATCAGATCAGATCATAGCACGTGTGCTGTGGTGCAAAGGTAACATGTTGTACGCGCCGTTGATACTTTGCGTCGTAAATGGGACCCCTCCAGCGATGGCCGGCTGAGGATCCGTGCTCATGCCCGGGTGGCAGATATGAGCCACAAGAACGTTGCCGAGCCATTGTTCCTTCGTTGTGGTGCCTTCAACTGGTAAAGATAGGCGCGGACACTGGTACTGCATGAGTGCCGTTAGATTTTCCCGGGGCTGTGTCGCCTACGTGGGTAGCTGCTGCTCATCTCTCAATTTCTTGGTTGAAGCAGTGGATCAGTCTCGTCCCCTTACACCGCGTTCTCTCAATCAAGGAATTGTCCCGGAAATGCTTAATTTTCTGGACGGGTAATTGAATCAACAGCCTAGTTCTAGCGCTTTTCTAGAAGCGGCTCTATCCATGAGACAACAGGCATACAATGGAAGAATGATTGCAAGAACGCTAGCCCCGAGCGAGGCTGTTGTTGTGGTACTTCACCCCTTGGCAACTCTCCCATTCTGTCTAGTCAACCCCCCCCCCCCCTCCTCTAGGGCCATGCAGCTCTCCGACGCTAGTTCCACAATGAAGGCTGCATATGGCTGCCTCATTTTTATGGTGCGGATTGCACTGGCTGACAGGTAGCAAGTGATCGTGATTGCCTTCAGAACGTCCCTTACCAGGGTCGAATTCTCCTCAATCTTTCCTTATGTTACCTGCCGATGCAAACAAGGCTTGCATCACGCATCGACCTCTGTCCATGCGTTGGCACGCCATGCTGCATGTCCTGTCATTGTGGCCTTGTCCTGCTACGGCCCGGGACTATCAGTATAGTCCTGGGTGAATAACTACATCACACCTTCCTTTGCTATTCCCAATTCTTCGAAATCTCCGACTCGATATCCGCTCAGTCTGTCGCACAGCACAATACCACCAGCAGCAATCGCCTCCAGCGTTGAAAGGACCACTTCACCGTGAGCCACCTCTCCGAGCGGCGGGGTCTGTTTTCCCTACCTGCTGCTACTGCCGTGCTCCTTCTCAGTATGAATTCCGGCCAATATCACCAGCAGAGACTTCACACCACTCCCGGCTTGCCCATCAGCTTCCATCAATATTCCGATGCTCCCGTATCCTCCTCAGGACAATCAACTTCATCCCATCCAATGCTCTCCTGTGACAGCCTTCCTCGATTACAACAGCAACAACAACTACAATCACCTCAACACTTCATGACGAATCCTCCTGTTTCCTCCTCCAACCTTCTAGGTACCAACTACGACCTGGGAAACTCGATGCCTCCAGTCTCGATGACGACTAACCCTACCTGTCTCTGGCAAGACCAATCTCAACATACCCCCTCTTTCGAAGACCCAAATACCAACGACTATTACGACTACTCGCCCGGCCTCACCACTGGCGCCAACGACAACAATAATGGCGTCTGGCTCGATCCAGGTATCCCTCGCTGGATGCCAGACAATCCGCGATTGTACAACGACCCCTCCTCCAACATGACGATGCTGGACAGCTACGAACAAATGTACCCCATGAACAACGCCCATAAACACGATCTCCAGACCATGAACCAGAGCCGCCCCAACCTCATCTACCCATCTCTCGAAGAGCCCCGTGATCACTTCGCCCGCCTGAGCATCAGCCATAGTCCCCTCTCAGGAGGACCCAAGCAAGAAGATGAGTGTTTTGGACCCAGCAGTCTGCCCTTCGATAAACCTCCCGCGTTCATGACTTCTAACGAGAGCTCGCCCGACGAGAACGGCGGGAACAGCTCACGCGAGATGACGGCCGTGGATGTGGATGATCATGGGGCCGACGAGCCGTACGCCAAGTTGATCTATCGCGCACTGATGAGCGCGCCGAATCACTCCATGGTATTGCAGGAGATATATCAATGGTTCAGGGACAACACGGCGAAAGGAGCTTCGGATGGGAAAGGATGGATGAATAGCATTCGACACAATCTCTCTATGAACGCTGTACGTACACTCTCATCCCTTCATCCTCCTTATGTATCCGCCCAGCAGCAGCAGCAAACCCCACTAACAAAGAGACCAAAAAGGCCTTCAAGAAAACAGAACGCAAACTCCAAGGCGACGACACCAAGAAATCCACCGAATGGGTCCTCGAACCCTTCGCCATCAAAGACGGCGTCCAGTCCACCACCCGCTACCGCAAAGGCACCTCATCCGCCAAGAAACTGCCCCGAGCAGGAGCAGCAGCAGCAGCAGGAGGAGAGTACCCAGCCCCAACCCGCCAATCATCCGGTCGCAAAGGCGGAATGTGCAAGACGAAGCTCTCGCGACACCACCACCACCAACAGCAGCAACGCCCCAAGGAAGATCGCGACCATTTCAGCACGTCCCGCATCGACAGCGTGCGTCGCGCCCAGTTCGAGCGGCAGACCTCGAGTGGCAGGAGACAGCGATCCCCGTTGACGCCGCCGCCGGCTGGCGACGCTGGTCCGTACTTCGCGCCGTTCCCGAAGGTCGAGCAGGAGCAGGAGCACATGGATTCGCCGTTTGAGGAGATGTATGGGCTGGAGGAGTGTCAGGGGGTGTACACCCTTGATGGCGGACCGCTTTTCAGCGGCGACGGGAGCGGTCCTTTCCATCAGCATCAGCATCATCAGCATCATGCTGCTGCGGCTGCTGCTGGTGGAAGTGGTGGGGGCTCGGCTATGTCTACTTCTCGGTTCTGATATCCCATTCGGGCATTTTGGGTGGAAAGGAGAGAATCTGGATCCGGGATCTGGTATCGTCTGGATTGCCGTATTATGACGTGTACAGTGATGAGTGTCTGCAATAGAATCTCTGCGAGTTGTTTTTTTCTCCCCATCATTATCTTTCAAGGCTTTCCCGTGGCGGGAGAACTTTCTTTCATTCTCAAGCGTAATGACATTGTGGGCTTGCTTGTGCCGGGCCTCGGCATGGTCTCTTTGATCTGAAAATAGGGTGCGGTTCTTCTGCAAGACGGCTGGTTCCTAGGATGTCATCTTTAGTTCAGTGTAATTCATGTACTCGCAAGTGGAAGGGGCCAAAGACATTACGAATAGCTTTCAATGATAATGTGTAATATTCGACAGATCACTTTGTGAGTGAAAAGAAGAAGGACGGGATGTGGGTGAGACTATATGAAGTATGGAGCTCGATTCTGATAACAAGCCGGGCGGACTTTCCACGCTGCTGCACATGCACCTGCACAGCTAGCCATGCCTCGAGATCTGGTCAAGGTTAAGCCGCGGTCCTGGAATGAAATTATGTGGCTAGATGGCCCTGTCGCTGCATTAACTTCCGTCTCGGCTTTCACATGGTGGTTGGGGTGCCTGGCAACTTTACACGCCGTGTAGGAGTTGGAGGAGGAGATCGACCTCCGTCGTTGCACAAAGTTTCGGAGGCGGGGCGCGGAAAGCTTCCCGGATAAGATCACGATGCAAGATAGACCGTGACAGTCTTGGTTACTGGCTATAAAGCTCTTAATGTCATCGGAACTTTTTGAAGTGCTTGGAAGGCTTGCAGCCCTTGAGCGCGCCTGCTTCTCCACATGCGTACGCCACGACCAGTGAGGCGGGAGTAGAGGGTAAACTTAATATAAAGCATGTACTAAGGGTGGAATTTGATCCTGGACCCTGAATCAACGACTCCCACACAACGCGGGGTTCGCAAAGTATACCAGACTACGTTCCGCCAGCTCTTCACACTTCTCCTTTCCATCGTCCTCGGGGTCTGAACTCCTTCGAATGGCCAGGTCTAGGTCCTGACCGATAAGGAGCTGTGCATTCCGTTGGAAAAGTGAATCTGCAAGAGATCGAGGATCGTAGATCGCTATGTCCTCTCACGAACCGGATCTTCACCAGGTTACGCGTACCAAGATCTCTTCCAATCATGGACTTACCGCCTGCACGGAAAGCATTATTTCTTTTGCGATTTCGATAACCTGGTTCTCGGTATTGCAGTATTATAGCCATGCAATGTGCTCTCATCGAGCGGACGGAATAAGTACCATGATAGGAGGCTCTTGGTGGATGACTTTCTCCACTACATCCTCCACTTACGAGTTGTCATCAATCGATGAACCTATCATACCCAAATTCTATTCTCCACTCCTCCACGGTTGAACAGAGAGGTCAGATGTCAGGTGAAAAATAAAAGTTCAATCTGAAGTGTGGGGGTTGTGTGGTTTAGCTCTCGTCAGCCCGACTTCATTCGGTGTTGCAGCATGCAGAATAAGCCACCGCTCCCGCATGGGCCGTTTCGCAAAGGTTCCTTTTCCTTTTTTCAATTTCAGAATCCAGGTTTTCATGGCTCCCAGTAACCCGGTCTGAAAAAACGGCAGGCTCGTTTTCACCATGCGACACACTAAAACAAAAGGGCTCGTGACGGTGACCCTGGGTGAGAAGAGGCTTCGTGCATTCTGTGTGCAGTAAGTACAATGACTTGACCAAGGGACTCGACGGCGCTTAAAGCAAGGAAGCTGGTGCTTGAAGCGCTTTGTTTTCTTGACTTCTATTTTCTTTGTCTTCATGTTGACACGAGGTTCGCTTCACACTGTCAGATATCAAGTTCTCGTTCTCAACGGAGAGTGCTCAGTGCTGTGCTTTCTTTTAGGCCAGGCCTTCCTGTCCAAGAGCTGAGAGCTGCTCAAAGATCAGCCTTCAGATGCCAAGTTCCTGCAGCTTTCGCTTGAAAAGGCAAATGCAATCTTTGTAAGGAGTGACGAATTGACCAGTCAACATGTGACAACGAAGCTTCGTTCATGAGCTCATGTCAAGGCCTATAAATATGCTAGAGATTGACACTTGGTTGTGTGTCCTGGTAATTGTTTGTTTGATGTTTAATTGTACACCAAAGCGAAGGTAAATGAAGTGCAATGGTACTGCACGTGTTTCCTTTCGGATATAGGTAGGTAGGCACGAGATAGGGGGTACCACGTGAGAATGGCTTCTCGGAAGATTACTTCCTTCTAGGTCTAAGCAGTTTTTCCGAACTCAAGTCCACAAATGAAGAACGACGCAATGAAAAGCACAACAGTAAGCAGATGGCATTGCAATTAATTACACATGATATGAAATGACTTGTGATGTAGAGGAGATGCAGAAAAGCTTCTCCAGAATCTCGGGAACGCGGCCGGACAGCCACGTTTGAGTTCCACCAACCACGTTTTTGTCCGTGAGTGATCTACATGGATGTTCATTCGCGTACCTGATGATATCCGTTCCAACGAATCATGTTGAATAGAAAAAGTTTGGAACGGGGTTCAAGATGCGGGGCTTGGGGAGCTCCTTGGCGGCGACATCCAAAAATCAATGGAGAAGCTGGGGAGCTCGAGGAGATCCCCGCCTTTCAGAGAAATTGGTTGGCCACTTTGCCCAAGCCATCCCAGCTTAACCCCTGGAATCGTCATCACGTTCCTGGGGGTGGAGAGCTGGCCGGAAAAATATCCAGGTCTTCATCCTAAACTTTGCATTCCACCACTGCATCAGTCCCGAAGCTACTGCTCTCCAAATTTATCTTGAGCTTGATAAATAAAGACATGATGCTTTCCTCCCAAACCTCATCGCTGCAGTCAATCATTGCCAATTTCATCAATTGACGTCCCCTCGCACTTGCCAAGATGCGCTTCCAATTGACGAGTCTTCTTGCTTTGGCCACAGTATCAATTGCTTCTCCAACATGGCAAGCTTTTGAAGACTGGGCCAAAGGAGCTGGCGGAAAGTCTGCTCCAGATCATACATCACCAAGACCGTCGATTTCGTGCCATCCCAAATCACCTCATGTCCCCCCACCATCTCCGCCTCCGCGAAATAAGGTCTGCTATGTGCAGAGTCACAACGACGGCGTCACTGACGACTCCACTTACATTTTGAGTGCTCTCCATTCTTGCAACAATGGTGGCCATGTGGTTTTCAGGGAAGGAATTAAATACACGATTGGCACTGCGCTAGATTTGACGTTCTTAGAGCACATCGATATTGGTAAGTGGGATGATTATTTCCAAATGTTCTGAGATTGATAGAGGACTAGACATCCAATCATACATTCAATTCACAAACGATACAACATACTGGCAAGCAAATTCGTTCAGATTCATCTTTCAGAATGTGACCTCATTCTTCAAACTGGGTGGCAACGATGTGAATATCTATGGAGGAGGAACCATTGATGGAAACGGCCAGGTCTGGTACGATCTATATGCTTCAAACATTTACACGCTTCGACCAGTTCTAATTGGAATTGATGGGCTTCACAACTCGATCCTCAGCAATTTGGTTCTGCGATACTCGCCAGAATACTACCACTTTGTCGCCAACGCTTCGAACGTGGTCTTCGACAACATCAATATCGCTGGTGCAAGCAAGAGTGTAAATGTCGCAAAGAACACAGATGGCTGGGATACGTATAGAAGCACAGACATTACAATCCAGAACTCTGTGATCAACAATGGTGATGGTAAGTGTCTCCTGACTTGAGATCGGACACATTGCTGACATTCGCAGATTGCGTATCCTTCAAACCGAACAGCACAAACATGCTAGTACAAAACCTCTGGTGCAACGGAAGCCACGGAATATCTGTAGGCTCACTTGGCCAGTACGTTGGCGAGTATGACATTGTTGAAAACATTTATGTTTTCAACGCCTCAATGCACAACACCACAGACGGTGCTCGAATCAAAGTTTGGCCCAACACTCCGTCAGCATTGAGCGGTGACCTCCAAGGAGGCGGCGGAAGCGGAAAAGTCAACAATATCACCTACGATACCATGCTCATCGACAAGGTGGACTATGCCATCGAAGTAGACCAATGCTATGGACAGTCAAACTTGACTTTGTGCTTGGAATACCCGTCGCCACTGACGATTACTGATATTGTTTTCAAGAACTTCAATGGGAAGACAACATCTAAGTATCAGCCAGAGATCGGAACTTTCGCGTGCTCGAGCTCGGCCGTGTGTAACAACATTGTCGCATCGAACATCAATGTTGTCAGTCCGAACGGAACGGACTTGGCGTACTGCTTGAATGTGAACGAGACGGCACTGGATGTGACGTGCTCGACTCTGTACAAGGGCTTCAACTGATATAGAGAAGTTAGCTTAATCCATAATGATCATGACAGACTTGAGGAAATGCTTGCGACATGTGACCCACCTGAAAAATGCCGTGCTCGTCGATATGCTTTGCGTGTAACTCGAGGGTGTCAAACAGAGGTCCTGTTTGCTAACCTAGGCATCTCGGCATCACGCAAAAAGTGAGCCCTCGGAGAATGAGCGGTGTAAAGAGGCGGAGGAGAATAGTGTAAACGACTCAAAGCGGAGAGCACATCATGACTGATACTGACGTTGAAGCATAGTCTAACACGAAGAGGAAAAAAGAGGTGAATGCATGAGACGAAGATCTGAAATCTTGTCTACTCTGGAAGGAAATGAGTCACAGAGGGACGACGAAGCAGGAAGAAGAGTGAGAGAACGAGGAAGGAAGGAGTGAACTGGATTGCAGAAGTGTTTGTAGCGCCTTTGCCACCATGTAAGGAAGGTGCAACTTAGCCAATCACGAGACATCTCGCTTGAGCAAAAAGGGGTAACTTCTCTCCTTATTTCCTGTATTACCACAAATCGTGCGTCATGACCAAACGTTTCCCGAATCGAAGAATTTTGTAAGAATTTTCCTATATCGAGGTCTTCTTTTCCTAAATCGAGGTCGGCCGAAAACGGAAAGGTCCGACGCGTCGCGTCGATCCGAACATTTCTTCAATCTCCAGAAAATACATATTCTGAGCTTTCACTCGATAATATACATCTACCACATTCGAATCCTCGCAATGACCGACCTCTATACGACAAGTACCAAGATGAGCATCGCTGGAAAAAGGTAGCCGAACTCCAGGAATTGTGCAAACATCACGGTCTATCGCACGCTGGCACCAAGCGCATTCTCGTCAAGCGCTTGGACAAACTTGACGAGCAACTTCGTACTCATGAAGGGCGGATACTTGATTATAAGAATAGGCTGAAGAGCTACCGAGAAAAGAAGCTTGCTGAAATTGTCCTATTCCTAATGTTCTCCAAATTTGGCCCAGAAATTCGCTGTCGAATCTGGCACTTTTCATTGCCTGGACCACGAGCGCTTTGCCCAGGAGTCAGGAGCACGCCATCCGGAGAATACGAGACCAATCGTGACTACAGGAAATTGTTCTTCCCGGGCAAGCACCAAGCCCCGAACCCAGCCGCGTTGAGTGTCTGCCGCGAGTCCAGACAAATTGCCCTTCAATGGTATCGGCTATGTTTTGGAACACAGAACATCTACGCTGATCTAAACATCGATATCCTTTTCTTTGGACCATGGGATGTTACGGACTTTGGCACGTTCTGGGAGTGGGATGAGTATAAGTCTGGCGGCCCTGGCGGCCTCACAAACATCATCCACAAGACTCTGCAGCCCGAGGTAGCGGCGGACTTGAAGAAAGTGCAGCGCTTGGCTTACAGATATCTTGACGGATGGGCTGAATATGATGATACTCACGGAGAGGAAACACACATGAATGGAGGAGGCGACGAATTAAGGAAACAATTAGGGCGATTCGAGAGCTTGAAGGAAGTCCTGCTCAGCCATGGTCCTGACAATACGGACGATTTGCGGAATACGAGGAGGAGACGATGGGTCAGCAATATGCTGAGTCAGAGGATGAAGGTCAAGATATTGATCCATACGACCTTCTCCCCCAACAGCGAGCGGAAAACGTCCTCCCTGCCTTCAGAACGAAGAACATTTCTCCAGAGGAGCAGGCACGAGGTATCCCAGAAGTTAAGCTTGTTGTCAAACGTGTTCCCAATGTACCAAAATATGTTGATACGAGACCCTACGCCTGGATGAGAGATTTTTCTTAATGGAAAATGATCGAGGAAGGAATTGGACGGACAATGTGCAAGAAGTTCTCTGTACTGTACACCTCGTATGAGAGAAACAGCATAATCTGGCACTGGTGTCTAGGATATACGATTTGTTTGATAACGTTTGTTGCAAGTACTCTGGGCAACTCAAACCTAGCGCAAAGACTTGCATAGATGTGCTGACGACAATGCCATACAGAGAATCCCCATCCATTGACATAAGATCATGTGACCATATATTTCTCTCCTATCAATCATGGTCCTGAAGTGCTGCTCAAAGACAGAAAAGAAGGTACTTCACCAAATTGTCCTGCTCTTTCTCTCAATCTTCCTCCACAGGATTTATGTATGCCGCAGTCTCTAGTAGGCTGCTTATGGTGACTATCCAACGACCCTTCCATGACCCCATATGTGCTTAAGGTCGAGACCATTCCAAAGGGAACGACCCAAATGGCACACTAGGCTCAGCGTTGATTCATATTCGTGCGAGGATTGCGAATCTGGAATTCAAGTCAATGGAATATTGCTATCTGGAAAGGAATCTACTCGACGTCCACTGGGACGTTGTACCCCATAAGTCCTGGTCATTTCGGCTGTTGAGTCTGGAAAAGGTTGGAGTTGGGTTAATATTGGCGTCCCATGTGCGAAAGAAGGACTATTATGTGCGAGTGGGAATTGCGGAAATGCCGCGATTTCGAGAGACTACTGAAGTTGAGGAGATTTATCTCATCTGATTTCTGGTGGTTCAAGCTGTGTGGAAGTCGAGAAGTCAAAGTCTGATAAGAATAAAAAGCCCCCTAAGCGAGCCACCCCTTTTTCATTTCCCTTAAAAGCGATCAAGGTACCTTGTCAATGATCCTATTCTGTTCCAAGCTGTTCTACAATCGATGTAGCCTTGAGCAGGATATGGCTCTGCACAAAGTCACGGGAGGTCATGCAGCCACAAGATGTTGTTGACCAATAATCAATGGACAACAACTTGACCACCACGCGTATCTCTACAGCCTCATTCGTGTCCCCTTATCACCTTTTGCAGCAAGACCCCACATACGACATCGAAAGATGTCTTTTTCATCTGAAGAATACACGTATACGCCATTTGAAAATACCACAGAAATAAGACTCCTCACTATCCATGCCGGCAAAGCAGAAGATCCGGTCACATGCAGCTTAGACGTCTGGGACTTGGAAAACGAGCCCATCTACGAGGCGTTATCTTACTGCTGGGGGCCTGGAAATTCTGAAACAATGGTACTGAATGGAATTCTGTTTCGACTCCGCGAGAATCTCTGGTCGGCATTATGGCATTTGCGAGAACAGGGCAAGGACCGTCTCATCTGGGCTGATGCTGTATGTATCAATCAAAAAGATATACCTGAGCGCAATAGTCAGATCCGGTTGATGAAAGATATTTATAAGAGGGCTACCCGAGTTATCGCATGGCTTGGCACTTCGTCCGAAGACAGCGACGTGGTTATGCGCTGGCTGACTACTCCACACTATGGTCGAGAGTGGTCTAATGAGATGGAATTAGGTATCAAAAAAATTGGAGAACGAGAGTACTGGCAACGGATGTGGGTCATTCAGGAGTGCTATCACGCGAGAGAGCTCATCATTCAGATTGGGAATTTCAGCATTGGATGGAGAGCACTCTTTCACGCCATAGACTGGAACGTGTCGGTCTTTGCACAGTCTGTCCTTGGCGTCGCTCGAAATCAAGGCCTCCGTCGTTTACAAAGACATACCATTGTTCATCTGATCAACCAATTCATGGATCATCGTTGTACCGATCCTAGAGATACTGTCTATGCAATCCTGTCGTTGCTCCCAGAAGAGGCCGTGAATGGCATCGAAGTAGACTACTCCAAAAGTTTAATGGCTGTCTTCTGCGATATCCTACAATTGCAGTCCGAGATGACAGACGTTCACAAAGATTCATACATCAAATCAAAGGCAGTGAATCCTCAAGGGTTTCCGATTCTGTTGTTTTCGCAGATCTTACATTGGTTTGTTGAAATCGGACACAAAGACCTCCCTAAAAAGAACAAGGATGTTTCGGCTCCCTTCCCCAAACGAGTTCCGTCTTTGAATCAAGACTACAGAGAAAAGTCCGGTGAGGACAACAAGAAAGCTTTTTTGGAGAGCTATCCCGGAGAAATCCCTGACCCTATCTTGGCCTGGCTCGAGGTTGACGAAGATAGGGACAATCCGAAGCACAAGCGTGATGGCTTTCAGTTTTGGAAACGGTCCAGCGTACTTCAGCCTCAGTCTTTCCCACCAGAACTAGCAAAACTGAGGAAGTTGAAGCTTTTTCTTGAGTCTTTTGAAATGCTGGGAGTTCTTAGATTGAGCATGTCGAACGCGGAAGTCATGGTGGATATGTGTACTCCGACTCCGAGCCGGCCATGCATTGTGATGCAACGTCAAACTGGAGTCTTCAAGGTGTATAGGAAGGCAGCTGAAGACGAAGTTGGTGGCGGATATCGTGAATGGCGAGATTTCATTTATCGGTACAACTTTTGCAGCCCTTCTTGGATATTTTCAATTTCGATTTTAGACGATTGAAAGCAAGGCAGTTGAATGAGAATGCTATAGATTCTAAACGCAATATCGGTAAATATAAGTCAGAGCCATAAATCTCTTGAAAATTTCCATGGCACGACTTGAATATCGGTAAGTACAGGAGGCGACGCTGTGCTTATGGGGACAAACCAATTATTGATTGGTCAAATCATCCTGACTGGCGGACAGATTTATCTGCTCTCGCTCTTTGGCCACCTGCCTCAGATTTCGATGCTCAAAGCCCAGGGAAAATAAGAATGCCAGAGCCCCTGCCACTAGCGCAAAGAGGAACACCCTTTGGATTGCATACGTGTAAGCTTCTTTCAGTAGAAGAAGGGTCTCTGGTGAGTATGATGCGAGAGTAGCCAATCCATATGCACCTGCAGAGATGACTTGGTCAACGGGCACATCGGGTATATTTCGAGTAACTTCGGACCTGAGGGTATTGATGAAAATTGTTTCCGCAATGCACAAGCCGAGAGCACCACCCAAAAAGAATGCGAATTGCATGATTGCTGACTTGCGTTAGTAGTATTTCAAAAGGAAGGTACCGTTGATTACCATTTCCGATGGGTACACTGGTTTCATCTAACACAGCTTGCACCGCAGTATATGGGTGATTAGCCGATATTCCAGTTCCAAAGGCAATGACAAGAAAGTAAGCAACCCATGTCCCCAGTCTTGTGTCCACGTTCAGCATGGTAAAAAGGCCTGATCCAATGACGCTAATGGCAGTTCCGCAGATCAAATATGGAGTCTGTGAAGGATATATCAGAGGCACTGCCACGGGGAGGTCAATTGTTAGGTACGCACATAATACCCGAATCTGGACGCTAGCCAGCCCGACAGTACGGTAAATCCAATCTGTGGTATTGCAAGGGCTAGGAAATCGATTCCACTCCTTAGTGGACTGAAGCCTTTGATGGATTGGAAGTATATAGGTATATAGTAAAAATACTTAGAACGTTAGCGATGTTCCCCTACTTCTTCGATGCAACTCACCACATAAGTTGGCATTGCCATTGCAAATAGGTACAATGCACCGGAAATGATTGATCGTCGCAGAAGAATTGAAAATGGCAAAGTTGCGTGGTCGCCACCTTTCCACTGAATCAGCATAAAGAGAATGAACATCAGGCCGGATCCCACAAAGAGACCGACAGTCGAAGGAGAGTTCCACGGAACAGTCTGGCCGCCCCTTTGCAACGCGAGAAGCAGGCAGCATATCGAAGCAATGATCAAGACCGTGCCTACGAGATCAAGCTCTTTCACCTTCTGGTACCAGGTAGAAGAACTTGATACTTTCTCACTAGATCTCTCCAATTTCAGGAAAACCATGATAAGGATCATGACAATAGCACCAGTGGGCACATTACTGAGTCAGGTCAGCCATCGTCAACCAGCTAATGTTGAAGGCTCACAGACATCCAAAAACACCACCGCCAGGTGACATGTTCTGTAAATACCCCGCCCAGCAGGGGGCCGATCTTCACGCAAAGAGCGAACGCACTGATCACAATGCCTAAATAGAGCGGCCGCTTTTCCAATGATACCGCCTTGGTGACGATAAGTAATGCCCCTTGAAGAATCCCTGCCGCACCACATCCTTGGATTGAGCGACCTATGATAAAGATGACGGAAGACGAAGCAGTAGCACAGACAATCGAACCAGCTTTTACGTATGAGCACTTATAATACTTCAGGGCTCGGGAGTGAGACATACCTTCGAACACTAAAATGCAGAACACATAGACAGATTTGACGTCGAGAATTATGAAAATCTTCCCAAAGCTGGGCTGTAAAGCTGTCAAAGTAAGGAAATAGCCACTTCCATACCATCCTATGTCACCCAGATCATGAAAAGCACTACTGATTGCAGGCGTGGCAGTGCCGATAATTGTGGTGTCCAACGCAACCAAGAACGTTCCCAAGAAGAGTGATCCTATCACAATGAAGAATGTCCAATCACGTGTTTTGGCACTCGGTTCTTGTTTTTCATCATGTAGTTCTAGGGGATGTAGTGGCTGGGGGTCAAGTGCTGAAGTGACGAATGCCAGTTCATCCGAGTCAGACGCGATTGAGCCTTTAGAAGCCATGTCTGGATACATCGAAACTTTGGGCTCCATCTTCTGCTGAAGAATTTTATAGGGCTGAGTTATTCGTCTCGAGGGTATCAAGGAGTGATGTCTTGATCATTTGAATTGGGTGCGGCATTGGGGTCTATATGCCTGGAAATAGCTATTAATATGTGCCGCAGTTAGAACATCCGAAGTAGTGATACAACATTCATGCACGTCGGTAAGATTACCACCACTTTAGTCAACACCTTGTTGGCCTTGCCTCGAATCCGCAGAACCTTTAGTGGAAAGGTTGCATGCCAATTTATTCATTAGCTAGCCTTGTTTCAGTTATTCATTTGCAGATTAATTTGCATCCGTAGGATGAGTGTGGCTTAGAGCTACCAAAATATTGACTTATCTGTCAACAAAGAGAAACAGTAATATGCCTACTCGTCCAAAGTATATTTGAAGTCGATTTTATGCTTTATGCTTGAAGAAGAGACAAAAGTCAAATTCATGAGTTTTGGAGCACATGGCAATAGGAACTGGTCTAATTGATTACGAACTTGCTGAAAATTTGTGGTACGATATATGGTGCTTGAAGCTACAAGTTATATTCAAGTAATCAAACACCCAAGTCTGGGTTTCGAAGAAAGTTATAGTATACTGCCGTGCCTGGTTTCCACACCCAGCTCTAGCTCCTAGACTTAATTCCGCACTTATGTTTGAATGCGAATGTACGGTACCTGGATTGTAATGAGTTTGAGTTTGGATATCACTTTGAAGAAGTACACACCTTTCCATATATCCAACAGTCACACTCAATAATCCAGCCGTTCATATCAGGACCCTCTCTCAACGTCAACTCCCTGCATCTTCCGCAGTTGCTGGTGGTAGTCTTGCTCAACCTCTGTGTTCATTGTACCCAAAGTAGCAAGCTCGCTTACGGCCACACTCTGTCCATTGGTGCGTTGAACCCTGCGAATAAAGGTTCTCAGCCCAGACATCTTAGCATTAGGAACTTCAGGTGACCAGTCTTTGAGTTGCTCCGCTCCACTGTTGTCTGGTCTTGAAAGGAGTGTGTTCGAGTATTTCTTAGCTGAGTGCCAGGAGGACACTATGTTTGTTACTAAGGTCTTCAAGGAGACCGTGATGGCGGGCATGCAGCTGGCGATTAGACCGAAGCATACTTCGCAGAGACTATTTGAGAGAGTTATTAACAGTCTGCCGGGGAGGTTTGATAGAGGGAGTAAGAAAGATGCTATACCCGAACAAGTATTCTAACGTCGGATGGTCAGGGTCGGCCATACTGAGTTGCACACGAGTAACCAGCCCTCCGACTGAACTGGCAACGGCACTTCAAGCTGTATCAACATGCGTTCTATCAATTAGGGGGAATTCCAAATTTGACTCACAGGAAACCTGTAAGAAAGACCACCATGACACCAGCCTTGCGCTTGGTGGGAAGTCTCAGATGAGACACTATCCACAATGGAATGGCTACGATATATAAATCCGAGATGAAACCAAAGATTCCTTGGGCATGAGCCAGTTTGATCTCTGTCGGGGCACAAGAACCATATTCTGCCTTTGAAAGCCAGGTCTCCCCATGTCCGGGCGTGCACACCGCTAGGACCACGATAATATTGGTTAAGTAGAAGGCAGTCACAACAGTTATGCCTACCCACATGGCATAACGAGCCCAAAGCTCTGCCTGGAATATTCGATAATTAAAGACCAAAATCGATATTTTGACGAACATGAGAGCCGCAGGACTGGCTACCAATGACATAGCAATGAGCTAAAACTACAGTTAGTGACGGAGTCTGAAGTTTAGCAAATGGAGTGGCCTGCCTCGACATATTGATTGGTGATCGCTGCAACGGGAATATCCCAGAGATGTCTTCCAAGTGGCGAGATTGGCTTCAAGTTCAGTACTATACATTCATATTGAATATCAGTCTTGATTCTGCCATGTAATATCGTACTTGAATTTGGAGAGGGGAATGATTACTTGTCAACAGAATCCCGCTATAAGCAAGTACGCAAGCCTTTCTGTGCATTAGTCCGGGCTTAGATATGGTCAACAACACAAGGATACTAACAACACCGACAATGCAAAAAACTAGATCTGTTGTCAGCAAAGTTCGATCAACCTACGTAATTCCTCACTCACAATCGTCGACACCAAACATCCGGGTCACGAAAGCACGAGTATAGATTCGAGCCACCACGAAGGAGAGCATTAGTGGTAAGAGAACGTAAATTCCAATCGTCAAAACAGGCCTAATGGTCTGCGGATCGACGAAATTCGGTACCACTCCAGGAGGAGGTCGCCCCGCTGGAATATTCCAGAAATCGATTGTAGACTCATTCATAATGCAGGTTTGGGCAAATAATCGAAGTTGATTATCACCTCTCAACAAGATGACTGCGCTGTAGTAGAGGAGTTAAGACAAAGGTATCGTTCAAAATCAATGCTGAAGGCAGATATTGCAATTGAAGGTAGAAAAGGCCTAGGTCGGCTTTCCATTGTCGAGGACTACAAACACGAACTTCGCATAGAATTCCCGCCATGATACAAACCGATGGCTTGCATGGAACTAATGCAACCATGCCACTTCGATATCAGCAGCGGGACATCGAGGAGCTCTTCTGAAAGCGCAGCAAACACTGTGTGACTTAGGCTGGGCTATGGGGTAAATTGGCTTGACTGTGGTATTACGGCGTATTATCTGCAAGAGATTCTCAATCCATACCTGCACTTCCTTCGGGAATCTTGGGTATTCCCATCTCTGGTCGTAGCCGTACCGAAGGTGTGGCACACCACGATGTATATCCTTGCAAGAACAAGCGATTTACGCATGGGGAACACTGATTGGCTAGTTTCTAGCGATGCTTGGCGAAGTAAGAACTATAACTCTACTTTCACTCATGGTGATGATATGTGACATTAGGCGACAAATAATGGTCAAGCAAGTTCATTTTCAACACTGTCCGCGAAACTATCAAGCTGTGTTACGACACAAGCTTCTTTGATCTGTTCTTTGACTGAAAAAGGTTTACCAAGCTAGAGAGAGTAGATGGGCCGCTGAAAGCACCAGAGAATTCAATGCCACACGGTGGGATACCATACAAGTCTAATGGAGACACAAAATGACATTTTTCGGTGCCTTTCTGCTTCAAGCATGGGACATCAATTCCGTGTCGTTTCCACACACTTGCAGGAGCACGTACTCCTGTAGCACAAACAGATCCTTTATACAAATAATCACGTCCAAGCACCGAGCCCCATGCAGCTGTCTGCCAAGTAAGGGAATTGCAAGACGTATCTTGGCGAGGGAACCGCAATACTTAGCTTTGTCACCATCTTTGTAATAATTGTTTCCTCCCGCTTTACGGCGCAGCAGTGTTGCGTTGCGGCAAATAAATATTCTCGCGTGCATACTTACGAATGCTTTCGCTGGATTTGTTCGCTAACATAAGCATACGCTGGGAATGTTTAGAGTCGCAGAGCAGCTCGCCTCGTCCCGAGCGAAGTAATTCCTTAATCGCACGCGGCGTGCCAGGACGCTCCTGATACACCCTGGATGTTTCATGAGCTGTCGATAAATACCTCACACGGCATCCCAGCCCCCAAGTCGCGATATAAAAATGTAAGGATTGAATCCTTATCCAATCTTTAATATCAAGTAACTTCCTCAAGTCCCCTTGAAATATACGTGTATGCATGCAGATCGCAACCATCACTCCCATTGCCTTAGTTGCATTACCGTTTGGTTACTCAGATCGCCGACTCCCACCCATCACGATCTCTTTTCCGTCCACCTTCCAATACAGCAGTATGCCCTGATCAGGGGGCATCCACGGTCATCCAAAACATTTCGAATACCGTACTGATGCGAATGTTGCTATTTTGGAGATGTATGCCGGTGAGCTGAGCCTTGCTTGAGGACTATCGGCAGAATGGACTTCTGCAACGTTCCAAGCCTTTGTGATTTGAAAGGTGATCTACAGCATGCTACCAACATTTCATGACATATAAAGTCTGCTGGAGTGTTCTATAATCTTCGCTCCATCGATCACAAGCCGAGCTTAGGTTGATCGACTTGCGAAGATGTCTTTCAGCACTATTCTTGTACTGATGACTTTTAAATCTCATTTCTTGAATGTAGCTCTCTGTGCTACAACAGCATTCTTGTTCTTTGTGACAATTCACTATCTCATAACGGTAATCAATTTTCACATGGCGGCAAAGAAGTCAAACAAAAGCAACTCTCCACCCCTTGCACCACACATGATACCACTTTTTGGGAATCTGCCATTAAGGTTTATCTGGGATGCACACAAATTTGTTTGTTCATCGAGGTAAGCTGTGCTAGAAGCTTGAAATCGGCAACTCGAGCAAAACCTAGTAGCTAACCGAGGACACAGATATGCATTTGGTTGCTCATATCCCATCCGAGTCAAGCTCATGTTTCAAGAATTCTACATTGTGCAAGGGGCAAGCAACGTCCTCGCTCTTTACAAGAACCCAACTCTGTCTGCGTTCTTCCTCCATGGGTATCTTCTCACACATGTTTTCTCACTTCCATCCTCGGCAGTGAGCACGTACTACCGTGACAACTCTGGGGATATTGAGAAGCCTTTCGAGGACAGTTCCGTCGACCCACACAATCGTGTCGAGTTTCTAAGTCGTTCTACATTCCTCAGACTGCTGAGTGGACCCGGATACGCTCCTCTTCGGGCAAGATTTGAGCATAACATCGCTCAGAGACTACAATCTCTCAGTGTTAGTCAAGACTGGACGCCAATCGGCAACCTCATGGACATATTTCACCACCAAGTGACTGGCGCCGTGATAGACTCATTGTGTGGAACCTTTCTTCTCAATCAACACCCAGAATTCACAAGAGACCTTTGGGCCTTGGATTCTAACGTAACGACATTCTTTGTAAAGACACCGAGATTCCTGGCTTCTGGAGTCTACAAGAATCGCGAGAAGTTACGAACATGGGGACAAAAGTCCGTGCGTTCAGGGCATCAGAATCATGAATTTTATTAATTAATTAGCTGTAGACCAGCCACATCGCTTAATTAAGTCGTGTACCCAGAAGTCCTGCTGCTCAATAAGCCCATTGATCCATTCCTGAGGAATTTTGTCCCATTCTTCTAATACTGCTACAACCATTTGAACCTCAGTTGTTGGCTGCCTTAGGCGCCTATGGAGAGCTTGTTTTATTCTCCTCCAGCACTTCTCAATAGGATTCATATCAGGGCTAACTGCAGGATGGGGGAATAGAGTAATACCCATAGAAGTACGCCAAGTAGCACAAATATTGCTAGTAGTCTTGTGGCCGTGAGCAGAGTTGCCGTCTTCCATGAACTGAGGGGTCTTCCCAGGCCCCAAAACAGCCGCAAAAGCAGCTAAAAAATCCTGAATATAAGGCTTGAGTACTTAAGCAAGGTAATCAGTTTGTGTAAATGCCCCACTCTTCCCAGTTCCATGAATGTTGATCAATGGACTTTTGTATCCGTAGCCTACAGCACCAAAGAAGTGTACAGGAATAGTGCCACCTCTATGCATTTGGAATTGAATGCAGTCAGGATGACAGCGTTCCTTCTTATTCCTAATACACCTCTGCTTGCATTTCTTCCCTCCAACTTGAAATGTGACCTCATCTGAGTACAGTATCTGACTCCATTCTCAAATAGTCCAAAACATGTGTGCTATCCCCCACAGCCACCGCGCATTGGCTTGGGTCTTAGTGAGGTAGGGCTTTTGGCAGCAGATACAAGAGTAGTATCCAGCTTCTTTGCAGCGGCGTTTGAGGGTCTTGACAGAGCAAGAGAGTTGCAATTCATCGTGTATTTGGATCCAATTCAGCACTCTAGTTGCATGGTCGGTGCAAATATACTCAATAATATCTCTAACCTCCTGTTCATTGAGGGATTCTCTGGGTCTCCCTGTGCGTGTAGGGCGCGCTCTTTCAGGCACATCGTATAGTAGGATCTTCCTAACTGTGCTGTCTCCTAGGTGGTAGTAGCCCTGGAGCTGTTGCAGGCCTATTTTAGCGAATTTGAAGAGCCGGCGTATGCCCTCTTTGTGCTTGGTTCTGATCTCTGCACCTGGGAGACGTGGAGACATAGGTGGAGTGGTAAAAGGATCCATAATGGTGGAGTTGTTGATAGTTTAGTCCTAATGTGAAGAGTTTTAATTTCGAGGTTCTACAGCCTGAACGCACGGACTTTTGTCCCCATGTTCGTTACTCAACGCCGTTAAAACATGGCAATCATGGGCGCGACACAGCTTTTCACCTGAATGTGTTGATGCTGATAATGATGATCCCTACTGGGGAACCAAGTTCTTCCGAGACAGACATGATATGTTCCTGAAGATGGATGGGTTCGATGTGGACGCAGTTGCTTCAGAGGAGTTAGCATTCATCTGGGCGTAAGTTGACTCAGTTTGATTCAGGAACCAGTACCATAGAATCATATTGATAGTTCATAGGACCAACACCAACTCCATTATTTCTGCTTTTTGGACTACATTGGAAGTTTTTAAGGATCAGCAGCTCCTAGATCAGGTCCGTGCAGAAGTAGAATCCTGCAAGAAAGCGGACAGTACAGTTGATCTACGCTTTGATGTCTCAAAGCTGTTAACTCAACCCCTTCTCCAGTCTGTTTACGCTGAAACTTTGCGCTTAAGGGTGAATGGATTCCTCTTGCGCCGTTCGGACAGAACCGACTTAGATATCAACGGTTGGAAAATCCCCAAAAACCGGCTCTGCGTTACGAGCTCAACCCCAGGGCACATGGACCCGAACATCTGGTGCACAGGCACCAACATGCATCATCCTACCAATGAGTTCTGGGCTGGACGGTTCTTGAAGGAGAATCGCAGCACAGGCGAAGTCGAATTCTCTTTTAAGGGAACGGAAGGTTCATGGGTGCCCTTTGGGACTGGGTCACATAGTTGTCCCGGCAGAAACTTTGCTAAGGTTGTTGCTCTCTTCGTAGTGGCCCAGATGGTGAGCAGATATGATTGCGAAGTGCTTGCAGATAATGCAAGCATGAAGATGGGCTCTAAGAGTGTTGGTTTCGGGACGCTAAGGCCGGTTGGGAAGATTCCTGTGAGGATTCGGCGAAGACCTGCGTAGAGCTGCATTGCTCAGTAGGATGCGAGGATTTGATTTGATACTTCATTCTGCCCAGAGTACACACCCTGTATGATAATGCTTACGAACTAGCCTATTATGTCTTTGATTTGCTGCCGGTATCCAAAACAGAACATTGACCAATTCTAACAACGTTAACGTATATGAACATATACCATTGTAATACGCAAGCATTCGAGCAAGGATCGCGTTATAAACTCCTTCCCCATGGGGGCGGACCGTACCGCTGGCATCTGATTGCAATCTGACTGCATGCAAAGCGCCACACCGATACGATATACCTACTGCAAGACGAGATGCACTGCCTGCCGCGACATTCTTTTGGGACAACGCCGCCGGGAAATCCAGATCTTCGACAATTTCCAAATGAAGCTTCCGTGTCTCACAAAATATTACAATCACTAGCCCATGCATGTTGGATCTCCCAGCACATCCGCCTAATACCGAATCATGCAGAGCGCAAAGAATGTGATCAAATTAAGTCTGCGCCCCATTTTTCACCCTGCGCCTCAGTTTGTAAGCGTCAAGAACTTTGGTCCTTTCACTGAGGTAGCGGGCTATGCGAGTGAGTAATAATAGGTTAGGCTTAAGCCCACCACAGCACGCCGTCCACCTCAAGCGCTCTCAAAGACGACCACCAGTTCTTGTTCCCCCTGTTCCTATCAACATTGATGTTCTTCCCTTCCTAGCTTATTTTTTCGACCCTGACTTCCGTCTCTGCCAGTTGTCTCCAGCCGAAAGCGTGTCGCTCCGATCCACAAGAACATACTGTTTGGCACGGGCTGGTCGAATATCATCGGCAAGATGATTTTGCAACTGGTGACTGCTGCTCTCGCTCTTCTTGGATCTTACCTCTTCATGAGAGTTCGACATACGAGGCTCAAACAATACGCTACTTTTCCTCAATTACGTCCATCCCTTATTCTAGGACACCTGGGGATTATGGGTGGCTTTGTGCGTTCAGGCAAGCCAAAAGGTCATCCAGGTAAGCGTTCATGACCCTAATCTGAGTTCAGTGTTGCGCGCTGATTGGGCTTACAGCACTAACTCTCATGAACAGATCTCGCACTTGCCGCCATGAACGAGGCTCTAGGCAGGCCGCCTCTCATGTTTGTTGATCTTAGGCCTGCTGGCCCGCCAATGGTAGTCGTGAGAAGTCATGAAGTGGCTGAGCAGATCTCCAAAGCATCTGAGCGCTTCCCCCACAGTCTTCCCAAGATGTCCGAAGTATATGAGCATATGATCTACATGACTGGTCCAACGTCAATACTCAGCTCGCAGGTATTTACGCATCCTACTTGAAGTTAATTAGCTAACTTCAATCTGTAACAAAGGGTGAAGACTGGAAGTTGCTGCGCAAACGTTACAATGCCGGCTTTGCACCACAGTACTTACTAGCCTTCTTGCCCCGAATCCTTGAAAGGTCCTTCACTTTCCTCGGTCATCTGGATGATCTCGTAGCAAGCTGTCAAAGTTTCTCACTCGTCAACCTTACACGCAACCTAACCTTCGATATAATCGGTAGTGTTGTAATGGATTGTAACTTTGGTGCCCAAAATAAGAATCAGCGAACTGACTTCACGAATACCTACCAAGCGCTACTCCGTACATATGAAGGTGAACAGATAGATCTCCCATGGTACTTCACACCACGAGTAGAGTGGAGACGCCGTCAGCTCGCAGGTCGTGTGAGAGAGACGCTCCGAACCGTCGTTGGTGACGCATTTAACAAAAGGAACCATCAGACCGCACCAAACAAATCTCGGAGCATTCTCTCCTTAAGTCTTCAGGATGTCGACGTGTTGACCGATCGAGCAATCGATGAGGCCTGTGACCAACTAAGCACGTTTTTGTTTGCGGGACACGACACAACGAGTATTCTGCTGTCTTGGATGTTCTACGAGTTATACCGTACACCTCATGTTCTCCGAGCCCTTCACGACGAATTGAACAGTCTCTTTGGGTTAGGTGAGATTTTCCCTCCTTTCAATTCAAGTGTTAAATGCTAACAGTTCGAGACTCTAACCCATCTGTCGTGCGCGACATATTACTTTCGGACAGAGGCCATGACATCTTGAACCGTATGACCTATACCTCGGCTATTATCAAAGAAACTCTACGTCTATGGCCTCCAGCCGGTACAGTTCGCACTTTACCTCTCGGTACTCATCTCAAGATAGAAACATCGAATGGCGAGTATATGTTAGAAGAAGGAGCCGTCATCTATAGTTGCGCAACCATGATCCATCGAGATCCAGAGGTGTACGCGGACACGGCTAACGACTTCGTGCCGGAAAGATGGTTGCCCAACGTGGCCAACCAAATCCCAATTTCAGCCTGGCGTGGATTTGAGAGAGGTCCACGTAACTGTATTGGACAAGAGTTGGCAACGTTGGAGGCGCGGATCGTGGTTGCGCTTATTGCGCGCCGTTACGACTTTTCGAAGGTATGAAACCCTGGTAACTTACTTAGCCCTGTCAATCCCCTTAATTTACACATTGTTTTTCTAGGACGGAATTGGCGAAATCACTCTTGACGAGGCTCGTAAGCCAATACTGGATGTCAAGGGCCGCTTCAAAGTCGCCGAAGAAATGTACCAAGTGAGTCTCCAGCATCACCTAATTTTCGTTAGCAAATGCGCTGCATATATAGCTTGCTATCTTGGCTGACATGATCCTGGACAGACACGAGAGTTAGTTTCAAAGCCTGTTGATGGGATGATGATGCGAGTCAAGAGACATTAACAGTATTTGAAGGCAGCAGCTTGTGCCGGGAATACGTGAGGAAATGAGATGCATGTGATTAGCCCGTCGGAGCTAAAACCCCTGAATTAAGCGAATACTCTACCACGACTGGACTAGAGGTCTAATATCGTATATTACTATTCAATATACATTCTAAAATGTCCTCATGTATTCATATATCATTACCCAAGCCTTCTTTATCAACCCCAAACCTCACTCCATCATCATTGCCCTCCTCACCCCACCACCGCAGACTAAAACCCTCTTTGCCACCAAACACCTCCAATTTCCTCAGCTCCTCATTACTTAACCACTCCGACCCCGCAGGAAAACATTCCAACAGCTTTGCCCCAGCAAGCAAACTAGCTACCGCTGCGATACTAGTCGGGCTTGAAGGCAACACCCTATCAGATTTCCAACTCGTGATAAACACAACAATCATACAAAACAAAATAACAGCCAGCACACCCTGCAATATACGCGTGGGAATAGGACTCTGTACAAGTCTCAATCTCGAATTATCAGTCAACGAACCCGACAAAGCTGGTGTTGGAGAAAGGGGTACAGATCGGAGGTAAATATTTGCTATTTGTGCTGAGAGGATTTGGTATGCTGATTCCATACTACTCAAAACGTCTGATGCCTTATCGTTCCGGCTGATGTTGGAAAGAGGCAGAGGATTGGGGTCGGACATTAAAAGCGATTGGAAGAATGGATCCGTGTCCGACCCTGCGCCATTATTCGATGATGTCGGGAGATCAGTGAAACTTTGCACGGTAATGGGCCATATGTCTGGGAGCGCTTGAACAACTGCTGTGTTCTCGTCCGCTATAGCAGACTGTATTGTGTAGTTCGGAAGCAAGTAACTGACGTTCACGTCAAGTCGCTGGTAGAATGGGTTGCACCATGCGACGCTGATGTTTGCATTGGTGATATTTTTGGAGATTTCGGGGTCGATGTATCCGTATATCATGACGAATTGGGGACAAGTACTATTCACACTGCTCATTAGACCTTCGTCTGTTGATCCATATCTTACTTGTCCAACAAATCCAGATGCAAAACTGTATTGGGTTTGGGTGAAGTTGAAATTCACGTTGCCGCACTGTGGCAGAGATGGAGTCTGGATAACGAGTCCTTTGACATCCGGCATAGGCTGCCCATAAGTCGTGTAGGAAACCTCTGCCATTCCTAATCCCTTGAATACAACCTGTGAGTCTGGAAGGAGAGAACAATTTAGATTGCCTCTGATAGCAGGAACAGTAAGCTGCAAGGTTTGTCCATCGGAACTGGGATTTGTGAGTCTCGTAGATTGATTGCTTGATATGTTGACTCTTGGCAATGTGAACTCAGATGTTGTCCACAGAGGTTTTGGCACGTTGTAATCAAAGAACCAGACCGGGTAGAGACTCTCTGTTAATAGTCACCGCAAAACCATCGTTCCAAGCCGATGGGATTGTAGCAGAGTCGTTCACCAGTTGAGAACCATCCAGCGCATCCAGTTGCGAAATTGTGATGTTGGGAATTATTTGTGGCTTGAGCTCTGCAACATAGAGACCACTGACAGCAATCGTCAAGACATGTACTAGTAGCACTGCCGTAGTGGAAGCTATAGCTGTGAATTGAATAGTTCTCATCGCTGACCAGAGCCTGCTCGGAGCAAGTCTATTCAATTGGTCGTCTAGAACACTGGTTGCTGCAGAAGCATTCCCTTTTCGTAGAGCCAGATAAGGTTGTATGATTCGCATGGTAAAGTCAAAGCCACCCAAGAGCATGCCAAGAATGACAACTGCGGTGACCGGCACATACGACCAGGCAAGCTTAACATAGTCGTTGTCAGGTACCGATGCGAGTCCGTCTCGTCGTTGAGAAAGCCGATAGAGTATCTCGAGTAGGGTAATAAACATGCTCAGCAGGGCAACAATTAGCACTTTGTTCACTATGGTTGTTGAGTACGGCTTCCACCATTTGATGTTCGTTTCACTCGATGGAGGCAATGTTTTTGGCTCCTTCTCTCCAAATTCAACAACATCGACTTTGAATTGTGGGTCTTCACCACCGACATCCATATTTGTGCGGTACCTCGAATGTTTTGTATGATCAAGTAAAGATGAACGGTCGAGCTGGCCTTTTCCTAGCATAAACTGCATAAAATCTGGACTTTGAGAGACAATTGAGGCAAGCCCAGCAATTGTGCTAGGATCTCGGGATGTCGTTCCTCGCGGAGCGACGAAAGTCAAAGCGGTGGCGACGAACATTGTGATTGAAAGCGCAGCAACGATCAGCGCCATCGACAGACTCTGAACCATTAAACGATTCGAGTCTCCAGTAATAGTCCCCTGAATGGAAGAATTTGAAGACACAGTAAAGACGCGGCGGGCAATCTGTGCCGTAAAACTGGAATATATATTGGAAATATTCTGGCTCAGAATTGCGGGATCGACCCAATTACTTGTGTGATGGTCCGTAACGTTGAGCACCGTGAAGAAGTAATCTCCTAGGGGACTATTTTCGAAGTCTTGCTTGAGATCCGGAGGCTGAAGCTCCACAGCAGCTCGGAAGGCATCCAATACATCCAATGCCGAGAGATCGGCAAACTTCCCATTTGTGCCAGTACCAATATCTGGCGGTAAGATCTCTTGGCTATAGGGGAGTGAGATCTGCGAGTTTCCGAGATTGTAGGATGGCTGGCACAGGACAGCAGTAAGCTGTGTGTAATTCTGGACGAGTCCGCGGAATGCGAAGATGACTTGGTCTTGACTTTTGTCTCGGGTCTGCATCTCGGCCAGCCCATTCCACGAGATAGTTGTGAGACCCGTAGAGCAATTCACAAGATACATCGATCCGAAATATTGCGTCTCCACCTGGAGAGGCGCATTGCAAGATGGCGAAGCAATATCCAACATATAATAACCAAGGTTGTCATTGTTAGTCAGATTGACCTGGACGCCGTTGTAAGGAATCAAATTCTGCTCCACGTCGAAGGTATAACTATAATTCAGGCGATCCAAGAGCGGCTGGCAGGTTAAGTGGGCGGAAAATTGATTCGCGATGCCACTCATGGACAATCCCGAGACTACAGAGAGTTAGTCTTTGCAAATTCAATATGTTGTCGAATTTACTTACGATCAAAATTCTTTGGTGGACTTGAAAGGTTGAAGAATTGATATGCTTGCGTTGGGGTCGTACCCACTGGGTAGGTCAGATTGAAGTTTTGTATTGCATACCAATTCGAGTACGGGGCTCCATCGATGGAACTAAGACTGTAGTTGTTCGTGTCGAATTGATAGTCTGCCATGAGATCTGGGCTGGTTTCTTGGACTTGAATAACTTCCAGATCAAGGAGGCCAGATGAGAAAATGATCGCCAACTTCAACAGCAGCCCTCCCGTGATGGCCAGAGACACTGGCCAGTGAGCCGCCCGGACGGACTTGAAAAGAGAGATGATACCCATAGGATCCACGTAGTCGAGTAATACTGATTCTTCTGCACCTGCGTCTTTGCTATGCATAACTTTTCAAGGCATAAGTTGTTTGGTACGAAGCTCAACTTGACCCCATAAAGCTGATATTAGAACTAGAACTGAAAGATGGCATCGATTAGTGATGCAATAAAACTCAGATGAGTAGACAACTCACCTGCTGTCGGGCCATATTTCCATAGTAGATGCAAATTCTCCGAAGGTGACCCAAGACCGTGGTTGTGGTGTGATACTGCATACAGAATCCCAAGAACAATGATCATGACAAGACAAGCAAGCGCAAATATCATGAGAACGCTTTTTCGTAGGAAGAAAGGGCTGTAGAGTAAGGCAGTTGTTGAGCCTCTCGTATCTTTGCCCTTTTCGGATTGCTCCTCTTCGTCGATAGACGTGTGGGAGCTAGAAGCCATTTGATGAAGTGCGTTGCCAAAATCGTCTCCATGAACAGAGTGAACTACATTCGGTCGGCTAGTCGTCGAAACAGGACTAACATTTCCACTCAAAGCCGTTTCAAAGTCTATGGAAAGAGGTTCGAATGCCGGCGTTGAAGGGAGGAGGTGTTTCTGCTCAAAGCTCCTCTGAGAAATGCGATTTTCCTCCATGGCAGCAACAACATCCTGTTGGACGGACTGGTACTCGGAACTCATTTGCCGGAAGATGCGAATGTAAGGTGCACGATTTGGATTCTGCGTCGGCAGGGGCGTCTTCTTAATATTGAAGCAAAAGAGAAGAGCGGCTGATACAATCGATAACAGAGAGGATCTGAGGGGGCCATGTTAGGCTCCCGTCGCGGCTGAGCCCCATTTTATGAGCAGTAGATGGACAAGAAGGCAAGATTTTGGCCCCCAACTGCAATGTCATTGGGTCCTTGAATGCGAGACGCGAGGCAGGGGAGCCTTGAAAGTGGCAAGCCTCATGACAATCCATGCATATCTAAAAGTACTCGCATTCTCCTGGAAGGCGAGCAGTGTGACTGGATGCGAGCGCGGAATGAAAAAATGTGATAAATAGCATTACAGTTCGCAAAGATTTTTTTTTTTGGAGAGAAAAAAGCTTCAGAAGTTCAAATAAAAGTTGCGCGGCAAAGATTCAGCGTAGGGGAAGCGGCGGGCATGGGGTGGAACTTATACACAGCCCTGGATTTGGCAAAGAGACGAACGTGCTACTCAATGCTTGTTCACCCATAAATTCTAAAGCCCTTGTACCAAGAAAAGTTACATGCCATATTTCTAGGTCTCGGCAGCAATGGAAGTGATCTTCCCTCGGATGGGTAAGCAAGGGACAGTTCGAGTCGATTTTGGACACTTGAAAGAGAATCCTCTAAAGAGAGCGTTGAAAAGATTGACTGCGCTGCACTAACAGACTCGAAGTGTTCTGATGGTTTGCAAGAGTCCCCAAGTCGGTCTGCATATCACGAGCAACAGCAATGGCAGGGACCTCGAATTTGGGGGCTGGAAAAGTTTCGAGTTCCGAGTTCTTTCAAACTTTTGAAATATTCTATAAACCAGGAGGACGGAGTCTTTGAAGACTTCCATGACGCTATGTACTTGAACCAGCTCTGCTCACCTCTGAGATACTGTAGAAGCCCTGACTTAAGCGAGCACCCCTTTTCTAATCTCCTGACTTCGACATCGACTTGCACTACAACCTGACAACGCACCCAACTTCAAGACTCTCATCCCGATCCCATGCAAGGCCAGAACGGCGAAAGCCGAAAACCTTCCCTCACAACTCATGCTTGAAGACACGTGATCATACAATAATCCGCGCTAGTGAATTCGCTGCAGCCTTGTCAAAACAATGATCCTTCACTTCTCAAAACCGTTATTTTCGTACCACGACCACGCTTACCAACAGCATCTGCGTTACCAGCCACGGAAGCATGCATTGTACCACTTGATATATCTTAGATGCTTCCATCCGCAGCTTCAACCGTTTCCGCTCGACCATTCACCGAATTACCTCCCAAACCGTTCCACAGCCTCGCGGAACGACGCGCCCGTCTCCCTGTTCCGGGCACCAGCTGCACCACAACGACCCATTTGAGGTCTTTGAGGCGATTTTCATGATGGCCTGGAAGCCACTGCGAGTCTCCGCATCTGCGGGCGCGCATCTGCCGCCTCTCCTAATATCTACGAACTTCACGAATGATTCGTACACAATCTATCTCAGCGACCTGACGAGTATCTGGAGTGAATCTTTGGAGCGTGCAGCCATTATACGCCGCAGTCGGGAGGAAAGTACGAGCATTGATCCGAGTGACGCAGCTCAGTTCAAAATATTTCGGGACAAGATCAAGTTGGGGCTGGAAGGAGGAAAGGACACAACATTAGCTTTGAGCATATTGGCCGACCCGAGCCGACCCTCTCTTGTCCTTAACGTTACCGTCAATCTTCCAGGTGGTCTTCCGCCGTTGGACTGGCCGATCCGACTTGCTGCTGGACCCCAATGCATGTTAACGGGTCAGTTGATCAAACCTCTGTTGCAGGCACAGCATGAACGGATCCAGGAGGCGAATAGCTTGGTGGACATCTTGAAAGACAAGGACCATGTCATACAAAAGTTGTTGGACAAGTTGGAAAGCCAGGGAACGGAACTGTCTCAAGTGTTCCCACAGGCTGCAGGCAAGGTGGGACGCAAAGTGGACAGGAAGAAGGCTGCGGAAAGGGTGAAAGGTCTGGCTCAGTTCGACGTGGGGAGTTGGAAGGAAGGCCTGGACTATGCCCAATCGCCAGATACGACACAGCTGATTGCCAACATCTTTGGGGCTAGCGCTGATGCTCTGCCCCTCCGCGGAGGCGATGAGATCTCTGAGGAGGATACCGAAGAGTGGTGGGACAACATCAAGGGCATTACCGTGAATTTGGTAACAGGCAAGATCTCAACAAGGGGGCCTTCAAAGGCAAGTAGAAGGACAACGCCATTGTCGAAAATACCACCACCACTTCCGAAGCAAGAATCCACTAATGATGATGACGCTTTCCAAACTCAAGCTACACCACCTCGAAGCTCGAATGCGAAAGTATCAGCGCCGAAAGCAAAGGTTGAGACTTCTTCCGATGATGATGACCTTGATGCTCCTTCTCAGCGGTCCACAAAGCGTTCCAAAATTCCCGACAGCTTTCCGAAATCTCCTTCTCCCCATCTAAAAGCACCTTCACTAAAGGTGGTAAAAAAGTTTGGCAATTTAGGCGGTGAGAAAGCCGCACCTGCACCATCTCCACCCACGAAAGAGGATGAAAGCACAGATGACGAGGAGCCAATACCTCTACCAAAGTCTACCAAGAAAGCTTCACCACAGGTCATAGTCCCCGACGATGAAGTTACAGAAAATGACGACGAACACACCTCACCCCCACCAAAAGCCGCACCCCAAGCACGTTCACCGTCCCCAGAACCTGTCCCCAAACCACAAAAGAAATTCGGCAAAATAGGCGGCAAGAAAGACACCCCTCCACCCCCAACACCCGAATTAGAACCCGACGACGAACCCGAACCGTCACCACCCCCAAAAGCCGCCACCCCGCCAGCAACCAAGGCCAAGAAACCGAAATTCGGCCAGATAGGCGGCAAGAAGAAGACCTCCGAATCAACACCTGTACCGGAAGAAAGCGTCGCAACATCACCAGCGCCAAAGGCTGGCATAAAGAGAAAGCTCGGAGCAATCGGACACAAAGCTGTCAAGGCTGAACCATCTTCGCAAAACCCTGAAGAGGATATTAGAGGTCGAGCTCCTACCAAGGAAGAGACTCCACCGCCCAGAGAGACGTCTGAAGACAGGGCAGATAGGAAGCGCGAACAGCTGAAACGGGAGTTAGAGGAGAAAGCCAAGGCGCCCGTGAAGAAGAAGCGGAAATTTTGAGGAAATATTGTACAGTTATATACCCGTGAACATATGAAGGAGTTTGTTTGAGTGCTCATTACTATTGCCGTTGATGTTACATATGCCCCAACGCCGCGCCATGCCGCATAAAAAGAGATAACCACCACCGCGGGTATCGTCGTCAACGCCTCAGAAAACCTCCTATGTACCCTACTCCTCACCTGGAGCAACAAGCTTAACGCTCTTCTTCCTCTCTATGCTTCCGCTCCCACTCAACCCCGTAATCCCTAAAGCAACTCTCACGCCCTCTACAGCTCTACTCTGTCCCACCTCTCTCTGATCCCTCCTCACGCTCCTCCCACCCTTGATCCCCAATCTCTGCCCCTCTTTAATCAACGCATCCATCTCCCTCTCCTTCGCGACTCTTTTCTCCTCCGCCCTCTCATCTCGCCACTTGCCCGGAAGACAAGGATGCAAACACCCCTCCAACGGACAACAACCCTCGGAAAACGCTTCTCCCTCCGCCAAATGCCACGCCAGCATACAAGTCGTATGGCCACCGTGTCCACACCCCGGACACAGGAACCAAGTCGGGAGTTTTAACTCCTCTTCCGCCAACCCCTCATATAGAATCGAGGTATCGAGTTCCCGACTAAGACACACGGCACAAGGAGCGATGTTCTCTCCGCAGCGAGGACAGCGCCACATGGAGTCTGGGATATTGGGGTCATTTTCAATGGGTTTGTTGCAGGATGTGCAGAAGAAGCCGATCTTGACGTCTTCTTGGGCGGTGGCGAAGACGTGGGGGTACGCGGGGACGCAGAGGTTGCGGAGCGTGGCTGCTTCGGTGAAGAGCTTCATTGAGGTGAGGCGGTGGTGGTATTGTCTTAGGACGGCGCTGGCTTGGAGGTCGTCGACCGCGGAGGGAGGGAGGAGGAAGCGGAAGAGGAGGATTATAGCTGAGGCGTGGAGGGCGGAGGTTTGGACTTCGAAGTCAATGGTTCGTTGGACGAGGACGGCGGGATCAATTGGAGATATTAGGAATGGTGGGTCGGTTGGCCAGGGGTAGAAGTCGGAAGCGATGATGTTAGGGTCTTGAGAGGGTGTTTCGGATGCTTTGTCGAATGACATGGGACTAGCTGTTCCAGTTATGGGTGGAGATCTAAGACGCTGGGCTTCAGGGGCAGAAGGTACCGAAGCTTCTTGTATGCGGAAAACGGGGGGTGCTGAAGGGTTGAAAGGCACACCATTACTTGCAGCTCTCTCAATGTCGGTAGAATCTGGTGTATGACCTCCTAGGGAACTGTCCGAATGCGTAGGTGCGTTGGAATCAATACTGGCACGATGCTTCACGTGTGGCGATTGGCTACTCTCCCATTCATGCACCCTGTCCCGCAATGCCAGAGAGTCTTCTCGTCTAAAGCTGTGACTGTCACTTCCATCTGAGCTCATGAACTTATTTTGCGAATCTCCAGATGTTGAGAACATCTGAAAACTTTCTCCCGAGTCGTGTCGTTGGGGTTGGATCCTCGGAGGATGACTTTCCTGCTCATGGTAGTCTAAGCGCAAGGGTGGCTTTCTCTTAGGCGCGACGAAATCTAGTGCCGGTGAGAATGACTCCATACCATAAAAATCATAGCCTTCGACACTTGAAGAAGGTTGCTCTGGCGATTGCTTAGTCCCAGGAACCGGAATCGGACTTGGTGTTTTTGGGTGAGCAGCCTCTGGTAGTGTCAGATCATCTTCATCTGCTGGTATAGGCGTATGCATATCTCTCGTCTCGATAGGAATATGGTCCCGGGCCGGACGGACTATGGGAGTGGCAACATTCGATGTACTTTCGACATCTTCGGCTATCAGAGACATAGCCCCGCGATATAGAGGGCTGTCTAACTTCGAATGTCCGCCATGGTGTATCTTCCGAGGAGTCTCTTCCCCAACTTCACTCTGGGTCGCCGATGGCAGAATTGATTCCTTCTCCTGTTCCTGGCGTGAAGGAGGTTTAGATGGTTCGGGTACAGCCAAGCGACTTTGCCTGTGGTATTCGGCTCGTCTGGAAAGAAGGAGCTGCATGGTAAACCCAAGTAGTCTCCAAGTCTGAGCTAATCTAAAGTAGCCGACATCTTCGGCAGTCTCTGCGTATGACTCGGTTATGCAAGCTATGCGGACGTCCATGTCTGGGGAATCATCATCTGAAAAATGTTTCGACATCTGAAGCAAGTAGCGATTGCTGAAATACTGATACGTACTGCGCTTGATAGCACCTGGCGCATGACCTATAGCCATGACCTGCTGAGGCTTGTAGGTACCAGTGACCTTCACAGCTTCATCCAGAGACATGACTTTGTTGTCTGCTATGCCAGGTGCGCTTGGTGGGGTCGTACTGAGAGTGTGTCCTGAACGTCCACTATTTCGTCTTCGATGACCTTTCCGTTGCCGCGGGCCTAGAAAACTGCCCACAACGTCCTCTTCAGAATCACTTCGACTGACACTGAGAAGCGGGCCGCTCCCATGATGCGAAAAGCCAGGGGAAACTTCAGGAGTCGTAATAGAAGGACGCGACCGGCGTGGAGCTTGACGTTCTTCCAATAGCATAAGAATATCACCATTAGGAGAGAAGGCAAAAGTTGACAGGCTTCGACGATCAATCAACTTCGGCACAAAAGCAACATCAGTCTGAGTAAAATTGCCTTCCTTGTCAACACTCCAGAGTAGATCCCTTGAATTCCAGAGCATAGCTGTTGGCGCACTATCCCACTGTTCAATCTCTTTGAAAGGCATTGCAGATCTAGCTAGGTCCCAAACATGCACCGAAGCTGTCTGGTTCTTGGCAGAGTTCGAGTCGTCATACGCAACAGTGATCTGTGCAGCTCGTTTTCCTTGCGCTGTGGCTGACCAGCATGGTGGTCGCCAAGTAACTCTGGATATCGGCGCGGGCGTGGTGAAGGAGTATGAAGGCTTCTGGTTCCTATCGGCCTTTTTCGACATGTCCCATACCTTGCACATCTGGTCTGCACCACCACTCACAAGATGATCACCATCTGGATGCCACGATATTGACCGACATGAATTTGTGTGAGCTTGGATCTTCAATACTGGCGCAGTCGGCTTGCGTATATCCCACTTCTGCACCACACCTTGGTCCGTACAGCACGCAAACTCAACTCCATCAGATGGCGACCATTTCACATCCCGTACAGCATCTGCGTTGCATTTGAATGTGCGCCGGGCTCCAAAGGTAGTTCCATTACGGTCTGGCTGTGGCGTCCTGATATCAAAGAACCTCACAGTACCATCTTGGCTTGCTGATAATAGCCAATTATCCTTGTGAGGACATATGGCCAATTTATGGACCTGACGGACGTGATCTTGTATGCGCACGACCTCGAAGCCCTCTCCCCCGCGATTGAGATCGTAGATTGTGATTCTGCCATTTCCACTCGCAGTGACAATCGTACTATCCAACGAACTATGCGACCACTTCACTGTCCTTATATTGAGCTGATCTGATGTGGCAGCAGAATGATCGTGGGTCGTGGCATAGGAGGTAATGGCAGCTCGGAGGTCAACATCTTCGGTGATCGTTGATCCATCAATCCTCAATATTTTAAAGACTTTCGAGCCAGCAATGACAGCGCGTTGGCCATTCGAGGATCGATCAAGGCATGCGATCGGTGCGCCAGCAGAATATACCGTGTTCTGCGATGCGCTGGGTCGGAGCTGTGGTGATTCAAGATTGCTGGTATCGAAGCTCTCGTTAGTCGCAGCGCTGGGTGGCGGACCTCCTCCGAGGACTTTTGTTAAGAATCTTGGCTTCTTGTTCATCTTTTCAGACGCATATTGGATATTCAAGGGGGCATGGCGATAGGAGGTATGAAGACGACGTAAAGGTCTACAAGTGCGAAGCGCGCGATAGCGGATGTGAACTGAATGGCAGAATACATAGATCATACTTCACCGCCTTTGTCAGGCTAGTCGCAGGATGATGGGCTGCCGCTTAGCATGGCTTTGGTGTCTTGCGCCAAATTCAATCACTGAAATAGCCTAGAGTCTAGTGATCAAACCCCCAAGGTTTTGGGATATTAGCCCCTGAAGCAAAAAATCAACCCAATTAACAGTCATGCACCCGTCCGAATTCTGGCCACGAAACGCAAGCAGATCCTCCAATAACCGACTAATAACATATAGTCTTGCAAATAAAGTAGGAAGTAAAACCCTCAACTCCATTGTCTCTGACGGATCGCCATAGAATTATTCGACAGCCAATGGTTCATCCGTTGCCAACTGCTCAGAGAACTTTTCCGTCTTCTCATCAGCACATTTCAAATCCTTAATCATCTACTAGCTAGCAGTAAAGAGAGCTATTTATCTCCCTTGAAGCCCTCCCCAGCGAGGTATAACTGGTCCACGCTGACTCTTTATTTCACCTGAGACACAATTCTTTCCCAAATGCAGATACATGTCTCACCCCAACCCTAACCCCGATGGCTTTTTGGCCGACGGAGCAAAATACGGGCAATAGCGCCGTCATTTATATGCCTTGGCAGCTGCAACCGTATCGACGAGCTTGTCCTCAAGACGAAAAAGCTTGTCAACCAAATGCAACGAGAAGTTTATACCTGATCCTTGACTCCAGGAATGCATAGTAGACTTGAAAGATCTGATTCGAGTTGATCAGAGGCTTCTTTGGGTTCAGCATTTTTGCTGCATCTCAGACGAGACTGGGGGAGGCTGGAGAGAGTACAAGAATGAAATATAGGTGAAGTCGAAGTGGGCTCCGAGAATCACAGTTGACTGGTGATTCGCAGATGTCCAAGAAACACACATCTGCGTGGACTGTGGTAAGTTCTTCCCAACCTTGGACTTTTTTTGGAGACACGTTTGACTCTTGAGCCTGTGCAATAACTACGCTCTGAACTTTCTGAATGATGATCCTCATGTCAATTTACCAGCTATGCTAGAAGCTTCTTATCCCAAGATCTTCGTGATATTGCAGATTGTTCGGGGTCTTCATGTCTCAAGACAACTGTAACCATGACTCGTGAACCTTTTTACCAAGCGATACACTAATTCTTCTGCTATAGACCACAGGTGGGGGTACTCTACATTCAAGAGCTACATACCAGTCATATCACTTAAGGCTTTTTGTTCTCGGTCAGTATTATCAAGTCCGATAGATTTAGTTACGCTGTTGTCATGTAGAAATGGCTTTCAAATGCTTTGAAGGACAACGTGGTTGGGTAGCAATTCCTCAAGCGGCTTGCGATCAATCTTCAGCTGAGACTTCGGCTAAATTCAAGGGTGTTCGCTTCGCCCCTAAATTACTTGTGACACAGTGACAGAGAAATATCAATTGCAATATAGGCAAAGCGAGGTTTGAGAGATTATCAAGCTATTCTTGTGGCTTTATAATACCGGTAAACATGTGCCGGCAGAGAGCAAAGTTCAAGTTTAGTTAGATCGAGTTACACATGTATATGAATTAGGCGTACATCGTACGAAAACGTTCATCTCTACCAACAAGACCGGGAAGAATACTGCCGTCTACTATCCATTGCTGATGAAAGCTAGAATTACGTTCACGAAGCGAGATATTTGATTGGGGGCCATCCTGCAATTCTCGTAAAGTATATTGTATACGAGTACATACAGTATGGTGCCACATGAAACGTCAATTCGTCACCCGCTCGAAGATATTACTACGATGTAACTCTTATCCATTGTAACACGGCACATTTACAAGTGATAAGAGCTTGAAGAGTGTGTCGAGCCAACCTCACATCTGCGCTATCCGAAAGAACCAGTTCCAGCTTCTTCGCACAACTATGCCTACCAATTTTCGACGCTCGAAACCATTTCTCACGAGAAATCGCAAAATTCTCTCAGATAACATCCTACTCAAATGTCCAGACTATAAGCCTTTACCTCTCAAATGGCCATTTCTTGCCTCCATATTCCTAATCCTCTGCATTCTCATCTGGCTCCTTGAGTATGCTCGTCATGTTCTCCCAGTCACAAAATATGCGGAAAGATTATTGCCACTTAGAACGAGTCCATTCACCCAGTTGCAATCCACATCAGGGTCTGACACGGTAGCCAATGCCAGGAGGACAGTAAAGCCGAGTCTTGCAGCGAACGCCTCAAGTTACCAAGCACAAAATCCGACACCATGGATATTCAAAAACACAACGACGTTGAACTGTCTCAATGGTACAAATACGACTGCAAATGGATCTGCGTCTCAGAATGCTACTTTGACTAGGATGTCTTCTAATGGGACACCACTGATCATGCCCAAAAAGTTATACCCAGTGCCCACCGACTACGCTATTTATAATCCACCCTGGAGTCCACCTATTCATGTATGGTTTGGTTGTGTTGGAGAACCCGGACCGCCAGGCCAGCTTCCTATATGGAATGATATGTCCACTGACACGCAGGGTTTCTCGACATACAGCAGAACCTGTCAAACAGAAGTGGCAGAAGTCCTATGGCACAGTAATGACCCAAATGACTGTCTCTTTCAGTTCAGCTGGATTGGTAGTGACCCACCTCCTCCTTGTGCGTATGTCTTTATATATCATGAATAATTCTCAATTTTCTTGAACCACCGGAGCTGTCCAACACTTTTTCTTTTGACGCTATACGTTAGTTCTTCACATACTAATTCGCTGGATAGGGACGACGGACAGCCCCAATGGCCCGAACAATGTTAACTGGACCATCATTTATGGGAGAATAGATACCATTATTGACGATACAAGCGAGGAGTGCTTTCTTGACCCTTTCAACAATCCAAAGAAGTGCCCTGAGATACCTGTTGTAGAGGATATGGTTGATAGTTGTCCTATAACAACCACAAGCTTCGAAGTCCAAAGTTTAGCAACCACAATGAGCCAAGTTGCTGCCTCTGAAATCAATGTGGTTCAAGTCTTTACGAATATTGATGGCCAACCAACGAGGACCAATATACAAACCAGATTTATTAATGGTGGCATTTCGACGATCACGACCATCACTTCACGCATGGTCACAGCTGCGGGAGTTGCGGGAGGGCGGATTTGGACATTGATCCCGACCTCTAGCCCAACTGCCACAGAGCTTCATGATGCATTACCAACCGATGCTCTTGATTCTAAATCCCCGACGATTACTAGTTCAACTACAGAATATATCTCTACAGATTCGATCGGAACAAACCCTAGGCTTATTGAAACATTCTACAACTCAGCTGGCTCTCCGACTGCTACAGTAACCATGAGATTAGACACATTGACCGATTCCTTGGGCAAAGCAACAGCTACCATTATGGACTTTTTGGATACATTGACTGATTCAAACGGCTTGCCTACTGCAGTGGTGACCATGAAACTCGATACACTAACTAATTCCTTTGGCCGACCAACAGCTACAGTGACAGAGTTCTTGGAAGTATTAAGGGATCCGAACGGCTCACCAACACAGACTCTGACCATGCAATGGGTTATTTTGACGGACTCCATAGGTCGACCAACTGCAACGGTTGAACAAGACTTCAACACACAGCCTACGCAGGTGCCAAGTGGCTTTTCGAAACCACCGTTGACAACCCCAAGTGACTCGTTAGAGACCATCATCGACTCAAATGGAATACCTTCACAAACATTGACGATTGGCCTCGAAACCCTGACGGATGCCAGTGGGCTGCCCATAGCGACGTTTGCGATATTCAATGCGACAACTGCACTAACGGGAGTATCTCCTCTGGCAACATATCCTAGCCAAAGTAATTCTTCGCACGAAGAAGGGTTGTTTGCGATCCCTGTCGAACCTGCCAACTACTTCATCGTGTCATTCCTACCAGTCCTTATAGCTATTGTTATCTCTGTTCTGATTCAAATCATCAACAGAAGCTTAAAGAACATGCTACCATTCTTTGCGCTGTCGAAAAGCAGAGGCGCTCTGGCAAGAGATTCGTTATGTATGGCTCCTGGCGGTCTTACTGGTCCATTCCATAGCGTGCGTCTTTTGTTCCGATTCGGGGAGCTAGTGTCACTATTTTGTGATATCCTAGTTTTTCTTGCAGCAGTCCTTGTTACCATTTCGAGCGAAGCTGTTGGGGTTAAGCTGGAAGGATCATGCAAGATGAACAGCTTTTCCGGCTGCTCCATGTATTTCGATCTCTTCAAAGGACCATCTCGGGCCGCTGAATCTTTGATGGTCGCCATAGGTGTTATCATAGCCTGCATCGGCGTGTCTCTATACCGGATTCGATCACGAGTCGCCTTCAGCCCCTGGAGCATTGCTTCCACTGCCGCTCTTCTGTCAGGAGAGACTGCAAAACTTCTCCAGCCGCTTCGTCAAGATAGCAAACAGAAAATTGATACCGCGCAGATAGTCAAACATCTAGAGGGCAGAAAATTTGCTTTGGGATTCTATCTTGGAGATCATGGCGGTATGGAATACGGCATCATCATTAGTTACCAGGACCCCCTCGGTGTCGCAAGAGCCGTAGGAAAGAGCGCAGGCGTCGCACCGTCGAAAGATCACGCCAAGAATAGCCGAAAGGAGCACCGTCGAAAGTGCTTCTCGAAACAATTCAACTTCGACTACGGAGTTGATACATTATTCTTAACCCTCCTCTGCGGCCTCCTTATTCTCGTTGTCTATTATGATGCAGTTCAGCTTAACGCAAAAACGAATTCATTCGAGCGTTTCATTGATAGCCAAACTTTTGGAGTACGCTCAGTGTTTTCTGGATTTGGTGTAATCATCTCATTCTTCTGGGACAACATGTTTTCACGTATGTACTGACCGATTCCACACCCCAGGCCGTCTATCAGGTTGTCTTTAGAGCTAATTGGAACCATTAGGCGTGATGAAAATGGAATGCTACAAAAGCCTCTCGCGCTTTCCTCGCAGATCCAATACTTCAATTCTAGCTTCATCAAACATCACAGTCTTTCTAGGCCTATGGAGAGCCTTGTGGGATCGAAACCTCTTTGCCGGTATTGTGGCCTTCACAGGCATCTTGTCCAAAGTCACCCCACTTCTTCTTTCAAATATTCCCTTTCGCATCACCCAAACTTGGGAGACTCATAAAGTATGCGCATGGATGACTGTTGCAATCTTGGCGTTTATGATTGTGGTTCTGGTATGGTGTTTTCTCGAAGAAGCGAGATGGCCATATATGCCTCTTGATCCAAACACCATTGCGGGGAGTATGTACTACTTGTGTGATTCCCCTATCCTAGGAGATTTCGAAGGAACGTCCCGGTTGAGTCAGAAAGAGTTGAAAGCACGGCTGAAGGGTATTGGAAAGGATTATAGATTTGGAGAAATGGTGGGAGTTTCAGGGCAGTCAAGGATTGGGATATATCGACATCGAGCTACGGATATCTCTCGTGGTAAGCCGGTACAAAGAGCAGCTTCGGTTTCAACTGCGCCAGAAACACAACTATCAGCGCCTTCTCGATCACGAACAACTCGAACTATTTAAATAGACTTGGATTTCGACTCGCGCGTCTTTGCTTGCTACTTTGTATTCAACCCCAAACATCTTCTTGCCACCGGTGAGCCTTCTTGATACTTTCCGACCATCCCCTTAATTCATTATCACTCCACCCTTTCCTCTTCATCAAACATTTTCCAAGTCTCGCAGTAACGTCTCTCGCCATCGCCGCACTCCCGCAAATATAGAAATATGCATTCTGCTCCAACAGACTTACCACCTCTTCATCCCTCTCTTCAACTCGATCCTGAACGTACACCTTTCTTTCACCAGCTCTCGAGAAAGCAGTCACAATTTCAGTGTCACTGTTTGACCTTGGGAGCTCTTGAAGCTCATCCCGATACAAGAAGTCTTCCTCGGAACGACATCCGAAGAAGAGAAGATTCTTCCCAACTTCTCTTCCAATGGCCGCCATACGTGCGCGCTCAGCGAGGAATCCTCGAAATGGTGCGATTCCACTGCCAGATGCGATCATGATAATGGGATGTTTGGGTATTGTGGGGAGTCTGAATTTCGATGTTCGGATGTGGGCGAATAGCTTTGCTCTATTCTCGAGGATGTTGCTCGGCCCAGAGAGGTTGTGAACTGATCCAGTGAATTTTTGTCGCTTGTCTTGTTCAATTGCAGAGAGATAGTTGGTTGTGACTCCAGGGATGGAAAGACTTTGATTCAATGACGCTTCCGTGGATGTCGCAACTGTGATAGAGATTTGTTTGGGAGAAACGATGGAGGACGATGAGATTGAGTAGTAGCGTGGTGAAAGAGTTGGAAGACTCTCGATAACAAAAGCTAGTGGCAAGTTCGACCAAGATCCAATTCCAGGAGACACAGCTTCCAAGAGTCGTCCCAATGTTACGTGCGTCTTTGAGCAATATTCTTGATACACGTCCTTATCCCCACCGAGACCTTTCAGCGTAGCTTTGGCAGTCTCTGAAGGTGCAAAGTGAGCTAGTGCCGTGACGGTGTCTCTTGACACCGGAGCACATATTTCCAGATAGTATTGCAAAAGTGCATCCCAAGTCGTAGGAGACGGAACCTTGACTTGAATTGACGGATCTAGACTCTGCATCAACAAAGGAATGTCAAGTCGTTCCTGGAGGCCAAGACAATTTGCCAATTGTTGGACATCCGAAGAAGGATTTGAAGGCCATACAGCGAGATGGTCTCCAGTCTTGTATTTCAGTTCGGGGAAGTCATTCGTATCCAATTCCAGGTGTAGACAATTTCGAGTTGTGGTAGATAGGAGCCTTCTTGCGTCTTTGATTGGCAAAGGTCGGATTGGCGAGATGGGAGCGTGGCCCTTCTTCGTTTGTATGTTGACAGGTTCACCAATATGCAGATCGATAGCTTCCAAGGAGGTGTCTTCCACCACACGTAGAGCAGGCTCGTACTGATTTGGACGTTCTTTGAAGCCCAGCCTTTCACAAAACATTGCAAAAAGAGCATGCTTCCACTCTGTGAAGTCCTCATCGGTAGTACCCTTCGAATCATCCGCCTTGCCAACTGGCAGTAACGGAGTCGCTCCAATACTATCGAGACTCTCAGTCACAACGTCAATAATTCGGTTGTAAAACTTGTAGTTCTTGTTGCCAAGACCGAAAGCCGCATAGCGAAGATTGGAAAATCGAGTTGTCCTGTTCGAGCCTAGCCAGGAAAGAAAATGTGTGGCATTGTCGCTTGGATCTCCATCACCGTATGTCGAGATGATGAAGATAGCAAATTTGGACTCTGGAATGTTGGCAATCGATTCTGGATCGTAGTCTGCTAAGTCCGCAGCTAATGCATCTAGGCTGAAACGACCTCGAAAATCTCGTACCAAGCGATTTGCGAATCCCTCTGCCGTTCCAGACTGAGAGCCCCAGAATATGACAAGATATTTTTTCTAGTGCATAAAATCAGCTTGTGCGAACGAGCATTCAAACGTGATCTTACGAGCTCTTCAAGTTTCACGGCAATATCTCTCGTCTCAGGTTCCCTTCGATTGGCTTCGATTTGTTGAGGCTTCTCAAACCAAACGTGTAGATAAGGATCAGGCTTGTCTCTGAGGTAAAAGCTGTATAGAGCTGCAGATAAAATGACGAAGAGCAGGAATGCCAAGTCATCCTTCTGTGTCAGTGGAAGAATGCCCACAAGTCTGGAGTCTGGAGTGATCATGTCGGCCATGTTTGATACAAATGCCATGGTGAACAGTGAGAACTTGAACAAACTCCGAAGGCAAGAAAGTAGACAGCCATCTGAGGTTAACTTGAATTTACAGCATCACAATCGGAGAAAGACCCCGCGCACGTGATGGGCGAAGGGGTAGGGAAATCGTCAGAGCTTCCCCAGAACACTACCCTGGGAACTGACTCCATGAAGCCCCAGACAAACACTTGCCGTCCGAAGAGTATTTTGGGTATACTCTCCTTGCAAAGATGGAGGCAGCTTGCCAGGTGGATGGAAAAAGGAAAATTTCCTCATGAGAAATTGCCCAATCTAGTCAGACTAGCGCGACACTAAAGAATTGCCCCTTTTATTTCACGAACTTCCAATCCGTTTCGGAAATTCAGCAAAGACTCCCACATCTTCACATGAAGCAAGAATTTACAGTCCGTTGCAGTCCAGGACAGCGATTCTAAAGCCAACTTATTGCATCAGTCTATCGGGCGGTCTCTCGCAATATGGTGGGGTAATTACCCCAGAAATCAAAATCCGACCGATTGTGGCTTGCCAGTGGCAATCTTGCTCTTTGAAGAATGAGTGTGGAACTCATGCCCCCGGAAGACTCTGCTGCTTCGAGTTCTGGCCTACTCGAGTTAGAAGTAGGAAAGTTATAGCCATATTTGCCAACTTCCTTCAAGTGATCCGAGTTGTGGGCCTCTCCTCTGGCTAATCCTGACCCTGAGGCTCTGGCAAGAATTCATTCGCATGTCTAAATAGACATCGTCGACTTGACTTAGCTCTTTGTCTTATTTTCAATACCTTCAGTTCTTGCAAATATGTTTGGCATTATACTATTCGCGCTGACGGCTTTCTTGTTGTTCACTTACTTCCTCGTTTGGCCACTCGTCGAATACTTTCGCGATCCCAAAGGCCTTCGCAAATATCCAAATTTCAATTTTCTGTCCGGAATCACAGATCTCAGTTTCAGTTATGAAGCTCACAAAGGATTCCGGTCTCTTGCTCTTCTAGAGGCTCACAAGAAATCGCCAGTTGTTCGCATTGGTCCAAATTCGTTGTCATACTCCGACCTTTCAGCGATCAAGGTAGATCTTTTCCCAATTTCCTTCCTCAAGTCATACTGATTGAATTCAGGACATCTATGGCCACAACACAAAATGCGTCAAAGACGTATTCTACGACACTCTAGCAGGCACTCACCACCACCTCGCCGATGCTACCGATAAATTAGACCACCAACGCAAACGCCGAATCTTGTCCAGTGCATACGCTCTCAAGAACCTCGAAGGGTGGGAACACAAAGTCGCAGACAAGACATCTCGTTTCATCATCGCAGCAGATGCTCGCTGCACTCAGCCCCTTAAGAAAGGTATGGTCCCGGCACCACAAGACCTCACATTCGACTACCGAGCCTACTCAAACTTCTTCACCCTCGATGCCATCGCAGACATCGGCCTCTCCGAACGTCTCGGATTCCTAGATCAAGGCCATGACCTAGTCACAGCCGAGACAATGGACGGCAAACTCTACAAAGCCAACTATCGAGAATGTCTCCACGCCACGGCACGAGCGCAATCAATTCTCGTCTGGGCATACTCCTGGTTCCCCTTCCTGACCAAGATCTCGAAACTCGTCTCGTCGGATTTCAGAAGGATGTGGAAATTGAACGAAGGCTGGAACGACATAGTCTGGCACCGAGCAACCCAGCGACTAGCCCGCTACCGCGCCGGCGAGAAACTAGATGACTTCTTCTCCGCGTTGATGGAAGACAAGAACGGGAATCCAAATGGAATGGAATGGGGCGAAATCGTAGCCGAGATCTCGATCATGATGAATGCCGGCTCCGATACAACAGCAATCGGGATGTGCAACGCCATGTATCTGCTCCTGGCCAACCCAGCATGCTTGTCCAAACTCCGAGCCGAACTCGACGCTGTGATCGAACCTTCCGAGGTCGTCATACCGTACGACAAAGTTCGACACTTACCGTACCTTCGTGCTTGTCTCGATGAAGCGTTGCGATTATTCCCTCCATCGACTTTCGGACTTCCGAGACGCACGCCACCGGAAGGCGCACCGATCTTGGGTGATTTCATATCAGGCGATACATCGGTGTCTATCTCCGCTTATGTAGCGCATCGAGATCAGAATGTGTTTCCTGAGCCCGAGAAGTATCGGCCTGAGAGGTGGTTGGGCGATGATGCGAAGGAGTTGCAGGCTGCGTTTATCACGTTTAGTACTGGGGCTAGGGGGTGTATTGGGAGGAATATTAGTTATTGTAAGTCTCCCCTATAATGTTATATTGTGAATGGATGCTGATGCTTGGGTTTGTAGTGGAACAGACTGTGCTGCTTGCAAGTGTGGTTCATCGATTTGAGTTTGCCTTACCGCACGAGAATTGGGTGCCAGATCGGGTTGAAGCTTTCAATTTGTCACCAGGTCCAATGCCTCTGAAAGTATGGAGAAGATTCGAGGATGTTGAGTAAGTGGAGTGGTGATGGTGAAGAGCATTTGCACTACATGGAGATATTACAGCGTCGTTGATAGGAAGTCATATCCAAACTTATTTACATCATTCATAAACGTTCAATATCATTACATCCTAGGACTTGTCCAATTCCAAGCATCCTTTAACCTATCTTGAATCTCTTTAGTGGGCCACGCATGCTTAGTATCGGTGTATACCAGGACATCCAAGATGCCTTGCTGCTCTCTTGGATCTGTGAATTGGTCGCCGCACATGGCTATTGCCATACAAGCTGTATTCATTGCTGGTGGGGCTCTTCGATTCTGGGTCCACACCAATTAGCATTTCTGACTGAAAAAAGAAAGAACCCATCGGCCCAGTCAAAGTTAATAGATTCAGTTCTGATTCTTGAGCTGACTTACCGAGATTGCCACTCCACAAAGGCGCTTGATAATCTGGTTTACTTCTGCCTGAAGCACGTTAATGGCCACTTTTCTCATAGAATCATTGCAGACTTACCTCGATCCGTCGAGCCGCAGCCCGGTGAGATGGGCCCAGACGAGGTATTCGCGGGTCGTAAACCGTAAGCAAGATCTTGGAAAGATCAAAGTGCTGAACGGCAGTAACATGGCAGTCCGAAAGGAACCACAACTCAGGCCAGACCTCGCCTCGGTGCAGATCGGGAGGCCGCTCAAAGATAGGTTCAAAGGACTTTGGTCTCAGATCATCCCAGCTACGATGGTATTCCATCAACGAGTCATAGTCCAGATGATTCGATGGATGTTCGCCGTAGCAATACATTAATACATCGGCGCAATGTACCACTACTCGGTGGGCCCAGGTATGGTCATCTGTTGGTTCCAAGGATCGATAATCATCGAAGTTTAGCGGCATTCCGAATGGACGTTGTTTGATGAAGGCCATGTACACTTCTTGACGGCAAGCTACTCGGAAAGCGGCTCGTTGCAGACTACTCTGCGGCCCAGCCGAAGCCTGAGCTTCGATGAAGACTTGCGTCCCCCGAAGTCCAGTCTCCCAATCGCCGCCGTTCAGGGGTGCATCAACTTCCTCATAGAAGCGTAAGATGATCGACGCAACGAGGAGATTTTCATCAAATGCTGCTTCTGGATCATCGGAAACAGAAACTAGATGTTCGATGCATCGGCTGTGATACTCTACAGCGGTCTCGATATGCAGATCGGCGAGCCGCTTCTCGAGATACTCCACTGCGTTATCTTTTCTGTATTGGTCAAGATGGCAGAGGTGTCTTGCCGATGCAGTGAAGATTGCGTTGAGAAGAGCCGGGCAATGCTTTGCTCGCTGCGGGACAATGAGGGCAAAATGCCGCTCTGGATCACATAAGTCGAACTTAAACCAGTAAGCTGATGGTTCAGATAGCGATCCTGGGCTGAAACTTACCCAGCATGCTAGCTCGTCGATGAAATACCTCATCAAGCATGCTTCCTGCACGCTTGCATGCGGCCAGACTCCTGGTGTGTCAGGCTGGACCTCAACTGCGAAAGATGATCCTACGTCTCGGGAAGGGTGATCAGGTAAATTTACTGATTGGTTGCTTTCTTGCTCAGAAAAGTCAGCGGCTCTCAACAGGGAGTCGATGGCATCCTCTCCTCGGTTGGAAGGATATTCGCCAACGCTCTGATTTGTTTCATGAAAAGAAAGAGATCTAGAACCTTGATCAGCACCTATGTAATTGCTCGAGTGGAATGGAGATCCTGTGTCGTTTGTTCGACGTCTCTTGATAGGCGATGTGACAACTTGCGTTCCTGCGTAGAGAGGCGGCAAAGTCCATGGCGTCAAATCATCAGAAACAGTCGAGGTTACAGCTATAGAACCACCTGGGGATGGTGCTGGGAGATTCCGTGGTGTGGTGATTCCCGAAGCGGACGCATCTTTGGGCTTAGAACTCGAACTTGTTGAATAGATCTCCTCTAACTCTGGGAGTTCATCGACAAATTCCGTGCAGACTAGTCGTATGTCAGTATCGGATCGGAGGTGGAAGATGGAACTTGAGTGACTTACTCTTCCCTGTTGTCCTCACCCATTGCTGATCCTTCGCAAAATCACTATCATATCGGGCAGATGAGCCGTGCCGAAACCGTAGCTTCCCGAAAGTAGACTTTGCCGCCACGGCATTTAAGTCTATCAGTACAGCTGGTTAGCCCTTTTCAGAGTGATAGTCGCCAGAAATGCTGTCATGAATGGAAGCTCGACCGTCAAGCATGCAAGAGTGGGGCAAGGAGGTATCGAAAATGGGTAACGACCGTTATCATCCTGCCTATTGTCAGGAGTTCTAGCCCTGTCAGTTCTGTTCCCACAGCAATGGTTCATGGGAATTACCTGGACTGCGGACTAGATTGCGGCATCTAGAGATCCTAGAATTGCTTTCATTGCTGTTGGGTTCGAAACCCTTGTTTGCGACGAACAATTGACTATTTCCTGCCTGGAAATGCAAAAGTCGAGGGTAAGAATGATTGAAATGAAAAGAGGAAATACTGAATGCGGGGAAGCTGGAGTAGTAATGCTGCATCGGGAATGCATGAGGTTAGTAGGGCTTGCTTAGTTGCCTTTCGGAGTGAGAAAACTAACCGAGTTAGTGTCCCGCGCTTTCCGATCCTATTGTCCGCCAGACGCCGCTGAACTTTGATTGGAACAAGATCGAAGTTTCTGCAGTGCGGAATAATAAAGCGGAATAACATATATCCCAAGTATGCTAAAGTGGCAGAGCTAGACCGTCATCGATGCTGTTGAGACAAAGGAAGTCTGGGGTTAGCCCACTTCCCCGCATCCCCGCCCAAGCCACAATAATAGCCTCGCCCTCGCCACTGTCAGAACTTGGCAATGCTGGGTCTCATGTCTTTTATTACTTTCCTCGGACAGGCCAAAAGAGTAAAATAAGGTTCTTACCCGATTTCGATTCGAAGTCTTTTATCTCTCAACCACAATCAAGAAAAGATGATATAAACTGTCAAGTGGCCCACCTATGCTTGAACATCTCAGATAGCATCTTCTCAAGTATCTTCCTCAATTGTCATTTGGATCAATTCATTTGCCTTCATTCTTATTCGGCGAGTTCGAGATCTTTTCGAGCCCAATCCCACAACATGGGTCTTCACTCAGAAATGGATGACCAAAAGGTCGACACTCTTCATGTTGAGCAACTCTCGTCAAATTCCCTTGACAAAAATTCGGAAATTTACGAAGATCTCGATTCGATCGAGAAGACGCAATCTGGAAAATATGCTTGGCTCGTCGCTATCACGGCAGGCGTTGGTGGCCTCCTCTTTGGTAAGTCGCGTCTTCCACCTGGAACCTAGACATATCCTAATAAGACGATCAGGTTATGACACTGGCATTATATCAGCAGTCCTGGTCTACCTCAACGATGATCTAGGCAAAGTCCTAAATGCCAGCGAAAAGGAACTCATCACCTCAATTACCTCTGGCGGAGCTTTCATTGGCGCTGTCGCTGCTGGTCTGACCGCTGATCGGTTTGGGCGCAAAGGAGCCATTTACATGGGCTGCTTCCTCTTCATCATCGGTGCTATCCTGCAAGCTTCGGCTTACTCCCTCGCCCAAATGACCGTTGGACGTCTCGTTGTAGGCTTCGGTGTTGGATCAGCCGCTATGATCGTCCCACTGTATATCGCAGAAGTCGCCCCGGCAAAATATCGCGGACGAATGATCGGGCTCGACAACATGAGTATCACTGGTGGGCAACTCATTTCGTACGGCATTGGAGCAGCTCTGGCAAAAGTTCCTCATGGATGGAGAGCTATGGTTGCTTTAGGAGCAGTACCAGCTCTCATCCTCTGTTGCTTGTTGCCTTTCTGCCCAGAATCGCCCCGTCAACTCATCTATCATGACAAGCACGACGAAGCTGCCGTTGTTATCCAGAAGATCTTCCCCCAAGGAACCCAAGAGCAAGTCCGGCAGAAGGTTCAACACATTGCGGGCCATGTTGCTGAAGCGAAGGCTTTGAAGGAAGGAAAAGGTGACTTGTGGCTGCTCAAGCAGCTGTATGTTGTCCCTGGCAATCTAAGAGCTCTCATCGCAGCTTGTGGTCTCATGGCTATCAGTCAGCTGGGTGGATTCAATTCCTTGATGTATTACTCTTCGACATTGTTCGCCCTCGTTGGCTTTGCGAATCCAGTCGCTGTTGGAACCATCATCGCAGCCACCAACTTCTTCTTCACTTGGGTCAATCTCATGGTCGTTGATCGATTCGGTCGCCGTCGTATCTTACTTTCCACTATGGTAAGCTCACAATTTCTCCTAGAACTTATTTAGATACTAACAAAGTCGCAGTGGGGTATGGCTTTGTTCCTTGCACTTGCGGCAGTTGCTTTCCATTGGATCCCAATCAACCACGATCTCACTCTTAAGACAACCAAGATTGGATGGCCTGCATACGTTGTGCTGGCTTGCATGATCATCTACGTCGGGTTCTACTCATCGGGCATGGGAAACACCGCTTGGCTCAGCTCCGAATTCTTCCCCATGGAAGTTCGTGCTTATGGGTATGTACTAAGTCCCACTTCTACTTCATGCAACACAAGCTAACAGTTCTCCAGTACCATGATGTTGACATGCTCATGTTGGGGCTCAAACATTATCGTCGCGTCCACCTTCCTCACACAAATGGAAAACACAACTCCGTCAGGAGCCTTTGGATTCTATGCCGCTATCTGCTTCTTCGGCTGGATTGCAGTCTACTTCTGCTACCCCGAAGTTAAGGGCATGACTTTGGAGGATATCCGTGAGATCTTCAAGCATGGATTTGGTGTCAAGTATGCGAGGCAGTTGCAGAAGGAGGCTAAGCTGAAGCGAAAGATGGAGAATACGAGTGCATGAATCGATAGAGAGATGGACATTTGACGGCCACTTGTATGGATTGTTAAGAGTGAAATTTTATGCTTGTTTATTAGGAAAATGTCAAGATCTTTGAGAACAAGGTTGGAAACTGCAGAAATTCACGCGGAGAAAGCGCTTAGATCGCTGCTGGCAGATCTGGAATCTCATCCACATTCAAGGCTCTGCAACCGGGCATGTCCTTTCCATGAAAGGAGTAAAGTGAAATACCGATGGCACTTGACACCAGCTCTGCAGATTTGTTGCTCCGCAGCCGGCAACAAGATCGACCATTACTCATGTTCTTCATTCTCAATGGAATCTCAAATCTGTGTAACCAGAACGTGTTCGTCCTCCATGAGCTAGCATGAGAACTCCTTCAGCCTTTGTGCAACCTTGTCCTACCTTACACGACAGTATGCATGATCGTCTGGTGTTCATTCGCTTCGCAGGGAGCCGTGCAGTGGCTTTCTTGGCAGTTAACTATGTTGAACTGGCCAATTAGTATGTATACGCATAGGGAGCTGTGAAAAGGGCTTACGGGATGTTCAACGGTTAGAGTTGAATCGGTTCAATCTCCAATTTCCCTTGGCTACAGAACCAGTGCACAGGAAGAAATAGAATCGATACTCCAATGTTCATCATTCGTGCGTTCGACAAATGGCCGAGAGAGATGAGATCGTTGCACTGCGCTCTTGATGACCATTCGTGCAAGACAACAATCATCACTGAGGCGAACGCGACGACGCGACGAAACAAAATTACAGTAGTCTATCTCCGAATCCGAAAGACCGGAATTATCTCCGACTTAAGTTTAAATCCGACCTTCTATGCTACCCCGCACCTTCCTCTTCTCATCCCGTTCAGGTAATTTTCCCTAATTTGTCAACCTCCCAGCAAGGAATTTTTCACCGACATGAGTTTCCTGACCCCGATCCTACTTTGTATCCAGGAATTACCAAATACAGATGCATGTAACGGAGATACTTCGTCGTCTGGACCTGGAACGTGGGGTTTGGGGAATATGGGACGACATGGTGGTGCTAAACAGTGATTGCGGTCATGATCGAGATAGACAAGTATCAAGTGATGTTTGAAGACGTTTATAATGTTTTCAGCAGCTCAATTGCGTACCAAAACTCGGTCTTTTCATTCTGTCATCTCGTTCAAAACATAAACCTGAGTGGTCTTTGATTGCAATTCTCCTCCATCAAAATTGTAACCACTCCTGTTTCTCTCTTCGTTATCTGTCACTCCAACATGGCCCCATCAGCAATGGACCCAGTTCAAGACCGAGATGGACTTGCACTCGAAGACCTCTCCGACAACATCGACAAAGTCAACGTCCTGAAAGACCAAATGAAGACAGAAAAAACCCCGAACCTCGATACCGAGAAGGATAAATCCAAGTTCAGACAGTACGAGGATGCTTGTGATCGAGTAAAGGATTTCTACAGAGAACAGCACGAAAAACAAACAGTAGCCTACAACTTGAAGGCTCGCAATGATTTCAAGTCGAAGACTCGAGCTGAAATGACAATTTGGGAAGCTATGGAGAAACTCAACACTCTCATTGATGAGTCGGATCCTGATACTTCGCTGTCTCAGATTGAACATCTGCTTCAGTCTGCTGAGGCTATTCGAAGAGATGGAAAGCCGAGATGGATGCAGCTGACGGGTCTAATTCATGACTTGGGAAAATTGCTATTCTTTTATGGTGCAGAGGGACAGTGGGATGTTGTTGGTGATACATTTCCTGTTGGATGTGCTTTTGATAAACGTAAGAATATCCTATTTTGCAGCCTTCTGTTCCTCGGATATCGATCCTTCTCCTTTTCTCCGCCCCTATTGTCTACTGGTTAACATTTCGACAGGCATCATCTACCCAGACACATTCAAAGGCAATCCAGATCACGATCATAAGATCTACGGTACCAAAAACGGCATCTATACCCCTGGATGTGGAATGGACAACATCATGCTCTCCTGGGGACACGACGAATATCTCTATCACATCGTCAAAGACCAGTCCACCCTTCCTGCAGAAGCACTTGCCATGATTCGGTATCACTCATTTTATCCTTGGCATTCAGCGGGAGCGTATATGGAGTTCATGGATGAGCATGACGCTGCTATGTTGGAGGCTGTGAGAGCCTTTAATCCTTATGATTTGTATAGTAAGAGTGATGAGGTGCCTAGTGTGAAGAAGTTGAAGGTAAGAATACATTTTCTGCTTCTTCAGGTCGCTTGGCTAATGCGCTCTGCAGCCATATTATCTCGAGCTCATCGACGAGTTCTTTCCACAGAAGGTCATCAAGTGGTAGTCGATATGGGATAGTGTTACTTGAAGATACTCCCGTTGAGAGGAAGCATCAGTAGCGTGGTATGATAGACATATAAACAGGTTCTTTTGTTCAATGTATCTCAGATACATTTCTTTTCATTGAGGCGAACGACTCGTGCGCTAATATCACCACCTAAATTCCCTTTCAGACTTCATGTCCTGATTTACAGCGACTGGTGTGCCACTGCCCACAATCTGAACTCGTAACCTAGAGATTTCATGACATCTTCGTGATATATATAAGAATAGAAGTTCGACATAGCAAGACGTATATCACAAGTATCAAACTTGCAAGAGTGGAAACGTATCGAGGTATGGCGGGCAAGCTTCCGTCATCTTGTCGGCGGTCTCGCTCTCCGGATTGATCAACACTCTTGGCTATCGGCGATACCAGTACCAATGACTTTCAGCATAGAGGACAGACTGATAAGTGATCAGTTCAACCGTGGAGACTAATTTTGCGAAGGGAACCCGGAAATCAAACTTTTCTATCGTTCTTGTAAAACTACCAACCAATTATATCTCCATCTCATCTTTAACCAAGAAAACTCACACCAACAATCACAACAAAGCCTTCTCACTCCTCCTCCCCACCTCATCAAACCAAATCTTCTTCCCCGTCACCAACGCCTCCTGCAGCGCACACCCAATCTTAACCGCCTGCACCGCGCCCGTCAACTTCATCGGCAACTTCCCATCATCCAAGCAACACGCCGTAAACTCATTCGCTTCCGTCACAAACGCATTCTCAAACCTCCCATAATAATGCGGCGGGATCTCCCTCCGCACGCCACCCGCTTCATAGATATTCACCAAATTGCTCATCGGCTGCGCATTGACCTGCAACTTCCCCTCCGTCCCAATGATCTCCGTAGCATCGTCCTGTCCTGCTGCCATCATTCTGCTAGCAAACAGATACGCAATCTGTCCCCCATAAAACTCTACAATCCCGACAGCGTTATCTCGATCTTGATGTTTCCTTAACTCCGGCTGCACAGCCGTTATCCCAGAAGCAACAACACTTTTGACTTGAGAATCCTGGCCAAAGAACCACAAAGCAAGATCGATATCATGGATCGAGCAATCGACGAATATCCCACCCGAGAACTCGGCGTATGCAACGAAGAACCCGGTGGGGTCGAGCATATCACATGTTTGAGAGCGGAAGATGGATGGGCGGCCGATGCGTCCGCCGTCCATTTTGTCGTGGGCGTCGCGGTACGAGGCATCGAAACGGCGGGAGAAACCGCACATAACTTTGAGATTTGGCTTTTTCTTTGCTGCGTCGACTACAGATTGTGACTACCGTTTCGTCAGCTTGAAGCCTTTGCAAAAATTGAAGAAGTGAGACCCACCACTTCGACCGAAGTACTGAGGGGCTTCTCACACAGCACATGCAAATTGGCATCAATAGCTTTAATAGCCTGCTCAGCATGTACTGTGGTAACAGATGCGATAACCACAGCTTGTAAACCCTCCTGCTTGATCATCTCATCGTAATCTTTGTAAAGCCGGACCCCAAAGGGCTCTAAATGCTGCCTGGCCCATTGAATCTCGGCGTCGTCTGGAGAGCTTGCTGCTACGAGCTCTGCACGGGGAGTGCGATTCAAAAAATGGAGAGCATGGCGTTTGCCCATGCGTCCGAGGCCTGCGCAGGCGACCTTGAGTCTTTGGGGAGGCATTTTGGGCGGAATTGTGAGGAGAAGATTTGATGGAGATTGGGGGCTGAGAAGAGAGTACTGAAAGCTTGGGAAAGAGTAATGAAAAAGGATAGCTGTAGGCGAAGGTCCTTTAAACATACAGCATGGACGAGAGCTCAGAATACTGCCACTGGGCGGTGTGAAGCTCTCCTGCAGGGTCCACCACTTGTGTATAGATTTACTATTACTATACTCCTGCTGGAAAGCGTCGGAAAAGCAGAAATTGCCAAAATGGTAGAGAGAACGAGACACGAGGCTGCTCAACGTGGGGTGGCGGGGTAAGGCTGCGTAGCCTTCGAGGGGTTGGTTGAAGTGAGTCTCCCAAAACGGCAATTTTCTAGTCTGCATGCCTAGACTTGGCAATTTCCTAATGAGAGGAAGCTCTCCACATCGAGGTTTTGTTCATATATCCGGAAGACAACATCCGTGCGGTCATTATGTATGATTGCGACACTTTCACGTAAAAGAAGGAGTGGGTTGGTAGATGTGATGTCAGTTTGTAAACTGATAGACGCTAATTTAGGCGAGACCCCTGACCCCTAACTTTAGCGAGGAGGATTGTGTGTAACACTGTTAGGGCAAGGAACATTTGGATATGGTTACTATTCTATGAATGATTTTCTTTCGTGAGAAAGCTGTAGCTTAATGCTCGCAGAGTATCCTTTCTTGGCGTCTGATGGTCTTGCGGAGCAGGATTTCGGCAGTCGTTGACTAGTGACTTTGGGGTCGTGGCTCAAGTTCTGCGTCGTTCGGATTTTCAGATGCTTAAATTACTCAGAATTGTAAAGTGCAGATACAGCAGTTCATTTCCAGTCTTCCTTGCAGACGTTGAAGTACAGAAACATTGCTGAATAAGGATGTCGTCGCTTCTGCAATGCATTGCGTCTCGCGCGCTAATGGCGCTTTGCTTTTACGTCAAACACAACAACTCCATGCGCGCTTCAAATGTAGCCCTCGTATTGTGGAACGTTAAATACTCTAGCATACTTGATTTTAGTGTTCGCTTCGGAGTCTACTACCATGAACACAGACTGGCAGTGTTACATTGCACGGCTTTGCGCCGACGTGGTACAAGCTAAGGTAAGCTTGTGTAACGATTGCAGGGAGCAACACTTGCTCAATGAAGTCAAGAGATCAATAGCTCTATTTCTATGTTTGAAGTCACACATTGTACTACCAACCCCAAGTCTTACTGGAAAAGGGAACTTCCCTCTTCCTCCGAGGACCTGGCCGCATTGTGCTTCGTAGAGGGAATAACGCGAATAGACCAACAAATAAAGAGAAGATGCGAACAATATGGCTAGATAGTAGTTAAACACTTTGTGCAGTACAATTGAACAGCGTTTGAACAATATCCACAGATGATGGACGCTGATTCGTGTGGGAGGGCAGACTATCGAATACATATGATGGCAGGCGCAATAAATCCACTCAAAGAGGTTTTCACCTTCAAAAGACAGAAGACAAAGTTCTTTTTTGCTGGTAGGCAGTTTACGAACATGTCCTTCACCTTCACCAACAAATGTCTCCCGTATCGCTCCTGCCTCTGCTCTCTTGTTTATGCCAACAGTACAACTCAAGAAGCATCGGGAATGTTATCCATAGAATATCAGTCGGCTCAGAGTCAAGTTGCTCTTGTTCTGTTTTCGTTATCAAAGGTACGAAGATGCAGAGGCTCGGGAGATGTGAAGTTCTGTTTCATCGACGTCAGTACAAGACGATACAGCTTTGCAGAAGGTTGTGAGGTAATCTCTGCACTCTGCTTACTAGTTATGGAAACCTCAGGGAAGGTTTAAGTTATCATGCCGTTAATGGGAAGTGCCTTCCTCCGGATTCATTTCAGATCTTTGGTGCCTGGATGCTTCAACGAAGCCGGAATCGAGTTGCTTGAGAACAAGACATCCTTCCAAGAAAGCTGTGGCTATAGGTAGTAGTATACCGTATGCGTAATCATCCGACAGCTGTTGAAAGGGTGTCGTGGCGGCAGACCTTCGAGGTTTCGGCTTTCCAGCTTTTGACCTCGAACTTGAGCGTAGGTAGCGGATGGGGAAATCAGCTTTCTCGATTGGCAAACGTTGGCAAGGAGATCTAAATCTATAGCTTAGAGCTATGTGTTAGTAGCTAAGTAGAAGAGGAATACTTGCTGCAGAGCAACTGTCAAGTCTGATTAGAAGAGGTGTTGTTTTTCGAAAAGTGTTTTCTAGTTTTCGTTGCGCTGTGGTATATGCCTACCCGAGCCAACACACAGTAGCAACGATGTCCATGGAACGAAATTTTAAGGCACCAAGCTCAGTGATAGGATCCACAATCAAGGCAGGAACTGCAGACCGTATCTTCAAGACAGATAGTGGTGTTGAAGACTCTTCACGATTGACTAGTACCACCATAAACTGATCTTTGCATTTTCGAATCTACGTTCAAATATTCTCCCGTCATCAAACGGCAAATCCCCCGCCAGCCCGGCATCAACACTCTCCAAAATCTCTTCACCACAACACAACCACCCTCCAGATCTCTTGCACAACTCTTCGCAACACTTGCTTCCCTTCCAGCGCTTCTCTCCTGGCATCCACTTAGTCCCTCCTTCTAAGCGCGGTCTACGAAGCCATCCTCCTTCTAGTAAAAATAGACGGACCCTGCAAAACCATCAGCGCTTGGAACCGTCTGAGCACACTCCAATAGCAACTTCCTCTAACGCAACCCTATCCTTTGATAACCAACTTTCCTTCCGACTTGTCACAATCGGCAGCAAGCAATGGCATTTGCAAAGCCTCCCGTATATGCCGAGCCAGGCCCCGTGGACTCGGGACACGGAATGACTCCAGAGCTGAAAAGACCACGGAGCCTGCCTTTGCCATACGTTGAATGAAACATGTCAAGCAGGATCGCCGCATCTCTTCCCTCCACACCGCCTCCATTCCCTTCACAACAAGGATGTGTATGCGCTTCGCACTCGTCCGTCGCCAGAATTTGCCATAAGTTCTTGCTTCTGCGGTTACACGAAGCAGCTCCACTCCCTGTGCGATTCGAATCCTTAGAGCAAAAGGTCTCATCGGGGCGCTCAGTGGTTACCAGACCGACAGTATCATTGGTGGTGGTGTTGTTGGAAATTTAAACCTTCCCATCATCTCGTTCTTTCCCGTCCATTCAAGCTCGAGACACACACCCACACACCCACACACCCACACACCCACACACCCACACACCCACACACACACACACACATTCACAAACAGGTAAGCAAGCCACTAGATCTCCATCATCGATCGCCAGCGCATGCACCACCATCTCTGAAGAAAACAACAACTCTTTGTCCTCGCCCGTAACAAACATCCCGTCATATTCCTCGTTACACCAGCTAGCATGCGTCTCTGAAGCCATTCAAGTCAAGTGACCAGACAGCAGATGCATGCAGGACGTACGGTGGATCTGTCTGTCCCGCTGGTGGCTCGGTGGTCAAATTAAGCCCATCTCCCAAGCGCGCCCGTCAATTTAGGCACTGACGCACCATTCCCTCCCGCCCTCCTTCCTCTTCCCTCTTCGTCCCAAAGGGAATCCTCCTTTTCCCAAGTACTGTACAGTACATTCCCAACTATACTTGCTTGCTGACTGACATGAACAACAACAACAACAACATAAGCCTATATCCCCCTTCCCATCATGCTGCTCCTCATCCATACATACCTAACCAACATAGCAATAGGGCTGGCTCGCAGATAAGGCTGATGTGTACCCAAAATAAGCTTTCTCTCTCTCTCCGCAATACGAGCTCGCCCCTCGTACTATGCACCAATGACCACCCTCATCCGCACCGTCCGTTCCCTCCAGCCAACGACCGAACTGCTGGACTCTAGCTCCAAGCCCCCAAGCCATCATAGTTGCGCGAAGAAGCAACGTCCCCTCCCCCTCGCTCCAACCTTCCCCAAGCTCACTAAAGAGCCAATCTGCTGTCTGTCTGTGCCGCATAGCATCATCGCCCGATGTTTGGTTCTACTCTCCTCTCCTCCCATAATCTCGGTTGCCTAATTGAATCCAATTTCTCTCTCTCCTCCCTCCATCCCATCCTCGAGCCCAAAATCGGCGTGTGAACCCAAGGCAACGCCGAACACCAGCGCAGCACAACAGTGAATCGTCACAGGGAAGCTAGGTACCGTAAGAAGGAAAGAACAACCATTCCGAACCTACCCTACCTAGGAAGTCCTGCACATCTCATCTCATCTCATCCCATCTCATCTCGTCACGTCACACCCAGTCCAGTCTAATCCACCACCCGTCAAACTCAAACTCAAAAAAAAAAAAAAAGCCTTTCCTCCTTCCTTCCTCCTTCGGATCCATCCGACCCCTCCATTTCCCTTCCTTTCCCCACGTCTCGTCTCACTCACTGACATTCTGTCTCACTGACAGAAAAAAAAATGACCCGCATGCATCAACCTCCCCTCCCCCCTGGCCTACCTGTCACAACTATCAGATTCTTATTACATTGCAGTGCATGTGCATGGCGGTGGTAGCGCCCCGCCCCCAAGATCCCTCTCTACCCTTCTGAGACACATACATACAGAATCACAAGAAAGTTGCGCGAGGCCCCCTCCCCTGCTCCACTCGTTCATGGATGGAAGCGCCTGGAACAGTTTCTTGGGATTTGTAATGTAACGTGCGTGCATTTGTTCTCGGGCTACCTATGCTGCGGCCGTAAACGGTGCCTACGAGCCTACGTGTTTGACTTTTCCTGCTGCCCAACCGAGGAGCTCTGAAACGTACGGACTGTTCTGAGGATCAAGCAAGCAAGCAAGATGTGGGCAAAAATCTTCGTTTCTCGTTGTAGATGTGGAACTAATATGTACAATGAATATATGCTTAGTCTTTTAGAATTTCGCATGTAAAAATAAAAGCAGCTGCCCTGCGACTAAATTCTACCTATCTGTCTGTCTGTCTCTCTCTGACCGTGATCATGATACCGCGTCCCAGTTCCCATTATTCCCCTAAAGAGCAGCCAAGAAGCAGAATTGCACACTCGAGAGGCCGAAAACACTATCTATGAATGAATGACTGACTCAGGAGTTCTGCCTTGGACCCCAGTTATTTTGTTGTTGTTGGACTTGCTGTTGGGCGTAGAGAATGTTTTGGTGCTGTTGGCGTTGTTGTTGTTGCTGCTGCTGTTGTTGATGCTGTTGCTGTTGCTGTTGCTGTTGCTGTTGCTGTTGCATATGTAGTTGCATGCTAGCATCACTGGTGGCGCGACTTCGAACATCGTCCATTGTCGCACTTGATAAAGCAGACAAAAGTCCTCCATGATCACTATCATGAAGACTGTGGCCAGTACTTTCTCTTCCATCAGACCAAGAGTCTTGGTCATACGACTCAACAGTGAGATCAGAAGCTGTTCTCTCACGCTTCGGTTGCACGTCATAATGCGACCCATACGGTGAATGGACCTCCCATTTCCTTTGGTGTTCCGCGGATTCTCGCGATGATCGCCGCTGAGCATACCTCTGCAGCTGCCTACAGATCGGCTCCCACTTGGCTGTGTTTGGACTACAAGAGGCAATTTCGTATGCCTTGGCCTATACCAAAGTTAGTATAACATTCATAAGAAGATATTTGGAGAAGTAGCACAGAATATGTACTACACTCCTGGTGTTCGTACCGAGATCCTCTCCATTAATCTTCTCCTCCGCATCTGGAGAGCAGCAACGGCAGTCTTCTTGGTGTGTTCTTTCGAGTACACGCTTGCAACTTCCTTCCACTGCAATCCATCTTTGTACCTCAAGTCCAGAATGCGCAACTCTTGATCGTTCAACTCTTCCCGTAGCTCGGGAGTTGTGACTATGGTGTGGTAGTCGTTGTAAGAAGGTTCCGCTTTCCTTTGGCCTTTTCTCCCTCGCGATGAATTCAATGCATCGTCCTGAGAAAAGATCGTGTGCTGCAAAGAATGCGAAGGGGGCGACCTGTTCGATGGAAGCGAGTTCTGCCGATATGATCCAAACGCTGGCCGCCTGATTGCCGGATTAGGCGCAATGAGAACAGGTGCCTGAATGTTCGGTCTATAACTGCTGTTGTGGATGGATGCTCGTTGATACAAGAGGAGATCGTTTTCGCTTTGACTGCTGGTCGGCTGCATGCGAGGACTTAGGTGTGCGCTCGGTGGAGAAGTTGAGTGCTTTGGCTGTGCGGAGACGCCAAATGAACCAAAATATGGAGAAGGTGGCGAGCCACAGAAGTTTGGAGAGTCGGGACCTAACGAGTCACCGCCCAAGGAAATGTGAAGTCCAGCTGAATATGATGTCTTGGCTTTCATAAGCATAGGGCCACTGAATCGGGGGCTAAAATCCTCTTCTTCAGGGAACATGGTATAAGAGGTTGGAGACATTTCTGGCGACATCTTGATGTGCACTGCACTGTCCATCGTTGTGTTGGCCTTGACGGGTATGACGGGCGAGCTGGTTATTGAGATGGGTGTGTAGAGGTTTGTGTCAGGTCGAGCAGGTAGATTGAAAGAAGATACCTGATTTGTTTGGTCAGACTCGGAATTGAAGAAGTCGCGAAGTTCAATAGCAGGGTGATTCTCCGGGAAACATACGGCGCTATACGGTGTCAAGTCCTGTGGTTGTTGCGATCTTACGACGGTATAGGTGTATAGAGACTCCGCCGTTGTAGGAATCGAAGTCTGATTGTTCGACGACATTGAAGACCGACTGGTTGCTGTCGTGATGATACTGGACAAGTCGAAAAGCGAAGGATGCAGAACGTCTGTCGTTAAGGATATAAGATACTCGCACATGGATCGGGAAGAGAGATGCTCTTACATAAATCGAGCGGCGAGTCAACAACAAATATGTATAAAATTATATAGACATCATCCGGGGAATCTGCCCTACTATTATCAAGTTCTGGGTTGTGAGTCGAGAGAGCCTCGTCGGTAGGGCAAGGTCGTTTGAGAAGCAGTCTTGCTGGTAAAGACCTATAAGTTTATCCAGAATCAAGAGGCACAGCAGCAGGCTTGGTCGTAAAAAGCGGCCAATCTGAGGGGCAGTGAGTGCTAGGTGCCCTTGGACGCACAGTGGGATATGCAAGCTCGGACTAGCCGCTGAAGCCTTGCTAGTGGTGAAGCGAGTGAGCACCCGGCACTTATACCGGTCTTTATGATGGTACGCACGAATGCGTCTGGGAACCGCGTCGCACAAGACTCTGCTGACCGTGCGGGACACTGTATGGGTGATCTTGCTGTCAGTAATTCCCAATTATGCGCAACAGACGCCTGGGACTGTTGGAAAGAGGATGGCTGCGGGGAATAACACTGAGGGATAGACGACTCGAACAAGGGATCGAGCCGGACCGACGGCAGTCCTGCCGCACACAACAGTCACTTCACGCACGAGTGCTTCTCGTTGAAGAATAGCAACGGACAATCGTTGATCAGGAATAGCGATGGCTAGAACGTATTGAATACGCGCGTCTCGAAGGCCGCGAAGAGGGAAAACGCCGCAAGGGAGGATGGAAGGCACGCCATGGGCAGCCTCAGTTTCTCGGTGGGCACTGGACATTTCATTTGGCATAGAGCACCTGTCTGTCTGATGACCGGCGCAGCCTCATCTGATTTCTTCCATGCATCGCATCGCTCCCACCCAAGCCGACCGAAGACTCTGACGGGGAAGAAGGGGGCGAAGGGGGGGTGGATGCATACAGGAGAGGCATCAGAATAGCATCTCCAGATTTCTGTGCTGGCTTCGGCCGTACGCGAGCCCCTGAGCCCTTGTCGTCTAGCATGGCGAGGGTGTGAGCGGGCGTAACGTGATTGAATGAAGCAACGCCACAAAAACCCGACAGTCTGGTTCTCGGGACATTTTGTGCATGGTTCAGCCAAGGATGCGGCATGGATGACAGCTTTCCGGCCAGTCAGCGTGGGTGGGCGTGCAGATGGCAGGGGAGGGAGGTCTGAAAAAGGTCTTCGTAAGCGCGCGCCTTGGTTTTTGTGATTTCTTTGCAGCCCGCACGCGGCACAGCACCGCAACGGTTGATGCTGGACGCTGCCCGCTTCTCAGAGGTCGACGTTTAACGCGAATCCGCGATAAATCCTCCCCTTTTGCCTGATTCGGCCAACTGCTTTACGAGCCCCCAGCACGTATTGGGGTGTATTTCCTCGATCGGGAAGGAGGTGCAGAATATGACAGGCCATCGCGTCTGTTGCGTGTCTTCTAGATGGTCGTCTATTATGATGCTGATGATGCTGATGATGATGATGATGATGTTGTGGTTTCCTGTCACCACGCACCACCATCGGCCCCCCTCCCCTGAGATAGATGACACCCTGCGACAGCCGAGCCAGCCGGCATGTACCCTTGAGATTGGCGCAATATGAGATAGGTTCCAAGAACGTCCGTCGCTGCTGTCCCCTCCCAGCCATTCCCATCATCTGTCCCCTCTGTCCCCTATGTTCCCATCTTACTTTCTAGATTGTGATTTATATTGCATGAACCCACCAGCCATCGCTCTAGCATCTGCATGCACAGCGCAGCCTTGAGTCACTTGCTGCATTGGGTATAAGGTGACATCTCATCGCCGCAAACTGGATGTTGTCCGGTTTCAACAGCCGAAGTCACTACGAGCTTCAAGGGGCATTACCCAGGATAGGGCGTGCTGTGTCAAACGTCTCGGAGCACACCTTCCTGATGGAGACGTGAACGGTGCCTGCATGCGAACGAAGCTCCTGGTGGCCCCCTCGAGAAGCGCAATTGACGCCGATCCGCTTTTGCAACAAACATGGCGGCAATTCTGTCTTACACAGAAGACAGTTCGTCCGAAAGAGACTGTCCAGATGCCAGAACTCCGAGGACCTGATTCCAAATCTGAGGTGGCGCCGAGGGTTCGGTTGCTCAGTTCTCAAAATAGTCGGGAAAGCGACGCTGACTCCCAGAGATAACCACATCAGATATCCAGTCTACCGGGTCGTTCCAAAACAGCAAAACAGCAATGCAGATACCTCAGCCTGCACCTGCTCGTTCTTCTGGCCAATGGATTTCCGGGGGTCCTGGTGTCCTGCTCTGCGCGCCTTTCGCGAGCTGAGTCTTTGACAACACCTTCACAGATTTCTTTGATCCTAGCCCTTAACCTCAAGGTAGCATAATCAACGATGCTGGCACCAATTGAAATGAGTTACAAGCGGATTTGCTTGATCTAGGGCTTGCAATCAGAAAATACAGGGCTCGATTGGAGACCGCATCCAGTCCGAACGGGTGTGCGGGACACAGCCGAGATCGATGAGAGGAGGACAGGTCATCAAAGCGTACGGCACTGCCCAAAACACCCCCGATTCTTCTGGTGGCACAGAATTTTCCAAACTGGGGAAGACGAGACGACGGAATTGGGCCAATGAGCTCCTTAGAGTTTCCCTTGTAAGCTGTCGATCAGATTTCTGAACATCGTCGCCTCCTCATTATCACTATCGATCATGGCTAAATCGTCGCAACAACACGGCTGTTCGCATGGAGATTTTCCCATTTCCTTTGGTTGTTGATTCCTACTGGAAGTGCCTCTGCCCTACAGCTCAATATGCCTGGAAGGATCGACGCTGGAAACCTGGTTTGGGCCCACCCGAGTTCGGGTTTCCAAGACCACTCATGTAACACAAAAAGCATCTTCAACTTCATGAGTCTTCTCAAAGGAAGCCTATGAAGAGGTTGCACCAATCCCATAGATCGTCAGACTGACAAGGTAGGTGTCACAGTCCTGCTTGAAAGGCTGAAGTGCTGGTCGCCGACTGTTGTGGTTGAAGTGGCTCCATGGCCTTTAGCACAAGGACAAAACGGCAAGCGACCTGGACATTGACCTGCAGCCAGCATTTACGAAGCAGGTCTGCGCTCCTGGTAAGGCTGATTTGTGGAATGGAGGACATCAAATTGGCCGGCGCTTAGCAGGAACTGAGCGGTGGGTTTGGCTACTCCCTTGTCTGGACTCGAACTCAGGATGGTATGAACTATATCGCTGGGTTGCGACAGGCTCGACTGCATGCACCTCATAGCACCCAAACCATGAAAGATGAAGGTAGGTTCAGCAGCCAGGATTAACTCGAAGTTGGAGATTCGAGAAGAGGAGCTGACCAGAAGGAAGGACGAAGGGGGAGGGGAAGTCGAGACTGGTCCCGGGAAAGAGATGGCTGTTAACGAATGAGGTACCCCACAACTGCGAAGTGCTGTGGCGACTTTGCTGACGCTGTCGGTGTAGGGAAGACCATTACAAGCGGCCCTCAGAAATTTCTCTAAGTAATCTTGCAGGAAGTCAGGCAAATACAGCAGTTTCATACCGCCTTTTCCAGAGGCTCAATCTGTATGCCCACGTACCTGCAAGTTTAAAGATGCAGTCCACATTGACTCCAGTATACCCGTTGTCGGGCTCGCTGTACGTAAAATTCCCTTGACCACGGCGGCAATCTCAAGCCTTCCAACAGGCGCTGTCATGTTGGAAGAAAAGGCTGAAGATAGTGGGGATTTGATGCATATGTGTCATTCAGCTGGATGACAGTTGTTCAACCTTTCGTACAGATTGTTGGATTTTGCTCCAAGTGTAGTCTGGGTCTTCGTATACTGGTGAAGGTTGGCGACAACTGGAAACGAACCAGGGAGCAATGGAGTCCTTCAGCGTCGCATTAACCCAGAATCTATTCCGAGAGAGTCTTGGATGCCTGCTTGACACCAACGGTGACACATCTCGGATCCATGAGTCGCAGTGCCCAGCGCGTTTGTCTGACTTCGACTTCTAATACGCAGAGTCATTCCAGCGGGTCGACAGTACGTGCTTTTTTCATGCTTCCCATCGCCCGTTGCAGTTGAAGAAGAGGCACAGAAGATGTATGCAGCAGAGAGAGTGGGGACCCGATGGTTGTTGCAAGAAAATTGGCCAGTCAAGCAGCACTGGCTTTTTGAGGCGACGAAATCATCGTGCCTTCTGAATTCAACATCAACGTCAACATCCTCTCTCCCCAAAGGTAGAAACGCAAACAACAAGACAGCAACCTCCCAAATACAAGATCGACGAAACTACATCAATCAGCGATTCTCCAAATATATGCGCAAAGAGAATTCGAGATCAACAAACATCGACGTGTTCCTGGACCTTTGACCTCGAAAATGGCCTCTGTCAACAAGGCCACTTCGATGACCGCCCCCGCGTTCAACCTTGTGGACGCACAGAAAGATGCCATTCCCACGATCGTCATGAGAAGATGATACCACAGATGGACGCGTCTGGGTTTTATTATGTGGCTCAGAGCGAGAATTGCGCGAAATGCGCAGATTGCGCCAGTCGCGCTGGATGCAAGCCACGAAACCATTAAGCAAGCATTCGATATACGACAGCTCTTATGGCCCATTGGACCAGCGAGCCTATCAACAGATAAAGCTAGAAGCCGCAGAACTATGGTCGCAGAAGAATGCCACCTTCTTCAACCTCTTTGACTTGAAGAATTGAGGACCTCAAGCTTTGTTGATCACAACAATCTTCTTCCACCTCTGTCAAGACCTACGCTGTGAGGGACAATACAAAGTACCCAGAGCCACCTACAGCCCGCATCAGAAGATATCTACAAAGCTTGTTTAGCATGTGTGCTGTCAAATTACTCCCATACAGCTGTCTCTTCTCCAAGACCCTACTGCATTACACCTATCGCTGACCTCTCCAGGATCTCCACGCCAAGAACGCACGCCAGGAGACAACTCGCAGGCCCCAGAACTCAATTAGAGCATTGCGAGAGCAAACCGGCACCCGCTGAGCATCAGAGCTATCAAGTTTGCCTTCTCAACTCTCAAGGCTTCAAGCTCCCTTCGTCAATAACCTGCCCATCCACCACCCTACCTACCTCACCTACCTAGCCACGCAACAACACAAACACATCAACCAGCTTAGGTCATGCCACTCAGAGCTTTCGTAGGCCTGATCACCAGGGGAAATCCGCAATGCGAGGTGGCCCCCAAACCCAAGAACGCGAGGCACGATCACATCCACCCACAACGCAACCCAAGTACGGCACAACCCAATCATTACAGCCTCAAACCACATCTCAAGACCCTCAATCATACCAATCAACTACAAAGCAGCAAAGGAAAAAACACACTCACTAAAGATCACCAATCCCCTCACGAGCCAACCCCACACCACCCACCACTCACGACCCTTCCACACAACCACACCAAGAAAAGAAAAACCCACGCCGCAGCGCACAGCAGAACGAGAACGAGAACGACGACATCTATTTATCTACCTACTTAGCTACCTACGCTACGATCCTTCCGCCATCAGTCTGATCCCACGTAAGTCGGTCGTCCACACCTTGCAATCTGACAATCCTCTCGGCATCTCGTCCAATGTGCTTCCTTGCATGCATTCATGCATTCATTACCATTCCTCATTATATATATAATTCAAATAAAGAAAGAAAATCCAATGTCGCGGTGGAAATTAGATAGTTGTTGAAGTCAGTTTGTGCTTGTTTGTGTAGGGTAGGGTAGCTCAGGTATCATCGCAATGCAAATTATTTATCCATCCCCGTTCGTTCATCATTAGCCCAGGCAACTCTTACGAGAAGCGAACAAGCAAGAACAAAAACGGACGAAGCTCGAGCCAATCTGTGATCTGCCATCCCTCCAATCATCCATCCTCCATTCAAAAATCAGCCGTCATCAAGTTCATCTTCGTCCAAAATATGAGCAGCTAAGCCAAAATAGCCACCCATGATCATAAAGCAACTCAACCGTGCCAAAACCACACCCATCCATCCAACCATCCATCCAACTACTCTCTACCTAACTACCTAGCAAGTAAACCACAAACGAAAACGCCATCCCACAACAACAACGATAACCAAAAGGGAGAATCTAAACCAAAGAATTGGCCTCCAAACCCTGCACAGCAGCATAGCTGTACGGGAAATCAACCAAGCCATCTAGCATCCAATTCAACGGATCAAAAACCTCATAATTACTCTCGCTATAGCCAACGCCACCCATCATTCCACTTGGCAAGCCGTGGTTTTGGTTCGGGGTCAGGGAACCAGTAGCCGTGTTTGCTGCGGAGAGGAGTTGATTTTGGAGTTGGTGAGCGGAAGTTTGGGTAGGTGCCATCAGAGTACTGTCCATGTGGGTAGAAGAGGCGGAGGATTCGGCTGCACTATCGGGGTTGGTGGGATTCTTCATTGCTGCTGGTACGTGAATGTTAGTTTGTTTTCGTCGCAATTCGTCGTCCGATTTCGGTACGACGAGGAAAGGGAGTTATAAGGCGATTCGTTTCATCTTCGAACGACGAAGAAAGGAGACCATGTCTCCATTCGTCTGATAACGAAACATCAGCGAAAAGGGAAAATAAAGACTATCACTAACCTTCAATGCTACCACGTCCCTGAGCCTGAAACTCCTCACGCCATCTCCAGGTAGAATCAAAGACGAGGCTCATGCTCATTCTGCATCGAACCTTGAGTTGAAGACTATCGTCAACTGCGGTTGGTCGTTCATGGCCATTACCATTACCATTATCACGCATTTGTTGCAATTGACTACGTTGCTCAATACGTGCTCCGTTGTACATCTGTACCATCAATTCAGCCAATCGCCATGGGAGATCATTGTTGATGATCGACATGGAGCGGATGGCATTGATAGTGCGGTGAAAGAGTTGTCTTCCACGCTCAAAATCGATCTCCCTAGCGAAGAATGTGCTAAGAAGCTTCAGAAGCGTAAAGCAAGCAGCAATGATCATCTGGAGGATGTAGTAGGTGGCATATCGGAGAAAGTTCGAATTCAGACCTTGTCCATTGGTAGTTTCCATCTCGAAAACCAAATCCAAAAATGCGACAGTGGCACGCCAAAGGCCCATCAGGTCATCCATGTATCCAACGGTGGTGGGAGAGTCGAAGAATGCAGACAAACGAAGATGCAGACCTGCAGCTTTGAGATGAAGATTGATGATCGGAGAGATGTCACGACGAGACAAGATGCCAACTTGCATCTCGTTGAACTCACGACGATAGACTCTGGTCAACATAGATCGGATCTCATCACCTGCAACTCCTCGAGGATCACTGGCGTTGCTGTACATCTCCTTCGAGACCTTGTCACAGAATCGCTCGATGGTAAGACGGGCTTCAAGTTCTGGTGACAGCTTGAAGGGTCCTTCATCACCTGGTCGAACTGCGAGGGTCCAATCATAAAGAGTGGAAGCAGGTTGACCATAGCCAGTACCAATGCTTTGTGCAACAATGTTACAAACAGCCCATGTAGTGACTCGGTCGTGAAGCTGCTCCTTGTTGAGGTCGACATTAACACGAGAGAAATCTTGAGTATGACTTGGTCGATGCAATCCAATGCCAGTTGCAGCCTTCATCATCACACCACACAAGATGTGCGTCGGATCAGTGGATGTAGTACTAGTTGGCAAAGGCCAAGTGCATATAAGACATAATGCCTTGACCACGAAATGGTTGTTGGGGACCTCGCCAATAGTTTGCCAAAGGAGTCGAGTGAAAGGACCGGACAGCGAGGTCAACAAGCCAGGATCAACTGTGTATCGTCGAGATGCAACAACAATGATGACCCAGAACAGTAAAGGGCTTTGTTGGAAGTACTGCTCTGAAGATTGATTTGGGTCCAGGAAAGGCAGGTATGGATGATAATAGCACCAAAACTCATTGAAGAGATGGGCGATGGTATCTTCAGTCAAACCCACATTCTCCAACTCATGGACAATTCGAGGTAGATTGTATGATCCGCTTTGCTTCAGATGCAGCAGAGACGAGACAGCTTCATCTGAGCCCATGAACGATTGGTTGTTTCTCGAGTAGACTCCATTGGCAATGGGCGAGTCCATTTCCTCGTCATCGTCGACCATGAAGCCTTGTGCTTGGGCTCGTTGAAGATTTCGTCGCAGGCGATCAATTTGCTTCTCCATCTCAGCATGCTTCGATCTCTTGCCAACTCTCTTGAAGTTGTGCTCAATCTTGCACTCCAGCTTGAGACGGCTGCAGCGCGAGCAGGTGGTGAAGGGGTCTTGGACGACATCGCATCGTAACTGGTCAATCAATTATCAGCAATCAATTCGTAGAAGGTTCCAGTGAGCGTTGTTGTAACGGTATTGTCAAGTCGCACTCAATTCAATTCTTTATCTTCGTGACTCACCTTCTGTTGTCTGCACTCATTGCACGCTCTCTTCACACCAGGCTGTCTTCTCGTCGAACCCTCGTCCTCATTCTCTTCTCCTCCACTGCCAGGACTGCTCTCGAATTCAGCAGCACCGCTACGCTTTCTCTTGTAGCTGTTGCCGGTCCCGGGTCTGATGCTCGTCGTTGGACTCGTTGCCCCACCACTCTGCGCACCCTGACCGCCTTCCATTACAGAGGGGCTGTATATTGCCGTCGAAGCTGACGTAGCGTGCTTTTGATGCCGAACCGTGGATTAGGTCGGCAAAAGGTGTTGCGCTGCGCAGACGCAGTTCCGGTGTCGCTCTGTTTTTTTGTGATCCGATATCGCGACGAAGGCGGGGTGCTTTTTTGTTTTGGAGGAGACGAAGTTTTGGTGTTGGTTTCCTTCGGGATAAAATAGGCGAGGCTAGTACGCCGGAAGGTTCCAAAACGGAAGGTACACAAGGCTGTGCTACAGCACTACAGCACAATGGAGAAGAGTTGTGTTGCAATGAAGAAGATATTGTGTTCGTGGGACGATATTCCGAATTTGGACCCCAATAAAAGACTTTACAGTGAATCTGTTTTCCGGAAAAGTGAATTTTTGACCTAAGATTAAATCAAGTTCAACCCTTGCCCATCCAGCCTTACTCTACAATATAGGTACAACCAGGCTTACCCTCATGGTCACCCAAAAGTCCACCATTCTAACATAGCATTGTAACCTTCCATATTAGAAGACAACAAGACCTATTTATCAATAATCTGCATACCTTTCCAACAAAAGCGAACGTTCCACACCAGCCACCTTTAGATCTTGACTAGAGTTTTCCACTCACATACGACTATTGCTCACTCACCCTTAAAAGACAACACTACGACGAAAGCACCCAAGGCTTGTCTCCGAACTGTGAAGCGATTTCCTTTGCGACGAAACAATAGCTATTCATTCTTCCTTTACAACAACCTTCCGGACAGATCCAATTCTCTATAGACACACCATGTCTTCAGCACCAAAGCGCCCCTTAGTGAAAGGCCCACTTCAACCACCGCAATCCCAGTCCAAGAGCACATCTTATGCACAAAGGCCAACTTCAAAGAACGAAGTATTCATCACATCAGGGAAAGAACAGCCTACTCCTGGTAAGTTCTCTTGTATTTTTTCTTTCTTCATAGATACTAATGCCGAGGCAGTAATAGAATTCAACTCTCAAGCAACCCCTCAACCATTCCTAGACCTCACCATAATCCCGAAACGCATCCAAGCCGAAAAGCAACATCGCGCCGAACAAGACAAGAAGACCCAAGCCTCGGCAAGCTCTCAAAGCCGGCACTGAAAAGCTGGACAAGGATCAAAGGAACACTCATCACGTGAAATGACCTAGATGGCTTGCCACGTGCCTTGATCTACAAAAACGCTTTCTTCTCACGATACTCGGTTTGACGATCCTTTCGGAGAAATATTACCTCGATGATATCGTGGCGTCTGCAGCTTTACATCTTCTGCACATCATGTGAGGGAGATACCTGTCGATCATGGGTTTGGATGCGCTGTACCCCGCCTTTTGATGGGTATTCATCCGGTCCAACGATGCGACGATAATCGTGAAGATGGGCTCTTATGACCTTCGAGATCTTACGGGTCCTTGCGGGTTAAGTTGAGGGCATTTTCTTTTGAAGGGTATGAGAAAAGTCGAGATGAGGGTGGAGAGGGATGAGGGTATTGAAGATGTTTTGATCCACAGCGGGCTGCAATCAATACGAGTATATAATTCTACGAAACCTCGTATTTGATCACTCAGCAGGTTGACTGACAGCTCATTTCCGTTCACTTTTCAACATGATGGGCACACTTCTCCAGACCTACCGGAAATAGTGCACCAAAAGCGAAGATGCACTCACTGGCTTGGGAACGGTCCTCCCCGCCATCATAGCTCTTAGAGTCCACAAGGTCATGCTAGGAAGTTAAAACGTATTAAAGTACACTCTAAAATAACCTCGTGGTCGCCAAGTGAGGATCGTCGTTCATGACAGCGCTGACGCTGAGCCTCGGCTGCGGGGCAGCGAAGGAACAGCCAAGGGCTTCAACAGCACTGGAATACTGTAGAAATCTCACTCTGCACTTTCTTGCGCCCAGAGCTTCTTGATGCAGGTGGCATCGTCCGAGTATTTATTTTTGAATATTGGCAGACAGACAGATACGGTGTTGCATGCGCAATACGAAGCAGATGTCTTGGAAGCTCCCGTGTTGAGGAAGCAAACAAAGAAAACAAAAAGAATGGTGTACAGTATCATCAGACATTTCCCTCATTGGGCCATCGCATCGTGCATTCTCAGGGGTTATCAAAAGCAACCTTTTTTTTTTTCTCTTGCTGGCTGCACGGGCGCAAAGAAGGACCGAGTCTTGATCAGCTGAATGTTTGTGAAGAATAATCGAGTGCTGCCCCATCTCACGTTGATGGAATTACCTAAAGATGAAGCTTCTTCAAAGCTTATGACGTCCACTTATGGCGATCGCATCCGTGGGATGCAACCAGTCACGGTGATGCTGCGATGTCACACGCCAAGATCAGGGCAAACAGACGTAGAAAATGTCAGGCAGCCAGGCAACGAGCCCCACGACATCATCAACAAGCCAGGGTCTCGGCTTGACAACAAACAAAAACAGCAGCTCAGGGTTACTGGAGGTCAGGTAAGGGAAAAGATCAAGGCACAGAATCATCGGAGGGATCTGAGCTGAACCTGACAATTACCTGCCCTCGCTTGCTATTTCCTGTCAACAACAATACGCATCCAGCAATTCAACTGGCCGAAGACCCGTCCACATCCACAGATTCTGGACACACAACCAATGGCACCGATGACGGAAGAAAGGCACCGAACGGTGACCTTACTGTACGGTACCTTGATCGTGGCACATGCCTGTCACCCAAAGTTCTGACCCCATCGACGCCTCACCGAACGCCATCACAGCCACTTGGACCCTGAAGCCACCACTCTGCAGCAGCGCAGCATGCATCGCGCTGGCATGAATCGCATCCATGGTGCCATCATACCTTGGCTTTTCCAGGCCAGGAACGTCAATCGGGCACTGTAAGCCATCATCAAGTGATGAACTGATCACCCGCGGGTCCTGGCGCATGCAGAAAGAGGCAGCTCGCAGCATCTGTGTCCGCCGTGAAAACTCCAATGGGCTCGGCCACGTCCCGTTTGAACGGAGATCAGCACACCTTTGCGCCCAGCCAGGAACCGTTCCGCTCTTTTTTGGCTGCTCTCTGACCTGGGATTGCGGGGGATTGTCGTCTCGTCGACGTTGTTCATGGTAGGAGAGTACTTATTGGCAAGGTTCCTTTTACTTAAGGTTGTCGTTGCCCAGGTGTGTTTCTTGTTTCCCAGCCACCATCACCTAGGTACCATACTACCCACAGCCTGATATCAAGCTTGCTTTTCTGCAAGTTCTGAATGCATACCTTTCCTCTTTCTCATATCTTCGAGAGTCGATAGCCATAATGGTATTCATCAAAGCACTTACTATCGTGGCAGCTTGTCTGTCGTTGGCGGATGCCACACCTTTGTAAGTGTTTGCTGCCGTATTAGGAAGGAGCAAGAACTTACTCTTGGGAATAGAAACAAGAAACGACAACTCGCCTTTGATTACAACGACGACAAGGTCCGAGGTGTTAATCTGGGAGGTTGGTTCGTTTTGGAACCATGGATTACTCCATCGATATTCGACCAGTGGGCAAACGGAGGAGGAGTGGTCGATGAATACACCTACACGCAAGCCTTGGGACCGACTGAAGCTTTCAATCGGCTGAATCAACACTGGGCAACATGGATCACGCAAGATGATTTCAACGAGATAGCTTCTTATGGGTTGAACCATGTGCGAATTCCAATTGGATATTGGGCTGTCAATCCTCAACCTGGAGACCCATACGTTCAGGGACAATTGACATATCTCGACCAAGCAATTGGATGGGCGCGAAGTGCTGGACTCAAAGTCATGATTGATCTGCACGGAGGTATGCTACCAATCTTCTCTTCTATATCCTCTCTAACATACCACAGCCCCCGGATCCCAAAACGGCTTCGACAACAGCGGTCGCTACGGCGCCATCGACTGGCAAAGCGGCGACAACGTTGCCCAAACCCTCACGGCAATCCAAGACCTCGCCAATCGCTACGCCTCGCAAACCGACGTCGTAACGGCCATCGAACTGCTCAACGAGCCAGGCAACTGGGCCCTCGACATGTCTCAAGTCAAGCAATTCTACTACAACGGCTGGGGCAACGTCCGCTCCGACAACGCATACACCGCCGTCGTGATCCACGACGCCTTCCTCGACATCGAGAGCTACTGGAACGGGTTCATGAATAGTGCTAGTGGTGTCAACGACGTTATTCTGGACACGCATATCTATCAGATCTTCTCGGACGGCGAGGTGGCTATGAAGCCTTGCGAGCACGTGCAGACTGCGTGTGCGGCGGGCCCGAACCTTGCGGGAACCGATAAGTGGACTATTGTGGGCGAGTGGACTGGTGCTCAAACCGATTGCGCGAAGTGGCTTAATGGTCTGGGGAAGGGTGCTCGTTATGATGGTACTCTTTCTGGTAGCACCGGCTATTACGGTGATTGCCAGTCTAAGTACGAGGGTACGGTTGATGGAATGTTGGACGTGGATAAGGTTAACCTCGCGTATTATGTTGAGGCGCAGTTGGATGCTTATGAGCAGCACTCTGGGTGGATTTTCTGGGCTTGGAAAACTGAGGTACGTTTGCCATCTCCTTTCCATCCTTCATCCTAGACTTCTCATCCTCCTCGCTTATCCCTCCCCTTTCACTGCAAACACAAAACTAACAAAAATCCCCCAAGTCCGCCCCAGAATGGCATTTCCAAAACCTAACCCGCGCCGGCCTGATCCCGCAACCGATCACGAGCCGCAAATACGCCAACCAATGCCAAACAAGCTCGTGCTTGATCCCTGGCAACTAAGAAAACCACCATCCCTCTAAAATTCGCAAAAAAAGAAGAAAAAAAGGAAGAAAGTTGAATTGAGAATAGATACCCTTCTTGTTGTACATATATTTACGACGTTATGACTGCATGGCATAGGATGGGAGAGAGGTTTGAAAGAAAGAGTGATACCCCTTCATTCGCTTAGGGAGTTTTGGGGGGATATTTTACCGGTAGATTTAGTTGAAGGTACGGTAGCATAGGGTGGAATGAATGAATGAATCAGAGTTTGAGAGTATTGGTATTTGTGTTCGTGTGTGTGTGAAGATGATACTCGTCACGTGAAACATGTGCACGTGAATCGTGGCAAGTGCCCACCTCCCGTCATTGTTGGATCTCTACCTAGGTAGGTAATACCGAAGAATCACAGCGCGTCCTTGTTTACATCTATTCCTACTCACTTATCTATATCTATCACTCTCCTAAAATCGGCAGTCAGCTCAGCAACCCTTCCATCTTCCCCCAACTTAAAGTCAAAGCTTCAAGGCATATGCTTTCCACGAATCATATTCCGCGCTGGTTACTACTGATTCCGTGGCGTACGGCGTGCGAAATATTCTATACCTTTAGCAGTTTTGATAATTTTGGGATGTGTTGGATAAATTTATATGTGTTAATGAATTGGTTATTTGGGGGATAGGGTATCTGGAAGTGAAAAAGGTGGTAGGAGACGGTGGTAGTTTACTGTTCTGGTTTGGTTTAGTCTGTATGTATGATTGGGGGGTAGTGATATATTGACTTAAGAACGGCTTCCGGGCATTAATGATGTTTTCTTTGTTGCATGACGCTGGTGGAGTGGCTGTTAACAATATTCGAAAATTCGAAATTCCCTCAAATTCAGAGTGGTCTTGTGAGAATTGACATCCTCTCAGAGTTGCAACCATTCTATTGCACGTCGCAGGTAGAAAAGCTGTTAACAGAAGAAGATTTTTTTTTTTTTGGAGATGTAATTAGGAGATGAAGGGATGGCAGTTCTCAAATACAATCTTTTTGTTGCACATCGCACATGGAAAGGCTGTTAACAAGAGTAGTTCCTTGACAGACAGACACTGGGTGTCTTTCGACAGTGGCATGTTAAAGATCAAAAATTAATAACCATCTTCACGAATCTTTTCTCTTGTATTTACGTGAACGCTGCTGTTCAAGTCCCTGCTATGATTCTTGCTCGGCTAGGCTGAGTTGCCTGACAGCAAGATGATGAACAATCAATTAATTCTCATTTGGCTTTGCCATTAACAAGAGAAGTATGCGAGTCTAGTACCCATTCAGAAGGGTGCTGGCTGGCCCATGCCCAAGTTTCGACAAAGGATGGTTAGTCAGATCCCAAATAAGTCCTACAGAAAAACGTGGCTGCAGAGCCCAACTTCAGGGCATGCAAACAAGCGCGACAAGCGCCTCCCCCCGCCTTTCCAACCTTGAATTTCCCGATTCGGAAATCGTTGAATGACCAGGAACATGGTCTTGAGCAAATGTCTCACCATCCCAAGTCACTGCATAAAGCTATCAACACTAGCAACGCTTACCGGACTCCGCGGCCTCCGGGTCTACCCTGTATCCGCGGACTTAGCATCCCTGTGCCGTCGGCATCATCGGTCAACAGAATTAAGTGTGGCGTATGGGCGGCTCAGCGAGAGGTCAAGCATTGGGTTCGGGATGATTATCAAACGTGGGTTGTGAACTGGGGGTCCTGGGCAGGCATGGGGAAGTCGCTTGTTTGTTCCCGAGGGGGATTAGATGGGTTGTCATGAGGTGAGAGGGTTGAAATTGGATTTATTAGGTCACAAATTAAGGTTGCGAGGAAGTAGACCTGGTTGAAGGAGATTGTGCTGTCTTACTCTTGGTGAAAGCGCAATAGCCAACCTGGTGATGCTTAAAATGAAAAGTACATTTTCTTTGAAAATACAAACTGCCTATTCTACCATGCGGTAAAAAGCGCCGCAAATGTATAACGCAATCCGTACGAGGCAATTGACATGGAATCGAGATCTTCAGACAAATGATTCAGTTTCCGGCAAGCATCAAATAAATATGAAGCAGAGCCATGTGATGAATCGAGATCGGTCTATGAAAGGGTGGTACTCCAGCCGTACGTGTGAATTAAACACACTTGCCTATCTTCGTGAAAGAGTCTATATGAATAACGCTATTTGTCGCAAAGAACAGCAGTTTTTTCTGTGTAGTTCAAGAGGTGCACTAACCCTATTGACTCAGGCGCATAATTGAAATTGATCTTTCCTGAGCAATTTTTCGGTATTCTATTTCGATATTTCTGCACCTCCGTGCAACATCCAACCAACATCCGCTTTACCAACCAACATGAGCGCAGATTCCACATATAAGAAGATGGCTATCCCCCAATACACTCTCGAAGAAATCGCAAAGCACAACACTCCTGACGACCTCTGGATCATCATATCAGGCTCCGTGTATGATGTGACGGCATATATTCAGAAGCATCCTGGAGGAGTAGAAGGTAAGACGCATCTTCCAAAGCTTTGTTCTCTTCTCAAGCAAGACCAGACCAGGAGATCTAAGCTAACTGCAAATAGCACTTCATAGTGTAGCAGGAACAGATGCTACGAAAGGATTCCGAAAGAACAAAAACCATCTTCACATTGCCACCCAGAGAGATCTTCGGAATTTCATGATAGGAGTGGTAGCTAAACCAGAAAAAGGGAAGTGGTCCTTCGGGCTGGGATGGCTTTTTGGAATCAAGCCGGGCGTCACGAAGGGAAGTGGGACAGAGGCGAAGAAATAACCTCAAATAACTTCAAGATGATCAGCTCGCGGCGAGGAATATGAGCAAAACCTTGCTCGCGAGACTAACTTGAAACAATCTTGGGATACGGCGAAGAAGTTGAGCGAGAACTAGATCGAGTCAAGATTAACGAGACGTATAGATGCACCAATGAGATACAAATCACATCTCAACGCGAACGGCGCAGTCGATGAATAAGCTGTCACACGTGAGCCCATACGCCCGTCCCAGTCCTCATCTCGATATAAGTGCCCTGGCATGTCTCATCTTCGCCGCACCCGGGCATTTGATGGATGCCGGAACCGAAAATGCGTTTTACGACCCAAGACCGCAATGCTGCACACCGCCTCATTCATCGCATCTGCCTAATGGTTTTTTCGTCTTGTTAGGTTCACCTATTGATGGGGGCTAAGAATGGAATGCTGCAAGTTGTATGCACGACATAGTTGTTACCTGGAAATATCTGGGATCATGTACATGGGACTTTACTTGAAATTGTACGGGAATGCCGTGTTACCATTTCTATTCCCGGTGACGCATTCCGAGGTGTCTTATTTGGGTCACCGAGAAACCTGATATTAGCTCGTCAGTCTTCTTCGGGCGTTGTTGTTGTCTGCTTTGTACTTTTATATCTTCACGTTGATGGAGTTTTCCCGTGATGGTCTGCCGTATGGGGGAATCCCGAGTTAGTCTATGCGGGGTCACTTGAGACAAGGATCTCCACAGTGCAAGTTCGGGACCACCTGGGCGCATAAAAGAAAGTCCGGCAAGTGGATGTTGGCCGAGAAGGAATCTTCATTTTCGTTTCTTCTCTCGTACATCATCTTCACTATTATTCTAAATCAAATCAATTCAGTCAATCTTCTGCAATAAATACCTAAGTTGTGACGTATTGAAGTTTCAACTCCAAAGCATTTTGCCCCTCATTTTGCCGAGCATCGTCAACGACCCCTCCTTTTCCCTTCAATTGATTCTCAACAACGCAGCATTCAAGATGGCGACAACAAACGGCACAAAACCAACAACTCATCCTCTGATCATCAACAACAAACCTCACTCCACCAAAGCCTCATTCCCCGTTCACTCCCCGGCAACAGGAGACCTCCTCCACCACTTCTCCTCCGCCTCAATCCAAGACACCGACCTAGCCATCAAATCCGCACACGAAGCCTACCCAGCATGGAAACGCCTTCCCCCAAACCAAAAGCGAGACATCTTCCTCAAAGCCGCTGACCTAATGACCGCCCGCCTCCCCGAGCTCAAAAAATCCATGGTTGAAGAAACGGGCGCCGCTCCCGGATGGGCAGATTTCAACCTCGGTCTCGCCCCTGAAATCCTTCGCGATGTGGCCGGAAGATTATCTTCGATCTCTGGGTCGATTCCGCAGACTAGTCGAGAGGGAGTAAGTGCCTTGATCTACAAAGAGCCCTATGGGACTATCCTTGCCATTGCTCCGTGGAATGCTCCTTATATCCTCGGGATTAGGGCGATTATCTATCCGTTGGCAGCGGGAAATACTGTTATCTTGAAAGCACCAGAATTCTCGCCAATGTGCAGTCAGGGAATTGTGTCTGCGTTACATGATGCGGGTTTGCCTCCCGGAGTGCTGAATTTGATAGCTCATCAGCCGTCGGATGCAGCTGCTGTTACGAAACATCTGATTGAGAGTCCGATTATCAAGAAGGTTAACTTTACGGGCTCTACGGCTGTGGGGAAGATTATTGCCGAGCTTGCGGGGAGGAATTTGAAGCCTGTTCTACTGGAGTTGGGAGGCAAGGCGCCAGCCATTGTGTGGGAAGATGCAGATCTGGAATTGGCGGCGAAGGAGTGTGTTATGGGAGCTTTTCTGCATGCGGGTCAGATTTGCATGAGTACGGAACGGGTGATTGTTCATGAGAGTGTGGTGGAGAAGTTCGAGGAGGAGTTCAAGAAAGCTGTCAAGGCATTCGCTCCTGAAGGAGGGGATGCTCCAGTTCTGATCAATGCTGCAGGCGTGCAGAAGAATCAAAGACTGCTGAAGGATGCGGTAGGAAAAGGTGCCAAGGTGATTCATGGTGACCATGAGGCTGGGGAAGGTGCAAAGATGATGCCTGTCATTGTGAAGGGAGTGAATAAGGACATGGATCTGTTCTACACTGAGAGTTTCGGACCAACGGTCAGCTTAATGACGATCAAGACTGAGCAGGAGGCTTTGGATTTAGCGAATGATACAGAGTATGGGTTGAGTTCAGCGATCTTCACGAAAGATCTGGGACGAGCTTTGAGAATGTCGAGGGAGATTGAGAGCGGAGCTGTTCATATCAATGGCATGACGGTTCATGATGAGACAGCATTGCCTCATGGAGGTGAGTTCTTATTTTTTCAAAAAGAGTTATACAAAGTCATGCTAACAGAGACTATTAGGTATGAAAGCAAGTGGTTACGGCCGCTTTGGAGCGTCAGGGCTGGACGAATGGGTAAGAACGAAGACTGTGACTTTCAAGGATTAATATACTTTCTGAATTTGCTCCTCTATGCACGAAACTTCTCCTCTGTATGTAGTCAAGAGGATGAACATAAATATCTACTGTTACAATTGGCATTGTCCTTCGTCATCTATTAGCTACCGTGACTATTACCTTGTTATTGACTTCTAAGACAAGAGAGCAGCTGCCGTTTTCTGAAAACTTTCATTAAACGCCACTAAAGCCACGAGTGCAATGTCAGTCGGAAAACGACATTTTCTAGTCCTATGAGCTAGTATGAAAGACTCCTTTCTCCCTTCATCTGGCTTTTACCAATTCATTCACCATTTGTGTTCACCCGCGTTTATAATTTACTCTATCAGTTTTCAAGAAAATGAATGGCAGTGAATTTGATCAACAATAAATCAAGCTTGAGGAGCGGATATTTAATGCACCATTAGAAACTTCACAAGTCTGAAAAGGCAAGTGACCTCAACACAAACACCGCACAGAGGAGGATCATTAGTATCCGGGGTGCCTCCTACCACCGTATATCTTTGAGTTTTCGATTCCAACGTCGCTTGAGATCTCCATAACTGCTAGCCAAATCAAAAGATTTGCTAGATTGACAGTTATTGTCAACTGTCGATGATTTGTTCAGGAAGATTTGACAGTACAGCAATATTTGACGACGAACATTTTCAAATCACTAGCAAGACCTTGCTTGCACTCATGCGGCTCTTTATTTGAATTCACCCTCCTGTTTCAACCTCCACGGTGCTGCAGACTGGTCCTGCCGACGCTCCATGTATCGTTCCACCAAAAGTTCCGGCTTTGCAACTTAATTTAGTTGCAGGTCTTCTATCTATATACCAACAAGATCTCCAATTTCCCAGCACGTATGAAAGGCTAGGGAACTGAAACGGTGAATTCTATAGAAGCAAGTTTTTGTTACGCTTAAATTCACCTCCATCTCCTTGAAGTTACGTCCACTACTACCAATTCACCCTCTGATATGCTCAAACAGATAGTATAAATAACGGTCATGCTTATTCCCAGTAAAAAAGATAACAGCTTCCGAGCCCCAGGAACTATTCGATCGCGACTCTCAAACAAACCAATTCTACTGTTTCTAATCTAGTTTCCTGGGTTGTCTCGAGCGTCTGACTTCTTTGGGTCTTAATTTGCCGCTATCACATACTCTATCTGTAACTCTTGACAGCAATATTCTATTTGACAGCAATGTCTCAGGAGTTCGAGAGACTCGAGCTAGAATAGAGATAACTCCATGTGGATTCCATGAGGCACTTTGTAGTCAGAATGTATACAAAAACTCAAGGCAAACTCCCCGGCGATCTCCATGGTGTAACAGTAGGCATCATCATTATTTGCACGATAGTTCACAGCTTAAGCTCGAGTTGTCTAGTATCTATAGGTCTTAGCGTCTATCTCCAGAGTTGTGATTCAGTCGCCTTCTCGAGCAAGAAAATCGACTCTAGGAGGTGAATGTTACTTGTAGCTCTGGAAAAGACTTTTCTAGCTTGCGACCTGAGGGTATATGAAGCTTAGCTACCACTTGTATTTCAACCACCCAAAAAGACAGAAGATACAATCTTATTAACTAATGAGTGGTGATTCGGGAACCGTAGTATAATGCGTACCTGAGAATACCTGTTATCCGCCAGATACTTCTTTTTTCGGAAGCAGATGACAATGCTCCTGTGATGTCGTACAATGCTTCAAGCTCCTCGGCTTGAGCTATAGACATGGAATCTGATGCAAATGGTTCACGGCATTTTCAGGATGATCAGAGGCACAGCAACTCACGGTCTTTGGAATATTAAGAGCGAAAATATTTAGACTGTGTTTTCATTGGAAATTCTTGCTTGCTTTAGGAAAGTTTTGGACGAATTCTCGAAAGCTCTTCTAGATGGGGGATGCAATGCTTAGATGTACCATTCTTCTTCTTTTGGGTCCCATGGCAGGATATGATCAGGAACCTCGATGCAGAGGAAGTAATCCTCGAATTTGCTAGACCCTGCGGTAACATGAGGCATTAAGTGAAGGTGGTTGATAAATATAGGCTTGATATGATCGCGGATTTCCGATCCCATTTCCTCCGGAACGAAATTGATTTCCAGACAAAGTCTGTAGTAAGCTGGTAGAACAGGTGTAATTTGGTATCCTTGGTATGCCGATATGCAGACCGACTTTGCGCTCTTAATCGCGACACTGGACATTTGTTCGCCTGGAGAACTCCAACGCTTGACTTTGTTCTTAAGATCCGAACGTTCGTATTGAATCTGTGAAGTTTGATTACCCTTCGCCATGGCTTGGAATATATTTCTTTGGGTCTCGTCGAGACTGGCACAGATACTTGAGTGGAGTGAATCGGCAGCTCGAAACAATTCCACATCAGCGAAATCTCGATATTTGGGTGCGGACCAAGGTCCTAAAGAGAGTATGAGGCTGTCCTTGAAGAGCATATAATTGCGGAGAGTCTTTGCAGACGCGAGAACACTGTGTGGATCTTTGAACATGCTCTCGGCGAAAGTAGAACTTCTAAGGACGGCGGCGCAGATAGTCTCCGTGACTGTTGGAAGAGCACCATAGTATCTTGCCATATCTATTAGAGTAGCCAACTCTACAGCATTCTGTAAATGATATGACCGCCCAAACACGGCACAGAGGAATTTTTCGAAGACTTTCTGTTCGTGGATAACATCGCCAGTAAATTTAGAGGTGTCAACACTACGGTGCTGGATTAACATTAACTGTTAGCATTTGGTACATCTGTAAGATTGGATTAGACTGCGTGTGCACTTACCAAGTGATCGGAACTTAGAGACCAAGAGCGAAATTTCTTTCCCTCAACTACATCTTCAATACGAGTGAACCACTCGCTGGAGAACTCAGGAAGAGTAGAATGTGGCTTCTTTCCACCGGATGGGTCGAGAAAGGTTCTGAAGAAGCGACAGTTCATCTTCAGTACCACCGAATTGACGAAAAAGTCTTGATTAAAGACATGGAAATAGAGGTCTGGGTTATGGCCAGCTTTCTTGAAGATAATTGGTGACATGGCAGAGTCGCTCGTCTTTTGCTTCTTGGCTTCAGGTTGGGCCATCTTGACACTCGACGAAGGCGAAGAATCAAGATCGAGATAAAGTTCGAGGTTGAGATCGAGATTGAGATCGAGGTAGATGTTGAGAAGATGGAGAGTTGAAGGAGGAGCAAGGAACAGAAGGAGAGGAGATGCTTCTCACAAGCTAGCCCAGGACTAGCGCGAGGCTGCGAACAAGTTAGGAAACAGTGCAAGTCAACTCCATAAAGAATCAAGGTGAATCCCCAAAGACCAAATCGATAGATAAATACCCTGCAGTAAAAGTGCAGCAGGCCTCCCTACATTACGCCCCAGCTGAAAGCCCTAGATGTCCAAGATCTTGACGGCCAACAAGACATCTGACACGCACTTTTCAGTAGGCTCGATAACCTTCAAATTCTGGGACATACATATGAGGGGGAGGATACTCGAAGCAACTCTCCTCTTCTGATGTTATGAGCTGTGCTCACATATTAATTAATGCTCAAGGAGACAAGCAAATACAACTTTGCCAAACGCAGTCACAGACAGAAAGCATGACGAGCTTTTACTCAGAGATGGGAAAGGCTTGAGCATGTTATGAGATAGGCCTAAGTGAATGATCCTTGACAGCACTTCTGTCTAAGCATGGAGGAAAGCTCCCAGGTGGGCTGAAGGTTTGGCATCTGTATCGCTCATCCTCAGCAACCACCTTCAGCAGAAGGCTTCACCCGATCACAGTCCACTGTATCTGTAGCGGAAGCTCATGTACAAGATGTAAAAACAAGTTGAAGACCAACCGAATTGCTCCAATATCTACTCAAAATCAAAAGCGCCCAATTTTCCAATGCACCACCCATCTTTACTAACAATATCTGCAAAAAAAAAACTATCATCTCGTATCTACAAGCTCCCACATAGCTCTCAGCACACTAACACCACCTCCCTGAGTCTCTACCGTCCGGCCCCTCCCTCTATCATTCAGATCGCGAATCCGGATCTTGCCTTCGTTATCGTCTTCATGTACATCATCCTCATTTGTCTCTCGTGCATACCTCCTCTTGTTCTTCCATTCGTGCGGAACTCCCAAATTTCGATAATCAACCGCCTTAGAAGGGAGCTCGACATTGACATCTGGTTCCGCTGTCGAATGTGGAGGCGCACCCCACCACATGCCGAACTTCCCTTCTGCGTCGAGTGTACTGAGAGCAGCTCTTGCATTATGCTTGATCCACGGACCATAACGAGCACAATTCTCATCATGCCATTTCTGCACCTCTCGTGGACCTCCTGGGATATCGTTCTCGCCTTTGCTGAGGAACAATTCTCCGGGCAAAACAAGATGATCAGGGAGTCGTTCACAGAAAAGCGTGAGATGATGGAAGAAGATGCCTTTGAAGGTTTGGCCGTCCTGTGAGCAGTAGCCTTCGGCGTCACAAGCTTCTTCCATGATGCCAGAACGGCCAAGTCCACGCCATTTTCCAAGTCTGTGTCCTGGCTTGTCTTCTTCGAGAACCTTTCCGCGCTTTAGGTCCCATCCAGTGGCGGCAATGACGTCTGAGACAAGTTGGTGGCCATCTTCGAGGTATGATCGAGCGCCCGTTGCTTGGTATAGTCCTCGTTGACCAGAAAGAAGAACTCCTTGGTTGTATGTATATACCATCTCGTTACGAGCATCGCATCGAGTATTGGAACCATTCTTAGGCCGTTCTCGAGACCAGCCCGAGATATGATAGCCATCAACATACAGACCCTTCGCGTCGGTCATATTGCTATCTCCCAACCATTTGTATGCCTCAATTGCAGCAGCCAAGTATTTCGGATGATGAGGTCGGCCAGGACCGTCGACGATCATTAGAGTCGGAGGTGTCGTAACTCCAAAAGGAGAAGTGTTGTCGTCGCCAGGAAAATATAAATACATAGAAATCGACGCTGCAATATAAAGTTCGTTCGTGATAGCGTTCTTGTATGGTACCAAATTGGGGTTCCAAATCATTCCTCCATTGCAAAGAGAAGTATCCCAGCCCTGCGAAGCCATATCGAAGAATATACGAGCCCGATGTGCAAATGCTGGAACCCATTGCTCGCCATACCAAGGCCCCGCTAATCTCGATTCGTTGTCCGTCCCATAATGTAAAGAAGAATGTTCATGAATGAATTTTATCGACTCCAACCAGCCCAGCACCACCCATAACATATCATCGTATGCTTCTTGTCGCAAAGCAAATGCATCCTGTCCAAAATATGCGCCAATCAGGTTCGAGAAGTATTTGTTGACAGTATTGTCGGCAATCTTCGACGAGGATAAAGCTGGGTAGGAGGTCGACAGCGTGATGAGAGCCGAAGAAAGATATGTTCCAATGACTGCAGATGTCCAATCAATTGCTTTAGGCCATATTCCTTGCCAAACTTCGAAATAATTTGCTTGTAATACGTCCAGCGCATCGAGCAAGGCTGGCAGAGTATCTGGATTGGATTTGCTTGGCAGAGGTTTTTCTCTATCGTCCTGCAGTGGCTGTTGCTCTTTCGCAAGTGCCAACGAAGAGGCAAGCAACAGCCATATGAGGAGTCGATTTGTGCCAAACATTGTACCAGCGATGTGGCGAAACAGGGTTCCAAGAAACTGCACAACCCGCACTCAAGGAGGAAATAATGGAGACATCTATGTCTATATCGTCATGCTTGGGCCAGGCGGTTATGGTACCGGCGTCAGGATATGTTATAAACTTAATTCTGCTTCCAAAGAGGGCGAATTCAAAAAAGGACCACGAGATCTTGAAGTTGGATGCAATTGAACGACAAAGGGTGGACAATCATCGTCCTCGTGGTTGATTTTGACACATCCTAGACCAGCTGAAATGGCGCTAGCGGGCGCGGGGTCTGGTCCTATGGACGCCGAGGGCCTAAATTTGGAGGTTTTAACTTGGTCTTACATAATCACTCGACAACTCTTTATCAAAGTCTTACTGGGCCAGGTTGCAGCGGGCAGCCTATGACACTAAAAATGAGTGGATATATCGTTCCTTTGAAATTCGGTGACTACTTAGGTAGTGTTCGGTACACAATCCCAAAAAAATAAGAAAAATCTTCAAAATGTGTAAAGTGATGACTGTGGGACTCGAACCCCTATATTTCATTAGTTTAGTGTCAAATCCTAGATACTGTAAACTTACACGCTCTTTCGAACTAGTATTGAAGGTCTCAAGTGATCCTGAAACTAGCGCCATAACCACTCGGCCAAGTCACCATTGTATATGAATGGGCTGAATTCTGCTTATTTACATCTATACGGCCATTAGCCAAAAGCCGGGTTGATTAGGCTTAGTGGCTAGAAGTGGTGTGGGACTACGTGGGACGCCGCGGCGCAAAGGCGCAAGTCGCTCTTTTAGCGCGATATTGACAATTGAAACAATACATCACAATTATGTCCTCTTGCAAACAACAGTTTTGATAACTTAAACTTAAACAAGTTAACCATAAATATAACATCAAAGTCTACATATATAATCATCAGTATCCCTCAACTCTTTAAACATCTTCAAAGCGCCACCCAACAGTCATCCATTGTCACTCCGCCACCCTTCAATACATTTGTTGACCTCAATCCCTTTCTTCAAAACCTAAAGCATTACGATTTCTTTGTTCTTCTCCAATGTGGCGTTTGTTGCGCGTCGCATCCACGTTGCCATGCCACAGTATTTACTTTCCATGAGACCGATCACGGACCATGATTGCGCAGCCAACTTTCACATCGAAAGGTTGAAGTTCAGCAGGTTGAGAATCGTCAAAGTTGGAACTGTACTAAACTCTGTGGGAAACCCGACACTTTCAATTTCACGATATTGCCAGTTCCTTGATCACCACATCATTGAGATAACCAAAGCTCCCACGCCATACCATCTGCCACGAAATCTGAAATACCATTTGAGATGTACATTCTCCTTTCAGTCGTCGGTTGCATTCCCATCAAGCTTTATATGAGACCAAAAGTTTCCGTCATGAGTACAGCTGTAAGATGATGAGGCTCTTATTCTGATTGTGTGGCTACAATATCTGAATCTAGGATACTCCTTCCTTAGACGAACCAAAAGCCAACAAACCCTCGCTTCCTTGAAAAAGCATCGGTGAGTCCACGCTTCAGGTTCACAATCCCGCCACCCCGGAGACTTCTCTGATTCCGACAGCGCCGGCTCTTCGCCTCTCAAGGATGGTGAACATGTCAATCCTCTCTCCGCGACGGAGCTACTTCTTGTAGCAGGGGAGATATTTATGCCCGGGGAAGCGAAAAGTGAATGACGATGAGATCGAGACTTTCGATGAGTTGGCGAGGACATGTATCCTTCTCCGCTTGTGATCTTGTAGGGGATATAGAGGGGCTTTACATTTTGAACTCTGTGGGTTGAGGCAGATGTTTTTAATAAACGTCGAATATCGGTTTGCGGATTTTCTTCTTCTCGAAGAACGAAATATAAGTACAAGGAAATTGATGATGTTTCGATGACGGAAATGGTAAACGCAGGAGGCTCATTTCGATATAGTGATTAAATTGATATTGCATATCAATTGATAAATATGAAATACTCGAAGATACGTGAAATTTGAGATACAAGAAGTGCACTGGAAAAGTCCAGTTCATGGTATGTAATATGACAGATGAATCTGTTTCAAACCCACGAACATGGCAGAAATACCAGAATATCTCAATTTTTGAATAGTGGAGCACCTAAGAGAGAAATAGCGGATAGTGCCAAGCATTGACTCCACTTAGAGTCAATTTACTTCTGCTGAGGTCGAAATGTATAGAAACTTTCGAAAGCCTGGGATAAAGCATCAAATTTTGAAAAGCGTGGTGTAAATTCAGTCTTCGCCAGTCAGAGAGTGTAGTATGCCTGGGCTTAGAGCAAATAAACCAATGCTATATGCGTGGGTATAGCATAGTATATAGCATGTAGCTGCAGACAACAAATCAAACGACCGTTATCCATTCTTCGTACGGCGTAAGAGATCTGCTTCGATGGAGGACCTTGTACGTACCTGTCCCCTGACAACTTTCATGAAGCTTTGTATTCAGCGGTATCATCTTCGCAATCGTTCTTCGTAGGAAGGCTGTCAAATTTTGATTTCGAGGCTCTGCAAATCATTAGTAACTGCTCCATCTTCAAGCAAGAAAAGAACATACCAATGACGCCCATGTACACACGCCGATATGTCTTCATTCACAGACACATCGGCTGGCAGAAGCCACTTAAGCAGCATCGCCCAGATATTCTTCCACATCTCTCCTCCCTCACTCAATAACCTCCTCTCTTCCACCCGGGCTACGACTCCTGCTTCTGGCTCTTCCTTTCGCAGGCGGACGTCCACCACCTCTGCCCTTCCCTCCAGCTCCTCCTGGCGGTGGTCGCACAAACGCGAAATCAACTTCAATCGTCTGATCCAACAACTTCGTATTATGTGCCCCATCAATCGCCTTGCGCGCCTCGTCCAGAGTCGGGTACTCGATCAATGCGTAGCCCTATGCATCGTCAGCTGTATTCCCCATATATCCACTTGTGAAGACGAACCTTGACATAACCAGTCCGTCGATCTAGATTCAGATGCAGATTCTTAATCTCTCCAAACTCCGCAAACAGATCATTGAGATCCTCCTCGCTGGCCTCCTCGTGGACGTTGGTGACGATCACGATCCAGCCCTCGATGGAGCGCACGGCGGTCGCGTTCGAGTGGGTGGTCATGTTGGAGTTCTTGAGGGAGGGAACGTCGTCGTTCTTGTGTTCGGGGGAGAGGGGCGCGTCGAGCTCCATTTCGGTGTCGGCCATCTTTGAGGATTTTGTATGGGACGAATATGTTGCGGGAAGGTGCAGATGGTTGTTTGTTGAAGGCGCGATGGAGTTTGTGCTCCAGGGCTTCAGGCCAGGCTTGGGAATTTTTTGACGCGAGGATCTTTTTCGCGAGGTGACACCAGCTTAACGACCAATTTTCAGCCTCAATCTCCAAAGTGATATCAGGAGTCGACTTCACACGGCTCGTATCTCAGGTACCTGTAGCAAGTTCTCTAAGTATCTCTCCGAGTCGCAGCAGTTTCGCTTCTGAGTAAGGTCGGAACGCTCCATCCTAAATTCTGATTGGTTCATCGTACGACAGACTCTGACGTAAGACGAAGTATCCTCGAAATGTCTCCTTTAGGAAAACCAATTGTTGGTTCATTTGGAATATCGCATCAAGATTCATGCTTGATCGTTGGTATTTGATGTCAATGTGCCTCCTTTAGACATATTTCAATAAGCTCGAGCCCTCGTTCACAGTACATAAATGAGCTGTTTCCAGGTAGGAAAATGCTGTATCTTTCGTCTTATTTTCATTTCTATTCTGTGTGCTTTTGGGGGACAATTGCATCGCGATGGAGGCCAGTCAGCCTAGACGAGTGATTATTGTCGGCGCTGGATTTACCGGTCTCGTTGCTGCGAAGACCTACCTCCAGATCAACCCAGCTGCAGACATCACGATCATCGACAAAGAAGATGGCATTGGAGGCGTATGGTCAGCATCACGGATCTATCCAGGCTTGACATACGAAGTGCCTACTCCGCTTCTTAACTTCACCGACTTTGATATGTGCAAAGAGCTAGGAAAGGAGATGTGGGAAGATGTCAGCGGATATGAAGTTAACGAATTTCTGGTGAGCCTCCCCACTCTCGCCGAGCTTGCTCTTCTGACAGACCAAAGGTCAAATATGCCGAGAAGCATAATCTCACAAAATTATGTCGCCTGAGCACCGAGGTGTTGAAGATTGAGAGAGATGGTCGAGGCTGGAAAGTCCTTGTCCGACCGGTCGATCAACCAAACGCTTCACCAGAATCTCTGTTTTGCGAGAAGCTCATCATGGCAACGGGCATCACCTCAGTTCCAAGAACGCCCCATTGGGACATGACCAAATTTGATGGTTTCCACTTCCACGCAAAACAAATGGGCAAGCGTCATAAGGAACTCGTCTCAGAAGATGTCAAAAATGTTACAATCATCGGCGGTCACAAATCAGCACTTGAAGCTGTCGGAACTTGTGCTCAAGCAGGCAAGAGTGTCGAGTGGCTTGTAAAGGCAGACGGCGGTGGACCAACTTGGTTGATGCCCGCCAAGAATCCGAATGGAAGTTCCTTGGCAAAGATGTCGACTGTACGCATGATGGCTGCTTTGAGTCCAAGTGTATATCGAAAGCCGAATTGGCTTGATCGATTTTTGCACAGTCAACGATGGTGGTTGGGAAATTGGCTTTTAACCTCGTTCTGGACCTTCATGACCAAGACCATCAAAGGTGATAGATACAACAAAAGCCCAAATATGAAGAAGTTGGAGCCACATCCAAAGAGGTGAGTGTGCCCTGACGATCGTTCAATAGATTGCCTGACCTTCATTCAGCATGTTCTGGTTCGTTCCTGGGGGAACAATCGTACACGACCGAGATGCAGAAACCATCCGACTCATCGACGAAGAGAAGTTCGTCCATGTCAATCGGGCCGAACTGGTTTCTGCTCAAGGACGAACGGTTACTCTGTCAAGTGGCAAAACCATACCATGCGACGGAATCATATTCTGCATTGGCTGGGAACTTTCCATCCCGCCTTTATTCCCTCCACCCCTCGCCAACGATCTCGGTCTCCCCGTTGATTTCTCCATCCCCTCCACCCAAGAGAACGAATACTGGGAAGCCCTCGACACAACCTCAGAATCCGATGTCCTGGCCCGTTACCCCATCCTCCGCAACCCACCCAGCGAGATCCACGTCCCCAAATCAACCCTCACACCCTACCGTCACTTCCGGTCTATGATCCCACCCAAACTCGCCGCCCGCAACGACAACTCCCTCGTCTTCATCGGCAACTGGGCCAACGGCCGCGTGCAAATAACAGCCGAATTAGCATCCCTCTATGCCATCGCCTATCTCGAAAATCTCATGCCGCCTTCTACTCAAGCTCTATTATCTGACGAAGAGGCGATGAATCGCGATATTGCCCATGTAGATGCGTTTCGACGGAAGAGGTATTTGAATTGTTTCCCGTTCAGGATTAGTATTTTTGATACGCCGGAATTCGATGATGCGTTGATGAGGGATTTGGGATTGAGGGCGGATAGGAAGAGGATGAGGATGAGAGGGGGTTGGAGGGATTGTTGGGTGTTGAAGGCTTGGTGTAGGGAGTGGTTTGAGGGGTATTTTGCGAGTGATTATGCGGGGATTGTGGAGGAGTTTTTGGAGGGCGTGGAGAGGAGGAAGGAGGGGAAGGTACTGTAGGTGAGTGATGCGTTGAGTGAGTGGAAAAGGGGGTTAGGCGAGGTTACACAGGTTGTGGTTGTAGGCGACTGTGTGTTTTGCTCATGAGATCTGTCTTTCTGTTATATTCAGACGTGTACGATAAACTTGCTGAGATTGTAAATTTTCCTCTAACCAATGTTCTAGTTAGAATCCGGTGACGCACGCTCTTGGGCTCTTGTATCTACATCTGGGATTGTGCAGGGCCACCTCGACACCTTACTCTGGCATCGTGATATCCAGGGCAAGCTCACATAAGATGATCGTCCCCCCTTGTCGAGATCATTGGCAAGCGAAGACGTGGACTCTCCGCCCCACATTCGGGGAGCGCTAAAACCCGACTCTCACCCGTACAGACTTAAAAGGTTCATGAACACAGCGTCGAATGAATTTGTGCAACATAACTTTCTCCTATTTAACTCTCGGTTACTGATAACTTCAACAACGCTGCTTGAATTATTTCCCTCTCACTCTTTCCCCTCCAACATGTCCCTCCTTATCAAAATCCTCGCAACCCTAGGCTCCCTAACCCTCGCCTCCCAAACCCTCAAACTCCTCACCTTCCTCAAATTCTGGCTCCGCCCCTCCACCCTCTCCCTCTACCACTACCCACTATCCTCCCAGCCGCCCTGGGCCTTCATAACCGGCTCCTCAGACGGAATCGGACTCGGCCTCGCCCTCGAGCTTGCCCACTCCGGCTTCAATATCCTCCTCCACGGCCGCAACCCCACCAAACTGTCCGCCGCTCAATCCACCATCCTCGCCGAATGTCCCAACATCCAGGTCAAATACATTGTCGCCGACGTGTGTCTGCCCGGTGATCAAATGCTGCAGAAAATCCAAGAGATAAAAGACCAGGTGAAAGACCTCCATGTCACGATCTTGGTAAATAATGTCGGCGGCCCAGCACCAGGCATGGTTCCATTGTACAAAACGATGCAGCAAACGCAAGACTGGGAAATCGACGGCCAGATCGCGATGAACATCCGATTTACCTGCCATCTTACCTCGGCGCTGATCCCGCTTCTTCCTAACCCGGCTCTGATCCTCAATATCGGATCCGTGTCGGATGTTGGATTGCCGTATATCGCGATGTATTCGGGCGCCAAGGGATTTGTGGATTCGTGGACTAGGGCCCTGAGTAGGGAGATGAGGGCTGAGAATAGGGGGATCGAGGTTTTGTGTATAAGGCCGATGAAAGTTACGGGTACGAGTTTTCGGAAGGAGAAGGGGGAGTGGGGGATGCCTGATTCGAGGACTTTTGCTAAGGGGACGTTGGGGAGGGTTGGTGGGGGGAGGGTGGTTACAGAGGGGTAAGTTTATGCCTGCGAGAGTTGGGGGACTTTTTGCTAATGAGAGTAGATACTGGGTTCATAGCATCAGGGTTGGGATGATCGATCTGTTGCCGGAATGGATCTTGATGAAGCATATTGTCAAGACTATGAAGGAGGAAGCAGAGAAGGATAAGAAAAGGGAGTGAGTTGAAGAAGAGAAACTTGAGGATGTGTTTGGAGCTCTCAATGTTCTTTAAAAGCAAATACGCATCAGACAAGAGAGCATGCATGTATAGAGAGGAGGGTGTGTATTCAATGCGATGCATCTGAAGAATAGCAGGAGTGGCTAAAGTTAGACCCCGAGTTTTGGTAGCGAGCATACCTAAATATAGGTACCTATAATTTTGGAAATAATTCACAGCAAACTTTTGAAATAGTGAACTAGATAGTGCCAGATATGAGCATGACTTATCGGCATCGCGATGAAAGAGAAAGAGACGGGAGTCTTGTGGGAACAATTCTTTCACGTGATCGCCCTCGAGCTCCTCCAAGGGTCCACTTAACTTAGCGTCCTCTCACAATGTCACCTCACTTCTTCGCAAAGATCCTCTCATTCTCCAACATTCTTCTCGCCATATATTCCCTCATCTCAATCCTCGCCGAAAGTAACAACCATCTTTCAGGCCATTGTCGCATTCCATGTCGGCCGCACCTCTCCGCCGTGACCATCAACCAATGGCCAAATTCGGACCGTCACTCCCATGCCTCGCAAGTCTTCCCATTTACTTGCTTGGGTCGTATGCATGCTCGTAGAAGCATTAATAGAACGATCGACTGTCCCATAATGAGACCTTTCTTGGTCACGAGCATTTCAACCACTATCGTGCTGAGTTAGGCGCCGGCCAATGTTGGGCCTGCAGGAAGTTGCTGCGCCTGGAGCGTCTGTCGCCAAGGCTGTCTTTTTTGCCATGATTCTCAATGACTACTGCGCCTCAGGGCCAGAGAATCGTATCAAGTGCCACTACTGTGCATTCCATTCATGTACTGTTTCCTGTCGCGTCGCTATTCCTTCCAGGAGAGGGCGGCTGCTTGCAATATCAGATGCACTAGTGCTTACTCTGAATATCCTCAGCCCTATCATGTCTCTCAATTCTCTGCTTTATCAAAATCATCCTTGAAATTTGGTTGCGGCTTACTGCAGAATGGGTTTTCGTCTCAATTCAGTTTCAGCTTTATCTTGTACTGTCGTCTTGTTAATATATTCCGGGGTCTCTCAATGATCGTGCTCAGTGAGCCGATTCCTTTAATGTTGAAACATGTCGCGTTTGAATCCTCATTCTCAAGCAGTTCGTCCGTTGAGCTTCACTTATAGCGATGATCTTGCGTTCACCGGTCGTGGATCGCCGTCTCCCAGTCCAAGACAGGTGCCAGATGAATCGAGTCGTCTTGCGCATCCTACGCCCTCGCCACGCTGGTCTGGAACCATCACTCCAGAATTTACTTCTGTTGATGACTCGCGGAACGGTTCGAATGAAAACAACGAAAAAAAGAAGGGCCCTTTGGTAACGATCGAATACAAAGGCACGCGAGCTCTCACAGGTCTATCAGACATTTCAAAATCAGCTACCGGCGAAAGACCAAAAGTGGCAATCAAGCCAGGACTTCGAAATAACTGGAAGAAGATCGCTCCTCATATCGTTGCAGCCTCCATCACCGTTGCAGTATGCCAGCTCAGTTTTCGAGATGTATATTGGATGGATCTACGACCTCCGAACCAATTGGTAGCACTCAATCTCACTCAAGGAGGTGCACTCAATGCCCTTCAACTTGCTGCAAAGCTTCACGAACTCATAATTCTGGCCTCGATATCGAGTATTGTTCTTCACGCGGTCCAACATCATCTTAATGGTGTGAATGGACTACCTCTTGGTATGATCACTAATGCTTTTGAACTGGGCTCTGGACAATTTCTTCGTCGGGGATCGTTTTGGTCATCGTTATGGCGTGTTGATCCAGTCACCGGGAAACGATCTCGCTGGCTATCATTTTGGTTATTGTCATTATTCTCAACAATACTCGTCACTCTAGCAGGACCATCTTCAGCCATTGCAGTGATACCAACACTGGGATATTTTGATCTTCATCATCCGTTCAATGAGATAATCCTGCCGTACTTTATATTCAACGAAACCATGCCGCTCTGGCCCACCGCGCTGACCAATGCAAGTCTCAATGCCATTGGAACAGCCTGTAATGATCCAACGAATCTGCCGTCACAAAATGTCTGTCCAGCAGGAGGGTTCAGAGATACGTATGACTGGGCAGAAGCTATCTGGTTTGGAGATAGCGATGCTGGGACCAATATCTCATTTCCGGATCCGACAGGTACTACTCAAAGGATCATAACAGCTCAGAGTTGTAATAGTACCTATTCTGGTAGGGCATCTGCGATTGGTATCAATGCGTTCATCAGCAGTGCGTTGACTACTTATGTAAGTATTCCATTACCATTCACAATTGTGCCCACTCTCCTACAAGAACAGAGGAGCTAACAAAGCCAGTGGGTATTTCTACAAAGGAACGCACGGGGAGTTGCACTGACAGCTTCTCAACCCCGCATCAGTGTCGATTCTGCAACAGACACATTCGCTCCGCGCGTAGAAGTTATTTGCAATTCCTACAACAATGCCGCATTCGATGCCCAAAATCCAGACAATCAAACTACCATGATGTTTCCAGTATTTGGCGATGGGGATCCAATTCCAGTTCCCGACGAATATTACAAATATGCAAGACCCATGACTGCTCAGAACTTTACCTTCGTCGAGCTACAGCGAACCGACCCTCTCACCCCTTCACTTGGTGCTGTTGTGGTCATTCCTATCATTGCTGAAAGCATCAACGGCTCTTATTATCAAAGCACAGAGAACGTCGCCTGCAGTATATACTCCCAATGGATCCCTGTCGATGTCTGGTACGAACCAACGGTCAACAACGTAGTATCCTACGACGTGGCCGCCAATCTCAACGACACATGTCTCAACATAGCCAACGATCCCACTTCTACCAGACAACCAATCAGTAGTACGTCAAATTCTGCCCTTGCCTTGCATTCAATCTAGGAGCCGAGATCTTCGGGATCATCCTCGAGAGCTGTTCATCAAAGAAAATGTGTCACAGCTCCTCGGATGTGCTTCTCGGCTCTAGGAACTCTATCAAATTTACATACTGATTTATCTATAGACACCATCGACGCCGTTTATGCAGCCGCAATCAACGAACCAATAGCATTCACCAACGGCGACGTCCCAGCTCTCCTAGCAATGTATCAACGCTACATCTTCAACGACAGCACCTTCATCCCCAACGGCATCGACTTCCGGGCCCCCATTCCCGGCATCGCAACCCTGAACCTGACCCTCGGTCTCGCCACCGAAACACCGCTCCAAGGCCAACGCCAGCGCGGAAAACTCATCGCAACAGTGATTGCAGGTGCAGTAGGCGACGGCCTCGCTCGCGTTGCAGGAAATGGCCAACTCCCCTACAGCGGTTCTGCCTTCTTGCTTCCAGATCTGACAGCCGACGGCTCGCTACAAGGCCGTTTCCCGCTTTCTACTGCTATCGGCGGAGACGATATACCGCTCAACGCGACGGCTGGGGCGGAAAAGGATTGGTTGTCTCTGAACCCTACGTTCCAGCGATACGGATACGGGTATCACTGGAGGGGCAGTCGAACGACACAATTCGGCATCTCGGTTTTACTCATCCATATCGCGGTGGCGATTGTGCATACAATCGTAGTAATCAGTAATGTAACGGGAAAACATGGCGGCTTGCCTTGTGCGCCGGAGAATATCCCCGAGATGGTGGCGTTGGCGATTAATAGTAGGAGTAGTGCGAGGTTGCGGAATACGTGTGCGGGGATTGGGAAGAGTCGGACGTGGGGGGAGCCGTTGGCGGTTAGGGAGACGAGTGAGGGGCATTTGGAGTTTGTGGTTGGGGGGAGGGAGATGATGGAGTTTGAGGTGCCGAAGGTTGGGGTTGCTTATGGGGCGTTGCCGGAGGGGAGTGGTGGTGAGGAGATGAGAAAGAGGTGGGTTGATGTTTGTAGGCAGGTAAGTTTTTATTTGGATATATTTATATGACCATTAAACCCATCAATGATGGATGATTCCCCTTCGTATCTTCATCCCGAATGAAATGCACCTCTTGTCTCCCAAATTCACACGACAGACCGTAATGTATTGCAGGTCGAGTGGGCATGAATATCCGAGGTTGTCTACCTACTTGCTGCTGGATCTTACTGCCCATCGTCGAAGGTCTTTTAAATGCACATAATGCCCGAATCGGAGACAGATATCTAGCTACAATTCGTCACTCACTACCTATGCAAACATCTTTCACTAAATATTCCCAACATTTGTCGATAGGCAGCGAAAGACATCTCCAATTTAGCCAAACTCTCCTGGCATAGGACGAATTGGCGAATAATCATATGCTGCTCCTTTACAAGAAGAGGATTATGATAGTTCTAGCTCTTAGTGTTTAGATAGGGGTATCCTTCCAACGTGAAATCGACTTGTACTCATTTTCAGAAATGCGAACGTCCAGCGCTCCGTGAGTAGAAACATCCCTCCTTCTCTTGTTCGTTTGCGACTAACAGCTACGACAGTATTCAGCAATTTATCCATGGCTGTCATGTTTATAGCCCAAGGCGTTCTCATGAAAATCTGTACGGGCAACTTCAATAACGGAGCTTCCGGGGCTGTTATTCATGTGATCTTCGTCTTCAATTTCTGTTACTCCATCTCCCTGACGTCTCTTGCCTACACCTATCCGGCGAGATCTGTAACTTCTCGCTACAAGCAAACGGCATCGCAATCACGAGTTTCGTAGGCCATTGCGCTGGAGTTGCACTGGACACCTTATGCGACGAAGAAGGCGTGGACTTATCATATTGTTTGTGCGGCTTGGGTGGTATTACAGGGTCTTCTCGTATACTATCTATTTCCCGAGACCAAGGGGCTGGCGTTGGAGTGGAAGTATTGTTTGGTGGAATGGTGGAAAATAAGGTGACGATTGCCGAGGTTCTGAACCATGAGAAGAAGCACACATTGACAGTCCTCGAGCTGTGAAAGATCTACGAGTAGGCTCAGGGGAAGAAGAAGGTGTGAAGAGAACGGTAGGCGGTAAAGAACGAGTAAGGTTGTTTCCGATTTTTTTGTTTGTTGGCAAGAGTCGAAGAAATTGAGTTTATTGAAATTGGAGCGTTACTAAGAAGGAGAAAGAGAGCGGCCAAGTGAACGTTTGGAAAGATAAAGAAGCTTTCATTTGGATGTCGAGCTTATCCTTACGTGAAATTCACAAAGAAATCTTGGCTCATTTTGAATTTCGAATTTATAGGGAGTCCCGCTCACGTCGCAAATTGCGCCCAACACGCGTTTCGCGCTGAAATCGCAATTCAGATCCGTGCCAATCGAGTAAAAGCATAACACGGAGCTTTTATTTTATAAACCTCTCGCCCCTCGTGCAAAAGTATCGTGACCTGGTATTCCTCTCCATGACGCTCCCCTTTACTGCTGGTGTTCATCGTGCATAATTTAATTTTCCATGATTTGGTTTGGTGGGTGGGTACATTTCCAAACTTTGGGTCCTATACGCGGGATCTAATGATCGGACCCACCCAACACATTGATATCTGGCAGTATAAGTAGTGAAAGCTACTAGTCCAGATCATAATAACGAACGCCAACTTGAACATATATTCCAACCCCAAGCTGCAGTTTTCTTTCATTCCCTCCTCTATCATAAATTCTTCATAACACATTCAACTCGTATCTTATTTCACTGTTCGCCACTACTCTTACAGACACCATGCAATCGACTCGCATCCGAAACCCTAAAATGTCGAACCTCTCGCAAGAGGTTAGACTTTCAACATACGCCGAGGTTGAAGCAATCGTAGATCAATGCAGTCGCCTCGGACTTCTCAGGAACGGAGACGGGGCCGATTTTGAGTCTAAAGTTTGTAAAATCTTGGGATATTAAAGTAGATATCTTAATATTGGTTCTTTCTCTGTTAAAGATATCAAGAGCGACTCCTCTATCGCACGTCTTGGCCCTATCGTCAATGTCTCTGCGTCAATTGGAAAGTGTCACGCTAGAATTTGAGTAAGAAACAATCACTCATCAATTGTGGGACAATCACTAACTTACTTCCAGAGACACGTCCTCGGATTTTGGTGGATATATAAAGAGGTGTTTAGGATACAAACGAAGCCGTCCTGACACCTGGGGCTTGGATCTGGAGCGTTAAATGTTGAAGGCTTTATAGTTCTTCGTGTAAATAAAGTTATTCTTCTAGATAAAAATAAGTTTAGATAGCATGAAGTCTATTTCTTGTTCTAGGAACACTTCTAGATTCATAGAGGCGATGATCTTGTGAGCATTTGCGACTAGTGCAGATCTTAACAATATTCCAAATCATAGTCTCCTTTCGCATTATGCTGCAAAGCACTGTGATTGCATAAGCTGTAGTGTTCTCATCCGCAAAAAGGGGCTCGCTTATATTCGCTTCACTAGACATTGATTACGAAGTATCACTGGAAATTTGAGATTTTGTATGATTTCTAGCCAGATATGGGGCAGTGCAGTTAAGTGAGAGCAATCGTGTGGTATGATACCATTCCGGCAGAAGAAAGGTCAAGGTTTTGTTTGGTCTGTGCTGGTCGCTCGCTCACTTGACTGTGAAGTTGACCATAAATGGGGGCATGCGGTTCGTTAGTAGCACGAGAGGCGAATATAAGATAAAAGCATCTTACAGGTCACCGAATTAGACCCAGCAAGACAAATCATGATGGGATCAGTGTGTTCATCCTTTTGACGTTGAAGATATCACGTGGTTGGATATATTTTCCTGGTGCTTCGTACTGCAAGCTGACGCACTTAGAAGACACAAGAGATTATGTGAAAAATGAGGTCATATCTAAACTTCTCATTCCTGTTTGAAACCATCTTGTCCTACGATACAGCCCAATTATCTTCTCAAGCATACCCATCACCAGGCACTACCCTCGTCCCAGGTGGGATCCTCAAATCATTCCACTTGCCGGGCAAATTTTTCACGGCATTTTGCGTCGCCCAATCTAAAATCCCATCAAAGTCTCTACACTGCTTCACGACATTGAAATCCGGAAACGGTCTTGTCTTTGGTTCCGGAATCAAGTCATTGTGCACCCAATTGTGCGTGATGATCTCTAGATCCGCATGGCACATCAAGTTCTGCAAGATCATATGTATGCAATGATTCTTGTGTTCTCGGTGTAGCTCATCTGGTTGTTGGTCAGGGTAGTAATAGTCGTGATATATTTCCTTGCGAAGTTCGTTGAGGCAGTGGATTTGGTGGAATACGTCGATCTGGACGATGTACGCGTCTGGGCCACGATTCCAAGATTGAGGAGCTTGGACACTGATTGAGGGGTCTTTGAAGGAGTGTAGGATATCGGATGAGGATACAGTCATCACCTCGAGGCCTTCCGTGGATATGTAGTCCCATGCTTCGTCAACCTCTGAAGAGGGCGGCATTCGATAGATGGAAGTGTTATCTCGTAGTCTGCCGTTGAAAGTGTGGGGCTGGAGATTCAGATCCACGGTATCCAGGAATGTTGCTAAGTTTGCACATCAGTCCAACTCTCCAATTCGCAGAGCAAAGAATGAGAGAATACGAACAATAAGGTGTGGAATCATGCGCGGGGTTGCTTCCAGAGTGCGAAGCTTCATGTGCAGAACTAATCTTGCAGCTTCGAATTTCGAAGTTGTATATTGAGATGGCAAACAGCAACACATTGGCGACTGTCAAGAAAATGAAGACTTTAAGTGTGCATCTCGCGGAAGCTATCTCGACCTCCGTCGTGACAGACAGCTTCTCTTCACTATCATCAGCATCAATATAGCGAGGAAGCTTTGTATACCCTTTCAGGATGTCGAACCCCATAGTTGAAGGAGTGATTGAGAAATTTTGAAGTAATTGAAGTATTTTGGAGTAAGTTGGAGTACAAGTAAAACCACCAAAGTCCTTGAGACCGTGACGAAAAGTTCGAAAAATGATGGGGAATCGTGAACTCCCCTTCGACGTAGAGACAGCTATGGGACTCTAGACCTAGTCCCAGCTCATTATCATCCTATGAATTCTCTGTGCAATTTTCGTTGATGATAGGTCAACGCCCTCTGCATCGCAATGTCAATCGCAATATTGAGCTGACGAGAAGAGGCTGGAATCGGATGCAGAGTCCCGAGACACAGGGTAGGCTTTACTCTCGGCCCTTCGTGCAATGCCACCCCCATTGCGGCGAGAACAGGAAGACAGTTGATTGAGCAGAGTTCTAGAAAAGAGCTCAGCAAATGGAAAAGCATTTCAGAACTCGAGGAAGCTCTGCCGAGGTCAGGATAAGCATTCGGCTCCCACACGATAAAAAAAAAATGATGACTTTATTTTACGACGCATATCGGACCCCGGTTATGCAGATGAGTGGCGTCGATTGGCTTACCGCCTCGCAAGAGACATGCATTGAGATGTGCCGCAATCCACAAGGGGCCGTTACCGAAATCTAGATCCCGGACTGGGAATACAGTAAGACGATTCCGATAGCCATTAACGGTGGGAACCATGTTCGTCAAGATTCGGTCATGTTCCGAATAACATCAACACATAGCACAGCCCGTTTACACAGCCTTGGGCAGTAATTTTTATGAAACATTTCTTACCACTTTGGGACTTGTGCATGCTACCTCATTATCGTTTCTTGGATTATTTTCAAAATCGAGCAATTTTGACAAGGTGTTGTCAATCATTCTTGATCTTTGTTGACGTTGAACCATTGTGTTGTAAGATTCTGGTCTGTGTTTTTGAGCGAGTCGTCTACTCAATTATACTCTCTCAAAATGATTTCTAGAACATGGACTTGGTCGGTCCTGCTGATGGTGACGGTTTTGTTCTTGTACTATCAACTAATTTCCACCACACGCAATGTACCCGCACCTGTCCACAATCTCCAGCCGGGACATTCTACAAGTTCTTCTGAACCATCATGCATCAATATTTGGCGAGACCTGGACGATGAGGAGGTCGTCAGTGTCTTGGCCTTGTTGCATTCTCCGGCCGCAGGATTGAACCTCACCTCAGTCAAGGAATCTACATTCAGTGACAATTTCGTCTTTGTCACGGAACTACTTCGACCAAATAAAACAGATTCAGTTGCATTTCTCGATCATCAAACGGCACCACCCGATCGATATGCTCGAGTCACGATCAAACGCAATTCTGCAGAAGTCGCCAGAATTGAAGAGTACATGGTTGGACCGCTACCTGTATCATACACCACTGTCATCCAGCCTCTGTCCTTCATCTACAATAGTGGACGAAGCGAGACGCCATTTCTAGGAGCTGACGTGACAGCTCTCGAAGGATGGATGGAAAGCATTGCTGAAAGCATGGAGGATGTTGTTTTGGATTTGCTACTCCATGGCGTTCCAATTCCCCACCATCTGACCTTGAAAGATTTCGTGGCAGCTAGCAACGATCAGATCTGGTTTGAAGAAGGCCGTGCTATGCGATGGGTATCTTTCTCACAGATATCGGACGCAAACACGCTTTTACCTCAAGGTCTATATTTCAAGGCCGACACAACTGGTCGTGATCCAGAGAAGTGGCGTGTCGTTATGTGGCTGTACAATGATATTGTATATGCTTCCGGAGAAGAGTTGAGAAACGCTTGGAGATCGCCAGATTTTGTAAAGCTCCCTGGCAATCTGGATGGAGACTGGACTCGGCTTGAACCTGAACAACATATGAACAACCAGTACTCTCATAACGAGCCTCCGAAATTGACTCAAACTGGAAAAGGCCGTGTTGAGGTCGACAAGAAGAATTCTTTTGCTTCATGGATGGGATTCGAATTCTACTTGTCCTTCTCGCAGGTGACTGCACTGTCCCTCTACGACATCAGACTGGATGGGGAACGAGTCATGTACGAATTGGGGATCCAAGAGGCAGTGGCTCACTACGCGGGAAACGATCCTGTTCAGAGTGGGACGTCCTTTCTAGACAGTCTTTTTGCACTCGGCGGTGATGTGACAGAGCTTATTCCAGGGTTTGATTGTCCCTCGTATGCCACGTTTCTGGACACAAAACATCATCGAATGGAGAAGACATTCCATTACAAGAACGCAATCTGCATTTTCGAGGCTCCGTCTGATCATCCATTACAAAGACATTCCCGAGGATCCTGGGTCACCTCGTTCTCCAATTCGGTGCTTATTGTTCGATACATCACAGTTGTTGGGAACTACGACTACCTCATTGACTATATATTTTATCTCGACGGCTCCATTGAAGTAAAAGCTCGAGCAAGCGGCTATATTCAGGGCGCGTACTGGAGCAACAACAAACGCTATGGATATCACGTCCATGACTTTTTGTCAAGCTCTATCCATGACCATATCTTGAATTTCAAAGCAGATCTGGACATTGCGGGCTCCAAAAATACCATAGCGGTGGTCAGCGTTGCGCCAAAAGAAGTGGATTACCCATGGTCATCGAAACCACGGAATACCATGGTTCTCGAAAAGTCTCACATCTTCACTGAAGACGAGGCAAGCCTCAACTGGCCGGCAAATGGAGCCAGTATGTACGTCATTATGAATCACCAAGAGAAAAATGCGTATGGAGAGAGCCGTGGATACAGAATCATGCCTGGTACTGGCATGGGATCACCCGTCCATCTTACAGTGAAGAACTCTTCCAACCTTCTCAACTCTGCCAAATGGACGGAACATGACTTCTTTGTTACGAAGCAAAAGGATACAGAACCACGATCAGCATCACCGCAGAATGCACTTACTCCCGAAGATCCATTGGTAAGATTCGACAGTTTCTTGGACGGAGAGAGTTTGGTCGAGGAAGATTTGTAAGTAGTAGCCGGATCTGGAATAACTACAATGCGGAGACGCTGACTAGGTCACAGAGTCATTTGGTTCAATTTGGGAAACCACCATGTTCCACATTCTGGGGATATTCCAAACACGTTGATGACAACTTCTGCATCGTCTGTGATGTTCTCCCCTCACAATTACCACAACAGAGACAGGTCAAGGGCTCTAACGAAAGGTGTCCGTATTGATTTAAAAGAAGAGGGTGACCCAGTGATCGATTTCTACGGATCTCAAAAGCCTTCTGATGAAGAACATTCTAGGCTTCTTGGATTCAGAGGAAGAGCTCGTCCAATGAGGAAATTTCCTACAGAGGACTTTGAGCTTGGTTTGTAAATATTGTGTTCGGTTATAAAATGAAAATTAGTTATTCCAACTTAGATGAGTAGCATAATTTCCAAGTCTTGAAATCTCGTGGCTCCTATGTGTTTTCCCCGTAACTCCATGTAGACTGACCGCTGTTTCTGGGTAAGCCCAGCGTAAGGATGAATCGAGCCGATCTTAACATTGCGCTAATGATAGACACGGCGCGTGTCATCGGTCTAGATCTCAATTGACCCCAAAAATTGCAACCATGCCGCATCGTAATGTTTCGTTTCCAGACACCCCGGAATATGAACCCCTGTCTCGGGAAAAGTGCGAAGTACATCAACGCAGTCAGCACGCAAAGTTGACATGGGAAACGGATCCACTTCTATGCAAGGGCCTGGAAGGATTCCGGTACATCGGCTCTTCATGCATGCACGGTGATATCTTTACCTAGGTATATTTTGATTACCTTATCCTTGTTCAATGGGTGCTACACAAGCTTCCCTTTCCAGCTGAATTGCGAATTTACCTCCGAGTCTGTCCTCGTGAGGGAAACTTGAGCTTTCAGCTTGAACCAAAGGCGACGTCTCCCAGCAAGATCACACACCAGTCCCAAGTCCCCTCGAACACAGCAGTCGCTGAAATTTGAATTCCCACCACATTCAAATATTGCTCGATATGAATTCATACGCCCAAAGCCTATTGTTGTTTTGGAAATCTTTCTTCCATCTTGATAGACAATCCTATTTGCACCTCGATGCAAGGGAAGACAGTGGTTGCGAAGAAACCCAGAAAGACGAGAACCCTCCAAGGAAATGCCAGTCTGAACAGAAAATATGGGGACTTTTCAAGTTCTGCGTGCCTTTCTTTCTAGCTTTTTTGCTTGGATGGTCCCTCTCGTATCTCGTTCCTCCAGCACCAAACGACAAATATGCACTGGCGGGATACAATGAATCCTCGCCATGTGGAGAGTCTCCGACCGAAGCTATCTCGAAGAACTGCGTGTTCGAAGTCATGTCTTTCTCGTGGCTCCCCAGAGTCTGTCATGATTCTGAACTCGAAGAGGAATTTCTGATGGGTGACTGGCACTGGTGGTCTTATAAATCCACTGGTGCAAGTACTGGCGGATCTTATGAGCTTCACGAAGTCCCATTGACTGATGTCGCAACTGGCCTACATGATGGGCTACACGTGACGTGGGGATACCATATCACACACTGCGTGTTCATGTGGAGAAAATTGCAGAGAATGGCTGTAGGAGGTGGAGTGATCGATGGGTACATTGGGAATACCAACCATACACAGCATTGCCAAGAGCTTCTGGTTCCGCAATTGGGAGGAATGCATATGGATGAGGATGATGAAGGAGAAGAGATGGGAGGAAGTCATGGTTGGGATGATCAGGGATCTCAATTCAGGTTGAAGTTCCCTTCTTGTGGGAACATGGAAAGATATCAGTAGCGGAAGGGTCTCAAAAGGTTGTTATTCTGTATCTAGAAGATCCCACTCGGTTACCAGACCTTCATCCAGTCCATCGAGACGTTCCATATCAGTTTCTTCAATCTCAAACTCCCAGATGTCTGCATTGGCAATGATGCGTTCTTGGTTTGTACTCTTCGGCAACACTACAAATCCCTTTTGAATGCCCCATCTCAGCAGAATTTGAGCTTGAGATACCTTATGCTTCTTTGAAAGTTCCACGATAGTAGGATGATCCATACGTCTTCCTTGAACGAGAGGGGAATACGCTTGAACAACAATTCCATGTTTTTGGCAGAATGCTGTGAGATTGGAGTGGGTGTTGAACGGATGAACTTCGATCTGATTGACTGCTGGGATCACTCTTGGCTTTGAATCAAGAAGCTCCTGAAGCTGCAATTGTTAGAACATTGAGGTAGATCAAGATTTCAATCAACTCACGTGTTTTATCCCATAATTACTCACACCAATACTCCTGACTTCCCCCTCTATCAGAGCATCTTCCAACGCTCTCCAACACTCCAGTCTCTTTTCTCGTCCACCAGAAGGCGTATGCAAGAGATATAGATCAACATATCCCAATTTTGTCCTCTTGATACTGCCCTTCAACGATGATCTCGTGACATCGTAACTCGTGTTTACTCGCAATTTGGTTGTGAACCAAATCTCATCTCTGCTCAACTCAGGATTGGCTTTGAGATAGCTAATGATAGCAGCGCCAACTTCCTTCTCATTTCCGTACGTTTCTGCGCAGTCAATAGCTCGATATCCTGCCTGCAACGCCCACTTCACTGCATTCTTGGTGCGATTCGTAGATTGGTAGACTCCAAGATGAACCTTAGGCATGCTGACGCCGTTATTGAGTAAGACAGTGGCTGAGCTGACTCCTGATACCGGCACGGACGCCATGACTATGAAGAAAGTGACAGCAGCGGTGAAGTGATATCCATACCACTGATGCGTAGGGTTTGGGATAGCTGAAGATAATTTGAGAGCTAATGCAGGATGGAGGCGAGGTTTCTGGCCCGGATGGTCAGTGCTGCGATGGAAGCTTTGAAATATATGTAGTTGGCCACTATTGACGGCGCATTCGGCCCCTTTGTGAGACACCAAAACCTTGCATGAATTTGTTTCAACAGATCTAATGGGTGAGATGGTATTGGACTGCTCGTATTACCGAACCATGGTTGTCTGTGCCGCACCGGCAGATTCAAGCGTTTCGTAGATCATTAAACAAACATCCGGAGGCGCAAAGGAGGCTGAGCCAGGAAGCGGTGCAGTTACATGCATATCCCATAGGCCGAGTCGGGATCGATAGCTAGAATAGAAAAGAGTGCCAAATATTTGTTATCTCAAAAAAAAAAAGGCCCCCATAGTCTATCCCCGCGATCTGGACCCGTAGCATCGGTTACCAGATCAGGATCTATAAGCGAAACAGGGGAGGGGCTGGGCTGGTTCGGAACTTCGCCTCTCGCAACGACACTTCATCCTCTACACTCAATGTCAACGTCAACCTAACTGTTCAACCGACGCAACGAACGCATCTCAACAAAAATATCACGACATGAGAAACGAACACAACTCACTTGTGAGTCTCCTTCCTTGTAGATCACTGTGCCACAATGCTCTCACCGCCCTTGAACGCCCCTCGCACAAAGCTGACTTTCAAGCAGCCCGTATTATTCTTGCTGCTTTATGGACCTTGGTCACAATTGAAACATCTTCAGGTAACATAATACAGACCAAACAAATTCATTGACTAAACTGCTCAAGTACGAAACGAGTGTGTGTAACCTCTATCCCCGCAAATGAGATCCCAACCAAGGAAAGGCATGTCCCCGCTGCGAATACAGCATCCGCACCCCTGAAGCTAACACTTTTAGATTTGCTTTGATGGTAGCTGCTTTCGATGTGCTTGCAGAACCACCTCATCTTTCATCAAAGCTTTTGAGCTTACTGTTCAAGGTTGTTTAATTAGTGAGATGAGCAAGGAGGTTGGGGTCACATTCTGAGTCAGATTGGAGACGTACCTTTCCCCAAGCAGCACGAGTAGATGGTTTGGTGTCAGGGTTAGCGACATCAACCTCTGATCGCTTTCCCCAAGCAGCACGGGTAGAAGGCTTAGTGTCAGGGTTGGCAACATCAACCTCGGAGCGCTCATCAACTTCTGATCGCTTACCCCAAGCTGCACGAGTGGATGGCTTCGTGTCGGGATTAGCGACATCAACTTCAGATCTCTTGCCCCAGGCAGCACGAGTAGACGGCTTAGTATCTGGGTTAGCAACGTCAACCTCGGAGCGTTTACCCCAAGCGGCACGAGTGGAGGGTTTGGTATCAGGGTTGGCGACATCAACCTCAGACCTTTTTCCCCAGGCTGCGCGAGTGGATGGCTTGGTGTCAGGATTGGCTACGTCGACCTCTGATCTCTTACCCCAAGCAGCACGAGTGGAAGGCTTTGTATCTGGGTTGGCAACATCAACTTCCGATCGTTTGCCCCAAGCCGCACGAGTGGACGGCTTGGTATCAGGATTGGCAACGTCGACTTCCTCACGCTTTCCCCAAGCTGCGCGAGTTGAAGGCTAAATACAATTAGCATCAAGTGTCTACTCGTAAGGCCTGAAGCAGTTGCTTACCTTAGTGTCAGGGTTGGCAACATCCACTTCCTCACGCTTACCCCACGCAGCCCTAGTAGAAGGCTGCAGCAAATTGTTATCATGTATTGTACTTGATTGGCAAATGAGTATCTTGCTTACCTTGGTGTCGGGATTAGCAACATCAACCTCAGACCTCTTTCCCCAAGCAGCGCGTGTAGATGGCTGGAGGAAGTTAGCCTCAAAGTTCCAAATGACAAGCTTGGAATCGATTTGCCTGCTTACCTTCGTATCAGGGTTGGCAACATCAACCTCAGATCTCTTTCCCCAAGCAGCACGGGTAGATGGCTAGAGAATGTTAGCCCCGGGGCTAATTTCATTGGATAGCCCAAGTGTCTATCTGCTTACCTTGGTGTCTGGGTTGGCAACATCAACCTCAGATCGATATTCCATTGCTGGCTTGGCGGGAAGGGCAGTCGCTCCAACCACTAGCAAAGCAACAGAGAGTTGAGAGAGTGTGAACTTCATTTTGAATGGAGGATGTACTGGATAATTTAGCAACGAAGGTGTTGATGAGAGTTGTTATTGTCTGAAGACTGAATGGAGAAGATGCTGATGTTGTTGATGAACTTTTGCAACGCAGAGGGAATCGTTCGATTATATACTCCAAGCCCATTGCAGAGTGCCAACCAAACATAGCCATCGGGCGATGTTTCCTCCTTCTCAAAGAAGAATGAAGACAAAAGGGAAGTTTCCTTCGTGGTTCCCGCAGTCCCTGCATGGCTCAGCTTGCATGCTCTTCCCGTTATTCTAGAGAAACCGACTTGATCTGCGAGAAGCAGGAAGAATCCCAGCGCTTACTCTCTGCTTCACGAGCTGTGAAGCATTCGTTTTGCGTGCTATTTTGATTCTACGTCCAATACAGACATACGGTGTATCATGCATATTGACTTGACGCCGTGTAAGTGCACGAGGTGATTTGAAAAAGTGGAGTATCATTTGGACCGAGGAAGATCCTCCATCAATCTTTGGAGGGAAGCTCTTTGCGGTCAGACCTGTAAGATCGAGAACGGCACAGAAACTCCCCCTGAGATGACTTGACTATGACCAATGACTCTGAAAGCATTATCGAGCCAAGCTTTGGGTAAGACAAGAGAGTGTAAGACCAAGACCAGGTCGGCAAAGTTGCCTCCTTCAATAGCAGGAAGTGGCTTAGCAACAGAGTAGAGCCTGTTCCTGTGTTTCTAAGACTTTCCCATGGGTTTTAATTACGTGTAAAATATTTTCGTTGTATTTTGGGGGCCTTCATCAGATCGATTTCGGTAAGCATCCCTGTACCCTTGCGCTTCGGCCCTCGGTCTCCTTGCTTTTCTCGGAACGGTTCCAGATCTTTTCACTGCATGGGCCCGGCAACACCCTTACTGCATAAGCATGTCCCGTGTTTCGGCTCCATGCATCCTCAGCCCAACCTCTGATCAAGATCCCGGAATGCTTCTAGTGTTACATGGATGCTGGAACTTTGGACGAGGTTCACGGTTCACCGAATAATAAGTTTTCCTCAATGATCTTCTGGTCTGACTGCATATTGACATCTGCTTACGGCGCTGTTCAGTGGCACAATCATTATGCTAGTCCTGGTTTCCTACTTGTCAAATCTTTTCTGATCATTATTGTACGTCAAGTTTCGCCTGGCCTTCGGCAAGACGGCTCGATATCAATTTGCTTCTCAAGCACATTTCTCCTCACAAATTAGATTCTCTGATCTGCCTCCATCACCTTAGTATTGTCTTTTTTTTCAATCGATCAACGCATATTTGATTCTTCCTTCAGCGAAATGGGCAACTTCAAAGACATCTCCGATCACGCAAGTACTGCTAGGAGCTCACTTGAGCATTACTCTAGCTCAAACCATCTCCTTAAAGAGGAATGGAATTCTGATGCTTCTTCGTCCGATGGCTTTGAGACTATCTCCCCCAACCTCCTACGAAAGCATGCCAGAAAGGAACGAGCACGATCTATCTTCAAATTCGTGGTTCGCTTCCTCCCATGGGCTCTCCTTCTAACCCTCGCCGCTTGGAACCTCAAGCAGTATCGTAAGAGAGGTCCTAGCAATCCTATCTTCCCACAGATGACCTACAGTAAGTACTTCGTCTCAAGTCATGACAATACTGATTAGATGTACAGGTCCTGCCCAACATCTTCTGGAGTATGAAGAACGTGTGTTTCAATTGGGATTCTATCCTGACAACACATTGTATCAAGGGCAGCCTTCTCCAGAACTGGATGAGAGATGGCTCGAACTCTACAGAAGTAAGTCCATTCCTTCGGAAGGTCATGTGCATTCGATTTATAAGTCCTCTAGTGGGAATCTCCCGCGTCCCGAAAGAGACAGCAAAAAATTTTGCCAACAAGACTGTTCTGTTCCCTCATGATGAGGAGAAAAATTATGTCATTGAGTTGGATGTTTTCCATCAACTTCACTGTCTTGTAAGTTGTTCCCTGCTTATCTATTGTATCTCACTGACCCGAAAGAACATGATTCGCCAAGCCCTCCATCCAGACTATTACACGCCTCACATGCCGGGCGCTGATGGAGAAGATGAACTGCTTGGTTTTCATCACATTGACCACTGCGTCGATACAATCCGCCAATCTTTGATGTGCAGTGTTGATGTAAGTGTTCTGACTTGGGAGTGGAACGAAAAGAGACAGCAGAATTTAGAGAAAGGCGCTATTGTCCACACTTGTAGAAACTTTGACAAAGTCAGAGATTGGGCAAGAGAGCATGCTATCGATCAGTGGTTTGATCTGTGGCATCATGAGGTGAACGATCCTCTTGACGAGAGCACGTGGGTAGACGGTTACAATGGACAGTAGATTTTAGCCATGTTTGACGTTTGCGAGCCATTCTTGGAAGATGCGGAGAAAGTGCGAGGAGCGAAGAGCGAAGTTGAGGCTTAGATTCTTGGGGTCGGATTTTGTTTCATCCCCTTAGTCGAGAAAATACATGTCAATCGTTTTACTCACATTTTGGTAACTGCACTCGGTTAAAAATAAGCAGTATCTTTGTTCCCCGAACAGATTGTGGTACCTCGTGTAACTCAAGGATCAGGTAGCAAGGATTACTAGCACTACATTGGGCCTCGCATTTGATCTGCATGGAGAAGCTGCGGAAACATGGATTTACGCGCCGCTGACCTACATTACCGGGGTTTCCATATCAATAGTAGATACCCTGCCCAGGAAAATTTAGCTCTGCAAGGTCTTGAGCTGTGCTTGCATATTGTGGGAGCCGTGCCCCATGACCACAGAGGTGAACTTATGTCGTTGTTCTTTTGTACCACACAGATTGGATGCAACACTTTTCCGGGTTTTTGAGTCCCCGGAATTATGATCTCGAAACCACAAACTCTTTCCAACAGATGAAAAGAATTATTGTCAATATTCTCTGAGTCAACAACAAAATGCCTTCACTTGCCAAATACGATCCGATCTCGGAAAACGACTTGACACTATCTGAAATAGATTGCACAGACGAGTCACTCGATCACAAACGAGTTTACTCCAAACCCTACGGTATTGCCGCTGGCCTCGTCATCGCGGTTGTGATCGTGGGTTTCGCCCTTTGGAATTTGTCAAATTCAAGCACGCCAGACGCTCAGAACATTTATGGAAGCCGTCAAAACTGTGGGAACTCTTCTGCTGAAGCTCGAGTTCTTGGATGCGAGTTTGATATCGTAGGCTCAACTTGTATGTACTGGGGAGGCCCCATTTTCTATTTCCTTTTCCGAGACATTGTCTTGTTTCTCTCTTAGGATAACAAGCAAAGAAAACGCTAATTCTCTCGTCCCCAGGGCTACCAACCGCATGCCTGGACAAAACAACATCTGACGAATTCGAAGCATGGTTGTCAAGCGAAGAGCGGAATCCACCATGGCCATTCTTCGCAGATGACTCGGCGGAAAGCTGGATTCCTGACCGAGAAGCACTATCAGAATTAAGCAACACTGTGGTATATACGACATTTGAATACCATCTCGGCCATTGCGCTTTTACTTGGAGAAGGATGCATAGGTCCATGGGAAATAGAAGTTGGCCGAGTGTGTGGACGACACCTTTTGATCATACCATACACTGCACGAATATGCTGTTAGACTTTGGAAATCAAGTGTTGAATGGGAGTCTTGATACGGCTTTTAGGGTCACATTTGGTGCTTGTTGAGAGTCGATGGTGAGGCGTTTGATGTACTGCGGTTTCAGCTTTCCTATCCGAATCACACTGCGTCTAGGAGCGCCACTACTAGAAAGCAGCGTTGGTAACGAGTAGGATCATTCCCTGGAACACAATCAAATCCGCGTTGTCACTGATTGTAAACTTTCTTGCTAATTCATCCCATGTTATTGTCCGACACTTTATCACCATTGACTCTCATATCGAGCGATATAGTCTGACGTGCGCCTTTTCGCTGAGCTGAACACGAGTGCGCAAGTGACCTGTAACCATCAATGTCGTGATTCTATGTGATACATTCGGGAACCAGTCATCATATCCTGAAAAGCGATGCAGGCTTCCGACCTAGCTTCTGATTCATCATCTAGTGCAGCTATAAGTCAGTTTGGACAGATCCATAGAATACTGGATCACGTGAATTAGCCGAGGCCCCTTTTACCTGAAGCACCTGACCAAATTTCAGGTGTATTTCTATCATATGTCTAGTAGGTCTAAATATAACATAGGCAATTTTCCGTTGCTATGTGCTCGTGTTCGCTGAGCTTCATAGAACAGAAATTATTTAAGGTGCTAGCCGGAACGAGACGTGATGCTCAACCTAGATACTCGTTCAAGCGAGATCTCGGGCTATTGAGAGTGATCGCAAGTCACATTCCTTCTCCACTCGACATCTGTCATAACTTTCGGTCTTTCTTTTAGAAACCGACATTTCCTAGCCCAACGTATTCGGCACAAACCTCAGTGACTTCTCTGTCTCCTCATTCGATCACTTTGAATCGTTCACATCCGCAAACACATTCTAGCATTCGACACATTTCCGAAGCGCAAAATATAAAGTCTTCCTCAAAAGTATTAAGCGTATCTACGGCTTACTCTGGTCTCGACATGGATATCTCAGAGAATTGCGAGTCTCTCTCAGCGGCTAGCAACAGCCCCACAAGCGCAACGTCTAAGACAACCTCAATAACAACCTCCAAAGCTAGACCTCTACATGAACAGGCCTTGTCTTTCAATAATCCGATGGCTCTTACTGCTGATCTTCCACAAGCTTCCCTGTCTACTACTCAAAAGTAAGTTTTCTGCCGCGCTTTGCGGTTTCTCGTCTGCTTCGACTTTTCGACTCACGTCACACCCTTCCTTCGCGTCCGAACGAATATTTCATTCTAACTACAGATTTAGTTCTGAGAAAGGTGGTCAAAAGCGTGGAGCAATTCAATGCTCTCCACTGGGTCTCTGGGGATCTGTTGGAGCTTTCGTAGTGTCAATCGCGATTCGTCTTACGACAATAGCCCACCTCGTCATATCCATGATTGCTCTCTCATCGTGTGCATTTACGGGGGGAACTTGGGACATAAAAGTCGCATGTATGATAATATGATAGTGTGAAAGGCAAAACACGTTAAATTATCACAAAATTATGGCTAAGACCTCCCAAATTCCAGTTTTTTTTCCAGCGCTCTGACTGCACCAACTCTCTGAATGCACCAGCTCACTGAATGCTCCGGCTCACTGAATACATCAGCTCTCTGAATACACCGGCTCTCTGAATGCACCGGCTCTCAGCAACACAGCAGAACTGATAGAAGAGGAAGAGAAAGAGAAGTGGGAAGAAGCAAAACCTTATGATTCTCAGGGGCTGAGCTACTCTAGCCCGATAAGGGTACGCTCGGGTGCTCGGGTTTCAGGAAATGAGGGTATCCACAGCTCTACCCGCCCCCTACTCTACCCACGGGCGTTCCTAATGAAGCTTAGGTAGCTCCACTTCTTGTTCCACTTAAGTGAAAACTTCTCCTCTGACAAGATCCTCTTCCTTTTGCATCAGTTTTTGCGCATGTACAGTAGCTATGCTTTACTATGAGGAAGTGCATTCAGTCAGCTGGTGCATTCCAGACAGCCGGTGTATTCAGAAAGCTGATGTATTCAGAGAGCTGGTGCATTCAGTCAGCTGATGCATTTAATGAGCTGATGCATTCAATGAGCTGGTGCTGGAATCAAGGGGTGGCAGCTTATGCAGTCAGGAAGTTGAAAAAAAGGGAATTTTGGGAGATTTCAACCTTAATTTTGTGATAATTCAATGCTTTTGCTTTTCATATTATCATATCATCATGCGTGCGACTTTTATGTCCCAAGTTCCCCCCGTAGTGCATTAAGCTAGTACGCCAAACTAAATTCTCTTGAAATAAATACAGCATTAAGTAATCTTATACAGGTTTATTGTATCATCAAACGTCCAAGATCAACATTCCGATCTCTTCACTTCTCTACCCGAAATACCTTACTCACAGTCACTGCTGAAAGAATCGCCTTCACATTTGACGCCCAACTCCTCAAGGCTTACTCCCTATATTTTCGTTCCTCGTCAAAGCCGTCGAGTCGCCGGCTAGAGCAGCTCAGTGGGAAATATGATCTATATGACTTTGAAGCAGAGCTGGTACGATTGTTCAAGTTCTGGCTTGATACTGGTACATTGGATAACAAAATCTGCGCCGATGACTCTCTCTATAGATTGCAGGAACATATGATCAGCGCCCGGTCTGGTAGTAACAGGGAACTTCTTGACCTCTTTATCCATACCTCTATCGCCACTCTAGTCAAGTGTTATATCCTAGGGACTTTCATCGATGCTCCAGGATTTCAAAACGACATCATGAAAGAATTGATGAAGCATTACGCTATCCTCTGGGAAGAGCATAATGGCATCCCTCTCCAAAATCTAGAATACGTCTTCCAGAATACCAAGCACGCCAGTCCGTTGTATCGATTCTTCTTTGATGACATGGACTCTTCACTCTCCCGGAAAACTTTACCACTGGCTATGGAAGAGGGTCTGGTCTCTGTGCAAATGGCTTCTGCCTTCTCCGCATATACTAAGGATCTCCGTAAGAAGGGATTTGGGGCAAGAATACCATGGGTCACAAACTCTTGTCTATATCACCTCCATCGGAAATGCGTTTTGTACAGTTCCTGTGGTGATCCATATCTTTGGTACGGATCTGACCCTCACGTACAGCACCTCTGGGATTATTACACCGAGAAGGCGGGTTCTACTACTAATTATTCGGTAGGTCCTGACGTGATTTTCCCATTTCAAATTCCGGTCTTTACAGTACCAGAAGAATTTATCTTCTCTCAATAAAAATCTCGAAACCTGGAGCGCATGGCTTGGGCACATTGGTTTTGAGCCGGCTAATGGTTAAGGGACTGGGGGGACGATAACGCGAGTTGGTGGGAATAAGTATTTGGACTGAGAACGAAAAGGAATGATGTCGGTATAAACAATGAAAACTATTTCCAATATGTCTGGACCATCAATTCAAGAGGTCTTGCTAAATTCATTTTTCCGTGATCGATTCTTGTTGAAATTCTTGGTATGCACTTTTCTCCTCTCAAAGTTAGGATGAAGTCCAGCTCGCCACCCGCAAGCAAAGCCCTGGCTTTAGCAACAAGCTTACCGAAAACACGACGTAGAAGGTGCTACTTCACATGTGGAGGTAGACTTAGCATCTTATACCTCGCTTACTTCGCTTTCTCGTATAGGTTCGGAGGCACCTCCGGATGCAGAAAAAGACAAGGATTTGGTCATCCGATGATGTACTTACTTGGAATGTTCGGATGATATGATTGTTTTCAATAAGGTCTTCAGTATGTCTCATTCAATATAGCACTGTCAATTTTTTATTCTGGTAATCTCAGACGACAGTTTTTCCATTTCGCTTCGGATTCGGTTAGTCAGCATCGCCGCTCTGCTTAGGCGCTACTCACCCTCGCCTCACCCTCTGCTCAGGTTGCTCAGTCACGTTCCTGCCCTCCCTTCTAGTGACCAATCATAATGTACTTACTCTTCTGTTCTACCGTGCGAACGTTGTCAACTCTACACGATGGTGTGCAGGGGGACTATGTTAGCTCCCAGGGAACCCAAACAGGATCCCCCTTAAAAAGATTATCTTTCTACGAAGTAATCGCAAGCCCAATTTTTTCGCAGCATGGAGTTACTCTGGCTCTACACCTGAACGAGCTGACAATACGTCTGTCCCGCTGCGCAGGTTCAGGCTACACAAATTCATATTAGACTTCAGCAGGAGGAAACTATATATCTTGATTGACCAAGTCTACTGTCAGGGTCTTACCTGTCACAGTCTGGTGGCAAATCTTTTGCTACGGGTCCGTGCAAGAATTCTCCGAGTAAATCTTTTTGCAACTGAGAATATTGAAATAGTAACTTGCCTGAAAGAGCGGATGAAATAAAGTTGACAGGACGACTTGCAATATGAAGAGCTAGGAGAGTCGGTTAAACGATGAAATTAAGGAAAGGAGCTATTCAAGGCAGGCTCGGAGCAATAAAGAAGAACTTATAGTAGTATTAGCAATACACTTCTCAGGTTAGCTTTATTCAACCAACTCAAAATATAGCGAATATATTGAGCATTTTTTAGAAGGCGTTCGCTTCACGATCCTTAAGAGATTAATTAGGACCTACTAGTACTTTGCCAGAACCGACGAATTTGATATTAAAGAACGAAGTGTGATTGACTAAGAAAACATGAAAGCTAATCACATCATAAGATACGCAACGTACTCAGCGATTGTTGCTCAGTGTTACTTAACACTTGTGGTGAGCTGGTTACAATTAATAGTCATTTCTAAGCGTCAGGAAAAGGCGGAACTGACTATTACTGTCTCTTATCTGATCTCAAGAGTGATAGGTGCTAGCCCTTCAAATAAACGACCATCCATGATCTCCACATAGCCAACTCTTCGAAACCTCATTTCTTCTGCATCAACTATCTTTAATAGCAGGCAACTTAATGTATCTTTCCTTTCCATCCTACAGCAAGATATAAGACCAGCACACCATGTCATTAATGGCAGCGTGCGTCCTTCGAGCTCTAAACTCATATTTTGCATAGATACTAACTTATCGATAGCAATGTCTCCAAAGGGACGTTGAGTCTGCGCATTGGCATCATTAGGACGCATTGACACCTTGTGGGCTGCCAAAGGCAAAACGCTAAGCGGTAGACAATAGAGATTATCACCCTTCACGACTGGCTCATCATAGAATACGTCTCCTAGGAATCGTTTGCATTTCCGATTTTTCAACGTGAAAGCGTCTCGGAACAACGTCCGGGATGTTTTGGTCGACCAACTAGAGCTATCATATGCCATAGAACTTTCTGTTAGACTGATTCTTATCACTAGGCCTCGTAACCTTAAAGATCGACCTGTGAATGTGGATAAAGAAGACGAATTTGTAGCTTGAGGCATAGGTTCCACGCCTAAAACTTCGATAAAGGTGTGTTTGAGACTGCCTTCAGGGATGTAGTATGAGGTTATGGATTCATTGAGTTCCATAAAGACCCCAGGAGGCAAATCGCTGTTAGAGTAAGTGATGATGTTGCCAGGGCGAGATGCCCATGACCATGTCGGTATCGGTGACATTGAGCTGGTCTCCGCAGCAATTTCTTTCTGTTGGCCATCAAATCTCCAAGCTAATCCGTGAACCAAGTCTGATTTCCATAAACCGTACAGGAACTCATCGTCTGAGCATTGAAATGCCGAGGCTAATCCAGCTAAGGCCATTAGCCTATCAGATTCGAACGTGAAATTACGGTGGCTGTATATCTCCATAGTTTGGTACCACCAGTGGTATTTTTGCACCATCTCTATCTGAGTTGGAAGAGCCCTATTTGTGTCCACCTTGATATACTTGTCGAAATCTGACTTGTTGGTCAAGGGTTGTAGGCTCATAGGTAACCCTTCAGATGCAATGCTGGAGGCACAGGTCCAGGACATTTCCGTTTCATGGAAGTGTAAAGTACGCGGTGACAGGTATTTCTCTTGGAATGTCCAGCCACGCGTGTCCAAGTGCGCAGTCTTTGGCCAATACGAATCCCGGCACGTAAGGAATGCTCCCTTTGTAATAACGCCATCTTCGTTGGGGTATTGAAAGTTTAGCGTACAAGGATATGTCGTTCGGGGATCTCGATCAGAAAAGAGCCCGGAATGGCTATCTTCTCCAATTGCAGCAGATATGGTCAATGTAGCATTTGAATAGATGTCTCCCATCCGTTCAGATTGCGTCTTCCAGTCACTCTTATCGTCTTGAATAATACAAATCGAATCGATCCAGAGAAATCGAATGCCGAGATGTTGGCACACAACTATGGCGTCGGTGAAACTCTTTGGAAGAGTTGTTGTATCAACAGCTTTCTGCTGTTGCTTAAGATTTTCCTTTGTTGTGAGGTATTTGGGTTTACTTTCGGATTTGCCCCAGCAGTAGCTGAGTGCAGCATACGATCCAACTCGGTCTTCGCCAACAGAGAGAAAGACTTTCCGTGCGTTCCCCCGATCCCTAAGGTCTAGCACCCTGTGTGGTAGTATCGATTTCATTTGAGGCTTGTGGCAACAGTGTTCATGGTAGTTTGCGCAATCATAAAGCCAGCTAGATGCTAAATTCAGATTTGTAGAAGATCCAGTACTCGAATTGTGTTCCATGTTGTGGCTGCTAGGAGAAAACTTGACAAAATCTGTGGAATCACCAGTGAGAGAATATCAAATTAGTGAGTTGTGAACCACCCACCATCTAGATATCTCAATCTCATACTGCCTAGAGAGTCCGCTCCAAGGCGCACGTCGAGATCTCCATGATAAAGATGTTCCCTTTCGGGTTTTTCGAGACAAGGTGGTTGAAGATTGAGGTACAAACTCTCGGAACTATTCTTGACATTGTGATCAAGTACTGTGGTTTCAAGTAGCCCGTAGAATATTTGATAGCAGAAATGACAACCGTCATCTGCCGCTTTCCGCAGCGATTCCAAGTTGCGATGATGGAAGTAAAAAGATTCGTCGATTCCAACGAGCCCCGCGTCATTGCTCAAAACTTCATCTTCGTGATAAGCATCTGGGGGCCATTCGTCCCAATTTGTTAGGAGTTCGATCTTCTCTTCTCTGGTTAATTCAAGGTATCTCCTGAATTGGATATTTTGACACAGATTACAGAGCATGTTTGCGAAAATATGAGAATGCGAGAAAAGCTGTCGCGATGCCTGAGATGGCTAATAGGAATATTTAAATCGAATCGCTAAGGCTCAGCCGCAGGCTGAGCAGCCTTGTCAGATATATTACTCCGCAGGTCGGTGACCAAATTAGGATAACAGGGGTATGTCCGCTGTTTTTCCCCTTTCTAGTTAATTCGCCCGACATTGTTAGCTGCTGGGGTACCCAGAGCAGGCAAAATAGACTATCACATGATTGTGCGCAGGGTGACTCGGGTTTTAAAGGTGCTCAGGCTGCTCACGTCCAAGCAACTAAAATGGAACTGGCGAAAGAAAGAAGTCGTCTGGTAGATAAAATTTCTTTTAATCTGGATTCCAAATGAAAATGAACAATTGCTTAGTAATAATACAAGACATTGAGATTTTTGCGCTCAGACCTGAGGCAGGAAGATCATTTTATGTCCCTTCTCCAGCAACAGCCGATATTCATGCCTGAGGCTTAGAGGATCAGGATATTTTGGATCCCCAGCTGTTTTGAGATTCGGAGTACTACAATTGCGAGTGCTTTGGCTTGAACGACTACACCTCGAAGTATTTGCGTCTAAAGTACAATATCTTCACATGCTTCAAGATAGCGTACCTGCTTAATTTTTAATTCAAGCCCAAGTAGACCCGGTTTTAGCAATGCAACTCGAACTACTTTGGCTTAAAGTACACAAATCCGGCACACTCGAACTTAGAGCAGGCTGAAACTTTGCTGTTGGGTGCGTCTCCAAGCCATCTCTGCTATTAGTTTTCTGGCACGATGAAAACGCTTCGACGTGTTTCGCCATTCGAGGTCATTCGGCCATTCGTCTCTTTTTTGAACATTCCATTTTCTATACCTCTCCCTGTCATCTTGCCGCTTCTTGTGAAATATTTCCCGACGCATTCGATGATCTCTGGCTTTACGGCAAAATTCTTTGACCATCTCTTGCATGACCATCTCCTCCGATCGTTCTATGGTGCTTCTCCGTAAAATAACAGAAACACTACAATCGTATAAGATGCATACCAAGTATCCTTTCTGCACGTTCTTGCATACTAGCCCGAGCTTGCTTTTGCCACCCACTTGTATATATATACATATATATAGCTGTGCTCTCCCACATCAATTGTACACATATCGCACCATTCAATTGAACCCTGACACATATGACAGCTTGCACTCAGCTTGGGAGGACAGTACTAATGCGATAGAATTTACGAAACTTGAAGAAGATTGAGGCTTAGGCTTCTTTTGTAAGAAGCCCAACTATCGCTTGGAATTGGATTGGATTGGATTGTCTTTTCCGAGCACTGTTGCTTGCGGTCGCGATGTTGGGTAGGGCTGTACAAAGTCACCAAGTCACGTGCGGGCGAGAGTGAAGAGGGAACCCAAATCGGCTCACCAGGCTCGGCAAGGACCCTTGATAAGTGTGACGGGGGAGCGAGAACGGACACCGTCATGACATCATGATAGGCTCAGAGATGTGGTTATGTTATGGGCAACGGGTTCTGTATAATCCTAAATATAAATAACATGGAAACTGTAGCCGATTCGCGAGGTGGCCAGAAGAGGATCCTCCTGAGCAAAATCTAGCTGACCCATTAGCGTGCTCAGGGCTCAGCTCAGGTTAGAGCAGCGACTGCTCAGGTCTGAAGACGGAAATGAACTTTGGTAGTCCAAACTGTCGTCTGAGATTATAGGGGTAATGATGTTGTGCTAGTCGCATGCCCTATTAGCAAACCGTGGAGAGAGCTGCCATGTGGTGTCAAATGCCAATACGACTGACCAAGATGCTATGGTCGTTCCAGTTCGTAGTTAGCTGATTGAAGTTTATGCCGCGCGGCCGAATCCTTTGAAGTCGAAAATCAGACATGATCGGCACACTCTCCGCGGCACAGGTAGTCATGGGAATTCGGCAGCGGCAACCTCAGTTCTTGCATGACGTGCTTAGCAACCGATTCAGAAAGGCTCATTATAGGGGGACCAATCCACCAGCAGATTCATAACGGCAGTCGAAGAATTAGACGAGAGAGCCAATCCGGGCTCAATGTTTGGTAGAGGAAGCGATCCTACAAAGACGATGTTACTTCGTCAAGCCAAAGCTTACATTCTCCCTAAGTTGCATTACAATGTGGGTCCGGACAAATGAATATATAAGTAGCTCAGTTTTGTCCAGACATAAAGGCAATCTACTCTAAGCTGAGCAAGAGCTCTGCATTCTCGTGTCTTTTCGTGGCAACTAAGCACTAGCTATTGTCCTTTTTGACGACGTCTTCCAGAATCAGAACTTAGCGAGCCTCGAAACACAGTTTACGAATTCCTCTTTCGCGAAGATGTTCTTCAAAACAGCTGCGCTAGCAGCTATCCTGTGTTCGAGACTAGCCTCTTGTCAGCAGACCATGTTTGGCTATGGAGAACTAGTGTACACTGTTACCGTTTCAACCACCGTAGGAGGCACTTTCGGTTCGACGGGCGACGGTATAATGTCAACCGCTTTTGCAGGGCTGTACAATCAGATCTCGGTATCCTCGACGACCGACACAGCAGAAGTGACAACCACTGCAGACGGGTTTCTTGCTTACGTCACAGCTGTTACCGAGGCCGGCAGCTTTGCTGATGACGACGTGGCGCTGTGGGGATCGATTATATCGGCCGTGAGTGCCATTGATTCGGCGGCTGGACATTATGCTGGTGCAGTAGCGTCTATATACTTTGAGAACACAGACGATGAACCTGCAGATGTGGGAACCATTACCTACGATATGGATGAGGATGTTGAATGATTATAGCTCTGGTACGAAGCTGTTACAATTTACTTTAAGTATTAATAACTAATTGTACTCAGTCAGCACAGATAGAAGGACGTGTAAAGATGAACGATCACCTAGCAGCATTTGAGGGTTGTGGCTTCAGGTAATCTAAAGACAGGTCAAAGAAGGCAGTCTTGTGGTAACAAGTATCTTTATGTTTATTGCAGAATAGAAAGCAGTTCGTCCTCCTCGATTCATTGGATGCTATTTGAAGTAGAAGCATTGCACAAATGAGCCCTTTTCGTGATTATCCAGGCCAGTTCTGTACACCAATAGTTTAATCTATATTATTCGTGTACTGTATAGACAGTTCTTGTACTATCACGACAACAGTAGCGCCAAGAATATAGATCGGATGATACCTGAAGCTACACAAGGATTCAGCTAGTGAACACCTGCTTCGTTCGCAAGCGTGTTTCCTACATTTATTCGAGTTAATCCATCAAATTGTGACTTACCAAATAACACAATATGCCTACAGCTCCTTCCTCCAAAATTTGTCACCTTGTATCTTGACAAGTGGTTCAGAACGATCGACCATTCGACCTTCGGCCAGCAAAAGAAATCTTCGAGAACTTCAGGACAAAGCGCAAATTCCACCCTCTCACGAGCGTAGTGTATCTTCGATATGAGTTCCTCAATCCAAAGATCCGACATATCTCCCTCATTACATAGCTCTCCTCCAGCAACTCCTTGCAGAGCTACAGATCCTCTTTCTGATGCTTTGAACATCTTGTCGCCAGGGGACTCCTTGAACACAAATCCATCTTCTCAACTATCGACTCCAATAGAGTCGAGACCCGTCTCAGAGATTGGCCGGCCCTCTTCTCCTCCTCCCAATACTACCGGAGGCGCAATCGACAACACCTCCTCCATGAAACCGAACAGCAAAGCAATCGATATCTGCTGCTCAGGACTGACTGGTATTATTATCAAAAAGTAAGTTGTTGTCATCCACCTATCACATAGGCTCTCATCCTTTTGAACTTTCTCTTTGAACACAACGCTTCAACTGATTAGAAAACAATTGCTGACTGACATCGCTAGCAATGAAAATGCCGAACCGACAATCGAATCATGCGACGAGGCCTCCCAAAAGCTCACGAATATACTCAAAATCAATGTCGAAGGAGAGGTATTTCAGATGCGTCGCATGGCCGCCGAACTCCACTCGGGGTACTTTAAGCTTGCGCTTCTACCCACAAGTCCCTGGGTTGAAAATTGGACTGGAACATTCGACCTTGCTGGATTCAACCCAGTTACATTTCGGATTTTCCAGTCTTGGGTGGAGGAGGGAATGCAGATGTTCCTCACAACATGACGTAGCCCTAGCTTTTCCAATAGAAAGGTGCCTGCCCTTGCGCCCTTTCATTGTCATTGTAATGCCGTCGGTTACGCGTCGGGCCCAGCGAGAAGCTTAAGCAAATACCTCGAAGCTCGAACAAAGGAGATTACCAACACGAGAATGTAATACTTGTGGCAAACGATAGAATGATTAAAGGCCGGATTTCCCCTGATTTTCAAATGAATTGTGAGGTTTCTTGGAACAAAATTATCCTATCAGAACACTCATCATGAAGCATAACTATTCTCAGAATCAAGGAAGAATGAAGGCTTATGTAAGTAGTATAAGCCTATGAACACTTTTAAATATCAATTGCTAAGGGTGGATTTTCTGTTAAACTCATGAAATGAACGTTGCAAGTTAGATTGATTTTCGACTCCGAACCCATCTTGTCCAATTCAATTAGCCTATTTCCAACTCCCAGCTCTCCGCCTCATCGCAAACGTACACTCAACCTAATAAAATGAAGGAAAAAAACCCTTTTCCAAAAGCAGGCACTCAAATGATGTTCTCTTACTGAAATAAGCCCGGAACTTTACAAGCCTAATGCTGAGACAAGGAATGCAGCAGCATCAGGGGCATCGACTCCATAAGTTAGGTGAGCTGGTGTAATTATAAGTGTATCGTTGCAGACAAGATCACCGTCCGCACAGTAGACTTTGGTCTCGTTTGTGGGGTAATTGGGGATACGACCGCCATCTTGCTCGTTGCGGGTGAACCCAAAGAGAACGACGCCTTTGATCTTGGCCATTAGGGCAGCAGGGAGGGCTTGGATGGATCCATCCATAACGGCAGATCCTTGGCTGCAGATTGACCGAAGTCAGAATCATGCTTTTCTGACTTCATTTAGAACGAAATACTGACCTGTATCCCCCCGCTACGATTAGAGTATCTGGACACTGCGTGTTGGCTAGATCGAACATACTGGTAGCCGCTCCAATGTCAGTCGGACTAGTGTTCTGAGGCAGGAAGTTGTCTGCTAGGGTGGCGTTGTATGGGGATCCTACTCCCTGGCAAGCAACTGTGTCCGTACTGAGGGTAGATTGAAGGTCGGTGCAAACTTGGGGACCAACAATCGAACCCTATCATGGCCAATTTCAGCATAACTCCAGGTCATAACATTGAGAGATATACCATGTTGCCTGCCTCAAGTGATCCGCGAGCAAAGATGAAGGTAACTTCTCGACAAATACCATCTACTAGGTCATTGGATGTATCCGTTCCATCCTGGCGGGTATCGAGGCGAGCAGCACCAGCGCGGGCAGCATCGAGGCGAGCAGTATTAAGGCGAGGAACTAGGACAGCCCTATCGGGAACTGGACTTGCAGTGACGACGCAAATCAAGGCAGCGGTGGCCACAGATTGGAACTTCATTTTGGAGGTGAAGGGTAGATGAAGGCTAGGAGCTCGTTTGAAGCGAAATGATGAGACGAGGCAGTATGATGAATCTTTGTCTGTATAGAAAGCAGAGTTATTATCATGGAGGATGGTTTGTTGTACTTATAGAGACATTAAAATGAAGAGGCCGAGGTAGAAAATGCACCTCCCTCCAATTCCTCCTTTCGCTCAATCCATGCCAACCGTTGTGATAACTGCGGGGAATGCAGTATGGAGGGGATATGTGAATCGGCTTTCGGTGAAAGTCCATTGTTCACGTTCATCCAAGAATTCATAGTCCGTGAACGACAAGTCAAATACCTCGGTCGCTCGAACCTCGATGTATTCAGGGGAAGTATATCTTCAATGTGCGACTGGGAAACATGCATATGTACAATCCCCACCGGAAGCGCTACTTCTGTTTTCCTGCTGGTGGGGATGGTAGGTTACCCTCTTGAACTCGTCGCTTAGGGCAAAATGAAGTTTCCATAAATGCTCGTCTCGAGGTCTCGTATACTAGTTACTTTCCCGCCACCCCCCCTGCCCACAGTGTAGGTAGGGAATTGTAGGGCTGATTAGCAGAAATGGAGTGTCTGCCAATAACACAATACGCATGACCACCACCGAAGAACCTTCCGAGATTCCTACTGGCGCACCCCTCATGTCACTCACTACACAGCTGCAAAATGTCTCCACTTACACTCTGCTTAGGGGTGTAGATAGTAGTAGAAGCCTGCAAGGCCTGGTGCTCAAGCGTAACTTCTATGTGTTGGACCGCCTAGAACAATCTTCACGGTTCCCATCCAAAAACGGGGCATTAACCCTGTTTGACGGGACCACTAGCGCCCCGCATTACATACAGGATATGCACCCCGCATCACATCACATCACATACAGGATGTGCAGACAGCCTCGATTTTGTCTCGGCAGATGCAAACTGTGATTTTACTCGAGCTCAGATTTCTTTTTTAAACAAACCTCGGCGAATTCTTTGGTACCTTTCTTTAGACCTCGGTGAAAGGGACTTTTTGCAGTACACGTATCTCTACTATTGGGACAGGAGAAAAAAGTGATAAGGGGGAGGCTAGGCAGTTGACGTGGCTTTTCCCGCATGTCGCACCGCTAGGTATGGTTCGCCGGCAGTTCAATCTGAGCTATGCTACGTGCAGGACAGCGCCAGCCTTCCAACGCATCGCTCGTGCCAGGTCTTTCTGGCGAAAGCTCGACTCTCACTCCCCGCTTGAGACAGGAGAGATGCAGCACATGGCTATGGAATTTACAAGCAGGAAGGAAGGAAAATTCAACCTCCAGCTTCAAGCTGATCTTCAAAAAGAGATTCGTTTGAGTATGTAGGCGCTACTTTACTTGCAGATAGATAGATAAATAGAATACCCGGGTTGTCGTTCTCAACGCCCGGCGTAGAGCTCGAGATGGGACTATTTCGTGTCAGAGTATTAGAGGCCATCGCCAAGTCTTGGGTAGGGAAGAAGTAGAATGATCAATAACCTGGAAAGGTCATTTAACTAGTTATACAGAACGCTGATTGAGTGACATTGCCGCTTAGTTCCGCAATCGAAACCTTCTTGTGCTTTCCAAGCGGCTAGTTCATTTGCAGCTCCGTGCAGTAAGCTTCGTGTGCCACGTATTGAATAAGTGAAACGATAGAAGCCTAGTCTTAGAATATCCCATCTTTTACGATGCTTTGATCACGTTCGGAAGTGGATAGAGGCTGTGTTGTTTCCTGTACCAAGCATGCCTCGCTTACCAGACTCACCCCCTTTCACCTCGCGTGATAAGGCACGGGACGAGCTGGAAGAGTACCTACCCTTTCTACAACGTTCCTCGATTTGCAACAACATCCTGACTTCCCTTTGCTTGACAAGATGTTATCATATTAGAACATGGAATGTAAATAAGCTGAGAACATGTCACATCCTTATCCGGTCAATTAATCTTTCTCGTCTGTTCGGTCATTATCTACCAATTATTTACCATCTTTCTCAAAGCGCACTCAAGAATAGCACAATGACAATGTGAAGACAATAATCGTGACGTGTCATTTTTATGTAATCAGGAAATCAAAAATTGGATTTCTTTGAATGCAGCGTGAGCGCGCCGTTCAGATCTTGATCTTGGACTGGGTCCTGAGGCTACCTGAGACGAGAGGATGTGATGATAGTGAAAGAACATGTTCTAGAGCTATACATTGACGCCCACACAAGGAGGTGTCTCGAAGTTCCATGCCCACAAACTTCGGGAGTGACCCCTCATCCGACACGTACGGTAGGGCTCTCTAGTCCTCGTCAAGGCTCCCTGAACATCCTCGCTGTGGATAACAACATTCAGTGTAGGCCCCTTCTGAACAGCCCAAATTAACGCATCATTGACATACGTCTAGGATCTGAATATATACTGCTCATATCGAAAACAATCACTTCTCCCACCTACTCTTCGTAGGAAACAACGTTTTGAACATAGTCTGAACCACACGATTAACTTTCGCAACAGCGTCACCATCATCCGTCATAACATCATCATTAAAACACCACTGACCAACATGCTTATTCAACTTGATCGTTCTATCAAGGAGTTCCGTCTCAGCTTGTTCGGCATCTTTGACCATCACAAACATAGCGTCAGGCTCAATGACAGTATGTTGATATTTCAGTAAAGCCTTGACGACAGTCTCCCTTTCCCGGTGGAGCGTCTTTGGCGGTAGTAAAGGCTCAAGACCCCGCTGTACGGTCGAGAGCATGAACTTGATAAGACAGTCTCCACATCTCGGTTCTCGGCGCGAAAGCTGAGCAAAGATATTCGCAGTGCTGAAGTCTGGGTTGAGATACGACGCATCGGACAAGGGGGAGTCGAAACTTTCGGCAAAGCAGCTATCGATGTGGAAATTGTAACATTTTACATCGCGAATTGTTTCCGGTCCATCGAGAGACGTCCAGAGCACTTTGACGTTCGAGAGTGGCGGTTGGAGTCCGGCTTGCTTGTGGATCGAAGGTAGCTGATAAAACATCCGATCTCGACCTTCTGCTGGTTTTGCGGGCGTTGAAGCGTCTTCTCTGGCCATTGCTTGCCTTCCAGGCCGGATAGCATCGAGTAGCACTTGTCGCTCAGACCAATCGAGATAGCCGTCGCCGTTGATGTCGCTTCGAGTCATCACGAAGGACCACAACAGAGCTTCCCGGAATCGCTCTATGGAATAATGAAATGCGGTATACCAAGGGTATATTTGGTACTTGCTCTCTCCTCGAAAGCGCTCGCATGCCCCCCGTAGAGCTGGACTTGGAAATGATGCCATGGCCTCTCTCATCACTCTGCGCGAAATTGAATGGGAGAAGTGTGCTTGAGCTTTGCGCTCCCGCTCGCCGAATCTATGGTTGAGGAGCCATGATGTGTAATATCTGGCGAAGGTGTTAGTAAGTGAAGATTGAGGATGAAGGGAGATGCATTACAAGTGAGGCTTCTCGCCAAAGGTTGGAACATCGGATTTGACGATACTTTTGGTGTTGTAATGATTTGATTTAAAGCCTAGCATTGGACCGAAGAGAGGCGAAAAGAAATCAGCTGCGGAGTGAGGAGCGCCCAGAGACATGTCGTCTGATAGAGCAACCAGCTGGTCGACATTGGACGGTGTGTTGTAGATTTGAGTTTCGATAGAAAGCGAGTCAAAAGATGGTAGACATTCGCTTGCTGTTCCATCAAAGAAGTCTTCTTGCGAAAGAATCTCAACATGCTGTCGCACGGCATCATCGTCTTTCAGCCATGTCGGTTGCTGTGGTCGAAGGCTCTCTGTCTCACCCTCACTCTTGATGTTGTCACGAACGGAATTGGTAAGAATTTGGATCTTATTTGTGATATTTCTGGCATATCTGTCAACGCTTCGGAAAGAATATCGCAATTCATCCCAATCTCTGTAGCGGTTGATACTATGCTGAGAAATCCATTTGCCGTCTGCGTCGTTGAGGGGGGAGACCAGCTCATATTTATGTCTGATAGTCTTGAATTCGTCTTCCGAGCCGTTGACCCCTATAATCATTAGTTACCATACACGAGTTCTCTATATTGTACTCACAGTTGTAGACAAAATCAAGTTTCGGCTCCGCCAACTTTCTTTCATAGTCGTACGTGGCTGAAGAGAACCAATCGTCCTCCCAGCCTTCGAGCTCCACATCGTCCACTGCTTCTTCAAATGGGATCCGGATGACTTCCGGTAGCTGGTCCATTAAATCGCCGACAGCACGAGGTTTATCATCGGTCTTTTCCCCTGGTGCGTCAAACAACGCTTGTGCTTTGTCCACCAGCTGTGCGCGTGGGAGCCAGCCAAATGAGTTGCTATTGCTGTGAAAGTTGAGGTACTCAAGGGCATATTCTCGATGGAGCTCATCCCTTGCGATTATGCTGTGAATGGCCGCCAGAAATGTAGACAATGCACATATAGTAAAGATGATTCTGCGAAAGGAACGACTTCGGAATACCTGCCTCTCAATGGGCGATTCTGGTATTTTCAACGTGAGAGGCATGATGTTAACGAAGGTGGAAATATCAGTGATAGTACAACTCGGTCTGCACTACGAGTTATAGAAAATGAATACATTATACAGATTGTGAACGGATTTGTAAAAGGAGTAGTTGAGCCGTTTGACATCTGATGAAGCCAGGATGAAGTAATTGTCGAATATCTAGAAGAAGCAGGTCGCGGATTCTGTTTCCTATTGGGTAGGTAGTAGGACATCGCCTGCACCGGCGACGCCGGACATGTGTTCATGAGATAGCAATTGGCTATTGCATGTTGAAAGAGATCAGCAGTGTCGCGTGCCAACTTGCGATAACGAGAGTAGTGAGTGGTTCGAAGGATTATGTTCTGAGGATGATCCTGCGGCAATGTCTCAAGCGTCCTTAAATAGTGGGGGCACCGGGGCGTCGTGGGGGTTATAATTTCAGAATTGGGCCAATGATTATGCCCCGCCTTCCAAGTACCGGTGGTGTCGCGTGCTGACTTGCCACTTCAAGAATTAGTGTGTTTCACTGTTTCTTCCTCAGGTTGGTGTACTAGACAACGACCTTCCTTAAACCGATTGGATTTTCAAACCAGCTGCTCCGTCGAACAGGGTCTATCATGTCTTATCAAGTCGAACCTTCTTTTTGGCAATCTTCTTGGCACTATTACTCGTAACGACACCTGCACCTTTGCAACGTTCGGTCTTCGTCCTGAAAAGAGATCTACTTGCATGTATAGACAGCGCTTAGCATTGACAAAAGGGGGTCGATTCAGCGATGGACATGATAATGAACTTTCGCAGCGTCACTCCTTCTGACTTTGTCATATAGGCACCGCAAACATCGATTCGGCCCTCGGTCTCGCTACGCAGCCATATTAGCACCATGTGGTTTAGCACAAGAGCACAATGCGAAGACGAAGAAGTGCTCCTTGCTTCACCTACTTCGACGAGCTCCAGCAATGCCGGCTTGATGCTTCCACCTTCAACAAGATGGGGACGCATACAGAGGTTGATTCTGAGTCCTCTCTGCCAGCTAGTTTTATTCTCCATACCGAGTTTCATGCGATCCGCACCTGAACCTGCGAGCAGCAATAGTTGTGAGAAGCAAACCCATATCGACGCGCCAAGAAAGTCCTCAACGGAATACCTCGACGGCGTGAGAGGTCTCGCATCATTCATAGTGTTCATCTTCCACTTTACTCACATGTTCTATCCGAGCACGAACACCGGGTATGGCGTCAGCCAGCACCCGTCCATATGGCAACTTCCAATCATCCGCTTCGTCTACTCCGGCGCTGCCATGGTCTCAATTTTCTTTGTTGTTTCAGGCTACGTGCTCACACATCGATACATCCAAAAGATGCGTAGACACGAATTTGGAGCTCTTTACTCGTCTCTCACGTCACTCACGTTCCGCCGCGCGCTGCGGCTTTTTCTACCAGCACTCGGTTCTTGTGTTTTGGCTTTCGTTTGCGCTTCTATTGGGGTCCTCGCCGTTCCAAAGAAGATCAATCACAAGCCATTCCGTCATGGAGTTTCTGCCCTCTTCCGCTACATTGACCAAGAATCTAATCCTTGGACGTGGGATCAGTATATGGAAGGCTTTTACAACCCTCAACTGTGGTCCATCGCACTCGAGTATCGAGGCTCGATGGTTGTCTTCCTGGCTGTGCTGGGGCTTGCAAGAAGCCGAACCTGTGTCAGGATGGCCGTCGAATCAGCGATCATTACACATGCTTTTTTGCACAAACGATGGGATGTCGCTCTTTTCATGGCTGGTATGCTGATCGCTGAAATGGATGTCTTCGTCTCAAATTCAACTGCACTGAAATCCATCGTGCGGAGACGGTCTACGAAAGCTCTTTTGATGACAATCATGGTTGCTGGGGTGTGGCTGTCTGGATATCCTCGAGACCACGGCCTCGAAAGCCTCGGATATGGCTTCCTAGAAAGAGTATGGCCGTACGGCGGGTATCGTCGCAGATTTTGGCTCGCTATCGCGTCAATCATGATCGTTGCTCCGATGCCCTATCTCCCTTTTATTCAGACACTGTTCAATACCAGATTAATCAAATATCTCGGCAAGATTAGTTTTGCGCTTTACCTTGTACATGGTCTTGGTAACAGGACGATTGGCCTATGGCTTCTGAACTTAACCGGGAGCATGTTTGGCAAAGATGGTTATTGGGCTAATGTGCTGATCTTTGCCGTTTCGTTTGTTTTGTACACGCCTATTATTGTTTGGTGGTCAGATATGTTTTGGAGAGCGGTTGACCTTCCATCGGCAAATTTTGCTAAATGGATCGAGGGTAAATGCGCGTCTAGGGCACCTACATGATGCAATCACTTTGGATATATTTGAATGAGAGGCTGTTTGAAATTTAACGTGCTATTTCTTAATAAATGTGCTACCTGACTTGACCTTCTTGACATATTCCTACCTCCAAAATTGGTACCCTAATCATCAAAACTTTCAATTTTACATGGCTAGTCTTTCTCTTACGCAGAGGTGCAGAACAAGTTTCGTACTATATGAAAAACTTTTGAGAGATCAATGTTTGAGGAGCTAATTCCTTAAGTGAGACGGCTGTGTTACGTTTGAGTGATTTCATGATCATCTAATTGGGAGACGTCATTTGACTATCAGGCCGTCATGTCAAGCTCCCTAGATTTAAAGTGTCTTGTCTTCAATACTGGACTTCCTTCGAGAAGAACAAACGCTTGAACCGAGCTCTCATCAGACATTAAATTTACCCACAATCCCGAGAACAAGAAGCATAATCATCAAAAGAAGTGACTTCTCAATCTCGGAGCAGGAACACCCGTTCACTCCTCTCTTGCTGTGAGTGCATTCCTTCATAGCTTAGTTGACTCTTTGAAGTATTTGGTGGAGCTGAAGCTATAAAATTCTAAATACGGTGGTACAACGTGTGGAGGCTGACAGCGGAAATTATCCATGCCAGCAAGCGGGCTGCCTTGCTGCGCCTCAACCTCATTGGCCCGGAACAATTTAAGCTTATGTTTGGCATGTCACTGATGAGCGACAGAGACATTTCAATTGGAGTGGTGAACAACAGTCAGCACCCTGCGCCAAACGAAGTCGTCGGCTGCGCCGACCTTTCAACCTTCGTGGACCAAGTACAATAGCATTTCGGTCGTGATGAAGCTTCCGAAGTTAAGTGCACAATGACAACATTCAGCTTTCTTTGCATCTCGTGGCGTGGTGTTCTCAGCTTCACCGCCACAGCTTTCCTGAGGCTTGACGAACATCGCGCACTGCTAGACGACGCAGAATTTGATTTTGCAGGTATATATATAGCAGAGGAAGCATGGAAAGAGATGCATACAAAATACAATCTATCAAGTCTTCAGTCTCTTATTTCATTTCCTTCAACTTTGGAATTATCTCTTTACCACACTCACTACAACCTTTTCTCATTTTTCACGATCACCTCAACACGAACGCCAAAATGCAATACTCGACTATTCTCCTCGCGGTCTTCCCTATCATGGCTCTTGCCGCTCCAACCACTATGTCTAAACGCCAGATCAACGAAGATATCATGACTGCCGCACTCAATTGGCAGCAAGACACCGGCTTCGTCTCCAGCTATCTCGACTACGCAGTCTCAACCTTCCCCAACCAACCTCCCAACCTTCTCTCAAACGGTGCTCAGGCATTAGCGGCTGAGCAGAACGAGGTACTCCACAAACAAATTCTCGACAACTACTTCATCTACTTCACCGATACGCCAAACCAGAATGTCATCAATGCCAATGCCGTCCTCACATCGGGCAACCCCAGCACTTTTATGAGTGTCGTCAACAATCTCCAGGATATATCTGTGACTGGAAACTTGAATGATGTTGCTTTGATCAATAGCAACCGATGCGCGAATGTGTTGCCTGCCATTGACGCATACTTCTTGGCAGTCGCAGAAGCGTTGGGAACAACGGAAACGCTCGTGGCTATCAGACCATTGGCATGTGGAGGGCCTGCAGCCGAATAAAGGTTATTTTGGTCAACCTTGAGGGAATGCTTAGGCCAGTTGCATAGCGTGGGAGCTTTTATGTCATTTGATTTTAGTTTGTTTTCTTTTGTTTTGGGGGCATAGCGTGGGAGCAAGAGCGGGATCTTTGCTTTGATTTCTTTGGTTCATGGCGTTGGAGTTAATTGATTTTATACTTGCCGACTTCAAGTTCAATCTCCGAGTCTTTCCAGGTGAAGTGTGACAATATCTTGATTCATGATGACCAAGACCCAGAGAACTACTTGGGATTAGGAACTCTTGAGGTACACTCTTCCTTCCCAAGCGTTTAGAACATCACCTTCTTTGCCGCCAGTAGTCCCGAGCAGAAGCCTGGATCCCACGCCTAGAATATCAGACGGCCCCTCCCACTTCTTGGGACTATTCGAGAAGTTAACAACTGTGAGCGACTTTCTCTCTGGCCCCTCCTTCACGAAGATGAACAAATCTTCTTCTTGGGATTCAACCAGCTTGTAAGCACCATATATAAAAAGCTCTTTGTACTCCTTCCTCAACTTCAAAATTCTCTTCCAAAACTCCAGCAAGCTACTGGAGTTCCCAAGCTGCAGCTCCACATTATGCTGCTCCCAATCATCATGCACACGCATCCAAGGTGTCACACCCTCTGATGTGAATCCTGAATTTGGGCCCATATTCCACTGCATTGGCAACCTGGCATGATCTCTCGCCGTCTTCCACAAATCATCTCGCGCGCGGGCCAAGCATTCAGGCTTTCCAGCACAGGTTTGCTGAGCTCGCTTGTACATGTTGACAGAACGTATGTCCTTATACTCGTCAATTGGCCATGACCGCGGTAGATTACTCATGCCGATTTCTTGCCCTTGGTACAAGAACAGGGTTCCTGTCATAGTGGCCATAATCATCGCCAACATCTTCCCAACTCTGGTCTGATCTTCCAACGAAAAGTCACGACCGAATCGTGACAACGAACGTGGTGCATCGTGATTCTCGAGGTAAAGAGTTATCCAACCCTCGGGATCGCTGGCAAAAGTCTGCCAGCGCGACATCTCCTGTTTAAATGGCTGAACGTCGAATGGTACGGGACCTTTTTGGCCTGGCTTTCGTTTCTGTCCTAGATCTGAGATGTCGAAATTGAATACCATGTTCAAAGGTCCTGTGCGAGACGAAACAAACTCCATCACCCCTTCCTTCGTGCGTGGAAAACTTGACAGCTCCCCGACTGTCAAAGCGCTGTACTGGTCGAAAATGTCTTTCATTTCCCCTAGGAACTCGTGAATCCGTGGACCATGGTTGTAATGTCTCCATGCCGGTTGTGTTTCTTCTTTCGGATTAGTGATCTCTGCGTCGGGGAATGATACATTTTTGGAATACTTGTTAACAGTGTCAATGCGGAATCCGTCAATGCCTCGCTTGAGCCAGAAGGTTATCGACGTATTGTAGATAGCTTCTCTCGTTTGTTTGTTCTCCCAGTTGAAATCTGGCATCTCTGGAGCATATATATGAAGGTAATATTCTTGGGTAACCTCGTCCCAAGTCCATGCTGGCACGGTGAAATGGCTGCGCCAATTATTGGGTGGGTGCCGATTTCCGTCTGCGTCGATCTTTGGAGGCCGCCAGAAATACCAATCCCTCTTGGGACTGCTCTTGGAAGAGCGAGACTCCTGGAACCATTTGTGCATATTTGAGGAATGATTGATAACTAGATCAAAGATGATTTTCATCCCTAGACCGTGAGCAGCATCGATGAGAGTCTGCACGTCTTCCACCGTTCCGTATGGCTCATGTATCTCTTCATAATTGGAAATATCATATCCCATATCAACTTGAGGGCTTTGGTAATGCGGGCAAATGTGGATGACATCGACGCCTAAATCGCGCAAGTAGTCCAATTTAGACACAATTCCTGGGATATCTCCGATTCCGTCGTCATTCGAATCTTTGAAGCTTGCAGGGTATATTTCGTATACGACTGCTTCTTTCCACCACGTTTGAGTACGCTCATTACCATCCAATCCTAGGTCTATGATCTTTTGGCGGAAGGGATCGAGTCGAGGGGCGTACTCTTGAACAATCGGAAAGCTGAGAAGAACAGTAAATGCGACCGCTGCAAATATAAGAAGTTGTCTCAGTTTCAACATCTCTTGATATGTCTTCACGGAATCTTAGAGTTGGAGAAGTGAGGAAAAGAATTCACGGTTAATATGGATAAGGCTAAGCTGGCATAAACGTTGCAATTCGATAGGTGGTAAGTGAATATGTCAAGGGTGGTGTCACTATACCTGATTGGGCTTGTCTCACAGCCGAAGATGTGCAGGTGTGGCTTGACGACTGGGCCAATGATATGACCCACTGGTTTTCTATGCACCCATACAATCATAGGCCTTACCCGTCACTTAGCAGACTCGCAAGAAAGTATGTAAGAATCAGTGCTATTGCTGTAGAGCTAGGATGGATCAAGGAGCACGAGTGGTGTTGTAGTACGAAGAAAATAGCATGGTCATTAATTGTGGGTTGCTTTCAACACCCCTCGAAGATCATGAAGTGCGAACTTACAGTGGCCACTTCTTGTCTAAAAAGCTCTATTGCAGTCCAGTATATCTCTACTATGCATAGACCGGCTTATCCCTATATAACCAACTCACTTGAACACAAACTCAACTATTGCGACCTGTATGCTTGTATCCTGCCAACTAAAACCTAGATCTACCTAGGTACGCTGCGTAAACATCTTGAACTCTACTTTCATCTAAACTTCGGTCCTAAATGATCTCGCTGTTCGACGATCATGACTAGTGCGAGAACTTATAGATAACTCTACCATTCCTTTCTGAATCTCCCTCCACATCTTTGCCCCACTTCCACAAACTTCTTCCGAACCTTGTACAGCAAGTAAAAGCCTTAAATCGCCTTCTTGAGTAGCGACTAATTCCTCGTACTGCACTTTTTTGGTATTGCGGCCCATCTCATTTCAACTCCACGACGCGAATTCCAAGAGCGCAAACTTATTCGAACGTTCGACTGCCACACCAGGGATAGAAGTGTCGCTGTTCCAGCACTCTTGTTCTCATCAACTATTTGTCCTTCTTACTCAACGCTTCGCAAGTAACCTTGAGAGAGATCCTTCAAAGCCACAGTCATGCGCTCTCCTCGAAGTCCTCGGTCCCCTACGCCTCGTCAAGGTTCTCGTATCAGTGCTCACATCGATTCTCCTGGAGAGACTGGCGGCACTTCCGACTCTTCGTTCTTGTTGTCAAACTTTGCTTTACGAAGATGCTCGTAAGTACATATTCCCCCCTTCGAAACAATACTGCTCTCGTTCCCATTCAGCTCCATCTAATCCATCGTGTAGCTTTTGCGCCTCTCGAAACTCCACTTATCTACTCCGACTCATACTTCCAGAGAGAAGATGGGTTCTGTTTGACCTCCAGAAAGCTCACGAAGTAGTTCAGCAGCGTGCCGCCGCACTCGCCAAGTCTGCAGGATACTCCACCACTGCTCTGGATGGAGAAACACATGTCGCAGTTTCCGGACATTCGGATCCTGTCCCAGTATCTGAGTCCGAGCTTTGCGACAGCTGTTCTCAACTACTCCCTCAACGAGAACAACCTACGAATAATCAGAACTCAGTCTGCATTCTGTGTACTAGACGCCTGCCGGAGTACGTCTCAGTCGTTCTCGACGAAGATAAGTCTATCAGCATTATGCATACCGCGAGCCTCATGGAAAACTCCAAGTACTTCTCAGCCACCCTGAACCAAGGCTGGCTCGAGGTAAATACCGGGGTGTTTCACCTCGAAGACACTTCTTCCATTTCCTGGGCCATCTTCACCCACTTCATCGAGAGTGACAATAGGCTAGACGAGAATGCAGATCTTCAATGGATCGAGGAGCTAGAATTGGTTCGGGGCGAACTTACGCAAGACGAATTCCCTCAAGCCGATAAAACAGAAATTACTTCCGACGAGTCGGACATCGTCATCGATAGACTGGTAGACTGCTACCTGCTGGGAGAATATATTCAGTCGCCAAGATTCTGCAACTCCATTGCAGATCTGCTGAATTACCGTTTCAGAGACTTTCTTCACAGAGAAGATTTACTGCCTCTGTGGCCAATGCACAAAGCCTTCTCGGGCATTCGTGGCTCGGGAATGCAGCGATTGATGGCGGACCTGATGGAGTTTGCTCTGTCGGAAAAGACATTAAGCCTTGCAGTCCGCAAGGGTTATGTTTGTGAAGCGGCTACTGCAGAGATTGCCTTGTCTAGCTTTCGAGCTCGGGAGAGAAAGATGAGCGAGAGAGCTCCGTGGCTGAAGCATCAATGCATTTACCATGACCATCCAGATGGGGGATTCAAGGCTCCATGTGATGATATGCTAGAGGTGCATGACTGTACGGGAGAGCAGGTTTGGGAGTCACCGGGCTGGGACAACTTTCGTGATGGTGTTGGGAATTGGTGAACGTAGCCATAGATGCTGCTGTTTCTTGTAAGTCTTTCTATTTCTCATTGGCAAGTTGGATTTCTGACAGAAATGAAGATCATGAATCATCGGCATTTCCGACAGTGGATAGGTGGTGGACGTACCTTACACAATTTTCTGTCTTATTTGGCCCCTGCTTTGCGGCTTTTCTGTTACTTTCCGAGCGCTCTTGACTTTTCAATTCTGGACTTGGATTTCTTTTCGCAAGCCACGTTTGTCCTCACGGTAATAAGACAACTACGTTTTCTTTGGTAAATCCTTCCAGAAATCATCAAAAAAGTAGAAGAAAAAATGAATCAGAATCTTGTAACATCAGAACCCTTGATACATTTGATAGTATGTGGGAGAGGACAAATGGAAGTGATTTTCTGACCGAATCACAACATTGTCCTTTCGCACCGAAGCGAGGTAAAGAGTATTTGGCGCGTTTGGACTGAGGCCATGGAGCAATAGGGAGATGAGCAATGGGATGCAAGAAAGTAGACTTCATGATCTTGATATTTGAATTCCGTGCTGGTATATAAACATAACATTACCATTACATTGTAGTCATAGTTTTGCATCATCATGGGCACATTATTCTGATGAGCAACAGCTTCATCGCCCCAAGCCTCCAATCGAACTTATATCTCAAGAAGCGAACTTCCATTCAACCACCTTTTAGAATATAAAAGAAACCAGTTTTATCATAGCTCAAGAGAAGGCCATCACGACTTGAACTACTTCGAGAAGACTCTGGATCTCCTCAACTTCTTCGGTGGGTTGATCAACGCCCTGAAACATACATCAGCAAACCACGTCACGTCAGTGAGTGATGAAGCTTACCCCCAATTATCAGTCTCGAACTGAGTAACTAATCCCGTCATATCGGTGTAGTTCTTCGTATTTCCTGCCGCATTACCAGTAGTAGGAATCCCTTGCTCCTCACAAGACTTGAAGTGATCGTGTGGAATGCCTTGAGTCGCTGCAACCACATCAGGCGCCTCGATAATAGTAGCCACGAGACCAGCTTCGACATGCCATTCGATATGGCAATGGAATAGAAACACGCGTTCAGGTTGATTAGTATGGAGTGGCTAAAGCAGGGGAGAGGAACATATCTGGGTTATCTGCTTTGAAGCGAAGGACAGCATAGCCGCCTGTCATGACCGAGAGTGTGTCTCGACGCATGGGGATCTTGGGTACAATGACGTTGTCCGGATCATAGTCAACACCGACAGCTGAGCGTTCGATGACTTGGAATGCATGTCCGTGAAGACTAGCTTGGTTAGAAAGAAGACCATAAACAATATCGGTAAAACAACTTACTGCCACGGATGAGAACCAGTGTCTTGGTTTATGAGAACGATTTCAATAACATCATTGTGTTTCAAAACAGAGGGGTTGACTTGCCCATAGATTATGGGGTTCATGACATCTTTGGCTGGTGCAGACATGACAGTGAACAGCGTCGGAACCGTTGGTCCAATGTAAGTAATATTGTTGATGATAGCTCTGATCAAAGGAATTAGCAGACGAAACGGAAGCAGGTGGATGCACTTACCGATTATACCCTATGTCATCCTCGAAATTAAAGGTCATGATGATTTGGTGATCAACTTTCGTAAGAGCTCCCATGTGATCCACAGGAACTAGCGTTGTGTCATCGATAGTATTGTACGTTCTGAGGGGAACTGGGGTGGGTAGAGGTTTCTTGGAATCATAAACAAGCCATCCAAACACATCTGGATTAGCCCAAGGAGGAATGCTGTCGAACATGGCCGTGTCCAAAGTGACAGAAATCGCGTAGTTCTTGTCGGTACTGCTTTTCATAGTCACTAAGACAGCATATCGTTGAGCTACTGAGAGATACAGCTCATCGGCCTTTTTTGGTTCGACATAGATTCCATCGATCTCCACGATGCTCATGGTGTGGTCGTCAATGGAAACGTATGTCCCGACAAAACCGCCGATATTGATGAAACGCATGAGATATGTCTTTCCTGGTTTGACGGGAAATGTAACATTCTGAGTGTCTTGCATGACCGCCGAATTTGGAATTGGCTCAGCACCGCCATCGTCTTCATTGGCCTGCGATTCGAAGTAATTGACTAGGCCCGGGATCTCATCTTGATACCTGTATTAGGGTCAATTTACTTCACTGCTACATGATCGAAAAAAAAGAGAAGATAGGCTTAATGGGCCGTGTGGAAAGAAAGGAAGAAGTTAGATTTAATTGGGAGAGTGTGTATCCTACCAATCTGACAGAGTGATAGTGACATCTTCGTCAAATTCGAAGGGAGGAGACGGGTCATGTATGATAATTGCTCCTCGAAGGCCGTCCATATATGAGCCACCATTATGGGCGTGATACCAAAAGGTGCCAACTTGATCCACCTAGATGAACAGTGAGAATGAGCATGCCAGGAAGGCCGTGTAACATACAACAAAGTCATAGACGAGAGTTTGCTCGGGATAGACAGGGCATTGGTTGACGCCAACCGGGCCGTCCATAGCACTCGTGCCTGTCTGAAATAATCCATGGAAGTGGAGCGAAGTAGTTTCATTGACAAGTTTATTGCTGAAGTTGATGATGATTCGATCCCCTAGATTGACCTGGCCACGTGAGCTTAGATTCTTGAAGGGGGGCTTAGTCTCCGAGGCTGAGAGAAACTTACATCAATGTTGGGACATGGAAATTTCCCATTTATGCCAATGACCGGCCGAGCAAAGTCATCTGGGGAAGCATATACCCACGTGGCTTCCCAATCATATGTAACAATGGAACTGAGCACATTTGAGAACAAAGAGATGAATATGAAAATGGTGAGCATGTTTAGACTAATGATGTCTGACGGTGTAAGGCATGAGGGAATATTCCACCAGAAGGGAGAGAGGCTTGGCCTTTATGTTCCTACTCAATGTCAACCACATTCCTCGGCCCACTCCACCTCACACAGTCCATGGTTTGCAAAGGCTCGTCCGTGATTTGGTAGAGAGCATCCGAGAGCAAACACATTAAGTGCAGGTATCGGACTCTAATTCGAATCATTAGCAAGCCAGCATGGCAAGTGGCTTGCTGTAAAGTGGCAACGCCGCAGAGCTGGCACGGTCTCGACTTGCGAGTAGCTTGGTGGAAAGATCTCGTGCGTTGTCTCGGCCACTGGACGAAAATACATCACGGGAAGCCTAATCCTTTTGTTCTGAACGGGATTACCAAAGGCCCGAGGATAAGATACGACGCTTCGATACCCACTCAGCCTTACGCCTGATAAGCTTAGATGCATTAACCTTCTTTTGGGCCATCCACACTTGGAGCATCTGGTCCTCTCATTTGACACCAAGTGAATCAATAGAATAGACGCATGTCTTAAGTGACCTGGAAAGGAAATGCTGAGCGGTCAGCAGTCATCAGTGGACGAGATCTCCGTAAACGAAGCGAAGGGAGGAGAATTCTGCGCCTTTTTGCGCCACGGAATCCCAAGCGTGAGTGGAGACCCAACTCAGTTGGGGTGAAAATACGAAGATACCAATAGAAGTACATGGTCACGCGGCTACTCAGCCTCCAAGAAGGATCTGATTTGGGGGTTACAGCAATTGGTATTCGGACGGATAAATCAAGGAATTGGGAATAATTGCCACAGTACATCTCGATTCATTCTCCATACCAATCGCCATGTATGGACATTCATATGATTGTATAACAGCAACTCTTTGAGAAAACGAGACTTGAGTAAGGCACCGCTTTCGAGGAGGAGAATTTACTCAAAGATGATGTTGGGATAGAATTTGCACGGTTCACCGCTTAGTCCGCTCCAACCATCTGGGACCCACATGGCTACTCTCTTTGGGCTAGACACCCGAGACTTCATTGTCTTGGGAAATCATCCTTCATGGCAAGTTTCACTCATGGTATCTGCCATGAGCCATTTGTTGCAGAGGGCTAGACAAAAGACAGATTCATTACCAAACTTCAACGACAATCGTCACGATCGACGACTACCAAGATTACAAGAATATGTCCACGGGTAGCTGTAGTCGGACATGAGGTTCGCACAATGTCAAAGTTGTGCCGTGATCCAGCGGACTACCATCCAGATGCTGATAGTTTGCGAAGAGTCCCTGGCATCCCGAGAGCTTGGTGTGGAGAGATGTCACTGCCGGTATGCTATTGGACTGTGGGGAAGCTTATGCGCCACAGCTCCTTCTTGTTGGCGCATTGAAAATCAGCTGCCGCCACGCTTGAATCTTTTTCAGGGTCCAACTCGTCATTCGCACGTCCCGTCCGTCTAGTCGGTCTAAACATCCCATCTGATCTCTCGTACGATGATATTGGGCTTTGAACCGATTGGTTTGAGGTCGGGCTTTTGAAAAACCTAAGACGGGATGTTTGCATTGCAGGAAAAAGATCCGCTAATTTTCTGCTGAGGATTTATCTTCATCTAGATCATGTACCATGTCTCCATGTCGTGCAAAGGATGCTGTATCAGTATCATGCATGTAAGTGAGAAGCTGCACTGTTGATCTGGCAGCCTTGCATTGGATGGGAAGATGTCAGCAAGCTGGGAAAGCGCCTCAGCTTGGCACAGCCCGACATCCATGGATCCGGGCTCTTCCCTCGTGTTGGCCCTGCTCATGCCAAGTTTTCTCGAGTTGCTATCTAAGCACCGAAGGAAGGATTTAAGATAGTTCGTCGACAAGAACCAACTAATAGTCTCGATCAGCTCGGGAACTCTCCATCTTCGATGCTGTCAACGAAAGACATAGGCCCCAGTGTCTGCCGACACTGAGTTCTTCATCAGCAGATTGTACCACAATTGATTCTCTTTGCAAGCCAATTTGGGTTCAGAAACCTCTGATGCGGGGGATTGGAATAGAAATCGTATGTTAATGCGGTTTCTATGAATATCCAAAGAGTCAGGTTCGGCATCCAGCCTGATGGATTTAGAAAGCCTTGCATCATTACTAAAGTTCTCTTTGTTCCACTGCTTTCAGCACGCCACTTGAACCATCTTGAAATAACATCATAATTTCTTACTGGAGATAAGATAAACAGTCCTGAGAGCCAAGGAATCCCTTCATATGCACGCGAAGTTGCAGGAGGAACAAGCCGCAGAGATCTCGACAGGCATTCCCGTCCAAGCCTTGAGAGACCATTTTGCATCCAACGGCGATGTGGTTCAAAAGCGTGCCACGATGGCTCACGGAGGTCCGTTCTGTTGGTACAATCTGATGCACCCCATCTCACCGCCACAACAATGAGACAAACGCGATCTTTACCACTTTGAATTTCTGGGGCAGGAGAGTGTGCGGAAAAGAGATATTCCCGCTTTGAGCATTACGCGGCTTCTGGGGCGTTCGCGCAAAACACCTGCGACTTTGCTGCAGTGGTTCGGACATGCACCAAGTCGGACTTCCACATCGACGTGCAACAAAAGCCAACAAAACTTCCGATGTCTTGTTCCCATATAAGACGGTGGTCGCCGAACACGGGAAATGGATTTTCTTGGGAAATCGTGGACTGATGTCGATAAAAGTCTTGGTTTCTGGAGAGCAATCGAAAGTTTCATCGCGAGAAACATTATTGCCCCGCGACTCTGTCTGAGACGCGCGAATATCTGTGGCAAAAGAGGTTCAAGTACGAAGTATTCGGGTATGTGCTGTTTCAAGGTTTTCGCAATTGGCGGGATTTCAATTGCTCCTCAGAGAGGTTCTTGAAGTCATACGATGAAGCGCACGATCTTTATCTCTTGAGTCTACATACGATAACACATAACGGGGGAGAGAATTGGTCCTCAATATTGCACTTTTCGGGCTTGGGTAGGTCAACTTGGTGAATATTGCAAGCAGTGAGTGATGAGGTACTACCAAGGTACATGTCGCAGTTTTTGGCGCAAGTGAGTCGCGCCATGATTCGAGATCGTTAGGAAAGCTTGTTTCGAGTTGCCAAGCGGTTTTCTGGGAACTTCAAGTTGCTGAGCTCGATTTTCTCGCGGACTCTTCGTAGACCAGCAGTGCCGGTGCGCAAGCTCAATTCTTTGTATCAGGAGAACTTCCACCGTTATGCTCTATTCAAGCTCGCATATCTCGAACCTCAACAGACGCAGACTTGCAAGAACTCCAGACTACCTACAGTTAGCACAACAGTCGGTTCCTGAACTTGCACTTCATACAGGTAAAGCATGTAGGTTGATCGAATCCTTCCAATGAATTAAACAAAGTCATCAAGAGTCTGTAGCCATTCATGATGCAAAGCGTCAGCAACGAAATCAATTATACCGCAGGACCGAACTATCCCTGATGAACTTAATTCAATGCTCCCACTGACATTCACGTTGCAGAAACTTCTCTCTTGCGTACAGTCTCGGCACCAGATACTTGGAAGTCAATGAGCATTGGCAAAGGCATCATATATATATCAGGGATCTTCAAGGACCGAAACTCATCGCCATGGAGACTCTCACCACATGTCTTGAATATGACAGGTGAGAATGGAATATCCAGACCAATGCAACATACTCGCGCAGACTCGTATGTGAATGGAGCAGAAAGAAGGCATTGAAAGAGAGAATTTGATCACACAAGAACAGAGAGGAAGGCAGGTCCAGGAGATTGTTGCATGCGATAATGATGCCCAGAATCTGAACTTGCCTCGAATATACGTAGGAAAACATTGAGAGCTCTCAATGCTCTTTCTCCTCTCAGCGCAGACAATCAAACACCTTCAAAATATGCTTCGATAACTGAGTCGTCTTGTTCAAGTCAGAGTACTCTTCCTTATACTATGCTGTATATACCAACAATCTGCAACTCGGTGGCACTTGCCCTGCTCTCCTGCTCATCCCAAATTAGGCCTTTGTTCAAGTATTGCCATTTCACATCTCCCAGAAATAGACCGTCAATGGACCAGTATGGCGTTTCGTGAAATGCGTCATATTCTTGTGATCGCTATCTTCGTATGCACCATGCAAGAGCAAACCCATTTCCATGCCAGAACCCCGAAGAAAAAGACCCTTTACATGACGACACCAGAGTTGCTTGCAATACGCTAGGATATGGTCAATATGAATTCGAGAAATAGGGTTGGTATAACATACTGGCCAAAGCTCAGCAGCCTCCTTTCCGACTGGTCCTGTGATAGCTGATCCCTTCATCTCTCCCTTGGGGTTGACGATCTGTATTTATTCCGTCAGCATTTGTATGCATCAACTCATAGCTAGCCCCGGGCCCGTATATCGCTTCCTTGATCCCCAACTCATCCGAAAATCGAAGAAATCCCACTCACCACACCAGCGTTGTCCTCAAAGTACAAGAAGACACCATCAGTTCGTCTCCATGGCTTGCTCTGTCGCACAATAACAGCGGGCATGACCTTCTTTCGCAACTCGGGCTTTCCCTTCTTGACAGTCGCCATGACCATATCGCCGACACCACCAGCTGGCATACGGTTGAGACGAGCACCGATACCCTTGACGGAGATAATGTAGAGGTTACGAGCGCCGCTGTTGTCGCAGCAGTTCATGACTGCACCGCTATTCGAATTATCAGCTTCTCCCCCAAAATATCCTAGTCTGCCATCGCGAGAGGAGGTATTCGAGATTCGAGAACGGAGAACGTACACTGGGAGACCGAGAGTCATCTTCAGCTTGCCACCTGGGGCACCACGTCTATAATCATGATTGTCAGTTTCAATTCTTCTATCAATCTTTCCCTAGCGCAATTGCTATCGCAGAAGATCAGAGCGTAGGAAGTGGACGTACGAAATCTTTGCCATCTCGACGCTAAATCTTTGATTGCTGGGAAGGAGTTCAAAGATGGATGGTTGAGTATGCGGGATGTCGAATTTCGAGGTTCGTCGGCGCGAAATCTTCTTCGTGAAATTATTGTGTGCGCCGCTAAGCGAGGGAAGCTAAATTTGGGGGCGGAGAACGAGAACTTTGTGCGAAGAGCCTCAACTCTGTTTTTTATGACAAACAATTGATTTCAGTTGATACCTGCTCAAAGTTGAACATCTTGGGTTACATGGCTCTGCAATGATATACTTGCCACTTGAAAGTTCATGATGTCCGATTTCAGGTGGCCTTCCTCTCTTCTACGTTTGAAGATGCCATGTCTTCCACAGTCTACTGCAAAATTTGGTGTTGTTTTACTCTATTCAGGTCAAACAAATGGAGAGCACTCCAAACAAACTTCAAAGTTCTTTGCGAAGATCTGGAATCTCGATTGCATGTTGGTGCATATCACGTGATAATTTCCGAGGATAGGTTGCTGAATTGCGCGCCTTTTAGGCCAAGGGCCTAAGCTTCTCTATATGGCGCGTATCAAATTGCACTTGCTGCTCGAAGTGTAAGGCTACCTCAACGTTTACCCAGTGAGGCTATGCCAACGAGTGATACCCCACCTCAACTTATCTCCTTCAATTGTGCTTCACCTTCCCATTGAAACATTCGCAGAGATTTAAGCAAGTATTCACCCATCCGTCTATGTATAATGTCTCTATTTTTCCGAGACGCCATGCTTCACGAGGCGTCTTTCCTCCCATCATTGGTCGCCAAGACTCTCGAAGAAGAACAAGACACTACGACGAAGTGTCCACAAAAGACCATCCAGCATGGATATGTCAAAGTACCTTACAGACAACAATCTTCCATCCCAGTCACTCCGATCGTCAACAATCCAGCGAATCCAATCATCAACACTCAGAGCCTCGTGCGCTCGCTGGTCACGTGTCTAAAAGAACCGATCGAAAAGTCAATGCCTTACCACCGCCTCCAAAGCGGAAGATCAACATTCAGAGTAATGACAAAGATAGTGAGGAACCCGAGGAAAAAAGGGATGGTCATGGTGATGGTGATAGAGAGGACAATACCTTGCTACAAGGATCGGGGGCTGAAGAGAGTGATGAAGAATTCGAGAGTGCTGAAGAAGATTTGTCTGAAGAGATTTGGGATGAAGAAACGAGAAGACAAATTCAAGCAGAGGCTCAAGCAGAGCTGGAAAAACAGAACGCGAGAGCTGAGGCTCGGATATTTCGCCCGTCCCAGTTCCTTGACGGTCCAGGCTGGATCACTCTCGAAAGCGGCTCAGGGTATCAGCTTCTTGCAGAAGATCATAAACGTGTGTGGCGTGTCACTGGGCCTGCATCGGGTAGTTATACTCGCATGATCAGAATAAACCTCGTCCAGTTACGAAATGCAGGCTGGATTTGGGACGATGTCAACAGAGGGTGGAACCGGGACTTTTGGAAAGCGCAGATCTTCTGCACGGAAGTAATGGAATGGAAAAGCTTCCATCGCGCCTACGTTGGTCCACCCTTTTGCGCTCAGGTTTTCCGGAGTCTGTGCGTTTAGCTTGGCTGGATTCTCAAGGGTGGTGTGGCTCCCTCTCTGATGGCACGATAGTGCGTCTTCGAGATCGCTATGCAGCAGATGATGTCGATGATGTATTTCTGTCACAGAGTAGATCACATGATTCTGGCTGGTTACATGTCAGCTCACCTGACTTAGTGCGAGCTCAGAGTATATAAGTTTGCTGCTCTTCTCTTACTCTTAGATCTTCAGACAGATTCTACTACGATCCATTTTACCCATATTATCGTTCACCCTATATGAAGTGCTTGTCGACTACTGCGTGGTAATTTCTGTATGCGCAAGTTTAAAGATTGTCGCGAGGCACTGCCCACTGCAAAGTTGACAAATGTCTAGATATCTAGGATAGGCAACTTTAGAATTGGGGGTTTTTTTTCGATGAGTGGTCTAATTCCAGGTGACTGGAGTTGCATTGACGAGAGTACTGTACGAGTACCACGAAACGAGCCGACATGCGTTGTATTCCTTGTATGGAGAAACAATTATAGACGCAGAAACAAGAAATGAAGGAAATTAAGAGAGTGACACGTTCCAAGGTCGAGTTGATCAGTAGTAAGAAAATTGGAGCTGCATTTGCTTCGTCGTTGTGGTTTACTAAGCCCTCAGTTACAGTTCCTTCACAGCTTTGCAGATAGGCGAGAATACGAGACAGCATGGGCAGGCGTCCACATGTGCGTAGTTCTGATCAAAGAAGAAACGCCGTGCGATATGGAGAGTCTGTCATTATCTGTGGTATTCATTTCGACAGCCTCGATTTCAACTCTTTATTTTACATCGCAAAAAAAAAGATCCTGACCTCCCAAACTCCGCGCTACAAGATATCTAAAGTACAATTATTCCTCTGCCGTAGTACCTGGCTCAGTCTTCGTCTCAGGCTCTACAGCTTCTGTTGGAGCATCTGCCATAGTGACGTCGGTGCTAGAAGACTCTACTGCGGCTGATGACTTTTCGACTGGCGCGGTTTCCGGTGCTTTCTCCATCTCTACTTCTAGTTGCTCTGTAGGCTCTGGCTCGGGGACTTTGGAAGATCCTGCTTCTGGAACTGGTGAAGGACTTCCCATCTCAACATCTGGACCAGCACTGACGTTTCGGCGCTTTGGTCCTTCCTTGGCTGCAACGACTCCATTTGCCTTAGACTCTTCCTCGTCCTCACTTTCATCCAACTCATCATCTCTGGTGACTCGTTGATCCCATCGTCGCTTGGTAGTTCGAACATCCTTGTTCATGTCCTCGTCTTCGTCGTCCAGAATGTCATCATCCTCATCTGTAGTACCTGCAAGAGTTGTGCGAGGAACTTCGGTCAATTGAACAGATGGCGCATGGGCAGTCTTCTTCAAATTCTCAATGACTTGAGTCTTGATCTTCTCCAGGTAGTCTCTCGAGTTGGCATTCTCCATATTCGAAGCACGGACATCAAGCTCATAGTCAGGGCCATAATACTGCAAAATGTTAGAGACGTTTCAATTGGACAAAACATGTAGCTTACCTCATAGTATTCATTGAAAGGCAAGATACGATCCAATTCCTGACCAACTAGAACACCAGTCTCGTAGGCCCATGTTCGAGCGACGTTTCGCATGGTATATCCACCGCCACCAAGTACAAGAGTTGGAAGATTGAAGCTCTTGACATAGGAGACACAATTGGCATGTCCTCTCATGCTGAGATTGAAGCAACCGAGACGATCACCAGACAAGCTATCTCCACCGCATTGCAAGACAACAGCTTCTGGTTGGTAGTAATCCATGACGGCTTTGATGACAGGCTCGAAGATGGACTTGTAGGTCACATCATCAATTCCATCTCGTAGTGGGAAGTTGACAGCATAGTTCTTGCCTTGGCCAACACCAATGTCTCGAAGCTCGCCAGTTCCCGGGAAGTATTCACCATACTTGTGGAATGACACAGTCATAACTCGATCAGTGGTATAGAATGCCTCTTCAACGCCATCTCCATGGTGGACGTCAATATCAATGTAGAGGACTCTCTTCTTGAATCGCAGGAGCTCGATTATACCAAGAACAATGTCTACACCCGTTAGTGGAGGTCAAATAGATCAATTCCACGAACTCACCATTGACATAGCAGAAACCACTTGCTTCACTCTTCTTCGCGTGATGGAGACCTCCAGCCCAGTTGATGGCGATATCGCATTTGCCACGATTCAGACGCGCAGCTCCCTCCATGCTACCACCAGCGCTGATCCCGCAGAACTCGAAAAGCCCGTCGAAGACTGGACAATCGTCACCGACATTGTATTTGCCTTGCTCTTTCGAGAATGAGTCCATATTATCAGGGGTGACCTTTTGAAGAAAGTCGATGTATTCATCAGTGTGGAATTGGGTCATTTCATGACGTGTGGCAGGCTTCGCGCGCTGAAAAGACAGTCAGTAAGAGAACCATGAAGTTGGATCTGTGCGCCCAAGCTGCAGAAATACAAAGAGAAGAAAGCGCGCAGGTCCCCATAGTTATGATCCCAATGGCATCTGTGAAGTTGAGGGAGGTACGGCGCCGTTGCATGTCGCCGGCCTGCAAAGTCGCATTCGACAACCAAGGTCGCGGCATGAATGAGCTCTAGGAGGGGATACAATCCTGCAACAGTATCCGCATAGAAATGAAAAGTCCAAGGGATACTGTCTCCTCGATACTTCGAGGAAGAGGGTCTGCGGAATGGACTGGAGAACTTGGACTTACATAAATCTCCATCTTGTTGTAAGTGCCATAGTTCATGATCAAGCTGTGTGCCAATCGAATTCGATGAGGTTTCATAGGATGACCTGCGACATAGGCGTAGTTTCCAACATCGGAATCGTAGAAGTAAGCCACTCTCTTCTTGCTACTGGGACCATCCCCAGCTGGTGGGTCGAGAGGGGCGAAGGAGGAAGTCATTTTACTTCTCGAAAGAGGTGGGAAACAAGATCAAAATTGCAGAGGTTGTTCAAGAAACGAAGAGTGGATGAAGGGTAGAGGTTCGTCTGTGTGGCAGCATTCGAAGTGTGGTGTTGTCGTTGGGAAGAAAAATTGTCGAGGAAGAGTTGAATAAGAACGCTCGCGGCTGTGGTGAAGTGAAGCTGCAGCTGCGACGGCACTTGCCGAATTGCGGTCAAGGCTGACAATAATGATTCACCTTCAGTTTGCCTACTATGCTAATAAAATATCGTATAAACAATGGCAAGACTCTTTTTGCCCGAAATTGGTACAGAGATGTTCATATAACTATTTAGAAACCGTGCTTTGGTTCCAAACAAATTATTGCTACTCCTGACGTGAACGAGGTCAACGAGGCTGCATGCAAGGCTGAGTCACCTGACCCTTACTAAGCCGAAGTTAGACTTAGTAGACCGCGTCGCCCAAGCTTGCCTTGACATCAACACCAGGAAATTGTGAAGTTGTGGCAACGAAACTGAACGAACGCACGATTCCATACTTCCACATACCTCGAAAACGTCCAGTGTAGATCATCAAGCACGCAAACCCGCCAAGATGGACAGACTGAATAGGATGCTGGCCTCTGCTGGCAACATGGGAGGTCTCAACAGTGCTGCACCAGGATCTGTATGTTGTGATGCTTGCCATCGCATGCAAGCTTCCAAAAACTGATAGAATGATACTTACTTGCAATCTTAGGATAACACTGCTCTCATCGATAATTCCGAAACCGTGTACATTTCTTCCCTTGCGCTACTCAAGATGCTGCGACATGGTAGGGCTGGTGTGCCAATGGAAGTCATGGGCTTGATGCTTGGAGAATTTGTGGATGACTTCACCGTCCGAGTGGTTGATGTGTTTGCTATGCCGCAGAGCGGTACAGGTGTTAGTGTCGAAGCTGTTGATCCGGTCTTTCAAACAAAGATGATGGATATGTTACGGCAAACAGGACGGTAAGCACGAACAATATCGAAGAGTGATTCAAGGCTGACAAGAAGTTCACTATAGACCTGAGACCGTTGTCGGCTGGTACCATTCACATCCTGGTTTCGGCTGCTGGCTTTCGTCAGTCGATATCAATACTCAACAATCCTTCGAGCAACTTACTCCCCGAGCTGTTGCCGTAGTCGTCGATCCTATACAATCTGTTAAGGGCAAGGTCGTGATCGATGCTTTCCGATTGATCAATCCACAATCTCTCATGCTCGGACAAGAGCCCAGACAAAGTACCTCGAACTTGGGTCATCTAAATAAGCCTTCGATTCAAGCTCTTATCCACGGTCTTAACAGACATTACTACAGTATCGGCATCAACTACCGCAAGACTGCACTTGAGGAGAACATGCTGATGAACCTTCACAAGCACGTTTGGACGGAGGGTCTTCAGATGGATGATTTCCGCTTAGAGGGCAGCAAGAACAAGGATAGATTGAAGCAGCTGGTTGGGCTTGCTGATGGTTATGAGAAGAGAGTGAAGGAGGAAACTGAGCTGACAAAGGATCAACTCAAGACGAGGTATGTTGGAAAGGTGGACCCAAAGAAGCATTTGGAAGATGTTGGGCAACAGCTCATTGAAGACAACATCGTGTCAGTGTCGAGACAGATGATCGACAAGGAAGCATCGGCACCAAAAGAGAAGAATGGTGCAAACGGGCACGCAAATGGAGATGCTATGGACCTCGAAGATGAGCTATGATGATATATGGCATTGTAATGTACAATAGGCGTTTGGCATCTTGCTGCATCGATTAGAGATCTCTGCAAGGCGTGGTCGTTGGTTGCATGGGTCGATGAAGATGCATTTGCAATGATCGGGTCATAAGGTGAAAAGACATTCGTCGATAGGTATCAAACTTCCAGAGCACGTGAACATGGCAATTTCTGATGAGTAGCGGGACAACCTCACAGGCTTCTTCTACTGTTTGCAGGAAAACACTATGTACCTAGGTAGGAAGGCCATGTCCTATCATCCGTTGGTGCTGTTCATATTCTCCATGTGGAAATCGCGATTTGCTAGTGCAAACTCTAAAACTTTAACCTCACTTCAACAACCACATCGACCAAACATCTTACACGACCGAACTTCATTTACGAACTTACCCTTTTGGACTATCTGTGCTGCGCGTAATTGTTTATGCCCTTGAAGAAAAAGTTCCAAGACATTTGATTTTGAGGTACTGCTATTTTTTTCATACGATAAAAAATACCATCGAGCATGTCGTTTTCTCATCGAAGCTGTCAGCGCGGTCCACTTGATCCATCGGCATCAGTTACCTTCCTTTCGATGGTGCCTCTGTGTTTTCACGCGTGTCGCTCAAAACTGCGAAGAGCAAGTTTTCAATATCAACCCACACAGGCGAATCTTGTGCGGCTCAAGAGCAACGCATTGCTGTACAACGTGCACTTCTCCATCCCGCTCGCACATTGATCAATGCTGAAGAGCTCCTGGCTGGTCATGTCAACATCTGACATGTAGCTTCGAGGACTAGAAAGTCCCAGCCTCAAGCACTTTTTTCCACGCCGAACTCTACCATCCCGCGGGAGGTTCCAAATTGGGAACACAGTAAGATTGTGTATCGTCCACTCGGACAAAAGGGATAAATTTGATGCCAACAGAGATTTAGGATCCTTTCCTGAAAGAGCGTGTGAGAGGGCGCAAAGATGCACGAGTACCAAACAGGCGAACACTAGTGGGGAAGTTCGTCACTCAGACGCAATATCATTCAAGTCAATCAGTCGAATGTAGCCTTCCCAGAAAAATGATATCTCCAGGCTCTATCAGTAAGCCCAACAATACCTGAAACAACCTCACCAGACGCCTCTCAGCTCTCCTGCAGGAAACAAGGGAATCCGGGAAAAGCTAGATGCTACGGCGAATAAGCATTACCAGGTTTCCAGACAGGTGGACCAAATATGCCGAAAGCCCAGAGCACTGCAGATCCTCATGATCTTTGCTCCGATGCAAATTTTTCACTTCGAGCTCGAGGCACATCGAGTGTGGCCCCAGTCATAAAAATCAATATGGAGGTATGCCCATATCAGAAAAACCTTCCACCAAACTGGGTCAGGTGTGGTGTCACAGAAGTGTGGGCTGGGGAAGCTGGACTTGAATTCCGGGCTGATGATTGCCGAGTGCGTAGTTACGCTTATAGAGGGCACATGGGATCCCAATGGATCCAAGGCGCTGACTTGGATCACATAACTAAGTCGTCCAAATAAGGCTCGGCAACGCCCACGTCAAAGCACACCTGGGTCTCATCTCATGCTACTGTAGAAAACAGCTCTCTCATGGCCCGAGCACTTTGTGGCACAGCCGTCAATCGCCGACTTACATCCCAGGCCTATTTTGTGGATAAGAGACCGACAAAATGGAAGCAACAACACATGAGAAGCTGAATAATTGTCCGAGAAGCTGACCAATCACTAGGATCTGACGAGCGTGCCACTACCAAACGCAAGGTTATCCGACAGCACGGAGGACAATGGGACAAAACTTACATGAAAGTCGTCAAAGGCACTTCCTAATCACTCATCAGTGACCATCCAAGCCAAGCTAGATGGTCCAGTAGAGGAAATGTGGGCTTCAGAGTCCTCGATCCTAGCCATTCTGCAGGAACGATTTGCTGTCCATCTGTAACCTCCTCGAAAAGAATTGCGCGGTCTTCATCACTCCGAGTCCACGGATACGGGTCTTTCGCTTCCCGAAACTACTGAATTCAGAAACTACTTCTCCTGAAAGTTCGTTCTCACGGCACGGAAATTCCAAATCCAAAATCAACCGCCCGAGTGCGTGGTCATTGGCTCACCACATAATCCCGTTAATGGGTCAATTTACAACCGGTTCCGAGTGGCCATGCCGAACCGACACAGAGGTCGCCGGGATCATGACCGCAGCCATCTCTGCATCTCTGGGGCCATTGGAAGGTCGCTCCTTTGACCAGTCGCAGATCGCACAATTCTCTCTCCATGACAGCCACCGCCCCTTTCCCTTTTGTTTGAAGATAGCATGACCCATCATGGATCATGGAAAGTACAATCTAAGATCGACGTTCAATAACTTTTCGAAGCGGATCGAAGATCGGTGGGGAGATTATTCTTTGGTCGCAACTGACGATCGACACAAAGTCAGGCGCACTGAGACAACCCAGGCCAGATTCGCGGGCATATGCTTGGAAGATAGACCGGGCCGCGCGCACTTGCTCCCGCATACGGCCTTGTTCGCTTGAAAAAGGGCCTTGTCCTTCGGGTTGGGACTTCCGAGCTTCCGCTGCCACAGCACGAACTTGCTTTTTGTTCTCCAGCGGTTACATCGGCTCAGTCCAATCGTCCTTGCAAGACGTGGTGGGGGGTTTGCAAATTCCTTTTTGCGGGAGTCAAGTTCCCCCAGCCGTTTGGATCGAAGTGTAGCTCATTTTTAATGTCACATGGCCCCTGCATATCTGATCGAATCAGCGACCAGATTCTAAGCTGTTTGAGGCAGAAGTGAGCAAGTCGGGTTAAAGTTGCGAGAAAGGTGTGCCGATGAAGCAAGGAGCTCTCTCCGGTTCCACTTCGGACCTTTACCGCTTCCAAACACTGTGCTCATTTTTGTTACAATTCTAGAATGATGGATTTACTGTCCACATTGTTAAGCGAGTGCTGTAATGGAGGGCTGTACTAGTGTCAGTGCACAGAATGAAGTCAAGGTGTCTTCATCGTGAGCAATGCGACAACTAGTCTCACCGCTTCAGCATGTTGGGTTTCCTTGTGCTCTTGTATTTAAAAAAATGTTTTATTATCATGAGACGAGAGTCTGATGCGCCATCTGCCGCCCCTAAGTGGGCCACAATCCAGTCAGTTGGGTTTGCGAGACCCAAGGCCGTGGTGGTGGATTTCACCAACACAGGGCACCATTCCGGTTAAAATCCACGGGATCCTTCGGTGGAGCTAGTTTTCGTATACCCAATAACCATGGTAACGCATATCTCCAGCCATACCGCTCTTGCTTCCCATCTACCTGGTCCCCTCCCATGGATGATATCAACCGCGTTATATGCAAGAAGATTTACTTGCGGTTAAGTCTCCGAGGCGTGACCTACGCCCTGTCTTTAAGCTTGCGTCCACACGCTTCGGCTTCTCACGATATGGCCTGCTAACCTGAGCTGATTTGGGGGGTTCTTTTTCATCTGCCGGTGCCTTATAACCCAAGGATTGCCATCGTGTTTTCTTACGCCGAACTGTTTCTCTTTGAGATTCTTTGACAGTGTCATTATGGAAGTCCAGCATATGGAATTTTCGATCGAAGATATTCTCGACATGCATCGACATTGGATCACTAAACTTTATGTCGAGGATGGGAAGACTGATGTGGAGATCGTTGGCCTGCTTCGTGAACGAGGTTTCATCGTCACGTGGGTGTCACCATCAGCTTTTCTTTCATCGCTGACAACAGATCAGATTAACACAAGTCCGTCGTTGTATTGGAGAGTGGACTTTGGTTCAGCGTGAAGTTCCTACTGGGCTAGCAAGGCTGCCTGAAGTATCGTTCGAAGAGGACTGGGAATGGATTCCCTCCCAACGATCGCCAACGCCGTCGCATATTCCCAGCGATCCAGGAATGGTAGATCTCTATTCGAAGAGACCACTTCCTTCCATACCACCTACCTTGTCCCCAGACGAGTCGATCACCGGTGACAATGAAACGAGGAAGCCGCCTACTACAGACCGACTCAAAGTTACATGTCACCATGGCCCTGACGAGGCCCATGAGGTGGAAACCACTTTGTGCCACGTCCCCAACGGACCTACCCCACTCGAGACATACACAGAAGATGAGCAGAGCCATGAAATGCTTGCTCTGGGGCTGGAAAGAGATCGAGTTCCGCGTCCTAGTTATCTAAGGTCAGGGCAGTTGAGGGAGAATGATGGTACAAGGCGTCGAGCGAGGAAGAGGCATGATATCTTACGGAGGAAGAGGAAGTCATGATGTGGTCTTGTGATGTTGGGTTTCATTGTTTGTGCTTGGAAGTAGCTTTATCATTAGGGTGATATCTCTCCTTGGTATGGATATTAGAAATATATTTCTGCTTTAGCATGTTTTCAGGTTCCAGTAGTGTTGTGTGTTACTTTTGGTATTCTAGTTGTAGTCCTTACCTGGGGACTTTTGAAGGGCAGAATAACTTTACAAACTATTTCTCCCCCATAAACTGAAGTAATGCTTGTACAGGAGTACCCTTAGAGTTCTACTCTCATTCGCAGTTCGGTCCAGAATGCATGACACTAACTTTCAACTTCTCTTCACGAGAGTGACTCTGTTGTGACAGAGATTAAGAGTAGAAAGCTCAAAGTCCATGCGGAGTCCAACAATAAGCAATGGATGTGTGATCTCTCCATTTGTAGATTCACTTCTAGTTATGTGCCAAAGTTTGGCAATGCTGCAAAATATTCACCTCAATAGCTTTCCTATCGAAATTATAGATTTATAAATCAAAAAAATCTAGTAAGTACAATTTAACTTAGTAGAAAACTGTGATGTGCAACAAAATCAACTCCCATATAAACTTTGGCAAGACTGCACAATGTTCACCTCCATGATCTCCCTATATATTTATGATTCAAACCCAATTTAGGAGTTACAATTGTAAGCTAGTAAGATATTGTGATGTGCAACAAAGTTGATTCCTATATAAAACTTTGGGACACCGCAGAATATATATCCACCTCAATGACCTCCCTACTGGAATCATACCTAAGTATATTTACAAGTCAAAACTAATATAATAAGTGTACTTGTAAGCTAGTAAAAGATTGCGACATGCAGCAAATTCAACTCTGATGTAATCATAATCAAGATAATCATTGAGATTATAAACTATTTAAAGTTGCGATATGCAACAAGAGAAAACTCTAACAACCCCCCTTTTAATTCTCGCTTGTGGTCACGTGTAGGAAGTGTTTGTCTCCGGACGTTGATAAGCACCTTAGCGTCGACTAGCGCCATATCGAACTATAAAAAGAACTGATTCTCGTTCTAGGACTCCATCTCTTTTACATAACAAAAGTTCAGCAAGCCAGTCTGGTATGTTCGACTTTGGTCCAACCGTTGCTATTGTCCATCAATGCTTACACCGACTCCAGCCACAACCTCTTCATTACCTCAGAGAACCTTCATTCTTCTACAAAGAAAGTCCTCAGGTCCAAGGTACATTTGTTGGCCCAACACTTGCTATTGTCCGTCATACTTACCTCTACTTTAGTTTTCAAAAGTCTCTATCTCACCTCACGACACTTGCTCTCCTCAACGTCAGGATTTGATCACAAGTCCAAAGTATGTTCTTGTTTGATCAAGCCTGCTATTGTCTATTATACTTACATCGACTATAGTCATCACAATGTCTCACTCATCCACAAACACCAACCCTCTCTCCAACCCTTCCCTGGCTCTGTTCGGCTACCTGTTCGACTGCTCGCTCTTAGAGGGTGATCAACATCGCCTTCAACATGAGTATACCATGTCAGTCGAAGAGCGTGCTGCCGTCAAGAAGCACTTGTCAGAGACGTTTCGCGCAATGGTCGATACCGCAACAGAGATGCTGCAGAACAATTGCGTTTGTACCACTTGTGGAGAGCGCCCTTTACAATCTGGAAGTCGTCATTGCAACCTCACTGGTGAGGCCGAGGAACTTTGGGAGGAGCTGGTTGAGAAGGTCATTGGTTAGTATTGTATTTCTTGTTCCTGTTTTGCGACTTTTGCCTGTCATATGTTGGGATTCGATTTGGGAATTTTAATTGAACCTATGTTAACATATGGTTCTAGCTATTGAGGGACAACTTTACAAGGTCGATCTTGGTCACATCTCTGACCTGAAGCCAATGTTTGAGGGTGTCCAAGCAGCTTACAATGCTAGTAAAGTTGCACGCGACTGTGCTAGACAAAACAACTAGGTCAATGTCTGGAATAGGATTGGGACTTTTGAGGCGCATAAGTCGGGCGGAAATCTGGGACATTGAGAGGAGTTTGGAGTTTGGAGTGATAGAGAATTGGGAATGACAATCATTTTCTTTTACAATGCATTGCCTTTGCAGTTTGCATCCATAAAATGCAAATAACATCAAACTACACTAAATCTTTGCTTTGTGCCAATGTTTCCTTCATTTCTCAAATGTGATGTCCCGTTTTCTGCATTCTCTAGGTAAAATGCTAATATCATGAATTCACACCAGGAATTTGCCTTGCAACAGTGCATTTTGCATTAGCACCATGCTTTCCCACTAACAATCGCATGCACAGCAAGGATCCGTCTCGCATTGTGCTTGCCTATTTCTGAATTAGCAAGTCTTTTGGATGTCCCACACTCAGATGCAACATTGATCAACTAGATGTCCGATTTCTAGGCCGAACATTAAGAGAGAAGAAAGCAAACCCTCAATATCCTACTTTCTCAAACAACATAAGACTATTGAAAATCCTTATTTGAAGTCAAGTATTAACACAAAGAAAAGTTATCCCTCAATGTTCCATCCTCTGCTCTGACATATCCCCTCTAAATGTATTGTCCTTGTTTTGAAATCTAAAAAATACTCACTGATCAGCGGTAGGTAATGCACCACAATTATCACAATAATCTGCATCAAAACGAGGACAACATCCTTGGCGCGGACTCAACACATGACTTGCTGCTGAGGAGACGAGGAGGGCGAAGATGATGGTGTGGGCTGTGAAGCGCATTTTGAAATTGATGGAGGAGTGAGGATCGCTGAGCGAAGATGAATTGAGGTAGAAACAAAGACGAGAGTTCTTTTCGGGTATACAGAGGAAGAGAACAATTGGATCTTATGAAGGATTCGATATTGAAACTAAATATTTAGAAGGGCGCAGTCGAGCCTTTTTGTAGTTTCAAGTAAAACATATTTCACGTAACTTTAAGCAGGAATCCTCGAATCAAATGCGCAACGAGAATTGAATAAGCTTGGCAAGCAAGTGGCGATAATTCGAAAGATCACTTGATAACTTCCCCTCTCATTCAATCTATTTGAGTTACAGGAAGTACTGACAACACAGCTACTGTTCTCGTCTGTTGAAGTACCGAGCTAAGACACGAGACCGTTGAATCTGCAGCAGCCCGGAAACAAGACTTGGCTGACCCCGAAAGTGACACAATGCAAGGGAAATATGTCTCTCATGCGTAAAATACATGGTCCGTAGGATTTCCATGATATCATAATATTATTGTACAGCTGTGCTTTCGTACACAGTGACTGACATCTCTCAGCCTTTACATTACACATTCGGCATCGCTATGCGCGATTCCGTTCCGAGAGAAGAGAGATGCGACCTAGCGCTCATGAGATCAGAAAATGTTCAATGTACAAAGAATGCTCTCACATGCACTCCAGATCCAAATTACCACCCGTCCTCCCACGCGAAAATGGGATTTATTTTCCTGGGCCGCCGAACCAGCCTGTGAACCCTGTCTTCATGGCTTTTGTTGCTTCCTCTTTGGCTTTCTCTTCTAGAAGCGCTTCTTCCTTTAACCACTTCTCGCCATTTTCTCGAATCTCTCTTTCTAGGAGTTCGTAATTGCGCTGACCACGTTCTCGGGCTTGGTCTTGGAGCATTTTGCCTTGGGCGAAAGCTTCGGCGGGTGTCTGCTCAGTGGGGTCCATCATCATGCTTTGATGCTTGATTCCGAGCGCATTTCCTAAGAAGCCGACGCCTGAGTGCTTTGGTCGCTTCTTCTTCTCTTCTTCTATTTGTTCCTGGAACTTCTTTCGCGCGATAGCTTCGCGCTTCGCGAACTCGGTAGGAATATGTTGGCCTTCGAAAGAGGCGATTGCTTTTCGTACATCGGAGAAGGCCATTGTGTGGATGTATTCGAGGAATGGGATGAGGGACACGAGCTCTTTATCTTGGACATCGCCCTCCCAAGGCTTAAGAACGATTGCATTTTCGGGCTGTTTGCTGACGTGCTCTGGTTTGGTATCTAGGATGATGACCTTGGACAGATCGCGGTTGAGGTATGAGAGATCCTGCTCCTGTCAGTCCCCGTACTTTCGGCGGTCCTTAGAAGCTTACCTTGACATATTGTCCATTTTCGTACTTTGTCGCCTCGCGGAACAATGGCCAAGTGACAATATGATACGGATCCAATTTTCGAATTACAGGTTCAGCCATTCCCCAAGGCTGGCTGGTGAAAATCACAAGCTCGTAGTATTGACTTAGGTATCGCAAGAAATAATCAACTCCAGGTCGCTTGGCCATCCTCCATCCATGTTCTCTGGTCCACTCGCTGTGAATGAGTAGGTCCTCCATACTAAGAACCAATGTATAGGGGCGTTCAAAGATGGGGTCGGGATCTGGCAAGAGTTTCTTGAAAGCAGGTTCGTGGTAATAACTCAATTGATCCCCCAATCGAGCTTTCGCACGATTCCACATCAACCCTACCGCCCACCCCGACGGTGCATCAGGGTGTGCAGTTTCTTCCTCATCACTTTCCCAATTGCGGCCGAGATATAGGACTCCAGTGACGGAGAGACCAGTGAACATGGCGTACATGTAATTTGCGAATCGTAATCGCTTTCTTTCCGACGATGAGACATACGCTGATGCTGGGAGTTCTCCCCGCCCTCGGCGTCCGCCAGACGACCCAGGCTCCTCGGCCTCAGTTAAATTCAGTGGAGTGATATTTGACTTGGTGCTCCCCGTAGTTTCGTATTCCAATGTTGAAGGAATGCCTCGAGTAAGGTCAGGTAAAGGCTGGGTATGTGACTGAGATTCTGCGGGATCAATGGCAGATGGTGAGGTCGATTGAGGTGCGGTATTCTCCGAGGGTGAAGCAGATCCGAATTCGTCTTGCTTTTCAGAGAAGCTTGGGTCTTCCCCTTTCCTTGGCGCCGAATTTATGCTCCCAGCTCCTTGCCCTTCTGATTGTGGTGTAGTATTGCGCTCTGGTGATGCGCTTGGGCTGGCTTCGTCTTGCTGCTTCGAGTACTCAGGTCTGCCAGATTTATCACTACTCCTAGCCCCTTGTTGCGGTGCTGTGAAAGCTGCAGAAGCGCCTGCCGGTCTCAATGGTGGAGGGGCACCCGGTGGTCTTGAATAATCTATCGGTTTCTTCTGTCCATGGTTTGGCTTGTTATGCCGTGCCATAGACCGACTCCATACTGTCGATGAGGCAATGCGGAAAACCGCAGGTGTCGCCCTCAATCCTGGTGTCTGCAATGAACGAATGGCTGCTTTTGACAACATATTGAAAGAAGGATATAAATGCCGCAGGTAGCTTCAATCAAGAAGATACACTGAATGGAGTGGAAGAAAGGATACTTCGCAGCGTCATGAAGCTTCTGAGCTCACTTTGAGAAATATTTCCTAGCCCGGCCGCATTGGACACTAGATACCAATCGGGTAAAGCGGATTTGAGAACATCATATGATATTTTCGAAGCCGCAAAACCTTCTTCTTTCTTCAACAAAGTTGATCACTCACAAATTTGACTTGACCTTTATCCTACCAAAGTGGAAGATTGAGCTGAAACAGTTGAGGAGAAGAACGATGGACTTAAGAATGGAGCGCCTATAGACGACCAGTGTTTATTCACTGGTCGTCGCTGTGGCCACTCGATCCCGTTGTTCATCTACAAATCCACCATTACAAAGAATTATCGTCGCCCCTTCCTCCTAGTTGGTATCTTTCGATAGTTTCAATCGCATTCTACGATCTGACCTTGTCAGCAAGGCCCAATCCTTCTCCATAAATCGTTGAATCCCTCTGTCCCTGTGCACGAGACCACCTACCCCACCTTCGCCACAACTCCCTCGAGCCTTCACAATGGTCAAACGAGGCATTCGAAGAGACCTTGCTATACGCAGGGCTGCGACTGATGTTGCAGTTGCTGTGCAGTCCTCGTCGGGCGCATTGAATCACGAAATCCTCCCGTCGTCCTTGATCAATAGTCTTGCGACCACTCCTCAATCATCTACTATCTCCTCGGCCATTACGTCTGCCATTACATCTGCCATTCCCTCCGCTTATCCTTCTGACGACGAAGAAGAGATTGTTGCCAGTTTCAAGAAGCCCTTCCCATTTCTTCGTCTCCCAGCCGAAATCCGAACCAAGATTTATGCCATCGCCTTTTCCCATTGCCCATCCACAATTGACCTCGATCCCTCAACCTTTCGATTGTTCAGCCGGACACAAGTCTTCTCCCTCTTCAATGTGTCTCGGCAGATTTACCGCGAAGCTTCGCATCACTTCTTCAGCACCCATACCTTCCGAATATTCCCCACATACCCTGGAAAATTCTTCAAGACGAAGAAGCCACTTCTCGCACGACTACCTGCGCGTTACCGTACATCAATCACAACATTGGAGTTACGAATCGGTCCAGGATGGAACAATCCTCCTCGTGGCTGGGTTATAAATGATGCTCTAGGACTGGGTGATTGCACAAGTGCTCGAGTGCTTAAGGTCTTCGTGGAATGCGATCCTAGTGATGGTGTTTTCGCAGGATTTCGTAAAAGTGAGGGGTTCTACGAGGAGTTCTGTGCTGAGCTGTTGGATGGCGTGTTGAAGAAGGTTCCAACTATCAAAGTAGTGGAATTTGATGCTTACAGCTCGGTAAACAGAACTGGTGATATGATGGCTGGGTTGGGGAAAGTTGTTGCTGAGCACAAACAAGTAGTCGCCTGGGGACCGGAGAGAGGCTGGGACCGTGAAAGCGATCAAGTTTGGCTTGATGCTGTTTTGATGCATGGAGCAGGTCAAAGGCTAAGCAAAACCATTGCAGTTTTTCGATCAGCAGACGCCAATGCGAAACATGCTTGCGAAGAGCTTTCTGGGGCCCAATGGGCTTGATCAGGCCAGCTGTTTAAGGAAAACTTAGTCAAAGGAAATTGTATGTATCTGTGTCCTGATGCTGAATCGAAATTGCTTGTGAGCTATTGTGACAGAACAATGGCTGATAAAAGTCCTGAGATTGATCGAGCCCAAGCTCCTGCTTTTCATGAATGAAATGCCTGTCCGATGACTCTCATATATGACATGCTAGTGCGCTAAGGGATACATCCTCTGCAACGGATTCATCCTGTAGTAATATCTATATTTTCGTCTTCATTGCTGGGGACCCCTCCAAAATGCTCAAGATATTCTCTTTGATAACCTGCCAACTCCCTCCCTGCTTCCAGGGTCAACCTACACCAGGCATCAAAATAGTTCATCGCCAGCCAAGCTTCGAAGTTTGGATGTGCCAACGCAAAGTCAAGCTTGTCACACGCAATAGGAACTCCTTCATAGACCTGATACTTCGGATGATCATCCCATGGACCCGCCAACCTTCCATCTGCGTCTGAATACATGCATTTCCAGCAATCAATCCCTTGACGTGTGTTTAACACACAATGGTACCCGCTAGGAGTAACGTAGAGAGCCCAGTATCCGCACCCTTGCTGATCGGACAGGAAAGTAACGACGTATCCACCGCCATCATTGTCGTCCTCGGGCTTACACTTGATGAGGGACAGGCCAAGATAAAAGAAGTCGCCACCCAAGAACATGCGTTCCATAAGCTCTGTCGATGCCATCAGTGTCAGGAACGCTTTTGGAAACTCGATTCCAACACGTCTCCCCGACTCAACAAGCGCATCTAAGTTTTCTTTTGGTATTCCCGCATCAGGCAACCGCGGCCAAGTATTGTAATCTATTGTGGCCTGATCCATAGGTTGTAGCCATTGCAAGTCGCCGTTGAGTTCGAGATAATCGAGGTGGACTAAAGCATCTGGACCGTAGATTCGATTCGTACTTCGCATGTGTCCTCTGGAAATAGAGTTGAAAGGTTTCATCGAGTCTCCGAACCGGGCTGCTATGAATTTCGCATTTTTCTTCAGAGCTTGTCTTGGTCTGAGTCGATCGAGGGAGAGAGCGTATGTGCGTCTGTCGACACGCGCGAAATTGTCTATGTCGGATGAGGCCACGAGAGTGACAAACTGGACGATGATCTCGTTGGGGAGCCGAGAATAAGACATGGCAAATCAATTGGATATACCAAGAGAGAGAGTAATGGTGATTTGAAGTGAAGACGATAGAGAAAGGAGGTCTTCTGGCGGGGTTGTAACCTAGAATAAGCGAGGTCTAATACCTCTCCGTTCTAAAAATAGCATTATGTTTTGAGACAAACATGCTGATGAAATCAAATTAAGCTTGCTATCCATTATATCAGAGCTCAAGTCAAAATTCAAATTGAACCAGATTTCTAACAGAAAGAGATGAGTCACGTGACTGTTAAGTCACGCTTCCAGCAGTATATTAGTCTCCAGTACTTCTCAGAGCGATTAGCTTTTTCAAATGTTGTAAAATGAAGGTCTCATGGTATCGAAGAGATATTATTCTTTTCGCGGCTGTGTATTGGCTGCACTGTGGACGAAGCACATTTCCTCTATGTACGTTCTTCTGTCAATATGTTTCTAGTCCTTCAGTCACATATCTTATAGGAGCTTCATTCTGACTTCCAAGTCTTCCCAACATATCTAGTGATCCTTTGTAAGTATAGTCTATAGGTCTAAAGAGGGGATCTGATCTTTCACCGCTTTCAAAGATGACACTCAAGAAATCATTCATTTCCATACCGCGGAGGAAACTCAGCAAGCTGAACTCGCTGCTGGGTATCTAACCTTGCCTAAGTTCGACCCAAATCGAGTCGTAGATAGTCAACGGTCCTTGAAAATCTTGAAGCAGCTTCCTGTCTCCTCAGGAGATCAAAATTTTGAGATGAGAAAAAAAGTTATTGATGTCTACGACAAAGAAAATGCTAACAGTGTTCTTCATTCTCAACATGCACTTATTGATGTGGACTCGGATGAGACATATGCTTTGATCAATGTGTGGTCTTTCTATGTTGGACAAGGAAATTGGGACTGCCCAAGAAGTCCATCTATGGAAGAGATCTTGTTTCCTGAGCGAGAGCCAGATGTTGTGGTTAAGCATCAGACAACTGAAGAGACTCCTTTGCTCTACAGGTATATGACGAATCGTTGACGAATCGTCGTGAAGAACTGAAAGATGCTGAAAAGACACAATCCCGCTACAGGCTGCCTAGACGGATGTGGAGTTTGCAATACTGAAGACCATAACTTCAGTGAATGCCAGCAACGAGGAACATCGCATACGCCACAGCATATGCTACTTGCCAGCAGAAATGGTTTGCCTCCAGCTGCCTGTGCCTTCCCATACACGGAGATACCCGGCTTTTCAGCCTCGCCATACAAGCCCGTGTCTCCATCCTTTGCACGTGCCAATCCAGAGCGTTGGACATCAGACATATACATCAAGCCAGGCCCTGGCCCTCAGCGACGAGCATGGGTGGATGGAAGAAAGCAAATGGTCAACCCAGACCCACAGCACAATAGCATGAGCATTACATTCGCAAATGGAGGGCAGATGATGACTTATGAGCAATGGGCAGCTATGTCTCCATTCGAGGCAGATCGAGCTGGTGTATCAGGGCAGGGACCAGTGGGGACGTTGGCTGTAGCCAATGTTCCTGTACAGGTGCCGAGACATACAGCACGACAGCGATCTGATGATGCCCTGATGCGTAGGGTTGAGACTTCGGTTGATAGCTCTAGTACGTCTGACTGTATACAACTTACCATCGGGACGAGCTAATAGAAATGCACCTACAGAGCCACCAGGCCCAGTATCACAAGAACTTCCGCTGCCCACAGCCCGCCCTCTGATAGCAGCTCCTCGGTCCTTTAAGACGGGCAAGCCAGATACGCCATCGGGATTTAAAGGTGATCAGACACTGGATGCGGCTCTAGCCCGTTTAACTATGACACCAGCAAATGCATCCTCACGAGCCTCGGTAGAAAGCGGAGCAATAGCACAAATGCCAGGACCAGTCCACGAGTTCCAGTTACCGCAAGAAGACATGCCAGCACAAGGCATTAGCCTCTCGCAAATGCCAGGTCGCGTTCACGCTTTCCAGCCACCACCGCAAGAAGGCGTGCCAGCACAAAGCTTTGGAATGCCTCAAATGCCGGGTCCAGTCCACGCCATGCAGCCACCATCGGAACAGGGCGTCCCAGCACAAGACTACGGCCTACAGCCACAACAGCAGCAAGCCCCATCTCACCCACTCCAGCCTTCACCTTTGATCCGACCCCAAAGCACGCCTTCAGGCATCTACGCATCAGGTACCCCCCGCGTAGCACCGCAAGTTCAAACTTTCGGTGCCTCGCCAGTAGGAACCTATGTTCACGCCCAGCAGACTCAAGCCGCATACACACCGGGCACCCCTAATGTGGCATCGCGAGTTCAAACTCTCGGTGCCCCACTAGTGAGAAATCCTAACCAGGTATGCAACAATTGCGATTCAGTTGGCCATAGATATACCAGCATTGCCCTCAGCCATGTGGAAAGTGTGGAAGTCAGGAGCACAAGAGTGTCGGAGTTCCTAGCTGTCCAGCCATCAAATGCAAAGGTGCCAAGCTACCACAGCACACAGGCGATCAATGCCATGTACTATGCACTTCAAACATATGCACTGGACTAGCACCCCACCCAGCAATGACTTGCAGTCGCCAATGCTGCATGTGCGGCATAACAGGTCACACTGGAGTAAGCTGTGAATTGAATGCTTGCCCTTGCAAGAAGCAGGTACATTTTAGGCAAGTCCATGATGTATGCATCAATAATGCATCCACCAAATACCTATGCAAACAGCATTGCCAGAACTGTGGCTGGGGTGGCCACACAGCAGTTGGGTGTCCATACACGAAAGTCGACTGCCGCCCGCCAAACAGCAGATTTTGGTACTTGCTCTGTGAGAACGGCCATGCGCCGTTTCAGCTAGGCGAGCATGGATGCCCGACTTGCAGGCAGCTCAAGCGCGGTAGAGAGGATGATGACGATGCCAGCAGGAAGAAGCCAAGATACCGTGATGTATCTAGCATTGGCCGCTACAGCCGTAGCTCGCGGTATTAGCAAAAGCAATGAATATAGCCGTCTAGAAACCAAGTGTAAAATAACTGGTACATGTTCATCGTGCGTGCTGCAGCCTGCAAGATTAATCCGTCGAGTTTATAGTTGTATTTCGGCAACGCTACTGTATATCCGAGAGTTGTGACACGAAGAAAACCTTTAAATAGCCGCATCAACCGCAGAAGGAAAAGCAAGTCGTATTATAAAAAAGAGTTTAACTTCCGTAGTTATCACAGAATTTGTTAATGTTTCAATGATTTTCAGTTACGAAACCAATCTTCCAATTTGGCGCTCGGCAGGCTCGTGAATCAAGCTTTTGCTCGAGTTCTTGCACAATATACGAACACATCTTATCCGACTTTCGGATTCTTTCATACAGGACGATAGGCATCATTTCCAGATGGGGCTCAGGTACCTGGGCCATGTGTCAATTTACTGCCGATGATGATAGGTACTGAAGGGAAAGCAGATCTTGAAACTAGTCTAGAAATCCAAGAAGAACTCAGTAAGCATTTTTCATATGAGCAGAGCTACCTACGAGATGTTCTATGCTAGAAACAAGACATCGAACCCAACGTGTCTGAAACTCTTCCTCACCTCCTCTTCAACGCCTCGTTGAACCTACTATGGCATGGAAAGCACCAGAACGAGATCACTTCCGACGAAGAGCCGTTGTTGGAACCAATGGATATCGGAGTTCCAACTGACTTTGCTTCCGAGGAAGCTATCCCGGGAGAAACGGCAGTCGATGGACTGGAAACCGGATGGTTGGCTAAGCAAATTCTATTTGTTGATGTGGGCCAGTGGAGGAGACCGATAGGATTGATTTTGGTGTGAAGTGTGATTACGCTTTAATGGACGAGAACAATTTGAGGGTTTTTGTAGAGAAGATCGCAAGGGAGGTTGAGCGGATTGTTAGACAGTTGCAAGTGGCGCTGTGATCATGTAGGCTCGAGCTGTGACCCTATTCCTTAGATGCCATCTTTTCTCTTTTGTTTTGCTATGTAAGTCGACTTTTTGGTATAAAGTTCGTCTGGATTCGGTATGCTTGAAATGCTTTTTACTCTCTGTTTGCCAAGATAGGGAGCATTCTATTTCATCTCATGAAATCTGAATGTACGTGAGATTCACCGGACTTTTCTGAACGTGAACTCGTCGCTGGATGGGTATTTCGCGCTAAGAATAGTACTAGCGCCGTTGTCTGCTTCTTGAGCTTGTAAACATACCAAACTCCGTCTTCTTTTGCGATCCACATCCTCATCCCCAGAGCATCTTTCATTCGCAACGCAGCAATGTCTACAATCATGCCGCAAAATGATCCGGTGGTCTTTACCGCGCGCGGTCTTCGACTCGATACCCGCCTCAACGTCCTTAGGCAGGAATTTCATTGCCACTCAGCTATATTAAAGTTGAAGTCAAACTTCTTCTTCAAGTTCATGGACTCCCCTGATAAGGTCTTGAACAACGAAGGTCCTTTCAAATACGAATGGGTCTCGAGCATTGACGATGATGGTACCTGGGGCTTAGTCGCTGCTGATCCTAGCAAGGTTTGTTTACTTGTTGCTCAATTGAGGGCTCTGTCTTGATTTTCGATGAAGGATCCTTTACTGACGTAAGTTATAGGACAAGCTCCTCGCTTCCTGGACTTTGAAGGGAGACACAAACGATGAAATTAAGGCTTTTATGAATCTCCTCTACGCTATGTATTGTGCAACGGTGCCAGATGAGGATCTTCCGTGAGACACTGCAGAAGAAGATTGGTGAGTCGTGCCGATGCATGTTAGCGGCGAACAGTAGATTACACTTGTTCTTGCTCTCTCAGATTAAGAAATCTTGAGTCATTGCGGACTGAGCTCTTCTCTTCCTCTACTGTACATAGCTCATAGATAAATGAAGTCTACTTGAAAAATTAGATGCAAACATACCCCGAAGCTTTCAGTTTCTCTGCAACCACTAAAATCACCAACAAGGCCCCACTTTCACTTTATACCCTTCAATGAAGATTGCAACTACGTCGAAGCACTCCCAGGTCCAGTGAATGAGCAATCTCCATTCAATCTCGACCTAGTATAGTCTCTCGATCTTTTATCTTGAATTTTTTTCTTGCGACCAGAAAGCGCCTCACGGTTCGAACCGTCCCATAACCTGCACCACAATCTCACCATCCCAACTCCAAACATCTTATTAACCGTCCAGCCCAAACCTCCTTTCCCCTCTCAACACTTTTATTTCCCAAAGAACTCCAACTCAAACAACCAGGAACTTCCGGGATAACACTTCTTACAACCCAATCTTTGCGATACTCTCCAGCTTCTCAACCCAAACTTTTAAGCGAGGCAGTCGCTGTACACTAAAGGAGAACCACGTGACCAAGTTTCCATAAATGAGACACCTCCTGGTATAGGGTTTAGTCCCTCAAGTTGAGCGGCAAATCCTCAAAATCTTACTAAGGGTAACGTGAGATTGGATTAGGATATGTTGGCAAGGGAAAAAAACAAGATTATGGGACAAGGAGGAGACTGTCACCGTAGACGAAGCTGGATGGTAGACCTGTCATGACAATCCACCGAAAAGCCCTGAAAGAATATGGATTTTCAGACCATCTCAAACACTGGTCTCCTGATCACTTGTCACATGAGTAACATTTGAACCCCAAACAAAGAATTGGCTGACAATACACTCTATTCCAATATGCCAAACCTAATTGTAGAATACACAGAAAGCCATGAACTCATCTTAAAACCTACTCCCCTCCACCACAGCCGCAAAGCCCGCGAATAAGCCCAAAGAGAGACGAACCCGCCAGGCCGATACTTATAAAAAAAGAAACAAAAGCGAAATAGCAAAACCAATCCACACCACATTCTCCCTCGGTATAACTCTCCTCGCGACTCCCGTCCTCGCCGTACCCGTACTTCCCGATCCACCCACCGTGATCGTGATACCCGTCGCAGCCGTCGTCTTACTCGGCGATGACCCTTGACCACCAGCGTTACCACTCGTAGAAGCCGGCGAGGTATTCGCCCCAGCAGTATTCGTAGCGCCATACCCCGTCATAGCAGGCGAGGGACTCGCAACATAGCCTGAGCCTGAAGTCGGACCTCCATTCCCCGTTGGCGCCAAAGTAAACACCGTAACCGGTTTCTCGACATCTCCCACATCCGCACAGAAATTTTCCAAATTCGACAACGCACTATAAGCCGGAGGCGCAGCCGTAGAAGCATAGTTGGCACAGGACTCCACCGCATTGTCGAAGATATTTGGGGACCAGATCGTGCTTGAGTAGCAGAGACATTTGGCTTGAGCCGTAGGCTGCAGGGCCGTGAAGCTCGGTGTGATGTTCGCGCAGATGGCGAGGGCTGAGCCGAGGACTTGGCAGGCGGCGCATTGTTGGAGGATTTGAGCTGGGGATGTTGTTGTGGGTGGTGCGGCGCTGGGATCTTCGGGCCAGGTTGGGGTGCGGAGCTCGAGGACGTTGGGATTGATGAGGTGAGCGGCGGTATTGGTGAGGGGTAAAAGGAGGAGATATTGTGGTCGCATGGTTGTATGTTTATGGTTATTTTGAAGCTGCTTTGATGTAAAGGCTCGAATGTGATTTGTGAGTGCAATGCAGATGTTGAGGGGGAAATCTTCGAGCTACGAGAGAGATGCAGAGAGATATCAGACGGGAAAGAACCTGTCAAGAGGCGGACCTACCTATTCAGTCAGTCCAAATTCAAAGTAAAGATCATACCTGAGGAATGTCGAGCAAAACAAGAAAGTGCGTTCCATGTACTAGCGTACCAACGTCGAACACGCAAAGGAAGCCGTTCTGATTTCTGGACCCGAATCGAGCCATCCAACGGCCCCATACTTATTATCATTCCTACTAACCATAATGCGGAATGGTAGATCCCACTTTGCAGAAGCCTGCTCCCTACACAAGAAAGGCACTGGTGAAGAACTCGATTCCTGATATCTCTAATATCCACCATCCACCATCCACCCAATCGGGTCCCACCCGAATCGAAAGTATGTACAACACAAAGGTATTTCCATAATTGTACCCATCTTCGCCTCTTAATCCTGCTTGAAGCGACGCCATAACCAATGCCAGGGTGTAGCAAAAACGCGCCAAACAGATACAAACAAACCCTCTCATCTATCATCTCACGTAACTCATTCCCCAAGCCATCTCATCCATCCGTGCGGTAAAACTTCTTGTACAACAAATGTAAGAAGAGATTAACATTAAGCCTCATGCCACCCTCAAAGAGATCCATGTACTGGTGATTGGCGAACTGCGCAGCCAGCAGCGAGTCCATAGGTACTTGAGCACTAGCACCGGGAATTTGAATGCTTCCTCTGCTACCTTCGATAAAGAAAATTCCGACTTCGTCGCAAGAGATTGTGAGGTTGATCTTGTCCCATTCTCGATCATTGTAGCCCTTCCACGACACAAGAACTCCTTTATCGGACAGAGTCCTGGCGGAGTACTTGAAGGAGCCGAATTTGGGTTTGCGACCAGATCGTTCGAGTTCTCGTTCGTGGTTGTATTGTTTCGAAAATGGCATAAGGAACCGCTTTTTCCTGTATATTGTTAGCTTAAATCTCCGCAGTAACACAATTGGACCTACCCTTTCTTCTGCAGCGTCATCATAGCTTGCTCGATGTAGTTATCATAGCTCTTTCTTTGAGATTCCAACCACTCAGCTTTCTCATTCAAGTTAGCCAAGGTGAGTTTGACGCCTTCAAGTTCCCGTTGTCGCTGTACACGTCTTCGACTCTTTGTACGAATATCCAAGGCGATGGCGTTCAGCACATCTTGGTAGAAGTTATGCCGCGAGATTCGTCCCATTTGCTCTAGTCTCATAATGTTCTCCAACGCTGTCCGCTTTAGCTCCTTGTAGGACATCGATTTGATGTCTACCAAGGTGTTGGCATCCGAGTAAGCACCTCGAGTATTGCTCCCCTGGGAGAACTCCTCACGTAGTAGAGAGTGCCACTTCATGTCGTCCTCACGGGAGATTGGTCGGACAAGAATATCCATGAGGTTGGGACCAGACTGCACTCGAATAATGTACAATACGCATCGCTTGGTTTCCATGAAGAGTGCTTTCACCTCTGCCTCTGGATCTTCAATGTCGTGTAGCTTGGGGTTGAGCGTCATGTTGATTTCACCAGAGGTGACTCCTAGCATCTCTGTCTCGTTGTTCTTCGCGCTTCCCAGCTCTTGCACGATTTCTCGAAGCATATCATCTCGGTTAGGGCAAACGTGGGGCAGATCATTGGCAATGAGATTGTGGATGGCGAAAATGTCTCCCATCTTGATGTACAGTGTTGGTTTGGTTCGGGAGTAGAGGTCATTGAATTCGTCAATGTCGAAGGTGTTTTCTGCATCAGGTACTGAGATTATGTTGGAGTAGATTTCGGTTATCCGTTGAATGGCATCTCCAATGTATGCATTCAGAGGCTGTAGGTAAATGTTCTCGCCACCGAACAATCTGCCAGATGCAACCTGGCTGAGCACTTTTGCTACCTCACCAAGATTGCGCTTTTGAAGCGGGGTTAATTGTTTTTCAACAACACCCATGGTCTCTGGCGCTGTGAGGGCAGGCTGTAAATAGAACTTCCATAACCAGTTGCCGACAACCTGAAGAAGATGTTCTTGGCGTTCTCGAGGGAAATGTTGGCAGAGAGCCTCGAAAATCTGTTGGCATACGAAGCGCATACCGTACGGAAGCTTGTGGACAAGACCTTCAAGAGCAAGAAGAAACTGATCGGAGATCTCTCTAAGATCTCGTAAGTGATCGATGAACATATCTCGAGTCTCAGGATCTTTAATGGCAACTTCTCGAGGAATATCTAAAGGACGCTGGCTAGGTCTTCCAGTTCGAAGTTCTTCATTGTTGATGGCTGAACGGTATATTTGCATTGGATCGCTCTCGAGGTCGAGAGCTGGGTCTTCGATGATATTGGCATGAATCAGTGGACCAAGCAATTCTCGGAGGTATTTTCTATCTCTTGGCGATCGAGTGTAGTTGGCAAGGAGTTTCGACCAGAAGAAGTTGCCTCGCAGATATTCTTGTATTGACTTCGTGCCATCGACTTCTTCCTTTGCTGATCTAGAGATCAGCTTGAGCAGATAATATTCTTCTCGTCGCTTTTGCGCATAGCCGAAAAGTCCCATCATCAAGGTCTCAATTCGCTTACAGTCCTTCTCAGCAGTGCCTTGTTCCCGTATCCGCTTGAAGAGACGGGCCAAGTATTGTGGTTGAGTCTGGAGGGTGAAGAAGAGTTGCTGATATGATTCAAGCTTCTTTCTCGAGTTCTTGTTCAAAGCTTTTAAATCGAACTGATTACCTGAGACCATGGTGGTATTGACAAGCAGGTTACCGGAATGGCCACCAAAATTCTTTTGATGCTTCACAACCTCATCAAGAGTGATTTTGTTCTTTACCAGAAGAGCAATCTTGATGTCCAATTGGTCGATGTACTGCTCAGCCATCTCATTTTGTCGGACTTGCTGGACAACAGTCTTGCGAAGACGCTCGAACTCGATTTCTTCGTTGAAGTCAAAGTCACTGTCGTTCAGTAAATGGACGAAATTCTTGACGGTGTTGACGGGTGGGTTCTTTCCAGTAGTCAAGCTCTTGTAAGCTTCACCTTGGAGTCGGCCGCGTACGAAGCTCTGAATCTTGACAACCTTCTCCATGTTCTCCTTGAAAAACCGTTGCTTCTCAGCAAATTGAGCTCGGACCAAGCACGCCTTAGCCGCTGCTTGAATGGCAATGATTGATTCTTCCTCGGCTTCCAGCTCCGAAAGCACCATTCCAACATCATTGCGAAGAAGGACGGCACGAGATAGAGCCTGCAGTTGAACGATCACAGGGGTGTGAGAATGAAGGTCGTCCAGAAGTGCTCCAACATGTTGTCTCTGGAGGTACGCTCTCGCCAATGCTTGTAGCTTCGTGATCTTGGTGGTCTCTGAAGAAAGAGCTTCGTAATCAGCCGCGACTCTTTTCCGTAAGAGCATTCCTCGGATAGCATGTTGCAGCTCCAATATCGATGGTTCCTCCTGCTGTAGAGCAGCTAATATCGTTTCAACACCGCGACGGGTGGAAGCAGCTCGGATGAAGCCCTGTAGTGTTGCTATTTGGTGAGAATGCGACTTCAACTCTTTCTTCGTCGTCTGAATATCACTTCTCACCAGGTTTCCTCTCGCTACTGCTTGTATGGCTCTCCAAATAGGAGCTGATGCTTGAAGAGCTTCTTTTGTACGAGACATCTGATTTCTGGTCAGCATGGCCCTTGCGAAAGCCTGTATAGAACTGATCGAATATTCTTCTGTCCAAAGATCTTCGTGGTCATCAGCGACAAGTTTTCTGAGTAACATGCCCCTGATTGCGGCTTGCAACTCCTTGACCGGCCCAGCTGAAGTCTTTGCCTCTTTTTGTTGTGCAACGTGAGATCTCCGAGCGAGAAAGCCTCGAATGTTGGCTTGAATCTCTCGTACTGCGGTGCCTTCATGGCGCAATTCAGACTTCATCATGCGTACCTCGTCGCGGGCTTTCTTCGCCCGGATCAGATTCTGTAGCTTGAGCACATCTCCCTCTCTACTCTTCCAGAACGATTCCCTATTCGATTGCCGTTGGCGTACGAAGAATCCACGAATGTTACTTTGTAGGTTGACAGCAAATCGGCGCATATTCAGACGGTATTCCGCGATTTGTCGTGAAAAGTCACCTCGTATCCTAGATTGAAGCTCCACCAGCATCTCCTCGGAATCCCATAATCTTTGCATACTATCTCCGAGTCGCATTCGCATAGCTGCACCACGAATTTGTGCTTGAAGGTCGATGATAGCAAGCTCGTTCTCACCAAGTTCTCGATCGATGCGATCCTCCTCGCTTTCAACTGGTTCTGGTTCTGGAGTAGGTTCCACGCCAAAGTCCGCACCCATATTTCCAAAACTTGGCATGTTAACTCCAGCTCTGTCCAATCCCTTCTGCATCTCTTCAAGTTCATGGTGCTCGAATTCCAATTGACCGACCAGATTTCCAATCCTGAAATCCACAATGCCTTTCCTGAACAACAGCCAACTCAATGCATGTATGCAATATATGACTTTTGGTATGTTTTTCTTCTCGTAGAGGTCAATGAGTTCGAATCGAAAGAGATCTGGTAGTTCGACTTCGGCAAGGAATCGAAAGAAGACAGCAATGTTGTCGGAATGTCGAAATTGGAGTTTAGGATGTCGGAATATGCGAATCCGCCGTTCAGGGTATAGAGCATCGACGACTTCCGCCAGAGTGACACCATCTCTCAAGGCTTCTTCCATTTGAACGATTGGAGGGATGGGACGTTTTAAAATATCCTCAATCCATTCTTTGGCTTCACCAATATGGCACAGGTACTCGTACGCTTGTAGGAACTGTCTCTGCTTGTCCATCCAATTTCGTCCTTCCCAGCCATACCCATTACTCCGGTTCAGAGCAACTGTCTTCCCAGGCCGGGCTGTATCACTTCTTTGCAGTCTTCGTCGTCCATGAAGACCCACCACCTCTTGAGCAGGGCTTGTGATACTAAAATCATCAGGAGAAGTCGACTCGGCAAATTTTGACAGTGTACGCAATTGACTCGTAGATGATCGTTGCAGCTGTTGCAGATCAGGAGCTGTCAAGGGACTGTGTGGATGCTGAGCTGTTTGACTCCGTGCATGGCCTGGCCGATTGATGGAGTCGGCGCGACTGAGAAGCATGGCTTGGGGCCGGAATAGGGAGTTCTTTGTCGGCGAGGTTGGCGAATATTCTGGAGATGTCTTTGCAATATCCATACTCTGCCCACGCGTATGGTATCCCGTCTTTATGTAGCTAGGAGGTGAGGCTGCGGGAGGTTGTGGAAGGGGCCGTAGAGATTGTCGTCCGTTCTTATATGCAGTATCAGGACTCGATTCTGGAGTCGCCAGGGGGCTCCTTCGGTCGAGCGCTGATGGAGCCATAGCGGTCGCCTCACTGACTCCTCTTTTGTGCCCGGAGTATCCGCTCGATGCTGTCGATGAAAGCGTGCTGGTACGACTGAGCTCAAAGGCACCAGAAGAATTCGAATACGCCGTTGAGGCCGTAGATGCGTTCGAGGGCTGGCGCTTGTTTGGAGAATAATAATCTGCAGGTTGTGTTTGTCGAAGAGGATGTCGGTACGACATCACGGCGTCTTGGTGTGGAATTCGATGCTGGTCGTCGCCGGTTCAAAGGTAGACACCATCTATGTCGTACACATTTGTTGAGGCCGCCTCGCAGGCCGCGCGAAAAGGTCTGTCTGCCGAAGCTATGTATTGTACGTGAAGCTGAATTCGTGGGTGGTGATCGCGCGATTATCGGTTTGTTTACTTTGGCTCGAATGCGAAGCGCACAGCGCGAGAGGCAAGAGATGATGGCGATGATGAAATGACGATTGTTGAAGAAGGAAGAATGTGCAGATACAGCCAGCCACGGATATTATTATGAGTAGGGGAGGCAGATAGTGCACGAGGTTGGGGGGATGGGTTGGACAGCGGGGTTTTCCTTGGGCCGTGTGTGTCGTGCAAGGCAAGGATTGAGGACGAGTTTTCGTTTACTTTCGTTGCTGGGCGGCAACCGGAGTATCGCGTAAAGCCGCCGGCAGTGACGATTGACTTTACTTTACTTCACTTGGACCTCACTTTGACAACTTCGATATATTATGATGATGAACTGATCTTGATATTCAGACATCTTATGGCGAATTGCGATACTGCATACTCTGACACTTCCCACAACATGCGACACTTGGATTTAGGCAATTGCCGACCTAAGGAGTTACATAACGCCAATTCTCTTGCCATAATCATGAGTACTTCAAAACATCAACTTTCTCTTCTCTTGTTATGAACCAGATGTTGACGCGTGCGATAGTCCTGTGTTAGGTGGAACATAGCCAAGGCGAGTCAAATCGATCACGATATTCTTTCTCAAGTGCAACAATGTGCGACCTATGATGTTCAGCTCGACCCCCGAGTCAATCTGTTGACCAGGGTCTTCTGATGGCTGAGACAATATGTTTAACGGGATCCGATCGATCAATGGCATTGTTCGTTATGAGGACCGGATGACCAGGAAATGGCTACATCCTCGTTGCCGATGCTCGAAAAGGTTCAAATAAGAAGTCTGTCCTGAGGTCGTATATATTGGCATGGCGACATTTAACAACCTGCTGTAGGTAATTATCGCTTCTGATAGAGCGACTTTGTTGCAGAAGATAGACAATCTTTCGAAAGTGATCGACGAGTCGTAGAATTATGAGGTGGGTGAGCATATATCTCTGCTGGCAGAGGTCAAGGGAAATAACAAGCAAACGTAGACAGCATCAAACTCATCATCATTCTGTCATATGCACAAAGACTAGCAGATCAACTTTACTTACTTGTCAATTCACCAAGTAATGGCCTGCTCAGCCTGGGCCTGCTGAACTACCACTTTGCACAGGCACGTGACCAGCCCTCGGCCAAACCTTCTTGGCTTAGCCTCGGTTTAGCGTGTCCGCTCCACCCAAAAATTAAAACTCGAGAAATTTTGCAATCTTCTTTCCCTTCTTATTTGGGAGAAGGAAACTTCAACCCGTCGACTGTACATTTTCACCACGTACTTTACGCGTCGACTAATTCCTTTGCTTCTTTACAATACTCTCTCGATCTCGCTTTTCCCTCTGTCAAGATGCCTCACACAAATGGCGACTCGAAGGGCCCCGCGTTCTTTGGCCACTCCCTCCCCCACACAGATGCCCTCAAGGTCCTCGATCAGTACGAGGAACGCGATGGGCTCGATATCAAGTCTTTGCTTGACTCCAAGAGACATGGTGGTCTAACTTACAATGATATCCTCGTGCTTCCAGGTTACATTGGCTTTGCTGCCTCCGAAGTCGTTCTCGAGTCTCCAGTCACAAAGCGCATTACTCTCAAGACTCCCTTTGTCTCCTCCCCCATGGACACTGTTACCGAACACGAAATGGCTATCCACATGGCATTACAAGGAGGTCTGGGTGTTATTCACCACAATTGCTCTGCTGATGAGCAAGCCGAGATGGTTCAGAAGGTGAAGAGATTTGAAAACGGATTCATCCTTGACCCAGTCGTCCTCAGCCGCAATACCACAGTCGGCGAAGTCAAGGCTTTGAAGGAGAAATGGGGCTTTGGTGGTTTCCCAGTCACTGGTAAGCCTCCTCCACTTCTCTCTACAAACTTCCATGATTATCACCAAACTCAAATAACTTTCGTTCATCCGTATTGACCGCAAGGTCGTGGGGAGAAAACTATGCTCTTTATGAAAGAAGTCTCAAACACTTAATCTTTGAACCCTCGAGTTCATCAGTCGCTGACTTGGCACAGAGAACGGAAAGCTAGGATCGAAGCTCATCGGCATTGTCACGAACCGAGATATTCAATTTGAAGAAGACGTTGAACAACCTGTCTCCTCTGTTATGGTTACGGACCTCGTTACCGCTGCTGCAGGCACCACTCTTCTCGAAGCAAATGCCATTCTCGCCAAGTCGAAAAAGGGCAAGCTTCCAATTGTTGATGCCAATGGCAATCTCGTTTCCATGATTTCTCGTTCCGATTTGACCAAGAACCTCCACTTCCCCCTTGCTTCTAAGCTTCCTGACTCCAAGCAACTCATCTGCGCTGCTGCCATTGGGACCCGACCAGAGGATAAGATTCGTCTACAAAAGTTGGTCGATGCTGGTTTGGATATTGTCGTCTTGGATAGCAGTCAAGGAAACAGCATGTACCAAATCGAGATGGTCAAGTGGGTCAAGGAGAAATTCCCTGGCCTGGACGTCATCGGTGGTAACGTTGTTACCCGCGAGCAAGCCGCATCTCTGATCGTCGCTGGCGTTGACGGTCTCCGCATTGGAATGGGTAGCGGCAGTGCCTGCATCACCCAAGAAGTCATGGCAGTCGGCAGACCCCAAGCTGCGGCTGTCTACAACGTATCCTCCTTCGCTGCTAGGTTCGGCGTCCCCTGTATGGCAGACGGTGGCATCCAAAATGTAGGTCACATAGTCAAGGGCCTCGCCCTCGGTGCCACAACCATCATGATGGGCGGCCTCCTCGCCGGTACCACCGAGTCCCCAGGAACTTCCTTCGTCAGCCGCGAGGGTAAGCTCGTCAAGGCCTACCGCGGAATGGGCAGTATCGACGCCATGCAAGACAAGAAAGCCGGGTCCGGCGGCAAGGACAGCCAAAAGAACAACGCTGGCACTGCCCGCTACTTCTCCGAAGGCGACAGCGTTCTGGTAGCCCAAGGAGTGTCAGGTGCCGTAGCCCACCGAGGCTCAGTCACCAAATTCGTTCCTTATCTGGCAGCTGGCCTCAAACACTCCCTGCAAGACTGCGGACAAAAGAGCCTAGCAGAGCTACACGAGAGTGTCGCAAACGGATCCACTAGATTCGAGCTCAGGACCGCTAGCGCTCAACTGGAGGGTGGTGTCAATATGGAGAGTTACGAGAAGAAGCTTTATGCTTAGATTAGATAGATGAGGTAGATGCTACACAAACAGAAATTCTGGTGGGTTTTCTGCTGGTGCTGGGAGTTTGGGCGACGGGGTGAGAAAATTGCGGTTTGGTATCTTTGGAATTAGAATGAATTGAGCTGTGTGCATTTTCAACTATGTCTCCGGCTTTTTGTGATGTGAATCTGTGATTTCTCCGTGCAGGATTTTCTTTGGCGTGGCTTTCTCGGAGTGGTGGGTAGAGATGGGATGTTGTTGGGATGTAAGTCGTGTATCGAGAGTAACATCTCATAATTCCTAGATCGTCCTGTTAAATTGTCACGGATGATTATGAGATTGCAGAGGTCGAAATACTAGTGTAGAATGACTCGGTCTAGAGGTCAAGAAGTAGCATTCTCCTGAGAGTTCAAGCATCGATAAAATGCTGTTAGTTTGTTGTGTGTATCTTGGTCGACATAGAGTATTACACACCTGCAAACGCTGGTCTCACGTTGAACAAGATGGGGAGGCTTAGGTACATCTACAAGTTCTTTTTTGGTAGCTATCTAGCGAGAACAATAAGCAATACACATTTGCACAGCAAAATCACATCCACCCGCATTCCAAACACACCTACTTCTGCTCCTCATCCTTCTTCACCTCCACTTCCTGCAACTCAGCGTCATCAAACGTGTCCTCCTCTCTATACACATTCTCATAGACGTTATCAACACACATCTCTTTCTCCTCTTCCTCGTCTTCATCCTCAACATTGCCAGACCCAATCTTGACAGTTGAGACTCCCCTTCTGGTGTGCTCGTAATCGGCGCGGAGAAAGAATGGATGACTTTCAAGAAGTTGCTTTCCGGCGCAGATGAATCCCATCGGGGTTTCTGAGATATCTTGGCCCTTGCGTCGAACGCTCAGCCATTCAGCCATGAACGCCAGAGGTCTTCGGGTGATAATCTTTCGTTCAACGGGGGCAACAATGGGAAGCTCCTTAGTCGAGACATTGCTGTGGACTTCGTCTTCGTCACCTAGGTCGTCATCGTCGCCTACATCGGTTTCGTCGCCAATGTCATCGACCTCCGCCTCCTCAAGCTTGCCACTTTCGTCCTTGACGCCGAGGAAATTCAACACATGGGTGTACTCCTGATAATCGAAGTACAGTCGTCCAGCAAATATGCCAAGCTCAATGCGTAGCCACATTGGAGCCTCCCAATCAGCAGGTAAGGCAGGTACCGTGTAATATTTCAAATCATTGAAATGAAGCATCTTTCGAGTGATCGGAGCAGCATAGGTGAGAAGATATGTGGCCCTGGAAGGGGAATCCTTCACGATGCGAAGGAGAAGTTCAGCTTCCTCTGGAATGACAATCATGGCAATTTCAGAAACGGGACTCCAAAGAATCCAGTTAACGGGTCTCTGTTCAAGTTCGTTAGCATTATCGGAGCCATCAAGAGTAGCGACTTACCTGAAATTGATCGTAGATCCGAGCTGTAGGGACATTGACAGTTCTCGTGAACTCCTTGGTAATGTACAATCTGTTCGAGGTGGCGTCAAGATTGATGGGATGCTTCTTGCCAAGTGCGAACATCTTGATAGAGGCGAAAGCTGGCATATAAGCTGCTGAATCAGCTGCCATTCGACCTGTCGTGGCGAAACTGATGATATCGCGATGAAGACCAGGAAACCCGTATGGATTGTAGTGAACAGGCTTCTGAACTTCACGCACAGCTTCAACTTCATACGCAACTTCTCGCTCTTGCTCGACCTCCTGCAAAGCGGAACCATGGACTGCATTACCAGTATCTTTGAAGCCTTTGCGTCTTTGCTTCAGCTCCTTCGCGAAAGCCGCGATAGTTGAAGATTGATTATCAGAAGTTGTGACGCTCTTGGCCTTTGTGTTAGGTCCATATAACTGCTCAAGGGTCTGCTGTTCCACTTGGCGCAAGGACTGCAGACAGGACTCGCGATCATCTTCGTCGGTCAAGAATTTAGGATTGTCGAGGACGGCTTGAGTTCGGCGGCAAAAGTCATTACCCTGAGAGAAGAACAGTGGTTGAAGTTGCTCGATACCACTGCAAGTTTGTTCTATGAGCCAACAGATGACATCAAATGAGTCAATCTTGTCGCCATCTCCTTTCTTCCTCAGATCGAGAATACTGTGGTGAACTTCAGGAGGCGCAAAGAATGTGATTGACTGGGTTGTTCCGAGTTGGCGAAGTCTCATCGCAGCTGTTTGAATTAGTGGTGTTCATGTGGATTCATCTATGAGTATCCATACCTTGTACAGTGGCGTCTTTCGTCTGTCCGAGACCCAAAGTTAATGCACCTCGAGCATCACTTGGCATCTTCAAATCGGTGCCTCTTGTATGCGCTTCATCTAGATACACCAGTACACTACTCAAATCATCGGCAAAAGGAGTGGCCAAGAGTGGGACTTGATGTCCTTGCCGGTAGAGAACGATGGGCTTGTTACCTTTATCAAAGAAGACTGCAGCTGGTGCATCTTCGTAGATATCAAGCCAAGCCTTCACTAAACTCAAGTTGTCCATCTCTAAGATCTGAGCTCCAGCGTCAATAAGAACTCGAATTCTCTCCTTCGTAATCATGTGAAGAAGTAGCTGCTCGGAGACATGCCGACCTTGAGAATTTGCCGCCAAGATGTATTTTCGATTCCTGGGGTGCAGAAGATAAGTCAGGACCTCGGCATTTGTATGAGAAAGACCATCCAGATCGTGTTGATTGATTGTCAGAGGAAGCATTCTCTTCCAATCATTGGTGCCACTGAATCCAGTAGTCAACGGCTGTCTACTGCTTGACGATGCGCCGTGTCCTCCCTGAGCTTGGAACAAAGGAATGTCCCAACCAGAAGCTTGAAGCTTGACCTGGAACTGTTTGGCATGCTTCGGGAAGACAAAGTTGTTAAGAAAATAGTCAACAACAACAACATTGTATCGGAGATGTTGCCATACTTCCTTCAGCTGGGCATCGTCGTCGACATTAATCGCACTCCATTCTCTGAGCGAGTCGGGAAGTTTTGAAGCATACACGAAGCGGTCGTAAACCTGGGACGGGTCGTCAGATTTGAGAACATGCTCAAGTGCTTGGCGGAGATGGGACAGGTTCAAGCCATCGTAATAGAATGCCAGACACGTAAATAGGATTGCGACATCAGGATGACCCCACTCTGCCTGATCACTTGGCGTTCCTTTTGCGTGGTATGGAACTGCAATAGGGTCACGATTTGGGTGTAATCCATACTGAACGTTCCAGCGCTTCTTCAGAGACATTAGGAGAATCCTATGGACCAACAGGCCCCGCAGAAGGTAAACAACTCGTCGAAATGCTGGTTTCTCTGGGAACATCGCACTGATCGACTGCAAAACTTCGGGCTCGACTTTGGCTTGGGAAATGAACGCTTTGATGGAAGCTCGGTCCTGCTTGGTACATTCAACAGGTAATATGGTAGTTCGACCGTGATAAACATCGTCTACTAGACGATATATCAACTCATCCTCGACATCCTTCCGCAGAAAGAACAAGACCGGGAAGCCACCTTGTCCTCGGGGAATTACCTCAATGCTGCGGGGGTATGCACGCTGGAGGTTGTGCAAATGCCCATTCACTTGACTTAGAAGTGCTTCGGCAACCTCCCAACGATGAGGATGTCCGTCGACGGTCTTTTGTGAGCCAGATGGATAGATCAACTGGGTTCGGAGCGCCAGAATGTTGTCACACTCATCAAGCACGTCACGACATCGTTGAGACAACCAGTTCTGCACTTTGATCATGGACGATGCTTCGAGAGTTCGACCGTCTGATAGTCGCTGCAAGCCTGACAACATAAACGAGAGAATGTGTTCAGGTAGAGTGAGCATAATGCCTCTGGACTTTTGCATGTCTTTGTTTAGCTTCAAAAACAACTCGATAGTCGATGATTTCGTCGGGGTTTTGCGCGAGAAAGGAACATGTCGAAGTTCCCTACCAAGCAATCCGCCAAGGCGAGCATGCATTGATTGACCAGTCTGAAGAAGCAATGGCTTCGGCACCACAATTCTGTGAAGATTTGTGCCATCAGCCAAGACAGCTGCAGCCATAGGTATGATGCAGGACGTTTTGCCTATAAGAGATTAGCATCTGAAAAACCATAGGAAACCAAGAAAGGGTCCTTACCTTGGCCCATATTCATCTGTAGCACCGAATTTGATCTCGAATTCGGCGATATAGTAGCCATAGCAACATCTACTTGTCCGGCCCGAATGAGGATATTGGCATCAATCTCTAGAAGCAGCCAGTCCGGGCGGTCTGACGGGTTCCAATTGTCGTGACCGACATTTTGCTGTTCTTCAGACATTCTCTGGTTATTCGACTTCTGATACGCCTCGTCTATGCGTCTCAATCGTTGGACAGAGGTAATTGCGAGGGCGTACTGGATAATTGTCTCCCTCATACCACTACCAAATGCAACTGTAGCAGTTGAACGCAAGGACTCGAGGAGTGCTGACGGAGCTGTTACTGGCCAGAGTCCACCTAGCTGAAGCCATTGAGCAGGGTATCCTTGTTCAAAAGACTGCTGTAAATCACCCAGATGTGTTTGTATATGCTGGACTGCCTGTGCCATTTGTTGCTGCAAGTTCGATGCAGGCGTGAGATGTTGCTGTTGAGGTGGGTGGAGCTGATACATTGCCCGCAAAGCCTTGAGACTCTCGCTGAGATCATTTGCATATTGCTGCTCAACCATGGATCTAGATCGACTTGCTAGAGTAATAATGCGATCAAGGTCCGACAATTCTTGCGACTCCTTGTACGGCTGGTTCTTCGATACCTGTAACATTGCTGACTTGTCGCTTGTCTTGGCTGGTCCTGCATTATGGTGGCGAAGCTCTTGCAAGGGACGAGAGCTAGCAAAAAGGTTTTGTTTTCCACGAGGCCCGGAGAAGTCTGCTCCATGTCGAGAACGAATCGTAGATTGACACAACAGATTTTGAAGCGAGGGAAACTCGGTCTTGTGAGTTTGCACCGGAAATACGGGTGCGTCAATGTTATCATCGACCGGTAGGGGATAACTATGCGCTAGCTGTGTGCGATGCATGTTCAAGATGCGTTGAACCCAGGAGATGAAGTCTGAAAGCTCCAAATTCTGGAATAGTCGCAGCCATTCAGGACGAATCGTGACCAGGGCCTGCTCGACATCGACCAAGACCGGTTCAGAGAATCCCTTGAACTGAGGCTCAGCACAAGGCCATTGCTTGAGAAGCAACTCTGCAATAGATTTGGCATCGCTCTCACGCTTTTTCTCATGTGCCAATTCGAGGGCTTCGAATTTCTTCCTCTGCTTGTGGCTGAGAATCAGCTGGAATGTAGATCGCTCATCGCCAGGGTAGGGAACGAGATGAGGCTTCATCAGTTGGACAAGATAATCCACGCGAGGGACTTGGTTCTGTCGGAACTGCGTGTACACAGGCCATTTGGGAGGGGCAAGGACTTTCAACTCGGAGAATACCACGAAGGCTATTAGCACTTTCAAGGCATCCATGTTCGCATCATGCCGGAAAGCCATGCAAGCAAACAGAAACATGAGTTTGTACATTTCTGAAGTGCTTGAATCCCGGCAGAGATTTACCAAAGAGCCCCATTCAGCGCCGAGCTCTACGTTGAGGACATCACTCAAGAGGATTTTCTCAAAGCGACCAGTATGACCTCCAATTATGGTCCAACCTTGCAATAGTCCTGCAAGGTCACTGGTGGTTGGGAACGAAGCAGGCCACGTGCACAACAAATTGACACACTCGGACACGTTAGCTCTGCTATGGCTTGGTCTCCAACGATCTCTCGATTGGTACTTCTGGTCCTGAATTGACACCGGCTCAATCCAGTAGTCCGATCGTTGATACAATTGTCGACGAGCCAGACCACGCAAAGTTAGATGTTGATCTCCTTTTGGCTCAAGAGCTTGCAGTTCAATCTTTTCAGAAGAGAATGTAGACAGCTCATCCGACTTAGCCAAGATTTCGTTGATGATAGTTCTGAATCCATCATGCTGGATTCCAGTCGTCAGTTGGGCATCCCAGGAGGTCGTCTGCATCACTTTCAGCTCCTTCGGATAATATTCTCTTCGGGGGGTGAGGTGTGCAATGTAGATCAAAGCACGGTGAGGACCGACGGTGATAGGAGACCAAGGTTGACAATACCCGGATCTCAAACAATGCATCGCCTCTTCGGTCCCAGTTCGACCAGTAAGGGGATCTGGCATGAAGGAAGAGGTGTAAGCGTGGAGTTGTGCCTTCAGGTAAAGCAATCTAGGCTCCGCAGGACATTCTAGTCTCTTGAGAACATCGTTAATGATGTATCTCGCATAATCTGCGTTGTTCTCAACGCGGACTTTAACATGTTGGCCATTGCGTGTATACATCATCTGACCCATAGGCACAAGAATAATCCGTTGCCGTTGAGGGGTCGAAGTAATGTATCGAGTGATAGGATCATGGTTGATCACTACCTCCCTTAACACAAGCTTCGAATCAAGGCCGTACCATGTGCCCGCATCTTGATTGAGATCTACCTCTGCCTTCAATTGTGGAGATTCCAGCAGATTCCGGCTGTTCACAGAGAATGAAAGAGCTAAGCGACGCAGCTCAACAGTGAGCCTGCCTTGCTCTGGTTGGAAAACAGTCAAGTGTCGACGCTCTTCGAAGAAATCAAATGTCTGCGCCACACGATAAAACAACGGGGAGTGTGGATCTACCAATCTTGAGACTCGACCGGCATTGCGACGTTGTGCAACTCGTGTTCTGATGTTGACCTGCCAATTAATCTCCTTGGATTTCCACATATGTGCGCTAGGACGAATCTCGATGATGCCACTCGTGACATCCAGCCAATGGACACATTGCTCTAAGAGAGAAGATGGGAGATCGAAGCGAGTAGCTGTACCAAACACATGAGGAGGGACAAGTTCAAGGACTCTTTGCTCATAAACGGCTCGAACAACCATTTGCCCATTTCGAAAACCCAGATGGATCTGGTGATTGTTCATGATTCTGGCTAGCATGTAGGTCATGCCCGGCATCGAAGATGGATATGTCTGCAAGCTCTCCGTGCCAAATAGCTGCTGCAACACCAATTCTTGTCTCCATTCCGGGGGCAACTTTCCAATTGGGCAGTGGTCAACCAACAAATGCCCCTCAAGGAGATGAAAGTGAACGGTCTGTTGAGCACTAAAAGAGGTAGCGCCGACTATTAATTGAACCCACCATTGATTTTGTTCGGGCATGAAGTCGGCGTTCGAGAATCGTCTCTTTTGCTCTCCTTGCATGTCTGGCCAAATTGAGGTGATCGCTGCAGGCAAGCATGCCTGGTCAGCCAGAAGAGCTGATTTCAGGATGTTGCGTAATCGGTGTGCCATCTTGAAGTCGCGCATTAGAGCATTCTTCAGAACGGTGGGTAAAGACGCAGGGTCAGCAACCAGATTGTCTTGCAGGGTGATAGACGCATGAATGTAGCTTGTAAGTCCTTCGGAGCTGAGAAGAATTCGGTTGTCCTCATGAACGCTGAATGTGCGCCTGCAGAGTAAAGCAGCCCAGAACAAATATCGCGAGCAGCTCCTTAAAGTAGCTGCATCTTTGGCGTTCCAAAGATCTGCGCGCAACGCGCGAGTCCAACTTGATGTGATCTCTCTTGCTTTTAGTAGTAGGTCTGCTGCGCCTCCACGAAAGTCCGCACTGAACTCAAACAACCACTGTCCGATAGTGATTAGCATCTCCATAGAGTTAGTTTCTCGCCAGTTGAAGGAAATTCCATCCAGGCGATGGTCGAGTTGTTCCAACAGCCTTGTGCAGAAGTCTTCATCTGATGCAACGCTGTGGACGGTACCGAGTGGATTATCTGCACTTGCTGGTCCAGCTTGCAAGGTCAAGAAATTGATCAGAGCAGCACTAGCCTCAGTGCTAAAGTTTATGTTTGTAGATCCCAGCTCGACGAGGACTTGGAGCCAGCGTCGACTCTTTCCTGAGAAAAGAGATTGAAATGACAAATACTCGTGCACATTGAGGCCAGGTGGGCATTTGCTTTGGCCCGCGGTGACTTCGTATGTAGTCGGACCCTTAGCATCGGCAGCGAAGACAGGTGATGAATTCAGAGCAGCAAAAGGCGAGTTTGATGGTAAAGTCAACTGGCAGTGATTCGCAAATCTCGGACGTTGTGAGACGCGCCCAGGCCAGAATTTCCAATGGACATCCCAATATCCTAATTTCAACCCATTCGGGAGACATATGTCTTCTAAGCCAACTGGGAATGTAGGATGTGCGTAATGTGTAGTCAGGAAAGACTTTGTCGTCGAAGCAAGCGTGAAGTTTGATGACCTGTACAGCATTAGATTCCCGTTTCAACTACGAAAATGAAAGCGGTAAGGTGGACAGTAACTTACATATACTTATTGTACGGAACGAGTTCAGAGTAGTCCCGGAGGAGAACTCGTGGCTCTTGAGTTGCAGGTTCTGATAGCAATGCCAGAGTGCTGAGGATCCGCCAGGTTGTATCTCGATACGTAGCGAGTGCTCCTGGACACAAAAGCTCGAAAACAACAACCTTGGCTTGAACAACATCGGCAGGCAACGGATGTTCATGCGCTAACATATTGAAGCGAGCGACTTTGCGTTCAAGAATGCACTTTCTGCAATCGCGTCTGTGAGTCCTCACGCCATATTCGTCAGTATCATACACGCATGAGGCCTCTGAAGCCCGTTGAACGAGCAGGTTGAATTCAGCCGTCTTCTGGCGCCATTGTTCCTCCTTGTTTTGACGCTTGTCCTCGGCATCAATGTCGATATCAGCGTGAAGGCTCTGAAGACGACCGGTGTCGGACTCATTATAATAGCGTTCTGCGAAGCAGCCTTTTGCTGGGTCGACAAAAATAGTTGTTTTGGAACCATTACTGAGAGCGTGTCGCTCCCTCAGATATGTGCGGATGGTAAAGAGACGGGTGATGTCCTGGCACTTGGTCAATTGCAACACATCGAGAATGTCTGATGGAAAGCCAGGGTTGAAGTCTTTCAGCAATGGGAAAGATTTCACGGCCGCTTGGTCCATTCGCATCCACGTTTCCATGACATTGAGTATCATCATGCTCATTTGTTCTGGATTGTGCTTGTATGCATCGGCGACCTGGTGGAGATATTTCGCAATCGCCCTGGACGACTCCAAGCATGCCTCATCATTATTCGAATTCGACAGCTGAATTGAATTCTTGGTTTGGAGGTCTGCTTCAAGCTGGGACAATCGAAAGTATTGTTCTGCGAATGCAGTACCAGCTTTAGTGGCTGCTCGCATCTTTTTAAAGTCCATTGGAAGAGTGTAAATCGAGTGTGGCTGAGAAGGAAAACTTGGGCGTTCCAGCGCAATCTGATTTAGATACACTCCGCTGTTGGGGAGGGTCAGGACTAAATGTCGCTCGTCTGCATATTTTGGTAGAGTTTGAATTGGTCGTTGAATGCGTTTCTTGAAGCTGTCCCACTGCAATTTGATTTGGTTTTCAGCAAATGTTGTTGACTTGGCAAGATCCATCATCAGAGCCTTGAACAATCTCTCGTACTCAGCTTGGAAGATGGGTTTGGCATTTTCCTTGTCGGTTCCGATTTTCACGAGGCGACGACACACTTTGGTCTTCAGAAGGGTGGAATGGTCATGCCCAATCTGAAGAAGCGACTCATCTAGCAGTCGAGATAGTACCAGAATGATGAGGAACTTGTAATGCAATCGTCCAACCTCCCCACCCAAGGTGAGGCTAAGATGTCTCTCGACAGCGACGCGAAGTACCAACCAGAATGGACATCGTCGCCACGGTAGTTGTCCACCTTCGCTCCAGGAGACATCGTCTCTAACACGCTTGCGGAGAATAGGTGGATACACTCGTGTGCCCATGGTCTCAAGTAATGTCATGAGCATCTGAGTAATAAGTGCTGGATCGACCGTATCGCGACTTTCAAATGCAAATGACCCAGCCTTATTCGTGCGAGCAGCGAACCGCTTGATCGACTCCGTGCTAGCCTTCTCAAAGAAAGTCGCAAGTTCTTCTTGGAAGTTAGGGTTTTGGAAATCGGAGAACGACAATGCAACTGCTGAGCCTGGGAAGTCCCATTGAAGTGCAGATTTGGTGGCAAGAACTTCTTCAGAAAGTGGAGATGCTTCGAATGCTTCGAAGATGACATTTTTCTGGCTACAATATGTCAGCACGTACTCTCATTAATTGAGGTATCACCAAGAGAATGGAGTCAAGCTTACTTTTGGAGATCTCTACGAACCAATAAGCCAGCATTCTGTTGTCCAACATGAATGATGATCATATCTTTACCATCCAATTCTTGGAAAGCTCTCAGCAGTGCAGCTCGAGTCAATCTTCCACCAGCGTTAACGCGCGTGCACGTATCGAGAGATCGGCGCAGGGACTGCAACGCGTCGAAGTGAGCATTATCTGGAAGACTGCATAGCTTGTTGGTAGCATCGCGAACACGTTCAATGATCGCGCGCTCGATGATGTCGATTCTTGAATCTTGGTGACCAGGAGGACGTGGGTTGAGGACCAGATGGTTGAACAGCGACTCGTAGAGAGGCGCAGTTGCAGCCGCCATGGTGACTGGAAAGGTAGTTCAGCACAATATATTGTTACACTGATCTTTCGCGGGTGTCAAGGTGATGAAGAAGGGTGTTGAGATCGAGGCTGAAACCATCAAGTTTGAGTGGGTTGGGTTGGGGATAAAATCTCTCGGGAAGGGTGAGAGATTTAAAGCACACAACTACAACCCCCACACGGCTGAATGGAAACTCCACGATCGAGGTGATAGTGATCTTGGAAGGTGGATGACGCGGGGTTGAAAGTTTCGAGTTGAGGTGGTTGTAAACAAAAGCGAAAATCGCCTCGAGGCTGCAGCCTCCCGAGCTAAGTCTTAGGGAGCTTTGCCCTTGCCCAGTCCAAAGGTTACGATCGCCAGCACAGAGCTGGACATTCGCATCGGTAAAATTTCTGTAAGGCGGACTGACTTCGAGCCTTGGGATAATGTACAAGAGACTTTCGTGGGCATCCGGAGCCGACAGGCAAGCAATGCCTTCCTGAGAGCATGGAGGTGAAACAACCTCACCATGCAGAGTCCCGTCGGTAGGTTGGTGGCAGGTTCCTTTCTTGTTCTTGTAGGGGTCACTAGATGGCTGCTTACTTTGATAGGTGAGCGTTTGCAGCGCTCTGCCTCACACTCTCTCATCATCGGTCTTGCTCATGACTTCATGAAACCAAGGGTCCTGGCTCAAGGTTTGTTCCCTTCTTGCCCCTGTGGAGATGTGAATGACTACTGACTTTTGACAGGCTTCTCTGGTAGTGAGAATTGGCTGCTGCTTGAGGTAGAGTGAACACTACCCTTCGTTCATCATGACTCCATGTCGCTGAGTTTGGCATGACATTCACTTGGCACTATCATTCTCTTATGGCAACTGATGCCTGCCATACGAGTTTGAGTGTTTAGGCATGTCAAGCCGGAGCTTACTCACCGGATATGTGCATAATACCCTCGAGTCTCGATCGAGGTAAGGTGATGAACTGGCTTTGCCTGTATCTTGGTTGACTGCAAATAGGCTGGTGCCATGCACGATGAAGTCTCGATGTGGGGTGCCGTCGATCATATCTGAGATATGACCACCTCCCTCGACAGAGAAATAGCCGCCTATGTTATCAAACACCTATACACTATCAGCTAGGCGGAGACATATGAGAGATAACAGACAAGCTACCAGGGAGAAAGTCAAAGAAAGGCAGAAGGATTTAGGAGTACAGAAGTAGGTGGAGGTTAGGAAGAGGAATGGATTTGAGAAGAGGAGGAGTTGGGAAGTGGAGAGGTAGGTGGAGTTGAGTGGAGGGAAGGTTGAGAAGAGGTGAGGTTTTATATTCGTTTAACGGGGGCGGGCAGGGACCAAGTGTGCAGGAATGGCATTCACCATCTTTGATTCTTTCCTTCACTGGTTTGGGGTAGATTCAATAAGATACCTAGGTAGGAAGAGAGTCAGATGGAGTAGTGAAAGGTAAGAGGTAGTTGAGTAGGTGTTTGCTTGTGCATGGGTCCCGACATAAGTCCAAAAATAATGACTTGTCAGATCACTAACAGGTCAGAAAGAGATTCTTGAGGATTTGTGAGAAACTACCGAATTGTACTTTTTTCTCTTATCTATGAGTGAAGTCCAACGCTCTGTTTCGTTCCCAAATGTTCGGTCCCAGTTCACCCGATGTCTACCTAGTTCTCTCATTTATATACGTCCACGAACTTCAATTCAGAAGACGAATCACCTCAGACTCCTAGCAGCCTTGAAGATAGTCCCCTCGATTATACCCACCCACTTCTTCGCATTTCCGTAATCTTTATCATCGATCGCCTCCACAAGTCCCGGAAATACTGCTCCAGCATACCCAGTCCAGAGTCCTGGCGCAAAAATAACATGCTTGAACCATGGTCTGCCATCCAAACCCTTCTCATGCAGGAACTGTCTTTCCAAGAATTTGTACTTCTTGTTAACAACAGCGATGTGATGCCTCAGCCTCCACTTTTCGATGACTCGCCACCAAGAGAGATCTTCCTCTGCGTGAGTAGCGAGCTTCGCGGCCCAAGCATCGTGGCGCTTGGCTGCACGGAGAAGCTTGTTAGCGGCAATGTGGAGGACCTTGAACGAGAGCTTAAGATCATCCACGTCTCCTTTTGGCAATGATGGAGTTGGTCGAGCACGAGCTTCGATGGAAAACTCATCAGCAGACTCTCCAGACATAAGGGCGTCGAGCTTGGACTCGACATTGGAAATGTATCCTTGAATTGCGATGGCGTAGTCTGTTGCGTTGAGAGGTACAACAGGCGCTTCAGCAAGTCTAGCCGTGAACAAGGCCCAGAGCTTTGCCACTGTAGCATGGTAATGGAAGCCTGGGTCACCATATGTAGCCATCCAATGGTAGGAATCGTAGTTGGAGTGATAATGATAGACAGCTCCTCCAGTATCTCCTGGCGCTTCGGGGTCAGGTCCGAATCCCATGTCGATAGAAGGAACACCGGCAAAGTCTTGGAATGCGGTAAAATCAGAACCAGATCCCATGGTGCTGATGTGGCCATTCCAGAGGTCACCAACAGTCTGCCCTTCCACAGTTTGATTTGGTGATTGAACCAAGTCAGCAATCTCGTACATCACCTTGTTGAGAAGGGGAGATGCGGCTGCTTTAAAGATTGGACCAACAGTCGCAACATCGACATTGACATATGCAACGTTGGCTGCGGAGAGCCAAGGAATGTATTCTTCAACCCATTCGGTCGAGCCAATTAGGCCATACTCCTCACCATCCCAGCTGGCGAAGACAATTGTACGAAGTGGCTTCCAGCCCTTTGCCAAAGCAGCACCGAAAGATCGGATGACTTCGTTCAATGCTGCTGAACCAGAGTTAGGATCACCAGCACCACCAGCGACCCAAGCATCACGGTGGTTGCCAATGACGATAACTTCGTTTGACAGTGTGCCATTGATGACACCAATCACATTCCAAAGAGGCGTAGTAACATATTCTTGCTCATTGACGAGGTTGAGAACAAGATGGTCAGGTGAAGGCCCAACATTATATTCGACTCCTTTGTACTTGAGGCCCAGGTTCTCTTGCCAAGCTTTGTTGAAACTCTTCGGTGATGGACCATGACCATTCAGGGTCTTTAATATGGGTATAGCTTCGGCGTATGAGAGGGGAATGGAAGGAATAGATGGGATTGAACCCTCGACTGGTTGACGTGGAACTCCGGGCTTAGATGGATAACCAGGTGTTGTGCTATGTCACGTCAGTTTGGGGTTTGGCTGCCAAGAGAGGAGACTTACGGATCACCAGGTGCAACACTCAAGAATTGAGTACTTCCTCTCTGGACACTGCTAGGGTTTCTTGCCGAACCACTAGGATACGTATCGACTCCATTTTCGTCCGTCACAAGTCCGTCATCACCAGGATCAGTAAAGATCACACAACCAACCATGCCCAAATCTTGTGCACGCTTCACTTTGAGACCACGGAATATACCCCCATACTTTGCAAGTGCAATCTTGCCTTCAAGGCTGACATTCGCAGCAACAAGGTCTTCGAAATCTTGGTATGTTCCGTAATTGACATATACGTATGGAGCTGTGACGTTCCCAGTGGCGGAATATCCGTGAAAAGTTGGGATACTGTTTTCCAGCCCAGTGGTGGGATCTTCTTCGAGGATGTCCTCCTCCAGGGTCGCCTCGTATTTAACAGACCACGAGTCTACTCCCTCGGTCTCCGTTTTCTCGTACAGAGCGAGTCTATGACCCAGAGGGTAATTGATATAGGTATCGTACGCTGCAATGTCTGCCTGAATGCCAAATTCTTGCCATCTCTCTTGTGTCCATAGCACCTGGCTATAGTTCTTTCCTGCCAAGTGAGGTCCAGAAGTATAGTATTTACTCCACTCTGAAGCTTTCTCTGGGTCTGGTGTATCCAACAAGATCTGCTGCAACTCCTTATAGCTCAATTTGTCCTCGCTTTGTGCCCATCGATCATGTCTATGGTGGTGGTGATGTGGTTGAAAGACAACGAGGAATAGGAATAGGCCTGTAAATGCAACGAGAGAGGATCCAAGTGCTATCGTGCAGAAACGGCGGACGAAGCTATGAGGATATCGTTCTCTTCGAGGAGCGACTCGTACGGTCGCAATTAATGGTGTTCGTTCATGGCTCTCCATCTTCTCATCTATGGTTCTGCCCATGTTTATTAATTATAGGTTGACTTGACTTGGACTTGGGACATTGGCTTTTGCGGGGTGGGTGAATGTCTAGGTTGATGTAGGACAATTTGGAGGCTCAAAGTGAGACGCCAAGGGATTCGACTTTGAAGAAGACGGGGATCTCACCTTCATACCGTATCTTATATTCATAAATAACGTCGAGCTCTCTGACCCACATTGACCTTCCTATGGGAGTTAGATTAGCCAATGTGAAGCTCGAGAGTGGGAGCTCGACTTTTTGGCCGATAACGACGTCAACGGTCAACGGCCAAGCCCATACGATGTGTCAGCAGCACGTGATCTCCGACAATCGGCCGTCTGCAAGCCATGTTCTCCTAACCAATTGTTGAGCTCATGATCATTTTTGGCCTGTGCTCGGTCCAATGAGGGAATTGAAGATATACAGGGACAAGGGTCTCACACCGCCAATGATGGAGCTGATGGCGGGGTAGCTGCTTCCAACATTGGTTGGCTAGCCACACTCGGAATAACTTTGCCGTTTGATCCTTGAAGAGTCTCATGTGGCTGCAGTTTCTGCATCCGCGTCGGCCACTTAGGACCAATAAGGAAAGGCCTCTCGACCGGGTGTGTATCAAGCCTGACTCAAATACTCTTCTCTTCTCTCTGTCAGCCCTCTCAAAATACAACTCTCTTTGCTCTCAACCAGCTTCACTCGCGGATCCGACGACCATATCTTTTCTCCTCAACTTCTCGAAGTTGTGGCCTTCCATGCTTCAACCGAAAAGAAGTCAACGATACGATCGACAATTACTAGAAGTTGAGAAGGCTCTCCTGCCTCCCTCAATATGGCGAAAAGAGCATCACGTGTGCCTGCAAAACTGCCAATAAGGCAGTTAGTGATGTTAGGTTTGCATTCCTGTTTATTTTCTTGTCTTGCTGATTTTGAATTTCAAGAAAAGTTTTCTCCGTGGTGGCGGGGAAGTGGGGTGGCCATGTCAAGATTTTATTATGAGACGTTGACAAGGGTTTAAAGGCTACGAATAGTTGTTCGCAATGCTGGGAAAGGTGCAGGATGGAATCTTGTCAATTATTGTCAATCTATTCTTCGAAGTCCTGTCACTTGATCAAGTGAAATGTTCTGGTGGAAAGGCAACTCGGTCTTGTGCTCAACAATCTGAATTGTTCTATCTCGAGTATCGACGCCACAGCAGCTCTGCAGGGTTACACGACATCACCAATCCCTATCTTGACTTCGTATTCTCGGTAATTCTTGTGTCACTTGAGACTGATGTTGTGTAGCAATATGTAGATTCGCAGAGCCAATCGCCTTGACTTCTGTCTTTCCGTACTTGGTAAGTCTCTGAACTTCTCTTGGAACTTCTGCTAACAGTTGCAGCCTGAAATGATAGAGAGCTTTGGTGTAGAAAGGAAGAACGTTGCAAAATGGGCTGGCATTGCTGGTGCTTCATTCTCTTTTGCTCAATGTCTTACTGCCATCCTTTGGGGAAGAGCTTCGGATCGTTTCGGACGAAAGCCCACAATTCTATTCGCACTTTTCTGCACCATGACCGCTTCTTTGGTATGGGGTATGTCACGATCCCTACCTATGGCTATTGCTGCAAGAGCTCTGGCTGGTGCCTGCAATGGAAATGGTAAGTATGAAATCCACTTCTTCCGGCTCTGCTGACGACTTCAGTTGGTATTATCCGAACGATGGTGGCAGAAATGGTACCACAAAAAGAACTTCAACCTAGAGCGTTCTCGATCATGCCACTTGTGTGGACTATTGGTTCCATCTTTGGACCCTCCTTTGGAGGAATGTTTGCGAAACCAACAGAGAACTTGCCTTGGCTATTTGGAGGCAACAAGTTCTTTGAGAAATTTCCTTTCCTTCTTCCCAACCTTGTTGCTGCAGCTTTGTTCATAGTTGGGCTGACAACTGGAGTTTTCTTCCTTGAGGCAGGTTTATTTTCCCCCTAACTCACCAAGCTAATCGGAACAGGAAACACTCGAAACGAAAAAGAATCAGACAGACTACGGAGTTATCCTAGGAAAGAAGTTCATTAAGTGGTTCAAGGCAATCTTCCGACTACGTCGTATAAATCCACAACCATATCGTCGAGCATCAGAAAGTTTCGATGAATCTGCCGCCTCACTCCTTCGGCCAACTTCATCAGCTGGCTCAGACGTTGGCAAATTTGACGATGAATCATTCACACCGAAAAATACGAAATCTGCTCCACCACGACCTACCATGAAAGAAGTTTTCACCAGACAATCCATCATCAATCTCGCAGCCTACACATTCCTCGCCCTCCACTCCGTCTCGTTCGACCAACTCCTACCGATCTTCCTTCACTTGCCACCTCAAGTTCCTAATTCAGACAACACGAAACTACCGTTCAAATTCTCTGGTGGGTTCGGCCTACGATCAAGTCGAATTGGAACATTGTTTACCATGTATGGTGTTGTGGGATGCTTCATCCAATTCCTCATCTTTCCGCCAACAGCCCGTAAATTCGGCGTTCTAAATTGCTTCAAAGTCTGCGCCGTCACATTCCCGCTCGTCTCGTTCGTCACACCATATACAGCACTGATCCAGAACAGCGCCACTCAACAAGCTGCAATCTTCGGCATCATGATTGTCAAATGTTTCGCAGTCATCTTCGCATTCCCATGCTCGATCATCCTTCTCACCAACTCTGCCGTCAGTCTCCGTATCCTGGGGACATTGAACGGTTTCGCAGTTTCGATATCTGCCATTGGGAGAGCTATAGGTCCAGCTATGACGGGAACTGTCTTCACATGGGGTTTCGAGAGAGGATATATGATAACAGCTTGGTGGTTACTTGGAATTATCGCAGCTATTGGCGCAATACCAATCTGGTACCTCGTCGAGATGCCAGGTTTCTCCAAATCAGACTCTGATTCTGACGATGACGACGAAAGCCTCCTACCAACAGTTGAAGAAGACGAGGAAGGTGAAGCCAGAGCGACTGAGATTTTAGAAGGCGACGAAATCGACGATATGAACGAAGAAGCACTAGACACAGTCGAAGGACCACCATTGAGTCTCGTGAAGAGTAGAAAGAGCATTGATGAGGAAGGTATCGAAGGCAGAAGATCTAGAAGAGGAAGTGGTCTCAGTAGACTTGAAAGAAGAATGAGTTCTCCTATTGGTGTTCGCGGCGGCAGCGTGGGACCTGGAGGCGGGAGACGCCTAAGTAATGGTCTGGCAGCAAGTAATATGGGACAAGGAACTGGTGGGAGCACGTTTCATTAGCGGGCTACGGGAGTTCGAGAGTACTTCAAAGCTGGGTGTATGGTGTTTGGGATTTTATGTGCGATAGAAATATACCGGACATACCCTGAGCGCTTGCTTCTATTTCGGAGTTGATGGTCTTGTGAATCACTAGGTATCTTCCAGCGAGGAAAGCCAAGGGCTAGTGTCCCCTTCGCTAAGCGCATATCCCTATTGTCTACTCTACCTCTCAACCCCTCAACCTCCAAAACTCAAAAACACCACCAACCATAATCAAAATGCCAACCCTCCCCTCCCTCCACCAACTCTCCCTCCAACCATCCAAACCCCCCTTCATCATCCCCAAACCACCACAACAAGGCATCCCAGCCCCAGGTATGTACGGTCGCCGAAGCGCAAAACAGACAAAGAGATTCAAGACGTTCTGGATGAAGAGTCCTCAGGAGCGTGCCAGGGAGTTGAAGAGGAGGCTTCTTGGGGATCGGAACTCTAGAGAAGAGGCAGGAGGTTTGTATACCTTTTTTTTTTATTGGGGGAGCTGTGTGGGGAGGGTGGGCTGAAGCTGACGTGGTGTAGGGAATGCTGGTGGTGAGGATGTTGAGATGGTGGATACGACGCGGGCAACACTTTAAGGCGACTAGGAGACATCAATGGTTGTATGGAGTGTCTTGGGCCACGCGAGCAAGATTTATTTTTTTGATATCAGGATACATCTGCTGGTACCACCCACTTGCGCGCCGGCAGAGACTCGCGCTTACGCTTGCACAAAGCCACAACAATGTGGAAGGAGTTGAGGAGGAGGTATGATTTGATTTTTGATGAAGATGCATGGTTTTTATTTTTCGGGAATCTCTTGGGTGACAATTGTCAATCACCGTCTTTAGTCCAGGACATGAGGTGGGTGCTATGATCTTTCGTTTGGCCGAACAATCAAGAGATAATTGAGGATTGCGAGCTTCGAGACATTAGATTTTGCATAGAAAGAACAATGCAGACCATGAATCCATTACGGTGAAAGGGTGATGTGTGTCCATGAATCTTGAAGTCGGCAGTAGGAATCCGGAATACAGGAAAGCTTCCATCGAAGGTGCTACAGCAACGCCAGGAGAATCCTAATTCAGTGCTTGAGGATGTGAGATAACACTAAGCGGCGGAGACATGTTAAGGATTTCAGAGCTGGCAGTTTTTTTTTCGCTCTGAGCTGCTGAACACAAGATTAGTCAAGACCATGGTAATGAGGGGCAACAGCTTAGCCTACGTGCGAAGAGCCTTGCCTTACAAGGCGTTGTGGAGTTCACCTCAGCACCCTCGATGGAAGCTGTCTGACCTCTGGACTATCTGACGTAGCTCAAGGTATTATAAGTACCTCGAAGTCGAATTTGTGTGGACGAAAAACTAGTTCGAATTCACCTGTATCGAAAGCGAACTGGCGCAACTACAACCCCTTCTCCAGAAATTTCGCAGCGCATAAAAACAATAACTTCCAACTGCTTCCTCAGACAACTCGATACCACCATCACGCCGTCAAGATGTCTTCAGCTCCGGCGGTTGTTAGTCCGGAAACAATTGTCTTCACTGGAAGAGACCTACCCAGTCCGGATACCAGTCTCAAAGTCTTCAATAAGGATTATCGAGTCCACGCATGCGTGCTCAAGATGCATTCAGCCTTCTTCGCCAAATCCCTCGATTCGCCAGACAAAGTCAACCATGAGCAAGGAGAATTACATACGAGTGGGTTACTCAAATGGAAAAGAAGGACAAAAGCGAAGATCGCAGCCACTATTCCTGGTGTCTCGTGTCGCGCGGAAATGCGCCTGTAAGAGGCAACGTCTGATTATCTTGAGTTGTTTTACTAATCAAAAACTTATGCACAAGAAGAGAATCTCGAAGACAACGGAAAAGCGGATAGATTGGCTGAAGATCGCTTCAAATCTCTACAGGAAAAAGCCTTCCATATTTTGATTTGTGCCTTTTACAACAAGCCTTACGAGTTCGAGCACCCGGTGGATTTAATTCGAGTTACACAACTGGCCGACTACTATTGTGCCTTGCCAAGCCTCGCAAGAACCATCGATGCAGTCTTACGTAGAAGTACTAAGGTACGAGCATGGTGTGCGCCCTCACTCTTGAAAACAGCGATCAAGCTTCGCCACGCGGACATGTTTCGAGATTGTATCTGCCATCTAGCAGGCGTACGGGGCACCTGGCATTCCGGGGGGAGGGGGGGGAGAAATTGTCAACCATTTCTTAGAGCCGAGCCTTAGAGCCTTGGTTGAAAAAGCTCGCAGCGATATCCACGCAAAGATCAGCGAGGCATAGTACAAAATGTTCAACACTCCAATAGGAACCAACCCTGTCCTTATCGCCATTGGAAAACTGGATCGAGCGGAAGCTAATTGCCTGCCATCTTTCTACCGTGCAATCTACAACGCCGTGGAAACAGATGAGCAAGGTAACAAGCGCATTCCCGAAGGATGGCTTCATGTTCAACTCGCCCTTGAGCCGCTCCTGGAGAATAAACTGAGACTGGACACACGAAGAGTACAGCCTGGATCTACCATTGTTCCTGACACATTCCTATGTCGCGAAATCGAAGACGACGATCTTCCTTAGTCTCCTATTCCTAAGGATTGGTAAAGCACGATAAAGAAGGGTGTCATGAAAACCAAGCCGTGGGTAAGGTACCTTGGGATATATTCGTAGCTGCAGAATCAATCTCCCTTCTCCATAGAACACTATGTATCGCTATGGTACTTGAAATACAACAGTGAATTTTTAGAACTAATGTCTGTATATCATTGTGTTACATGTGAAAGGATTATTAATTGCCATGCAGGATTTCCTACTTTCCATTTTTCCTCAATCGAGCGCTCAAAGCCAGAGCAAAGCAAGTGAAAACATTGTTCCCTTCTCTATACAATTCTTTAAAGCCTCTCCCCACCGATGTAAACATTACTTGAGATTAAAGAAACCCGGATTCAACATCCTAACAATCACTTCAATATATTCCGTGAAACGGGACGTACATTGAGCAAGCGATATGTACTTTTGTAAGGCAAATAATCATAGAGAGCATAGCTGAAAGTATCTCACAATTTTATGTGGCTCACTATCCTAGACCAACTCAAGTGTCACGTGCAACTCTCATGCAGCCTTGGAAGCATCTCCACTAGGTATCTTCTGTACGCTTCTGATCTTTGAAGTCCATCCCATACAGATCAAATTCTTACAGCCGGTTCTAGATGTCGATAATGTAAGCCACAAGAGTACGCTCCCTCAATTTGATCAACTGACATTTATTTTTCCTTCTAGGCAAAATGTCACCTCATCACTTAAGCTTCACCACTCTTCAGGTGTTGGAATCGATACAATCGCATGTTCTAAAGGTATCCAGACAATACAATCGAAGCAATTGTCCATCCTTAGCGGGACATCTCAAGACGCAACTTTATAAGCTGGAAGTGTTGGTGTCATAGTTCTGCCAACGCTGCAATCTTATCACATAGATGCGACGTCGTTAGATATGCTAAGTAAATGTATCTCGTCTAGGAATATCAGCTTCTCCTTGCTCCATAAGTACCGCTTACTCCACTCCAACGCTGCTCTATAAACATTATCATTGATCTTGCTTATTGACCATCTTCCAAAGAGACCTCTGAAACAATGCAGCCAATTTCGTGTTCCTAAAATCAGATTGAGGTATCAATTGTGTAGCATAAAATCCAGCAACCCCTTTCTCCCTGTTCGCAAACCACATCATATTTGGCAGTCCACCCCATGCCAACGTCCCTGGTGGTGCTCCCGTTAAAGGCATTTGCTGGGTGAAAAACAAAGCACCGAGTCCAAAATTGATCGCATGATTCCCGATGTGACCTCCAGCAGAGTTCTCGAACAATGTTTGATTATTCTTGAGATGTTGTAGAGCACCACTTCCCTCTTCGAATTGGGGAGAGAACATCAGCTCTACTGTTTCTTTCTTGAGCAGCACCGGAGAATCTTTAATAATGTCGCCCAACACCTTCATGTAGTCGGGCATTGAAGACAAGAGTCCATTCCCTCCATATTCGTCTGCTGGAGGGTGCGGATATGGCAGGATCCCAGGTATCAATGAACCATCTGGTAATCGATATGCAGGCTGGAGGAACTTCTGACAGATTTCAGGCTTGTACCAGAGATGGAACGTGGTCGAAACCATGTTCAATGGAGCAAATATGTTGTCGATGAGGTAATTCTCCAGTGACATTCGTTGCGCAAGACGACAGATCAATAAACCCACCCAATCAATTCCTGAACCATATGCCCATTGCGTGCCAGGTTCGAAAAGTAGTGGTGTAGAGAAGGCTGGAACAACCGGAGCCCAGAGACTGAGAGGTGTTTCACCACGAGACTTCCGCCATGCTTCGAGTGCAGGCTCACCTAAATCGTACGCGAGCCCACTCGAGTGATTTAACAGCTGCCGTAAAGTAACTTGGGTCTTCGCGGGAGCCAATGTAAAGGATTCTTTCTCGGACTTCGAGTCATAAGTGATGACTTGCGAATTCGCCAACTCTGGCAGGTGCTTGTCAATCGATTCGTCAAGGCCGATGAGACCACGTTCAACACATTGCAAGGCAGCAATGGTCGTGATCAGCTTTGTACAGGAAGCCATGACGAGTTCATTGTCGAATTGAACAGGTGGTGAATCTGGATGGAGTGAAACTAAGCCAGATGCGTTTTTATAAATGTATTCACCTGTTCTTGTGGTAAGCAAATAATCACTCAGTGAAGTCCGATTATGTCTACCTGACTTATCAACTGCTGCGACAATAATTCCGTGAGAAACTCTGGCAGCACGACCATCTTTGGCCGTGCCCGAGGCGAGCGCTCTCTCAAAAGCCTCCATTTCAGCAACACTTGAGAGTCGTGTATGATGACGAAAAGGGCTGACCACAAGTACTTGCACAATCTCTTTATATCTCCGAAACAATCAAATGCCGAAAAAAATGTTTCCATACCGGTAGTTCATATTAATTTTCGCGGCTCAAAACCACATTGAACCACCAAATCACAAGCCTTGGCCGGCTAGGCTCAAGTCCTGAAACAGAGCGACAGAACGTTTCTTACACATATCAAATTGTGTAAGCAGTAGCGTAATCCGGAAGCATTGTGTCTCATGCTTTGATGTGGACGTGGGGTATACTTTGTACTACAATTGATATAACGTCGTATATCTGAAACTCCACCTCGCCGAATGTTCGAGACACGTTTGCACTACTCACTGGTAACTCAATAGCTTACTATTACTAATATTGCTGGCTTTATGATTTGATTTTATGCGGGAAACCGCTCAGTCTGTCGAAGTGTGTGGTTCTTGCCCGGCCTTCTGAAGTAGTGAATTATCTTCTAGCAGCCTCGCCAATTGCCCAAATTGGCTAGCCCAGCCTCGCTCCTCTAGTGCCTGTATAGATTTAAATAAGCAATTTTGGTTTCCAAGAATTGGCGTAGTTGAATTAGAGGAGTTCCGAATTTCGAGGGCAACATAACTATCTCTAACAAAAGTACCAAAGTCTTTGCGGAACTCGTGTCCGCCTAATAAGGACCCAGCCAAGGATAAACAATGGTTCGCCCTTGTACTAAGTAATCGTGCCCTTCGCTGGTGGATTATTAATGTTTTGTCATTCACCTCTATAAATTTTGTTCTTTTCTTTTTTGGCAGTTCGCGTCCCATCTCGCTAAGCGAGACGAGAAGCGATCTTGGTCAAGGAGTTGCATTATCAAAAGTTCATGAGTACGAGAGCTAGAATTCAAAAGGAAGTCTTTTTTTCTTATACTCATGGCAATCGTAAACCCCTGACATTGTGTGAGATTTCAGAGATGGCAGGAGCTACAACTCCGAGCAACAGATCGGACATCAACAACCACAGCCACCGACGCGTGGGGAAAATGGCTTCTCAGGCCAGCTGGCCATCGCGTCTGTTACGAGGTTTGGGCCAATATCATTTCTCATCTGCTCATTACTCATTGAGAGAAACTGATGTAATCAATATAGAACGGCTTGATCTGGATGACTATAGCGAAGATTTTGGGAGCACTGACTCGGAGACTGTGCAAAGACACCATGTGTCTTGATGAGTGAGGATCAGGAAGATGGAATATTTTTAGAATCAAACACGAAGTCAATGACGGATATTCAGGGCTGAGTGTTGTACTTTGATCAGTACAGAAAGTTTTGATGGCATGAGTGTTGCATTCCTTTGCTAAGAAGGTACTCATGTCCCAATTATGCTTTCGTAGACTGCGTGATTGAGTCTGGTTGTACTCTGTAACTTGAGTTGCAAAGTCTTCCCAGCACCCATCATAGTCATCAACAGCTCAACAAGAATCAAGAGCAGATATACGTGCTAGAGCATCGCAATCTTCTCAATTCCCGTCGTCTGGTACAATATGCTCTGAAGATTGCTCTGCCTTGATATTCCAACGCTGCTAACATATGCCTCCTTGCTCCCCTTTGAAAGGGGCCCTTTCCAAGCTTTCCGTGTTTCGCTGGCTTTGCTGTTGCTAATAAATGGCTCTGATCCAAGATTTGTAACCCGTGCTTTGAAGTACAAGCTCAATTCCTAGTTCAGGCTATGCTGTTGCTGAATAAATGGCTCTGATCCAAATTTGAGACTGGCGCTTTGAAGCACAAGCTCAATTCTAGCTCAGGCTATGCATTATATAAATCGTCGTCGTCTTCGTCTGCTAAGTCTCCATGCGTGGTTGTGTCTGCCTCTTCTGCTTCCTGCTCTTCCTGCTCTTCCTGCTGTCCTGTCTCTTTTGAAATGTCTGGCTTCTCCGTCTTCTGCTTTTTCTCCTACTCCTTCTCATCTTGCTAGGCTTCTTGCTTCACTGTCGGGCTCGGGCTATCCACCACTCATGAGCAGCATCCATATATGCTTCATCTCGTCTATATCTGAGCTGTCTTCCTTCTTGCAGCATCTCTCTTGACAATGAACTTCGATGGATCGGGATCCGGCGTAGCTAGAGCTACGCCGTTCACCCGGTCCAAGGCAGCTTCTGCAAGGTAACTCGGCCTCGAAAGGAAGAGAATGGAAGAACAAGTTGGCTAAGCACAGTCCATATATTGCATTGCTCTCCTGCAAAGACTAGCTAGAACAAACGCTTTGGTGTGCCTTATGTTCGCAACTTTGTAGATTGCCTTGCTCACATCCGCAATCAAATACTCTTCATCAATTCTCGTTCACGCCGGTCGTGGTTATCGAGTCCGATCATACTCTGCGATTTGAATCGTAGAGTCCTCTCGGTACCCGGGACCTCGCCAGGGTTAGGCTCGGGAGTTCAGACATCCACCTCCGACGATGACCCTAAAGGAAGCAAACCGTTAGCATCTGGCAGGAACCGGGGGATGATATGGTTGCGACTATGATACCACTACTTACATTGCCGGGATCCGGAAGCTCTTGAATGGTGTAGGTCTTGTCAAGATTGCCTGACACCAAACATGGACTTGCAAGGCGATGGAAGTACCTCTTCATTGGATGTCGTTTTGATCTGACGAGCATGGATTGCGCATGGCATATCTGGCTCTTCCTCAAACGTCAGTTGCGTATGCATTGAGAACCATCATATTCACTTACAAACTGGGCTTGTATAAAGCATAGACTTGCTGCTACATATGCTGAACATGCTGAGGGCTGTAAATTTGCTGGCCGTAATTGATGAATTCTGCGTATCTGATTGGATAATCGAATGTTGATGACGGTTGTGCCATCGTCGCGTGTCTCGGGAATAGATATTGGAATCTGGAGATGGCCTGTTGACTAACCCGATAGAGGTCATCCGATGCTGGGCATCTTGGCATTAAGCTATCGGCTCCTCCACTGAAGTCGAACCTCGATAGAGGTCATTCGAGGCTGGGCCTCTTGGCATTAAGCTGTCAGCTCCTCCGCTGTCTCGTAGATTGAAGACGACGTACCACAACGTATAGATACGTTATGGTCAATCGTCTTTATCTACTTCGCATATAGGACTGCTACTCACAGCTCGGTAATCTTTGGCTCCTTTGTTGTGCCCTTGATGGTCAAGCGCACATCCATCGTCGCCTCTGCCGTTACCAAATCGACAGGTCGACCTGATATGAGCCTCAACAACTCGGTTGGCGAGATATCAGCATGTAAATTTAGAGTTGGCCGTGATTGCTGATGCTCTTGGTTCTTTTCCCATTGGCTACGAGCAGGCCAGGCTCTTCCAGCGGGCGGACCCATGAGGATCCCTTGTATCTGAGGCATAGGAAGGCCTGCCTCTTTGGCTCGTTTGATGCATTCGATCCAGAATTCGAGGAATCCGATTGGATCCTCTCCTGCTATCCTGCTAATGTCCACATTATCCGCTGTGAGAATTCCCGGTACACTTGGCGATCCTGGCTGCGGCATACTACTGGCTGTTTGAACAAACTCAGCACCTGCCGCAGTCTGGTCTGGTCGTTCGCTGGCACGGGGCTGTGGTAGGTCATCATAGCCTGGTGGTGGCTGGAAGATATATGGCTGTGGTAGGGCAGCTTCACCTGGTGGTGGCTGGAAGACATATGGCTGTGGTAGGTCATCGCGGCCTGGTGGTGGCTGGAACACATATGGCTCTGGAGCTGGCTGCAGCGGTACCCATGGCGATGAAGCGGACTGCTGTGCTTGTGCCTGCACCTGTGGCGAATATGGCTGCTGAGGATAATACTGCTGCGCGTATGGCTGTGGCTGATACGGCTGCGGTTGATTGGCTTGAATGCTGATATGCATGGTACTGAGGAGGCAGAGAATTGGGATCGCGATTATCATTATCCATCGTCGCGTTTGGCTTTGGATGTTGATGTTGGAAGAATTTCAACAGAAGGCAAGCGCGAAGTTATCTCCTTCAAACTACGCGGAGTAATAGTCACGTGATTCATCCGAAAGTCAACAACAACAACAACAACTTTGTCAACTTGGAACAGTGTGCTGTGAAAGTTTGCTCAAGACCTAAATTCTATAGGAATTATAGTGCCATTCTGCTCGAGCTGGGACAAGAGCGAGAGCACCCCTGCCAGCTTCGACATATCAGCTTGAACGTTCTCCCTCCACCATCGGCGATCTTCCAGCTTCCTGCAGCTGATCGTCAGCTGGATGCCAGGCACTTCAATTGTCCAGTCCCCGAGCGATAAATGGTGATCTGCAGTGACCAGAGACTTTGCTAGAGCAAAGACTCTGTGACCGTCGTCAACCGCTACAAACAGCCACGGGAAATTCTTGGCAGTGTACACGAACATGCTCTCATCCAGGCCAATGGCGCTGGCATCTGCGTCAAATGCTAGAGCATAATAGGGTTGTAGCAGATCGCCTGCGAAGACACTTGCATGCTTGTCGCATAGCTTCATGCTCGTCCACAACCTGTCCGCCACGACTTGGGGTGTGTACTGTTTCCCGGTCCAGATACCAGGCACTGGAAAGAATCAGCGGGAATGGCAATTGACCTAAGAGTTAAAGTACCCGGGAGCTGCAACATCGCCGTTTCAATCCGTGGAACACATGGCTCCATGATCTCAAGTGGCGGCACACCACATTAAAAGCTAATGCTGAGTGCGAGCGTGGCAACTGAAATCTCAGACCAACGTTCATCCCATCTCGATCCCAACGTGGGAATCTCGTACTGATTCTTGACTAGTCTTAGGTCAGTACGTTGATTGCCTGATACCATAAAGACCGCAGCAGGCCCCCAACCCCCAGCTCCAGCGGATTCAAGTAGAGGTTCTTGTACTTGCGAAAGTCTCCAACTACAGCTTCATCCAATCTTGGAATGGTATAGCCACCGTTTTTGGACTTTTGAAATATTCAATAAACGACCATGAAAAGAAGACATCGCGAAAACGACATTAAGATATAAACAACCTCAAAACGCGCTAAAATCACATGGTAAGGCTCCAACTTTTAAAAGCTACAATGAAAGCATAGGAGGAAGCATTGACATAGAGCTATCATATATCTACTTATGTAACTCAAAAGACGGGCAGCGACTATTAGTAGTTGATCAATTCGGCAAAATTGTCAAGTTCCTGGGTAGAGATTCTGGACTATGAGCAGAGAAATCTAGTAGAACAAGAGCCAGACATCAAGACTCGAGATGTGCAACAATAATCTAGACATTTGGTGCAAAAACAATGTTTGACTTCAAGACAAGTATCAAAGACACAGGCGCTTGCCAAGACATTCCCAGACAAGGAAGCTGATTTAACCATATTCAATTCCAGACTCCGGACGGAAACCACGGGTCCATTCTGTGTCGTTCCGACGATACCAGTAGCTGATCGGCTCCCTTTTAGTGTCCAATTATCGGAATAGTATTCCTGAAAGACACCATAGCACATCGCGAAACCTACCATTGTGAGAAATCGCATTCAGGATACATGGATTGAACGAGCCAAACTGTTCATAGCGCGTTGATCTACTACCAGGAAGAGACCAGGCAGAGCAGCCTTGGATTTGCCTGGACTGCAGGAGCTCTCTTCCGCGTCTGACGAAGCTTGGTCTGTCTTCTCGCAC